TGTGACTCCACATTGTGGAAACTCACTTGTAGTGTATAAGATGAACTAGATGGACCCATACTTACCCAAACATGGATTAATAGGTTCTACACATGACTATGAGGACAAACATGAGTGAAACGGTCTCAATCCAAGGGAGGAACATCAAATGGACCTAATTTGGGAACCGGAAGAGGTAAGGAGTCCGAAATGTACCTCTGTGACTCCACATTGTGGAAACTCACTTGTAGTGTATAAGATGAACTAGATGGACCCATACTTACCCAAACATGGATTAATAGGTTCTACACATGACTATGAGGACAAACATGAGTGAAACGGTCTCAATCCAAGGGAGGAACATCAAATGGACCTAATTTGGGAACCGGAAGAGGTAAGGAGTCCGAAATGTACCTCTGTGACTCCACATTGTGGAAACTCACTTGTAGTGTATAAGATGAACTAGATGGACCCATACTTACCCAAACATGGATTAATAGGTTCTACACATGACTATGAGGACAAACATGAGTGAAACGGTCTCAATCCAAGGGAGGAACATCAAATGGACCTAATTTGGGAACCGGAAGAGGTAAGGAGTCCGAAATGTACCTCTGTGACTCCACATTGTGGAAACTCACTTGTAGTGTATAAGATGAACTAGATGGACCCATACTTACCCAAACATGGATTAATAGGTTCTACACATGACTATGAGGACAAACATGAGTGAAACGGTCTCAATCCAAGGGAGGAACATCAAATGGACCTAATTTGGGAACCGGAAGAGGTAAGGAGTCCGAAATGTACCTCTGTGACTCCACATTGTGGAAACTCACTTGTAGTGTATAAGATGAACTAGATGGACCCATACTTACCCAAACATGGATTAATAGGTTCTACACATGACTATGAGGACAAACATGAGTGAAACGGTCTCAATCCAAGGGAGGAACATCAAATGGACCTAATTTGGGAACCGGAAGAGGTAAGGAGTCCGAAATGTACCTCTGTGACTCCACATTGTGGAAACTCACTTGTAGTGTATAAGATGAACTAGATGGACCCATACTTACCCAAACATGGATTAATAGGTTCTACACATGACTATGAGGACAAACATGAGTGAAACGGTCTCAATCCAAGGGAGGAACATCAAATGGACCTAATTTGGGAACCGGAAGAGGTAAGGAGTCCGAAATGTACCTCTGTGACTCCACATTGTGGAAACTCACTTGTAGTGTATAAGATGAACTAGATGGACCCATACTTACCCAAACATGGATTAATAGGTTCTACACATGACTATGAGGACAAACATGAGTGAAACGGTCTCAATCCAAGGGAGGAACATCAAATGGACCTAAATTTGGGAACCGGAAGAGGTAAGGAGTCCGAAATGTACCTCTGTGACTCCACATTGTGGAAACTCACTTGTAGTGTATAAGATGAACTAGATGGACCCATACTTACCCAAACATGGATTAATAGGTTCTACACATGACTATGAGGACAAACATGAGTGAAACGGTCTCAATCCAAGGGAGGAACATCAAATGGACCTAATTTGGGAACCGGAAGAGGTAAGGAGTCCGAAATGTACCTCTGTGACTCCACATTGTGGAAACTCACTTGTAGTGTATAAGATGAACTAGATGGACCCATACTTACCCAAACATGGATTAATAGGTTCTACACATGACTATGAGGACAAACATGAGTGAAACGGTCTCAATCCAAGGGAGGAACATCAAATGGACCTAATTTGGGAACCGGAAGAGGTAAGGAGTCCGAAATGTACCTCTGTGACTCCACATTGTGGAAACTCACTTGTAGTGTATAAGATGAACTAGATGGACCCATACTTACCCAAACATGGATTAATAGGTTCTACACATGACTATGAGGACAAACATGAGTGAAACGGTCTCAATCCAAGGGAGGAACATCAAATGGACCTAATTTGGGAACCGGAAGAGGTAAGGAGTCCGAAATGTACCTCTGTGACTCCACATTGTGGAAACTCACTTGTAGTGTATAAGATGAACTAGATGGACCCATACTTACCCAAACATGGATTAATAGGTTCTACACATGACTATGAGGACAAACATGAGTGAAACGGTCTCAATCCAAGGGAGAACATCAAATGGACCTTTTTGTGCGAGATAAGTGTTTCACTCCTGTGTGTATTAAACTATTTTAATTCGTTTTTTAAGGAAAATAAATTAAAAAAAGACAACACTGCTTACTGTAAGAGCTAAAGTTTGTCTGTATTCATAAGTAACGCTTACTTAAATAATATTTTATCGAATAGAAAAAAGGCTTTGTAATAAATGAAAAATAAAGTAAAACTTTATCAGATTTTCTACTTAATATAAGAGCTAAAGTTTGTCTGTATTCATGTGTGTGTAAGTGTGTGACGTTACTTATAAATTATAATATTTTATCCAATAAAAAAAGACACTTCCGTAATAAATGAAAAAAACGTAAAATTTTATCAGCTTTTTGTGCGAGATAAGTGTTTCACTTTCAGCCGCGTCTTTCTCGCTTCTGTCGTTTAAATTTTTTTGTCGTTGTCATTACAGACTTTTTATAAGAGGGTGGGACCCAGGTGAAGTCAATGTCTGGTGTATTTATATAGAGAGAGGTCTCCACATGGCTGCATCTTGTTTGACCAGAGGAGCTACGTGTGGGACCTATTCATTTCTATTGGTTCATGATTAGATTCCGAAATCAGTTACATTTTTTTTTTTTCAATTTTTTTTTTGTGATTAACGATAATGTCACGGTTTTTATGTAGACGTTTTATTCCTCAATGTATCTGCGTCATCATGACGTCGTATATTGCGTCAGAAGTAACCCCCCAACAAGAGATTTGTTTACTTTGGTTATATTCTTTGTTTGAGATTTCTTTTAAAAAAAAAAACACAAGCTGTTTGCCATCTACGAATTATACTCACAGATTCACAACTGTCAAGAAGTATCTTTCTAGTGTAAAATAATTTTGCTGAATAGAGCAAAATCTGTTTAACTAACGGCTTATGTCTTATTTCATTTTTATTTTTAAAACTCAAACAACACATATAAGCGTAAACTAAAAATTATGACATTATCGTTAATTAAGTTAAAATTGAAAAAAGAAAGAAATGTAACTGATTTCGAAATCTAATCATGATCCAAATAGAAACGAATAGATCCCTTATTCCCTAGTATTTTTTATATCTAATTGTTCTCTGAGTTTCAAAGTTCAAAAAAAAACAAGACATCACCATCTATGAATTATAATCACAGATTCACAATTGTTAAAAATAGATGCAATTTTTGTTTTACATAGTTAAGATTATGATCTAATATAACTTTTTTGATATATCAATCATGTATGTCTCATAAATATGGAAAAATTACTACGACTATGACAAAATATGATATTTGAAACAAAAAGGAGATATATTTGGGTGACGGAGTTTACCTGGAACCTCATATTCATGAGTATAAATTTGAAGCCGACTGTAAATAATTGATTTCGTCGCTCTCTTTAACCACCAAAATTATTATCAAAATTGAAATTGAGTAAAGGAGAGAAACTAACCAAGTATGATTTCTCTTTACCTTTTACCAAGAGAAAGAGCAATAGTTGTGCGGATCTATTAGCTCGCTGGTCTTATATAGAGAATGAATCGTTGGCTACTGTAACGCATATCCCTCACAACGGATAGTTGGCTATTGTAACGCATATTATGCTCGTGACACGTTTTAATATAGTTGGCTACTGTAACGCATATTATACTCGTGACACGTCTCAATAAATAATTTGAACCGTATTTAGACTTGATTAATGCGTTTAATGCATAATTTTTTACAATAAATAGTGCATATTATGCTAGTGACACATATCGATCGAAAACTCAAACCGTGTATAGACTTGATTTAATCCGTTTAATGTTATGGATGGATTGAACCATATATTAACATAAACATTGGAACCAAACAAAAATAATGAAAGATTTACGAAACAACCAATTGAATGTGAAAAAATTGTATCTATGATACATAGCTCATTTAGCTTAAGAAAACTATGTAATTAACCTTTAGTTTAAGAGAATTGGTTATTTCCTCCACTCCTAAATATGAAAGAATGAAAACCTAACAGCAGCGAGAAAGCAAGATTTGCAAGACCATCGGCTACACAATTTGCCTTTCTGTGTAGATATGAACAACTCGGACGAACCAATCCCTTGTAAAGAAGCCATAGTACAATCGTACTAGGAAAAACAGGGGATGAAAACCACTAATTCCTGACTAAAAAAAACCAACAACTATCTATAAATCAACCTTCACTACCAGCCGCTAGACTCTCTGTTCCCAAGCCATAATAAACTCCCTTCCATTTAGTTTGTTTATACATTAGCCAACAAAATCAAGTCAATTCCTTTTCTTTTTCCTTTTGACAAACCAAGATGATTACTTATAGCTAAAATGTTTTTACTTGAGAAGTTAAAACACTTTTATCGAAATTCGAAAGTGTCGACGTCCAATGAAAGATAACGTCAACATCAAATGGATTAAATATTGATTTTGTTAGATATCTGCCACAAGATTGTGTGAGTATGTGACCTTATACCTAATCTTATTCAATGTTATGTTGAGTAATATTATTATCCGATTTCATCTGCCTTGATGATAACAGAAAAAATATTGTTGTTCTTCTTTCTTCTTGTTTGGTAACTTTTCTCAATAAGCAAGAAACATATAATTGTAAAATCTTTTTTATTAACCCCTTAAGCTAAAGAAAAACACAGAGAGTTTGAGTAAGAATCTAATCTAACGTTAAGAAGTGGAAGAAGAACAAGAAGGAAAGCAAACATAACCACAACCATTTTAGACTCTGTTTTTTTTTTTTTTGCAGTCTTTGCTCTTCACTTCCTCTAGCCATCTCATCATCTACTATAAACCACAAAGAAAACTCTGTAACTAAGCTTTTCAACTGAATCAATCACTGATTAAAGAAAAAGGAATCTCTAAATAGAAATGTACCTAGAACAGCAGCTCCAACAGCTCCAATGGCAACAGAAGAGCCAGCCACAAGAAGAACAGCAGCATTTAGGCCATCTCCAGCAGCACGAGCAACATTTTATCCGTTTGCAGCAAGAGAAGTCGTAGTCACAACTCGGCCATTTGCAGCAGGAGAAGCAAGAAGGTCCAGTGTTCTTGCAACACAACCAAGAACATCTCTTCTTCTGCTTCTGCTGTTGCTGCTGCTGCTGCGTAGTCTTCTTCTTATTCTTCCCCTTCTTCTTCTTGTTCTTTTTTGCTCTGCACCAAAACAACAAACAATCAAGTTCGTGTTTTCTCGGAATCAATGAGACGATGTATAAAAGTAACAAAACTCACACTGGATATGAAAATGACTGCGTGCTGGATGATCCTTCATCTGAGTTATTACAATCTCCAAGGTTCCTCCATGATACATTCGAGTTCGACGACTTATCATCACTCGCTTTGTCCTCCTCCATATCAAAGCTCTTTCCAAGATCAGAAGAATCAACAGGAATATGAACAGAAGGACAGAACGAGACCAGCTCTCCCGATTTCAAAAACTCTCCAGACTTGAAATCACGGTAACTAAACAGCTCATCTCTCGCTATCACGTTATCTCCTATGCTGAGACTAAACAGAGACTCATTCGAAAGCGTGCTTAGAGTTTTCTCCAAGGTAGGCAACGAGTGTCTCTCAGGCTGCTCAGATCCTCCTTTTCTGTCCATCATTTGAACAGAAGGAGACAAAAGCGCAGGCTCCAAAGAATCATTAGTCACACCGGAGACTTGTGACCCCATTGTGTCCGATGAGCCTTGTAACTCGGATAGTTTTAAAGAAAGGCTTAAGAGCTCCTTCTTGTTTTCCTTTGCATTGACTTCGACAGTGTTCTCTGAAGAGGTTGGAGATAAGTTAGACGACGAAGGAGGAGATGCAGTATTGCTGGTGGTGATCTCTGGATCTGCCTTGACACGGACGTCACCGAGTCCATAAGCAATGCTCCCCAACTGGAACAAAACAGGCTTCTCATCATTGCCTTCGGTGACGTTCTTTGATCTTGGATCAAAACTCCTACTATCATCCGCTTTTCTATGCTTCTTTAGATGAAAACCCTTTCTATTGTGTCCTTTCTTGTGATTCTTTTCCATTGCTGAAGAAAATTCAAAAAGGCAAAAACTTTGTCATCATCAAGTGTTTCACAAAATGCATGCATTAATAGAGATGATTTCAAGAACATAATAAGCTTACTTATACCAACGAATATCCATGTAAATTTCCAATCTTTTCGAACCTTCTACTTTACCGGTAATGGCTTCCTCCGTTAGTGTCTTGTCGTGATTCTTCTCTGTTTATAAATCAAATGGAAGATGGGCAAAGGATTCGAAGAACAAACAACACAAAAGAGAATGATGAAGTAAAGAAAGTTTTGACCTTTATAAAGGAACAAACCTCTTATACATATAAATTGTAAAATTTATCCTTGAAGCTGTAACAATGACGAATTCGTACAACATTAACGGAACAAAGCCTAATCCTTTCAAAATTTTGAGAGTAAAAGGGGAAAAAGTTGAACAAAATCAAAGAATGAAACCATTTGGTCTTTTTTTTCTTTCTTTCCTGAAGATTTCTTTAAACCAAAGGTATTCCTACAATTTAGGGATTATCTCGTCTTCTTGATCAAACCTTGGCTGATTTTGGCGCCATCTTTTTTTAACTAAATTTCCTCCTAAATCCAATAGCTACCTATATTAGGCAATGCCACGTGTCACATCACCTTCTAGAGACAAACAAAACGTCTTTGGCTTTTGCTTTTGCTTTTTCATGTGCTGAGACCAGCCCAGTTCTTGAAAGCAACAAGAGACTCCATTTTCTTGTAGTTCCTCTTCCTCAACTTCGGCAACCTAAGCTTCTTATGAGTCTCCATGAAGGCTTGCTTATACCTCCACTTATCCACAAATATCTTCATCTCCTGAGACTTCTCCACAACTTGCATCGCCGCATCGAAAAACCCTCCTTTCACCAACGCATACAAGAACGCATCAACCAAAGCATTATCCAATCTCGACCTCTTCTCTGCCTCCACCGAAGATACCTTCCCTTTGATCTCATTCCACAAGAGCAGCACATTGAAGTACTTCTCACCACTCACATAACCGTTAATCAACGATAAGTACGTCTGGTTATTCGGCTCATACCGCAAGAAAACCATCCTCCTGAACGTCCTCCTCGCATCTTCAAGCCGCCCTGACTTACAAAACGCATGGATAATCGAGTTCCAATCATGTGAATTCACTTCAACACGAGGATCTTCCACAACTTCGTCAAGAAACGCTGCCATCAACTCTGGTCTCTGATTCTCAAGAAGACCTGTCATTATCGTCAAGTAGCTCCCCTTCAAATCCGCCACTCTCGTCTCTCTCATATCCCTAAACAACGTGAACGCAGATATGAAGTCCTGGTTCGTCATGGAAGCTTCGATCAACGCGTTATAGATCTCAACCTCTAACTGAAGCCCTGAGCTGCTAATCTCTGTAACCAGCTGAGTAGCTTCAGCTGTCTTATACTCTTTGCTATACGCTTTCAAGATTGGCAAATACACACCAAGCCCTACAGATCCTTCTCCTAGAGCAATCATTTCGTCAAGAACACTATGCGCTTTATCAGAGAATCCAAGACTCACACAAGCATTGATAATCCCAAACCCAACTGATCTCTCAACACCAATGGCTAAAGACTCAAACTTTTGAGCTTCGATTATCAGTTTCGCTAAGCTCTTAACGCATTTACTCTCTATAAACCCTTTCACCACTTCACAATAAGTCTCCTCACTAAAGATCGAGTCTTTTCCAAGACTTTGCAGTATAACATCACAAACACTATCTAAATCACTATTCTTAACATAACCACTGATCATATTCGAATAAAGGATCATTCTTTTACTTGCAAAACCAAAACCATCCATCAGATTCTCAAGCTCGCTTATCTTCTCTCTAAGCCCTTTCCTTGCATACAAATAAGCAAGAAACCCAAAGCTAGACTCGTCAGGCTTCACACCCAAAACCGCCATAGATTCAATCACATTCTCAGCATCCGCCAACGATTCCATCTGCCGGCAACAAGCTTCGAGAGCCGCGTTACACGCAATCAAATCAGGTTTCATGAAATCAAGCTTCTCATCGACCGCAATTCTGCAGCTTTCTCTAAACACCTTAAGAAACGCAGCCAAGGTTCCGTTTTCGCGGCAGATATCGATCATCAAATGCCCCCAGAGATCGAACGGAGCAAAGTACCTGTTTTTGAACATACACTTCACCAAAGCCAACGCCGGCGAAGCAGCTTTCGCCGATTTCATCGATTCCATAAGCGTGCGAACGGTCTCGAACTCGAGCAAAATCGGATCTTTCTCGATTACGTAAGCGGCGGAGGCAAACGCTCGCTTGAGTCTGTGCGAGGTGGTTTCGCCGGTTTCGCCGGGATCGGACAATTGGGCGATGAGGGTGTTGACGAGAGGTTTCTCCGGGAGGGAAGAGGCGGCGGTGAGAGATCGGAAGGCCTTCCATGCTTCATCTGTGTTGTGGGAAGTTAGGGAATCGTGGAGGGTTGATTCGATTGAGGATTTTTGGTCTTGGGTTAGGGTTTTAGGGGTTTGTGGAGGTGAGAGTGAGGGCGTGAGAGTGATTGGTTTGTTGGAGAAGAGGGAAGGTTTGAGGAAAGAGTAAAGGGAAGGAGTTTCAGGAGAAGAAGAATACGAAGAGAAGTGTCTTCGTTGGATTGAGGTTAGAGTTTTCCTGAACATTTCTATGAAGCAGAAAGGAGAATCATCTGGTTGAAGACGAGAGATCAAATTCCGCCATATTCAATTTTCTTCCTGAGATTTTTTAATATTTATTTAATTATGAAACAAGAGAGAAAGAATCAAACAAGCTTGAGTAGCTCAGCTGGTTAGAGCGTGTGGCTGTTAACCACAAGGTCGGAGGTTCGAACCCTCCTTCAAGCGCTTTTGTTTTGTATTTTTGAAATTACTCTTACAAGCCCAAAAATATGAAACTAAGGCCCATTTATCATCCACACTGAGATTCATAGTTTTGATATTGAGACTGTCTTTCATAGTTTTGTTAACAGTTATTTTAAGCAAGACATGAGCAAGTTCTTTCACAATGAGATTCTTTTCAATAGTTTATTCATCTAATCGGATTTTATTTTTTGTATTCCAGAAAATCGACATAAACTCGTATCCCATGTCAAATAACTAAATCAGTAATACTATAAATTTGTTGTACTGATGTTCTACTTGAACTACATATGCAAAATAAGTTTCTATCTATGAATATATATTTCTCTACGAATTCTTGAACTTGATAAGATGCCAATCTTGAACCCAAATTAGAGAAAAAAGCTTAGATTCGGTACCACAAATAAAATATGAAACGTATTTTGAGAACCACCTAACTAAACTAAAGTACACTAGCTTAGTTGGTTAGAAGCTCTGTCTATATGACTTGAGGAAGGTGTAGACAGATACTAAGATATAGAAAAAAAAGGAACTTTAAGAATCAATCAGCTTGAAAAATGGAGAGAGATGAGGAAAGCAGCTTTGGAAAGAGATTGGTATCAGATTCTTGACCACTTAGGCACTTACTAGCCCGCACCCGATTCCAAACTCGTCCCCATTTAAACAAACTTTCAAAACAAAAGCATCCAAAGATTCTAAAGTGTTTCAACTCCCAAGTCTTCCCATTTTTTTTTATAGGATCAATCTCTGGAAGACCAAAAGTTGATCAACTCGCCGTCATTTTCTGTATGATTGTAATTAATAAACACAATTATTACGTTAACACTTTAAGTCTCCACCTTCCCACGTTGTTATCATACCGGAAAAGAAAGAAAAAAAAAACAAAACCACAACGAAAATGACAAGTCTTTTTCTATCGTTGGCTAATAAAGGACCTCTTCAATTGTTCTTTTAGTGATAACGATACTATCAGAAACTACTAATTTGATCTGTTTTAATGTCTAAAGTGAGAAAATACAAATCCAGTTGTTTTTGATGTCTAAAGTGAAAAAAAATACAAAGATGTAATCTCCCTAGTCCCTACTAATTTTGAACAATCTTTGAGTTATAAAACCACAAATTCTCACTTCTTTTTTACGCATTGTAACCAAAGTTTATGCCATTGTGAGATAATGTAATAAAAGATTGCATGGAAGTTAAAAAGATAAAAATGAATAGAAACAAAAGAGCATCTCATCCTCCGGATTTACAAGATAAAGAAAAAAGCTCTTGATTAAGAAAGTTGTACATCCCCAAAATACTACTAGCTACTAACCAGACCATCATGTCTCTAATTAGGGAATCCAATCCCAAACCCTACTAAGACAAAGAGTGAAAAAAGAAGAAGACGATATAGCTCTATCCGATTTGCACAACACATGAACCGTAGGCAAAATCTCTCAACCCCATCCATTAGAACAACCGTGTGTGTAATGAGATGTTTTGTCTTCTAAACCCTCATGACAAGCATAGGTACACCGGTTAGTAAGAAAACCACCACCGTGTTAGTAGTCCGGACTGACATCTTCTCTCCAGCGTTAGGATCGCCTAGTCCAGTCGGTCCAAGAGTAGTCCCCGGGAACACCGAAGATGAAGAGGAAGTCGGCATTCCGTTTGCAGGCGTGCCGGAGTTCGGCATCCCGGTGGAAGTTGATGGAGTCCCTGTGTTAGGCATTCCCGTCGAAGGGGTCCCGGTGGTTGGAGTGCCTGTGGTCGGAGTTCCGGTAGATGGGAAACCGCTCGTCGGAGTCCCACTGGTGGGTGTCCCGGTGGTTGGCGTTCCGGTGGTCGGAGTCCCAGTTGAAGGGGTCCCACTAGAGCTGCCAAAGTAGTCAAAATAAACATCAGTGTTCATGTGTTAAAAAGATAATTAAATATTTAATTCGATAACCTTTTTTTTTGTTTTTGTTAAAATTTAATTCGATAAATCAAAGCACACATCTGGATCATGTGAACAGAGATGATGATACATTTTCATCACGATTCCTTGTCTTTTCGTTTGGTCTAAAATCACTATCATAGTGTCTTCTCCATAAAAATGAAACTAAATAAAAAAAACTGAATTTTAAAATTAAATCAAATGTTTTTAGTCGGTGGTAAAGAAACAGTAGCAAACCTACCCAGAAAATCCCAATTATTTTTTTTACTTTTATGGAAACTGTGAATCAAAACATTACTAAACTTATCAGCTAAAGACAACAAGAATTGATAAGAGAAAATTAAACATACCTTGAACCAGTTAAACAGCTTGAAGCAGCTGCAAGATTTAGAAAAAGATAAAAATAGAGAAAATTAGTACAAAAAGAAATGGAGATTTGATAGTACTGAAACTGAAGTGGGTTTTGTAATGAAGATGAGTACTTGAAGGAGGGGAGGGAGAGGTGGTGGCGGCGCCGTTAAAGTCACAGGTGGCGCCGGAGGAAGCTTTCTTCTGGTAGTAACTGTTGACGGCGACGTCACAGTGGTTTTTGACGGTGTTAGGTTGGAAACAAGCTCCGTTGAGCTGGATCTGAGAACAGTCAGCTCCATTTCCACAAGCGTAGTCTATGGCTTTTTGAAGTACTTGCTCGTTCCCGTCTTTGCACACACAATACGCCGCATCTTCAATAAAGTTTTCACCCAAAAAAAGTAAAAAAATCAGATCAAACCATTCAGAATTTGAGATCTCATACTAAATTTCTGATTTTTTTTTTAATGAGCAAATAAATAGATAGATTTATAAACACACTTTTTCAGTACTGACACAGAGAATATAGTGTAAAAATGCGAAATTTCAGTGAAAATTAAACATTTTGGAGCTAAAAGACAAGGAACAAATAAAAAACAGAGGAATCATGTAAGGGCTTACTTGAATAGGTAATGAAGGAGATAATCAGACACAGAGGAAGTAAAGCCGACATGGCTATGTGATTCAGAGATCTCTTGCGGATGAGAGAGAGAATTTAGAGGAGGAAAAAAAGCTCAGATCGAACTTGTTTTAAGGTTTCAGTGATTTTTTAGACGGTGGTCGATTTGTGTTTGAGAGAGCGAGAGAAAGAGAGAGAGAGAGAGAGAGAGTTCTAGACAATAACGGCAAGTGAGACCGACCATGTTAGAATGTGTAATTATAGACGACCATTGTCTCTTTTTTGCGGCATTTCCTTGGATTTATTATTAAGCTTAAGCACCCGATTTACTAAATTAAACATCATATAAACCAGAAGAAGCAAATAAACCTTTACTATTCTTTTAACAAAAGTGTAAGGTAAAACATTGAGTTAATAGATGGTAAAATTTACTATTCTTACAAGAACCAATGTGGTTTGCAGACAGGGTTAAAAACTTAAAAGCAGTTTTGTTTTGTAGTGTTGTGTTTGCGAAACTATTCGGCGCACCGAAAGATCATTATAGTAAAAAAGGGACCATAATTCTTGTTTATTTACAAAATTTGCCACCTCGATTTACGTAGCTCAGATGAGTTCCTTTAAAACACCTGTCCTGTCCTGTAATAAAACTCATTTATTTAGCAACGGTCAAAATTTTCGTCCAAAAAGATGGTTTTAGTGCGAATGCAGAATAAGAATTAGAACCAACCCTGTACTTTTAATTCATTTTTTAATTTATCAGCGAGTTTGTAATATACAAACTTGGTTTATACTTTTCCATTACAAAACTACACGTACATATTCAATTCATCCACTCCACTCCCAAAAATTAGATTGGAATCTTGAAGTGTACAATTTAAAATAGAAACAATTTTATTGAGGACATGACCAAACGGTAACAACAGTGAAAAAGAGAAAAATAAATAAACTCAGAGAGTATTGAGGCAACGAACGGACTGAGCCATGTGCCCAAGACAAGCTTTGCCGTCATGGTACGACACGTGTGATGTAGCACACCCAACCCAACACACATTTTTACACTCAACAAAAGTAGTACAGTTTTATTACTTTTATTTTAATTCTTTTGAGATTTTTTTCTTTTTTTTTCTATACCTTTGTGTGGACATTCTTGAAAGAAGAGCTGTTGTAAGTCGGTGCCTCAGCTTTTCAATGAAAACAAACATATTATCAGTACTTTCCAAAAAAATGAAATTTTCAAACATTTTCCGAACGTTACTTGCTTTTGGGTTATCCACACACTTATATGTACTCCCAAGCCCATAGCAACTTTGTTGGGCCGTAACGTTTATTTCATCTAGACTTGTTCTTTGAGGTTACTGTCGTTTTTGCTGTGTAGTCCAGATACGTTCTGTTGAGCAGTGAAACATTCGTTTGTCGATTTAAAAGAAAACGTTGTATGGTGTAAAATAGACTTCAAGGTGTATGGTGTAAAATAAACGTTGTTCACTGTATCTTAGTTTTGTGGATAGTATTATATTTCCACAACCCAAAGCATATGCCTAATTGAAGAAATATATGTAGAATTCTTTCTATACAAAAGATTTTGGAATAGTGAATTTTTCATTTTGGGATAGATATAACTCGTTGTCTTGTTCATATATATTAAAATATTATGTGTTGGCATGTTGCCAAGCAAATATATTGTTTCGAAACCGAAATGTATTTTTAGTGGAACAAAATAATGTGTTTGTAAAGTTCTAAAGTAAATATTTGGTTGATAAAGAGATGTATCGACAATAAGCTGTGTGAGTGGGTGACATATATATTCAGTTGATATATTATGAATTTATGATTATGATGGGACATCCAATGGTTCTTTATTTGTTGACTTGTTGTTCTGAGCGTATCTCCCATATATATCTTGGTATAAAAAACTGCAAGACAATGTGTATCATTTGTCGACGGAAACAACAAAAAAGACCGTTGGAAATCATAATAGGTATTGTCTGAACTGAAATGGGTAAGAGCTTTGTTGCATTATTTCCCACCAAGCGTGATATATAATAATGGGATTAGATCTTTTCTGTGGCAATCAAGCGGCTAGATTAACATATCGCCACAAGTTTTCTCTATTACGACCGTACAACACATGTTGCATTAACTAGATTGTCGCTACATTCAAAATGACATATAACTCGACATTATTCGAATTATCAATGTCTTCACCATATAACATGTCCAAAAAGATCTTCACCAAAGCATTAAGATGTAAAAAAATGACTAAAGTCTTTCTAAAATAAGCATTTACGAATTCCGTACTCTAAATTGAATTGGTCATAGACTCATAGGTGTAGTTGCGATTTTTTTTTACATATATATAATTGCAATCGGTAAAGTTCATAAAAGTAAACCAACCTAAAGTTAGAAAGATTATTGTAAAGTTGAAAAGAGAACTCAAGCAACGAATTTATTCCCGGAGATTCTCCACGTTTTTTCTTCTTCTTAATTGCGCATACATGCATCTACATGTTGGTTGGATCCACAAAAGTGAGTAGATAAATGATGAGTTACATCAAAACTATATGTGGGTACTACATACATTTATATCCATATATATACTTAAGAAATTGCAACTTTACCGGTTATGAGGCTCTATTGATCAACAATGAAATCAAAATATAGTATGTAGGACCCTGGTTAAACCGAGTTGCTTGCCATATTGTTTATGCCCTTCCTGACTTTTCCGGTTTGCAATATCTTCTATAATAAGTTAGCACTTCCTTAGCTGTTGTTACCAAGTTTATGATGATTTGCTGATGGTACCTATCTGCAGGGAGATTATATCAAACAAAGGCAGACAATATATGTCACATTTCATATTTGGAAAAATCATGTGTACACACAAGCACACAACACATAGATATCACGCAATATATAGATACTTTTGTTGGTAAAGTGAATGGTGTATAATTTGGTCAACAAATATCAACTTAAATAGATGCATATGGCATATATACAAACGTACATAATAAAGGGTTTTACTCATAGAGCTAAGATGCTCACTCATCTATCGCTCATTTCCTCCCCTTTTTTCTTTTCTTGGCTGTCTTTGGCAAAAACAGAAAGCATTTATTCCTGTGACCTAACACATTATTAACCTCAGAACTTGTGTATATACCACATGTCTCGTGTATCTTTAATTCTTTATATATTATGCATGTACATGCATATACTGATCTATACATAAAACATAGAATACATGTTGATGCACTAGGAGTCTAGGATATACATGCAATTGAGTAATTCATATGAATACACACAAAAGGGTTATATATAAATGAAAAAAAAGGAAGATTCAGCATAATAGTGACACTGAGTGGAGTAGTTGACATTTCTATAATCCTGCCGACCCATTTCGGGCTCATCTCTACCTTTCATAAGTAAGCCTATATATGCCTTATAGCAAGATGAGTGAGACAAAAGGCACTATACAGTATACACCAGTGCTTGATCTAACACATCACTAGTAAATTTTTATATATAGATATAGATAAATATAGAGAGGCAATCATCCTTTTATTATTATTTTTATTTTTTTACACATGCATTACCTAACTTTTGTTATGCAAAAAAACGAGTATCAAAGAAAGAAAGCACTGGCCGACATATCTATCAAGTGATCCAAATTTCTCCACAAGAGAGAGAATGGGTCGAATCAGTGATTAGACTAACACGATATTGATCCTCTCATATATATATATTCATAAGTACACACCTAGATCTTGTTTCTGTTAAAGCATGGGAATTTTCTCCCACTTATGATATCTCTTGATTTGGGTTTTGAGTTTCGGACTAAAAAAAAGTAACCCTTTATGCCTTTGTGGTCCACTTTTTTAAAACCCTTACAAGCCAATGATATATTTTTACCTATTTATAGAATTCACTCCTAAGATATAAATAAGCATCAAAAGATAAATATATATTCACAGAAAAATATATAGAAGATGTGAGAATTGTTTAATTACCTCAAGGATTGCGCATGGTTTGAGGTACAATATCACCAAGTAAACCTTCATCTGATGGATTAGACGACACTACGCGTGCATCTTCAGGAGCAGATTGGGGTATAAACCTTTGTGAAGGAGTATTGTCTCTGTGAAGCTGATGAAGGAGTTCTTGATAATAATAAGGATTTGGCAATGGAGGAGGAAGATGATGATGAGATGTGAAGCTATGAGGGTCGTGAGCAGTGAGGATTCCACCACGAGGGAATCCAATGGTTTGATGGCAATGTTGCCCTTCATATGTTGTGATCACTATCGATGGATCTTCTGATGATCTTTCCACTCTCTTCTTGACTGTGCATCTACTGTTCGTGCATCTATAATAGCTCCTACATATTACAACGACAACAATCAAAGTTGTTACATCACTAGATATGTTGTATAATTGAATATTCACTGGTAAGTTAAGCTAAGTAAGAGATAAGAAAGTGATGCATATATAGGAGACCTTGGGAATGGGCTATTCTTGACAGCTTTCTGTCCATATTTACGCCATCGATATCCATCTTCAAGATTATCTACATCACTCTTGGTCATGAATGCGAATCTTTGTTGCCTGATTCGCTTTTGAGCCTTCTTCTTCTCCTTCTTTCTACCAAAAACAGATCAAAAGATTAGTACATATATCAACTGAACAACATCACAAAGTACAACCATCAAGCCGCCAATATATCTCACTTAAAACATCGATACTAATACTAATGTGTCACACTAAGAAGATGTTTAGTTAGTATATACATATATACCATTAACTTGGACATCTAATTAGAAGACGTTACTTATGTCAAAACGTAGATTCGTGTATATATGTATATATAGACCCCATGATCATCATTAAAATAAATTATTCAACATTGCTATAGCAGCAGTCATTCATCAATCGTGGACTCCAAAACCCTACAAATCGATCAGCTAATGATGATTACGAATTACGAGACAATTTACAGAATATTCAAGGTTGTGTTTTAACTTTTGACATAACAGTTTGCGATATTACTAAAGATAACACTCATTAAAACGTGAGACACTTTTGACCTAACATTAGTTTAATAAAAGTGAAGGACGAGGAGAGGAAAAAGAGATGTAGAGTGCACGCTAATCTCACAGCCGCAATAGCGGCGCTGTGTTCATCATTATTCTTTCTCCTCTAAAACTTTCACCGACGAACAATTCCTCCAAAATTACTAAATCCTCCCTCTACACACAGAGACTGACTCGATCTTGCTAAAAATCATCTGTACGGACGGATCGATTTCCATTTTCTTGCGATGTGAAATGAGAAAACAAGAAAATATGAAAATGAGGTTTTATTGGCTTATAGCTTTGGCCCCAAGTTTAAAAACCCTCCCCACCACCACACCATCACCACCACCACCAAGATGATGACTAAATTACGATCGGACCCCTGAAAAAAAAAGGACACACGTGTTTCTCGTCTCATCGCTTATTTAGGGAAAAAAACACTCACGGTGTCTCCGGTGTTTTCACGGCCGAGGCGGTTGAGTTCTCAGCCGGATCCTCGCTTGAGCTCGAGGTAGCTGAAGGGTTATTAGATGTTGAAACCTCTGTAACAGCTAAAGAAGTAGCTGCGGCAGCTGATGAGGAACAGGAAGATGTAGAGTGTAGATTAGTGACCGGAGATCGGACTCCGGTTAGATCGGAATCGAACCGGAGACTGTGATGATGATCGGAGGACGACTGGAGGTTCCAGCCAAGGTCAGAGAGGATATTGGAAGTGTCTCTGTCGAAGAAGCCAGAATCTTGAGCTATGAGTTGACTGACTCTCCAGGCGGAGTCGTTGCTCAGATCGGGATTATCAGGATCGCTCATGGTCGTCGAGAGAGAAGATAAGAGGTAGAGAGAGAAGACAAAGGTCAGGTGAGAGAAAGAGAAAGAGAAAGAGAGGAAGCTAGGGTTTGTTTGGGATTGGAAGAGAAGAAGAAAAAAAGGAGTAAAAAAAAACTTTGAAGAAAGCCCGTTAAAGTGCAGTGTGTCTCGTCAAAGACCGATCAGAGATTTTTATTAATTTTCTTAAAGAATATGTAAATTTACAGTAATAATTCATGAGAGATAATGAAATAAAAAAAGAGGAAGAGAGAACGTTGAAAAAATGGAACGTCGACGTCAAGGGTCAAGTGAAACGAACGGAACGGGAGGCTGTTATTAGCGTGGGAAATAAATGAGGCCCACGTCTACTTTTTATTTCCCTCCTAGATGACTCCTATTTTAGGAGTCGTATTTGCATTTACTATTTTACTTACCACTTTCTTTTCTTTTGTTATTTTAATTTTATAAAGAAAATAAAAAGATGTAAGTTATTTCGTTTTTTTGTATGATATAGTATGATACTGTTTTACTCTTTTTTTTGTGTGTTCAAACTTTCAAATTACACAATCTCAACATTATTACACTATTATATCCATGGAGGATCTTCATCTTTGTTTTTGTAAAAGGAGAAAGCTTTAACTTGGAAATATCACTGATTTATTATCGGTCTTGATGGGACAAGCCAAAAAGAGAAGCATGATTTGTTTTCTTTTGTTAATAAATCATGATTAAAATTTGATAAAATGTGTATTTAATTATGAGTGAAGATTTTAGATAGAAAGTAATTAAATGTTTGGTTCCTGCGTGGTGTCCGTGTTGGATATGACAAGAATCTAGCGAATGTAATCCACAATCAACTAACCGGCCACGTGGAATTCCTAAATCCTCATGATTATCTTTACACACAACTTTATGTGTTCACTGTTATTCCTTATTTGTATTCCCATTATTGCAATCCTTCAAATAAACGTTTGCGGTCGCACTCAATCGTAACATATCTTCTAAGAATCATGTAAACGATCACCGTGGACAAATTCCAAATTTAAAAATAGCAAGTCGGTAAAAACCAGCAAATTAATCTATTTTTTTGTAAAAATTAATGGTTGAGAGGCCATACACATGCCACTATTATTGTTGAAACCATGTAACATAGACCACATGCTAGTACGCTAACGACATAGATACAGCTGTAATATTACGTAGTGTGTGTTTATGTTGATGATTAACAATTAACATATAATTAACCTTGTCCATATACACACTTGTCAACATATGTGCATACAATTTTGTTTTTGGATATCATATACTAATACAAATCTAAATAGCAATATTTTTCTTTACCATTTTTGGGTTAGGTCTATCGCTCTCGGTGCTATAAGAAACGCTAACATCTACGTCGAGAATCATTTGTGCGTACACGCAAGAGTGACACCTACTTGTATTTGCACAATTCATCTATAGTCTCGTAGGCCCTTTCATTTGGTGATTCAATATACACATATCCCCGGTAATTGATAAAATAATAGATTCATGAATAGTAGAAAGGTATCAATAATGGGTGCGAATCACGTCGGAAATAAAAAAACCAACAGTAGAATTTTTAATCATTTATATTGCTAATAACGCAAACGCTCTTATATATACGCAGTTTTGCAGTTTTTGCAATTCCCCTTGTATAATTACTATCAAATTTTAAACGTAAACATGAATGAAACATCAATCGGATAATATATAAGATGATAGCAGTTTTTATAAGTTATTATATAAGTCATGTCGCAAGCTAATATATAGAAGCAAAGCATAAGAGTTTCATTTGTTATACGGCCTGGTGGCCAGATTGTTCATTTTGTACACTAGTGTTTAAGTTAATTAGTTTTTGCGGCTATACATGTTACATTATCGTGTTAATTTCTTCAAGCAAAAAGATAATAGCTTAATAATTTTATGAAAATTATAAAATCACTTTAAAGGAATTTTTTGTTTGTAATCGATAATGTTAGATAGAAAAACGTATTATGTTTTATGAAATCAAATAACATTTTAACTATATAATACAATATATTAAAAAATTAAAAATACTGAAATACAAAGATTTGCCTTTCAAAACAATTAGGTACTGATAGTGTATGTGTGCTTGCAATTAGGCTCTTACAATTGGAACAAAAAAAAGTTATACGAATTATGTTACAAATAGCAAGTTCAAAGAGTATATAATAAAGATAAATACACACGTAAACACAGCAACACGTAACAAAACAACTCTTAACCCTTTACAATTTAGAATCAAAAACTAGTGTTTAGACTACTATATGCGATATTATATAGAACTAACCAGATTAGTTTGCGTCGACAAAAGTGGGGGCCATGGTGCGAGATCGAGTCATAAAGTAAAATAAGTCAAGTAGCATCAGCAGTCAGGAGCGATGAACCTTGAAATTCGATTTCGATCATACAATTTTCATGGAATATAAACAGGTTACAACAATCTCTATTAAACATATGATCATCATCATTATTCTTAACATTACAAACTAAAAAGCAAAATAAGCTTTATAGAAAAATCATAATCATTCGTACAAGTATCAAATTATGAAAGAGAGATTGCGAATCCATGAATCTAATACGACCACGTTTGTTATCTTCTTGAAAATGACACTCACGTCCACGATTCAATCAACCAATGAACCAACCTTCTAGATCAGAAAACAATCAAAATGCCATTTTCGGTTATTTCTTCTCTAATTAATATATATAAACTTTTTTTTCTCAAATTATAAATCTGGTTTCAGCCAAGTCCAAGCAGACTCATGTTTCTTCATGAGAAGGTTCAGAAAAATGATGCTCAATAAGACAAACAGAATAGCTAAATACACGTTTAATAGGATAATAAAAATCTAGATAAGTTAGATCATTTATAAGTAAATAAAAAAATTTGGTCGTAAAAAAAAAATAGAAAACCTTTCTTTTAACATATGCTAAAACAGTTTATTTAATTATTTATTCACATTTCATCTATTTTTAAGTCAAATGTGCGCAATTTTAGATTGTTCACTTCAATACATGTTTTGGGGTTATCATTGTTTTTGGTTAATCAAACTACACTAAAAAAATGATATCTACAAGTTAAAATCATGGGCCGAATCTTTACATATTACACATGGGCCGTATTTTTCCGATTTCACTTTTTCTTTTTGCCTCCTTTTCGTTAAGTCAATTTCAGGATTTATAGTTAGAAAATTGAAATGTGGCTTATTGGTTCAGTTTGATCGCTGTTTCTGTCATCATTTCTTCAAAATCGTTTCCATGCTATTGAAAATCTTTAAACTGTGCGGGAATTTTCGTTGACTCTTGAATGGCTCATTGTTACCATTAAGTGATATATATGTATGCGTTGAAGTAATTTAACAAACAGTGTTTAAGCAAAACAGAGCTCTCTAATTAAGCGAAGGAAGTGGTTTTAGTTTTACACAAGATAACTTGAGGTCTACGAAACAAACCAGTACAAGCTACGACTCAGCTTCTTGAATCTTTCTTGACTTTTGGAAATGATTACACTTTTTTCTTTTCTGAAACAAACAGAAAAGTAAACATTTATGGTTCGGAATGTACAAGGTCACGGATTGACATTTATGGATATAGAAAATGTACCTTTTCCGATATAAAGACCAATTCTTAACATTTCCCCAATTTTACCCTCTTATTTTTTACCTAGAATTTAATCATAATCATAAATATTCTCTGATGCAGCATTAAACTCTCAGTTCGCAATTCACCAATATCTTCCCCTCTCTCTCTCTCTCTCAACTTTCTTTCTCCAAGAATCTCTCTTTCTCTCTCCCTCTATTGGACAACACAAAGCGATCTCAGATCTCTCTCTCTCGGAAACAATGCCGCTGACTAACAAGAACCGTCGGATCAATATCATAAGATTGCTCGTCGTCTTCTGCTTTCTTACGATCGCGCCAGCAGCAGGAAACTGGAGTAACCGAACTCGCCGAAGCAGCCCGAGGGTTCAACACGCGTACTACTCTTATCCTCATCACCGTTCATGCGAATCTTTCTCTCGTCCTTACGCACGCTCTATGTGCATTGAGCTCGAAAGAATCCACCGAAGCAGTCGACAACCGCTTTTCTCTCCTCCGCCCCCTCCGTCGGAGATTGACCAAATGTACGGCGTCGACAAAAGACTCGTCCCTTCTGGCCCAAACCCGCTTCACAACTGAAACCCTTTTCTTGTTACGCAATTTTCTTTTGTATAGAGAAGAAAACGAGATTTCTTTGGGGTCAAGAAAAGAGCTAGGGTTCGAATCGATCGAGAGATTTCTTCTCAGTTTTCTTGTAAATCTTTCTTGGTGTATGTTTTGTATTTCCATGCTTGTTTTTCGGGATTTATCGATTATGTAAATAGGGCAGAAACAAGCTTGGAAATAGTTTATTTGCCAAGGATCTTGCTCTTTTTTACTTTCTTGTGTTTTCTTTCTTCTACTTGCATTAAAAATCTTATTTCAAAATAGAAAGGGGAAAAAAAGAAAATGTTTCTTTCCATACATTGGAGTGAGAGTGACTGAGACAGGAAGTTGAGGATCAAGAGAAACACATGAGTTCCATAAATTTGGGAGCTGATCAGCTGAATCTCTCTCTCTCTCTCTCTCTCTCTCTCTCTCTCTCTCTCTCTCTCTCTCTGCTTTGTATCTGAATAAGGATGGGCTTTAAATATTTTACTCTGGCTTGTGCTTAAAATGCTATGGTGTTGCGTAATAAAGACGAGTTTAAATCTTAATTGTTTGTTTAGGAAAATCCCATTAAAGTAGCATGAATTGCTTAACAAATCTCACACTAAATTATGATTTTTTTTTCTTTTCAAAAGGGTTAACATAAGAGCGAACTTCTCTTGTGAGACAAGGAATCTATTAATGTGAGGTAATCTCTTTGTATTTAACTTCCTAAAAAGGGAATGTTTTCAGAAACCTATTGTGAGACCTAATCTTATGGCTTGCATCAAGGGAAAGGTATTGCTTAAGCAGTCCTTAACAAACTACACCATTCCTTGCAGTGTTAATCTATCTATATATGCATCTCTTTCGTAGCTTTCAATGGCAGTGCTCTGATTTAGACAACTTGTCAAGGTAAAAGTTTCTACTCCATATATGTTATTAGCTCATGGAACTGTCTAAAATTCCAAGGTTCGATTAACAAACTCTCGTGTTACGACTTATGAATGAAACCAGGGAGCAACAACAAGCAAAACCTATAGATATGGGACCTGCGGTGGAGCAATGGAAGGAAAAAGAAATGGGCAAAACGAGATTGAAGTGTGTGTTAATGTCTTATTCCTCCATCGTCATGTTTTAACGTTGGTTCAACAAATTAATGGGTTTGAAATTTGCAGGTACGACAAGCTAAACGAGAAGATTCTGTCATGGGAAGATAAGAACAGGAAAAAGGCAAAGAAGAAGCTTCACAGAACAGAGGTATGCCTCTTCTTCTTCCTTCCAAAAACTGTTTCTTGCTTAAGCACATAGAACTAATCAAATGTGATGAATGTGCAGAGAGGTGTGGAGAGGACAAAGCTGAAGGCGATGCAGAGGTTCAGGGACAAAAACGAACGAATCGAGATCATCGTCGCGAGTGCAAGAGCACATGCATATGAGAGTAGAGTGAAAGAAGAGCTGAAAGTTAAAGAGAAAGCAAACCTCATGAGAACAACTGGACGGAGTCCCTCTACATGCCTCTAAAATCCTGCAACTTGCAGTAAAATGTAAATCCAAAACATTATGTAAAATGCAGACACAATAAAGTTGTTTAGAGAACACACATGATCCATTATGACACAAATCTGTAAAACCAAAACTTTATAAAGTTCCACAAACAGTACTAGAAACCAAGAGTTCAAAATCACAAATACATTGCTCAAAGCTTTGCAAATAACTAATATATAAAGAAAAAGATGCAAAACTACCACAAATCCATCAGTCTCATGATGTTATCTCATTCACCAACCTTTCAAGAATAGGGTACGCAAAATACAGCACCATACCAGACGGAACCGCGAGAAGAATCGTGAGGAGGAAGTAAAGTGCAAGAATGATGAGACTACCAGGTATAGCAAAGAACACAATCAGAAGGAAAACTATCACAAGCGGGAACTTGGATGTGAAAGAGATGAAGAAATCCAGAGACTTGTGGAAAGAAAACTGCTGCCTACTTGGTTGTCTACTATGTTCTGGAGACTGGTTACGCCTAACACAGTGGTTTCCAAGAGACATACCACACCTAGGAGTCAAAACCGATTCCCGGTTATCGCTAACCAAGGAACCGGACGTCCTGTCACCATTCAGAGACTCAACCATCCATAGCAGGAAGAAGTTTTTCCGAGGGAACTTAAGAACGCCCTTGTAGACGATCCTGAAGGAAAGCAGCTGACACCAAGGGCAAGAGACGAAGAAAGGGATCTTGATATCTTGGCTCGAGAGTCTCAAGACAGCGGATTGGAGCCCAAAGACACAGTTCTGGCAAAGCGTGTGGCCACACCATAGCACGTAAGGAACATTCTCGACGATGTTGAAAGATTCCCAGCATATGGGACACTCTAGTCCTTCTTCGTCTCTGCTAACGTTTGAGACCTCGTCGTCTGAGCAGTGAGGTTGATCTTTAGGGGTCTTCTTTAGCCCTATGCTTCCAATGACATTCGACGCAAAGCTCCACATTTGATCAGACTTTGAAACACCAAAACTGAGCCACTGTAACGCCAAATATTACCCAGTAACATTCCCAGATTGAAAAGACCTTTGATCAACAGACATCATTTCACGAACCTGGAGGAAAGTGAATAGAATTTAGCAATCAATATGAAAAAGTTCCCAAAAGCTCACATTTTTCCAGAATAACATTGAATATTCATGTATAAATCTAAGCTATGGTGACATGAACATGATACAACAAATCAGAGGCGAACACAAAACCAGAAAAAGCACTCAAACGCTCAATGAACGGTACAGAGTAACTCCCAATTAAAATCAAAACAGAGGTTTAATTCATCCTATTCTCAATCGCATTTAGATGCAGAAGACGCAATAGATCATAAGAGCAATCTAGGTTTCAGAGCTGATGATTAGTTTCCGTAACAGATGAGAAATTGCGATTGAAATTAACTTACCGTTAGATACGCGGATTCATCCAAGCGGAGATCGAGAGGAGGAGGAGGAGAAGAAGAAGAAGAAGAAGAAGAGAGCCTCTCTCTCTCGTTGATCCGCCGGGGATGCTTTCTTTCAATTTTTTAAAGTTTAAAAATGGCAAAACGAAAAAGAAAGAAGACACCGGAGCAAAGGAATAAACGGCGTCGTTTTAGTTGGTAGATAAATTAAAGCAGCCAATCGTGTATTGACCAATGTGCACGTGCCACTGACAACCATCGACCATCGGTGTGTGAGTCCGTTTGACCTCCGTGAGGACCGTGACGGTTAAATATTCGATTTTTGCAAATTGCAAGCCATGGAGAATCCGACGGTTTTTAACGGCTCTGACGTGGGAAACTTTTCTTTTTTTTTCTCGCAGTTGATTGTCAAACCTTCTAGGTCACTAAGAGGGTTTGGATCGAAGGTATATTCGCTTAGACGACAATCCAAATTTCGTATTATGTTTTTTTGCTGTTTGATTTTATTATTGTGAGAGGAGAGGAGCTGGTTGATGCTTCTCGCTACCTCACCGATCCATCAAATCAATGTTCTCTCTCTATCTAGCTCGGAGATGAAGTGAAATTGAGATTTGAGATTCGTTTTGTGAATCTGTTTCTCTAATTTCCAGGTAAAGTCGCGCTTTTGAATCCTCAATCTCACGACCTCTGGGTTTCTTCTGTCGAAAATTCCTGAAAGCTCGACGATTTTGAATTAGAATTTTCGATCATCTCGTAGTTTTTGGTAACTGAAGTTCTTATCTTTTCTTCTGATGTTGGTTTTGAACAATCTCTGGCAGTTTCGTTTTCTCGGGATTGGATTGTGAGTCTTGTGACTATGTTTAATTTGAAATTGATTAGGTTTCTGAATGAATTAGTACAATCCAATTATCTAATTTCGACGATTCGTTGATTTCTGCAACTTGGGTCATTGGAATTTCTCAACTTGCTGACTGAATTTCACTTTTTTGTTTATGTAAATGATCGTTCTTTTGTTGTCACACATTTACAGTGAATAAAGCTTTTTGAGAGGAACTTACAAAGTCTTGGCACCATTTGCCAATCAAACCACTTCCTGAGGGGTTTCTGGTTTGATCTGCGATGATGTATCAGGCCGTTCCCACGGCGACAACCTCTCGCGGTGGAGATCCAACAGAGAGTGGTGATTACGTAGTGACTTTGGATCAGATTCCGAGATGGAGTGATGTTGAGCAGAGGTCGTCTCTTGAGAACGAAACAGGAGATCAAGCGCATTCTAATCCGCGCTACGCAAACCCTTTGGCTTCGTCTTCTGAAGCAGGAAGCAGCGGAAATGGGATGGTGTCTAAGTTTCCTGTTGATCATGAGATTAACTCTAAGATATACCTGTGGAGAGGTGAACCGTGGAACCTTGAGGTCGATGCTGTTGTGAATTCGACTAATGAGGTAACACTGAGATCTTGGAATCAGCTTTGTTTCTGTGTGAGTAAAGTGATCTTTGTGTGCGTGTTTTGATATGGTTGAATTTTCTTGGAATTGGAGGATAGAACTTAGATGAGGCGCATAGCAGTCCTGGTCTACATGTTGCTGCAGGACCTGGGCTTGCAGAACAGTGTGCTACATTGGTACGAACACTTACAAAAGGCATTGTCTTTTAGATAGTTGCGTGAAAGATGATTTTTCACTTACTTTTTCGTTTTTGACAGGGTGGATGCAGGACGGGGATGGCAAAAGTAACAAATGCATATGATCTTCCAGCGAGGTAACTAGTGATAGAGAAGATGGTTTAAGATAAGCTCACTATTTTGCCTAGAGGCATAAAAAAAATAAAGAAAATTGTGCTCCTTGAATCTAGTTGCTGTCTATTCTTCAACTATCCTTTATAGAGCTTCTCCATTGTTGAATGTGCTCAGTTTTTTTTCATGTTGTGTGAGGTAGTAGCACATCTTGTGATTTTTGGGGATTTTTTTCACAATTATATCTCAAAAACCAAACATGCCGTGTGACTTTGATTATGACTGTGGAATAGGTTTGCCAATCTCTTAATATTCAAGAAATGTTCTTTTGGTTTCTTGTTCAGGAGGGTTATCCATACAGTAGGACCCAAGTATGCAGTAAAGTATCACACAGCTGCTGAGAATGCTCTAAGTCACTGCTATAGATCTTGTCTGGAGCTTCTCATAGACAATGGGCTTGAAAGGTGTGAAGAGAAATTCTTCAGTTGTTTTTGCAACAATCAGATTCTTTAGTTCAGTTGTGTTTATGATTTTTTGAAACTCAAGAACTTAATTCTGGTTTACATATAATATTTGCAGTATCGCCATGGATTGTATATACACAGACGCCAAAAATTATCCCAGAGAACCAGCTGCTCATGTTGCCATTAGTAAGATAATTCTTAAACACAGTCACACTACTTTTTGATAAATGACTTTTCTTGTTTCTAAATCATGTTGCGGTGCGGTTTTCAGGAACTGTACGCCGCTTTCTGGAGAAGCAAAAGGATAAACTCAGTGCTGTCGTTTTCTGTACCACCACATCCTCTGATACGGAGATATACAAAAGGTATCTTAAGCTTGCTGCAGAGTGAATTTGATACAAGTGCACATACCATATTTTCTTATAGTTATGTTGATGCAGAAGCAATGTCGACAATTGCTAAAGTTTGACTCTCTAAATACAGATTACTTCCACTTTACTTTCCTCGAGACGAACATGAGGAAGAGGTTGCCATTTCAAAGCTTCCTGCTGATGTTGGAGATGAGAATGGTGAAACAGTTATAGACGAACGTAAAATCAGAATACAGGCACTGCCAAATAAACCTCCAGCAAGATCTTTTCCAGCTCTAGTCGAACGCCCTAACAATGATCTTGCTTTGGTACGAAGGTTGGTGTACTCCGACTGCTTCACTCTTTGCACTGTATTGTCCTCCCCTCTATGCACTTTGTTGATACCTATATGGTTTCAGGAACTCGAATCATCTTGATTCATATCTGGATCCAGCCTTCATGTCTTTGATCAAAGATCCAGATGAAAGGCGCAAAGAACAATGGGAGAAAACTGCACAAGCACAGAGTGGATTCAATTTTGTTAAATTGCTAGGATTTGGTGATCTTGGGGGACCTCCTCTCTCTGCTGCAGAGGAATACTCGCTCCATTCGCGATACTTAGCTAAAGCTAATTCTCTCAACCTTTCGGAAATCGCAGAGATGAAAATTGTGTATGGCTTATGTCCTTGGTTTTCTTTCTCTCAGCCTTTGCCTGCATAGGTTCACTTTTAACGCCCTTTCTGTTTTCTTTCTTCAGCTACCGTGGTGGTGTTGACACAGAGGGTCATCCTGTAATGGTGGTTGTAGGAGCTCACTTTTTGCTGCGGTGTCTTGATCTGGAGCGTTTTGTGCTTTATGTTATAAAGGTACGCAATCACATGCACTGATTGCTCTCCAACTCACTGCAATACATCAGTATCTGACGATACTACTCTTTGGTACAAATTTTCAGGAATTTGAACCTGTGATACAAAAGCCTTACTCGATTGTCTATTTCCATTCTGCGGCATCTTTACAAGTGTAAGTTGATTCTTAGTCTTGTATAGTGGCAAAAAGACCCTTTTTGCTTTTATAAACTTGAGTAAGATTTTTCCCTTAATACGGTTTTGTTTTGATATGTGAATAAACAGCCAACCAGACTTGGGATGGATGAAAAGATTACAACAGATACTTGGTCGCAAACACCAGCGTAACCTTCAGGTATGTAATCACACACCTACTCAACCTCATTGGGAAAGGTTCTTTCTTGACCTAATCATGATCATCTCTGCTTCTTCCAGGCAATATATGTTCTTCATCCAACTTTCCAATTGAAGGCTACAGTCTTAGCTATGCAATTGTTCGTAGATAATGTGGTAAAATCCTGAATTATTTAAAAGTCTCAGCCTTTAACCCCAAGACTTAAGTTATTCTAAAGAAGTCTAATTTGCTCTGTTTTTCCCTTGTTGCAATTCCGGAAAAAGGTCTGGAAGAAAGTTGTATATGCGGACAGACTTCTGCAGTTGTTCAAATATGTTCCTCGCGAGCAGCTAACAATCCCAGACTTTGTTTTCCAGTTAAGTTCACTACACTCTCCACTTTCTTCATTCCTGGATTTGTTGTGTTATTTACTGAGTGTTGTGTTTGAAAATGGCAGGCATGATCTTGAAGTTAACGGAGGAAAAGGTCTAATCGTTGACCCAAGAACAAAATACGTCTATCAACGGCCATGAATCCAAATCAATCTTCATCCCAGAAAAAAATCAAGACTGTTACTTTATCCAAGTCATTTGTATGTTTGCTGTTTCTTTTTGTGCAATATTTCTTCATTCTTTCCATGTTTGTCTCTTCAGATTTTAGCTACCCCCTTTTGTGTTGATACTGGGAGCAAAAAAATAAAACCTTTCTCTGTAGAGCTTTTAATGTAATCTATGTTTGAATCTTGTTAATAGTAATAGCCAAAAAGCTCTCTCTTTTCTCTCTTCTCTCTCTCTCTATCTCTCTCCTGTCGATGTTTTTGACTGAAGATGACGCAATACATGCCATTGTTTAGATCATGCTCGAACTTACGATCACTAACACAGCTTCACGCTCACCTCCTCGTCACCGGCCGTCTCCGTCGTGACCCTCTTCCCGTGACGAAGCTCATCGAATCCTACGCCTTCATGGGCTCTCCAGACTCGTCGAGGCTCGTCTTTGAAGCCTTTCCTTACCCTGACTCATTCATGTACGGCGTTCTCATCAAATGCAACGTCTGGTGCCAATTACTCGACGCCGCTATCGATCTTTACCACAGGTTGGTTTCGGAGAAGACCCAGATCAGCAAGTTCGTGTTCCCATCTGTTTTGAGAGCTTGTGCGGGGTCGAAGAATCATCTGAGTGTTGGTAGGAAAGTCCACGGGAGGATTCTCAAGAGCGGTGTAGACGACGACGCTGTGATAGAGACGTCTCTCTTGTGTATGTATGGTCAAACTGGGAATCTTAGGGATGCAGAGAAAGTGTTCGATGAAATGCCTGAGAGAGACATTGTTGCTTGGAGTACACTTGTTTCCAGCTGTTTAGAGAACGGTGAGGTTGTGGAAGCATTAAGGATATTTAAGTGCATGTTTGATGATGGTGTTGAGCCTGATGCTGTGACGATGATCAGTGTAATCGAAGGTTGTGCTGAGCTTGGTTGCTTGAGGATGGCCAAGTCAGTCCATGGCATGATAACGAGGAAAAGGTTTGATTTTGATGAAACACTCTGCAATTCTCTGCTTACAATGTATAGTAAATGTGGAGACTTGCTTAGCTCGGAGAGAGTCTTTGAGAAGATGGTCAAGAAGAATGCTGTTTCGTGGACTGCTATGATCTCTAGTTACAACCGTGGAGGGTTCTCTGAGAAGGCGTTGAGAAGCTTCAGTGAGATGATGAAATATGGGTTTGAGCCGAATTTGGTTACGGTTTATAGCGTTTTGAGCTCTTGTGGATTGTTAGGGTTGATTAGAGAAGGCAAGTCGGTTCATGGTTTCGCAGTTAGACGAGAGCTGGATCCGAAGTATGTGTCACTTTCTCCGGTCTTAGTCGAGCTGTACGCTGAGTGTGGGAGACTAAGCGACTCCGAGGCGGTTTTACGAGCTGTTGGTGATGGAAACATTGTGTCATGGAACTCTCTTATATCTCTATATGCACGGAAAGGTATGGTGATTGAGGCATTGTGCTTGTTTAGAGAGATGGTTACAATGCGAATAAGACCTGACTCGTTCACTTTAGCTAGCTCAATATCAGCATGTGTCAATGATGGTTTAGTCTGTTTAGGGAAACAGATTCACGGATATGTTATAAGGACGAATGTTTCAGACGAGTTTGTGCAGAACTCGGTGATAGACATGTACGCTAAGAGCGGGCTTGTGGAGTTAGCGTGTAAAGTGTTTGATCATGTGAAAGATAAGAGCGTTGTGACATGGAACTCGATGCTCTGTGGGTTTTCTCAGAATGGTAACTCCTTGGAGGCGATTAATCTCTTCGACTATATGTATAGTAACTCTCTCGAGACGAATGAAGTTACGTTTTTGGGCGTTATCCAAGCGTGTTCAAGCATAGGTTCGCTGGAGAAAGGGAAATGGGTTCATCACAAGATGATTCTTTCTGGTTTGAAAGATCTTTACACTGAGACTTCTTTAATAGACATGTATGCGAAATGTGGAGATCTCGACGCAGCTGAAATTGTTTTCAAGGCCATTGCGAGTAAGAGCATTGTGTCGTGGAGTAGTATGATCAACGCGTATGGAATGCACGGACGGATAGGAGCGGCGATATCTACGTTCAATCAAATGGTGGAGTCTGGAACGAAACCTAACGAAGTTGTCTTCATGAACGTTCTCTCTGCTTGTGGTCACTCTGGTTCTGTCCAAGAAGGTAAATTCTACTTTAACTTGATGGGATCTTTTGGCATTTTACCAAACTCGGAGCATTTCGCTTGTTTCATCGACCTTTTGAGCCGTTCCGGTGAACTCGAAGAAGCTTATAGGATCATCAAGGAGATGCCTTTCTTACCTGATGCTAGCGTTTGGGGTTCTCTGGTCAATGGTTGCAGAATCCATCAGAGAATGGATATCTTCAAAGCCATAAAAAACGATCTCTCGAGTATTGTTACCGACGATACAGGGTATTACACTCTACTGTCCAATGTGTATGCTGAAGAAGGTGAATGGGAAGAATCCAGGAGAGTGAGATCGGCTATGAAGAGGAAAGTTCCTGGTTACAGCTCCATAGAGATTGATCAGAAAGTTTTCAGATTTGGAGCCGGAGAAGAGTCTGGTTTCAGAACAGAGGAGATACACAAGTTTCTTGGGAATTTCAAGAACCTAACTCTTGAAGCAGATTGTTTACAAATTAATGAATGAAAGAACATGCATAGATTCTAAATAGAATTTGTATTAACCAACCAAAGCCTAATACAAAACAAGAATTGTTCTTTTTCTTTTTTTTCTCTTTGGCCCTTGTAAAGAGAGGACAAGATATACAAAGGGCAAACCAACACCCACAAACATGGGGTGTTGATTGAGAATAATAATAATAAAACATCGATCTGTTTTCCCTCTATAAATGTTCCTCAAATTCGGATTTTTATTTCATGAAAAAAACTTTATGTTAAGATGACAGTTGGGGAAGAAGTACCTGCAGGGCATCTTTGTCGCCTTGGTCTTCTACTTGCGTTTCCCCATCCCGTAAGGCTCCTATCTTCCAGTCCCACCATTTGTACACTGTTGTTGTTGTTACTCAAACAAACCGGAGCTATGTCAATGTTGCTGACCAGTCGTTTCCTCCCTCGGCTAGACCCACCACGGTTTGAGCTCCTTCGAGCCACTCCTGAGCTCCAGCTGTACCCTGTGGCTTTCATAAGTCCCCCAAACATTTGAAGATCTTCAGTGACTTCGAGCCTAGACAGAGAAGCAAGTCCAGGGAGAATATCCCTTTGGAAATCCCGTCTCGGTCTTCCTCTTCTTGCTTGTCCTCTCCTTGGCCGGTTAGCTGTGACGCCCATAGAGTCCGTCCCGTCGAGTTTCAGATACTCAGGGACTAAAGGTGTTGGCATGTAGTCTTCTTCTTTGGTCTGAGGTAAGTTCAGAGTCATCGCCTCGAAGTAATCAAACTCTCCTGAAGAACATTCCTCACGGCCGCCTTCACAGTCTCTAACTTCCAAACAAGCATCAATCTTCTTCTCTAAGTCATTGCCGCAAGAAGCTATTGTGTTGACGAACCAAGAGAGCGGGTCCTCAGCAACTGGATTGGTCGAAGAGGAAGCAGATTCGTCTGTAGTACGGCAGTGGCAAGACAGTGAGATGGTGACTATAGCTTCTGCTGCTGCCTTGATGAGTTCATCCACAGAGTCTCCAGCTTCTTCTTCACTCTCAAGACTCGGTGGAGCTTCCAAATCTATCAGAGTTGTTGCTTTTCTTTCCACTCTTGGATTAGTAGCCAAGGTGAAATCTTCATCCTCACTAGCACATAAATTCAAGTCAATGAAGTGCCTGGAAGTGGCAGCTTTTTTACCTTCAACCTTGTCCATAACCACGGCTTCAGAGCCGCCTGAAGCTTCACACGGCAAGTTGATATCGAGGTTTCTCTTCACCAAGGTGTTGACTCCCCTGGGTTGATCAGCGAGACACACAGAAGAAGGGATAAGGGGAGGGTGCTGAGTGATCGGGAATCCAAGAATCTTTCTAAAGCTCTGTGAATCCGCAATGTTAACCCGTCCCATGTTGGCGCCATTAGAATACGAAACAGACCTCAAACCATTCGAGGAGTCACACACGTCACTTGCAGAAGCATTCAAATCGAAACCGCCGTTGATTGTTTCATTCTTGTTAGAAGGCTTAGGTATTATCCAGGGCAACTTAGCAGAGGATTCCTGCTTTCTTGGTCCTTGAAAGTTTTGCTTCAAAGCCTCACTACTCAGAGAACCATTTGTAAGAGCTCCGTTTGTGCCGTTGTTAAGATGGTTAAGGTTTCCTGATGGAAAATTAAAGGCAGAGGCAGTTTCCTTCGACCCTGAAGAGAATCCTTGGTAAGGAGGCCCGCCAAAATCATGACTTCTCATCCCAGAACTCGAATCTGCTCTTGCTTGTGCATTAAAATTCAAGAACGGATTCGTCTGAAGCGGCAAGGGTTTCTGAACTGAGCTGCCACTTCGGTTGTCCCATGATGGAATCCAATGGCTCCAAGGTCTAACAGATTCAGGGCGGTACGCATGATGCAAGCTTGGAGCATTTGATGCCACGCTTGATTCCACATAGCTATCATAGGAAACTTCAGGGTTCCTTTGACGAGGAGCTTCCCATTCGCCAGATAACCGCCTGTGATCATTTGAAGGATAGACCAGAGGTTGAAATGCACTGTTGGAAAGAGCTTGTACCGAATGGGAAGGCAGAGATGACTTGTCTCTTGGAGTGCTCTTGACTTGCCCTATAACCATGCAACCATAAAAAAGGATCAGAGACCATACAATAGACATGTAAACAGTGAGGTGAAACAAAATGAAAGTGAAGCAAGCACATGTACCTGCTTCCAGACCCCTCCATCCATTTTGACCTGAGTTTTTTTCCAACCATTGGCTTTGCGCCTGTGCCATGTTTCTTCCACAAAGAGAATAGAAATCCATGGAAGCAGAAACAGGTAGTGATTCTTGGCATTGGACTGGCTCGTTCAAGTCAGTGTTCTTCATAACCAAAGAACCGTTCTGATTAGAAGCATTGCCTCTTCCAAGAAACAGCTGCTTCTCACCAGCTTCTCTTCCTGCTTTCGACTGCTTATTAGGAGGACAGCTCGTGTTCTCACCCTCTGTATCAAGATACTCCTCTGCCGGGAGCTGAAGATCGATCATTTTTCTCTTGACCGTCACAGGTCTAACCTCAAACACATCGTCGTCCTTTGAACGAATCCCATTCTGCATTGGAACACTGCAAGCTTGAGCGCTGCTTCCTTCACCACCACACATCGAGTTTCCCAAGAGAAAGCCAGGCAGCTCTCGTTTAATCGCACTCTCCGGTGTGTGCTCAGACTGGTTCATGTGGTCAAGAAAAGTCTTCCCCTTTACTTCATCCATCAAGCTCTTCTGCGTTCTATACAACCGGTGAAGCTCATGAACCTACACAAAACACACACAAACAAGAAAATGCTTTAAACCAATTTAAAACCGAACCATTTCGAGTAAAGATCAAACGGTTTTAGATACCTGATTCTTGAATACGGCTTCGTGTTCAAGCATTGTTTGTTTGAGAACATCTCTCTCGTTTCCAGAGTAAGATTCTGGTGGTGCAGGTCTCGCCGAGAAACCATTCTGATACTGTTGACCGTATGGCGGCAAATTCTTATCTCCACCGTACATTGACCAGTTACAACTGTTTGAGTCTTCACTATGATCCCTCATTGAGGGCAAGAAGCTTTCACAGTGAACCATTTCTCAATTTCCTTCACACACACTAAAAAAAATAAACAAAAATAAACAAAATTTAATAAACTGTATTAGCAGGAGATTTAAATCGAATTAAAAGTACTAAAAACTGCATTTACAATTCCAGAAAGTCACCGACGATCATCATATCTAATTTATCAAGCAATCAATGATCGGAGCCAGATTGTGCATAAAACTGTAACATCTTAAGCTCAATTTAGCTAAATAAGTAGGAAAAAAAAAATGTAGCAAAAATTTCCAATGAAATGGGAGTCGACAAGATACTGTGAAATAAACAAAAGCCGCCATTGGAGGTGAAGCTAAATCTAGAGCGATCATGGATTGAAGAATCGATTTACTCTGCACACTAATCTAAAAAAAATAAAATTAAAAATTAAAAGAGAAAAAGAATCTGACAGAAAAAAAATTCACCGTACGATGAACAGTGGATAAAGAGGACAGAAGCTGGATCGAATTATCAGTCAAATGCCTAACCTAATTCATCAATCAAAACAAACATCACAAAAATTTCATCAGAAGACAGAAATGGAAAATCAGCTTGATTATTTTTTTAAGAAAATTTAGGAGAGAAATGATGATATGATTTAATATTAAAAAAAAAAAAAAATGAAACATCATAAAGGAGGAAGAAAAATCGGAGATAAGAGATTTATTATACCTCAGACCCACATCCTCTCTAATCGCTCTTTTGAACAGAGAAAATCTTTCACCAGCGTGGATTATTGAGAAAACAATACACTCACTCCCAAATCGGCGACAAAAATTATACAAAATGAAAAATGAGAAAAAAAGTGTTCCCGAGATAATAATAATTATTATAATAAATACTAAAAATAAGAAAGCGAATTTTTCCCCAGAGAGAGAGAAAATCTAAGAAAAACAGTTAACACGAAGAAGAGGAGACCAAGTGAGAGAATAATCGAAACTCCATGGGAGGAAGAAGAAGAAAGCTCAGATCGTCATCGTCGTCGATCCGCTGGGCCAACTCTCTCTCTCTCTCTCTCTAAATCTCTCTCTCTCTATCTATCGCTCTATCTGTCTCTCTCTTTCTCTCTGATTCTTAAACGAAGAAAGCAAATAAAAAAGAATAAGAGCTTTTATATTCTTCTTTTTTTAATTATTAATATTTCTCGGATTTGGTGTTTTCTCTTTCCTTAGAGAGAGTGAAGAGAGAGAGAGAAGAAGTTCGGTGTAGAGAGAGAAAGAGAGAGATCCCGTAAAAAAATTAAAAAAAATAAAGAAAATTACATAAAACGAAACGAACTTCTAACAACAGAGACGCAATATATTTGTCAACATCTGGTCTCCTTCTTTTTTGCTCTTTTGCTTCTCATCTTTTTACATTTTTGTTACAGTTTTTTTACGTTTGTAAATAAAAGTGATCTTTTCCATGTTATGAAATTCTAAATCAAATTTAATTTATAATTTATTTTTCCTAAAATTTTGTTTATTAATGACAGTAAACGATAAGTTAGATAAAACCGGACATCGGACGGTTTTAAATGTCCAGTTTTAAATACGAAATACGACAAAATTATTGAACTTCTCTACTTACTTTAACGAATAAAATAGTTTCCGTTACTCGAATAGAATCCTAATAAGTTTGCTTTGTCACGTGTATAAGACTGTGTGTAAACGATAAATTAAAAGTGGTCTTTTACATTATTTGAAATTTTAAATCCAATTTGATTTATAGTTTACTATTCCTAGAAATCTTTTTATTAATGACAGTAAACGATAAATTAGATAAAACCGGACATCGGACGGTTTTATATATAGAACACGACAAATTTATTGAACTTCTCTACTTACTTTAACGAATAAAATAGTTTACGTTACTCGAATAGGAATCTTAATAAATTTGCCTTATCATGTGTATAACACCGTGTGATCCACAGTAAACGATAAATTAAAAGTAGCCTTTTACATGATTTGAAATTTTAAATCCAATTTGGTTTAGAATTTATTGTTCATATAAATCTTTTTATTAATTACACTAAACGATAAACTAGATAAAACCGGACGTTGGACGGTTTTATATACGGAACACAACAAATTTATTGAACTTTTCTATTTACTTAAACGAATCAAATAGTTTCCGTTACTCGAATAGGAATCCAAATAAGTTTGTCTTGTCACGTGTATAAGACCGTGTGATTGATGGTTTTATTTACTTTATTTTTTATTAATTTGTTTTTATTCTATTACCAACAATACTTTATGGATTTTTATTGTGATTAGATGTTCATAAGTTAAAATTCTTAATTGAGAATAAAAGTGAATTAGAAATGTATCAAAATTAAAGCTGTCAAACAAAAATTAGCAAAATTTAAAGTAATCCAGGAATTGTTTCTCAATTAGATATGTCTAAAATGTATTTCTTTTTCTATCAATGTATTAGATACATTTTCTATTCACTAGTGTTTTCTAAAAATAGATAGGATGTTAAACTTTAAATTTATGTAGGAACAATAAATTATAAATTGGATAATAAATTCAAGATAAGAACTAATATATATTTTGTTAATTATATTGGAAATGAGTTGGCATTCTAGATGATATTCCTCGTTTTGTATAAGTTACTTTGAATATTTCAAATTAACCAAAAAAAATGAATATTATATAATTTACTATATTTACCTAAATATATGGATACAAAAACAAAATTGTTGGAAGTAAATGTTACATAGAGTTAGAGTACGTCATCTGTATTTCTAAAACCGATGTTCCATTTTACCCCTAGATTTTCTCCTTATCCCCTGAACGTTAATTTTAGAATGAGAAAAGATACACGATTATGGAGTGATCTTTTATTCGTTTTTAGTTTCTTACCTATAAACTATAGACAACATTTACTCTACAAAGAAAAACATCTACTTTTGCGATTGCGACCATGATATTACATCAAATTGCAAGAAACCCTTTTATTTTCTTGAAATGACCAAAGACACAGTTTGATCTTTTACCTTTGACAATAAACTTTTTTTTTTTATCATTTATTTATAAATTCCGTTTGAAACCTTTAATTTTCTTCTATTATAGTTTACCGAGTTTACGTCTCTGATTTGTTTGCTAAACATAATTCACGCTATTTCATTAATTGATGAAATCTTTTATTTGTCCTTGTACTGAAAAAACAGTAATAAATGTTCAATTTTTATCCACAGAATTTAGAAAGCATGTATATTGACAGCTTATTGGGAATTGGGAAATATAAAAAGCTGCTTGATTTGAACTTGGAATTAGCGATGAATTTGAAGTGGTCACTTCAGATCTTAATTGCTGATGTGTGCTTTGTGTTTTAATCATATCAGAGTTAATATACTTTGATTAGTAGCCATTTGGTCTTGCCATCCCTTTTTTCTTAAATTCGGTTTTGTGATCTGATATTCATCTATACATTGTATACAACACTAGAAATTACACATTTTCTAACTTAATATTTGATGACCTCTACCAAAAAAAAAATTGTCTGTTGTGCAATTACAATTTTACCTTCCCTTGATTTCCCCTACTTTGTTTTAAAAGACCATTGAAAAAAAAAAATCGTTAAATATGAAAACATAATATTCAAAATGATCCAAGCCGAAACATAATTTACAATTATGAATTCAAGATTAAATTATAGAGTAATATGAATGAGAAGGTTTTGCTTTCTTTTGAGCAAATATGCAAAATGCGTACTTCTTGCTTATTATTTGTGTGGTAAATTTGGTCTCTGTTATTTTCTCATGCCTACCAAACAAGACTGAAAATCTTGGTTACGCTCTCCTAATCGGAGTGAGAAAAGAAAATTAGACCGTTAGTGGGGAAAACAAAAAAACACAAAAGCTTAAAATCAACACAAAGGTGTTTACTCAAGGACATGTTAAAAGTTAATGCACTTGATGAGGCCAAATAGTTACCTCAAATTACAAGTTTGATGATAACACTACTTAATTTCTAAATGAAGCATCCAATTGTTTATAGATTAGGTTAGATTGAAAAGCCTGAAAGGGTCCCACTTTCGAGGCAACTTTGAGGTTTTTAGTTTGAAGGTGGGGTCAGGATTTAATTGCCCCTAAGTTTGAAGATAATTACGGTTTTGGGATTGGTTTTGGCTACTTTTGTAGTTTGTTTTTTTTCTGTTCGTCCCTGATTGGTTGATTTTCCTACTTAAACAAAGTATCATTAAATAAAAGGCTTTGTTGTGAAGATTATTACATAAACGCCACTCTTACGAGGAAGCATATTTTCTTTCGAATTAGCTACGTGTCATATTTCATATGGACATGAAGATATTATTCAATCTAGTTGTTATATTTGTTCAGTATCTTTTTTTTATCTCTAGTTTATCGACCGATGTAAGTCAACTTGGAATGTTTATAATTATTTAAACCCACGTACCAGTTGTACAAACGACCGGTGGTGCCAAACAAAGATATAAAAACTTAAAATAATTTATTATTTTCTTCGGTTGATGCATACACTTACATTAACGGTAACGTGTTTATGCATTATTAACACGTTAGAAACCGAATGGATTTTATATTTCCGCCTTGTGTAAAATAATCACAAGCACAAAGCTTTCTAAAATGTTTTAACAAAAAAAAAATGTTATTATGATTAAAATCAAAGATTAGCTAAGATCTAAGCTAAAAGATGAAACTTAAAAGTGATTGTAAACCACAAGTACATAATCAAGTCGAGGACCGAATCTCTGAGAGAGTTGATGCAATATCTGATTATTATTTTTCGATGGCTCTGATTAGCTTTAATAGTAAAAAAATTGTTGGTGTCAGTGTTTGTTTCGAGCAGAGTTACTTTCTCTATCGTCAAAGCGCACTAGTAAACTGAGATCCAATACAATCGTTTTCACATTTTTCAGTCGTTTTTTTTATTAATAATAAAACCATGAAAGAGATCGCATGGTCTTCTTGCATTGTTTTATTTATCATTTCTACAATGGACTTATCACACATCATGATATACTATTTATTATGTTAGTTGTAACCGAAGTATGTATTTTGGTGTGATGTCCAAACTTTTTTATAAATCAAGAATGTAAATGATAACCACATGAAAAATAAAACAACAAATGGATTAATATGGAAACTGCTGAATTCTTAGATGAGACTAACATATTAGATAATTTGACTAAATATAAACTTTCTACTATATTTTGAAGACAATTCTTCACTATCTTGGCTTACACAAAGATAACACCAAGTTCCCAACTTTTAACATTGATACCAAAAAAAAAAAAAGTTCCCAACTTTCACTTGACAAATTGAAATGATGATGGTATATTTTATACCATACAAACTTGATAAATGGATTACTTGATGGATATACTTGTTTTTTTTTTGGAACAGTTTTTTTTTTATATCTATACTTGTTAAGTGATTTAAAAGTTGGGAACTTTGGTTGTTTATAAAAAGAAAAAAAAACATTTTTGTGACCAAAAGAAAAAATTGTAGAAAACATTAAACACGTGATTTGATCCTTGTCCGGATAAAATTTGTAACGGATTCGTCTCTTTACTGTTTTTTACTCACCGAATCTCTCATCTGTCCTTTTCTTCCTTTCCCGAAATCTCTTTGTCTTACTTCTTTCGTCCCCTGTGATTCTCCGGTCGCACCCGGCGACGAGCTTTATCGCAGATGGAGACTCAGCTACTCAAACCCGCGTTTCACAATCCCTCAGGCCTCATCAATCTCACGACGAATTCTTCTAAACCGGTCTCGAATTTCGCCGTCGGATCATTATCAATGTCCACCGGTCAATCGAGATTTGGTTTACCTGGGTCTCTCTCCCTCCGTCTCTGCGCAGCTTCGCCGATCCGGTAATGTTCTAATTTCATTTGGTTAAGCATTTGCACACCATGTGTTCGGTTTATTTACAGTTTTCTGTCTTTATCCGCCATTGATTCAAAAAAAATCGTAACTTTCGTTTTTTCACCGGCGAATTTCAAAAGCAAAAAAAGCCATCGGCTTTAATTGCTCTGTTTTTTTTTTCTGATGCCTTAGCTTAAAGCTCTGCTTTGTGGTCTGGCTGCAGACATTGTCCTTGCCTGAGCAGTACGGTAAAAGAAATTTGTGTACTTGGTAACAATGTTGGTGTATTTTGACGTCTTAAGAGATTCCTGAAGCTGTACCATAAAGAGATGTTTTTTAATCAAAGATTGATCCTTTTCAATCTTCAGAGAATCAACACATTTTAGCTGAAGTTAATTTGATTTTGATTGTATATGCATAGTGTTTTAGCTGAAGTTGGTTAAGTTTTTTTTGGATAAAGCATTGATGAGTTTTTGGCTTTTTTGTTGTTGTTATAGATACACGAGAGGGCTACGAGTGGATGAGAGTGAGAGCTTGACACTTGACAGCATAAGACACTCTTTGATCCGTCAAGAAGACAGCATTATCTTCAACCTTCTTGAGCGAGCTCAGTATCGCTACAACGCTGATACATACGACGAAGACGCCTTTGCTATAGAAGGGTTTCAAGGATCTTTGGTTGAGTTTATGGTCAGAGAAACTGAACAGCTTCACGCTAAGGTCGAAACCAAGCTTCTTCAAAGTTAGTGACATTGAAAAATCAAATCTTTCTCTCTTTTGTTTGCTGATTTGTTATTGGTTGGAATTTAGGTGGACAGGTACAAGAGTCCAGACGAACATCCCTTTTTCCCTGAATGCTTGCCTGAGCCAATCCTTCCTCCGATTCAATACCCTCAGGTGAAAAAGTTTAAGCCTTTGATAATAGATGGATAATGAAACTTTTGTCTCAAGTTAACAAAACTCTTGTGAATGAAACTAGGTTCTGCATCATTGCGCAGAGTCGATAAACATCAACAAGAAAGTGTGGAACATGTATTTCAAACACCTTCTTCCAAGACTGGTTAAGCCAGGAGACGATGGTAATTGTGGCTCGGCTGCTCTCTGTGACACAATGTGTTTGCAGGCAAGAAGAAACCTTTAACATTCATCATTACCACAAATGGCTCAGTTTAAGAATCTTGAAAACTGAAATTTTTCCGTTTGCAGATATTGTCAAAGAGGATTCACTTTGGTAAATTTGTTGCTGAGGCCAAGTTTTGTGAGAATCCATCTGCTTATGAAACAGCTATAAGAGAACAAGTAGTGACTCTTCTCATTTCTGATTTGGTTTGGTTCAATTGAATTTGCATCTTGATGAGTGTTTTTGTTGTTGCCAGGACCGGACACAGCTGATGAGACTGCTAACGTATGAGTCTGTTGAGGAAGTGATCAAGAAGAGAGTTGAGATCAAGGCGATGATTTTCGGTCAAGACATAACCATCAACAACGATCCAGAAACCGGAGCTGATCCTGCTTCCTGCAAAATCAATCCTAGCTTAGTTGCTAAACTCTACGGAGAGAGAATCATGCCTCTCACTAAGGAAGTCCAAACTGAGTACTTGCTTAGACGGCTAGATTGATTGAAATGTTTTTCAAATCATAAACATTTTGTATTCATTTTGATTCCCAAAAACCGGTTTGATTTTAGGTTTAATGTGTTATACGGTGGTTTGATCGGATAATGATCTTAAACCGGTTTGATTTTTGAATTAAACCAACTTAACAATAAAAGCCGAGCCGAAACCAGACTATTGTACCTTTGTTCTTCCTCGGAGGATCTCTCTCTGTCTAGGGTTTATTTATAGCTCTCTCTCAACATTTTTCCCGGCAAAAGAAAATTGTCTCTGTTTTTGCATCGTCTCCATGCTCAGTTCTGAAGCTAAGCGAAAGCCGGAAAATGATTTGGAGGTCAAACCGATTCTGAAGAAGCCTAAGGAAAAATCGGAAGCTGATGTACCAAAAAAGACGATCTTTGTTGGCAATCTCTCTCCACAAACTGATATATCAGATATGTATGTAAAGACCTTAAACTATACTTCCACAGCAAGTTTTTTTTATATGACTAATGTTTTTATCCTCCATTTTTGACAGAATCGAATTCTTCAAAGATGTTGGAGAAGTTGTTCGCGTTCGACTTATTCTAGACCGTAATGGCATTCATGTGGGCGATGGATTTGTTGAGTTTGCTTCTTGTAACCAAGCAATTAAGGTTTGAGACTAGTTTTATACTTTATAGTAATGATGATTGAGTAGTTACGTGAAAAGCACGTTTGCTTGTTACTGTAGGCGTTGCAAGAGAAGAACGGTGAATGTTTGCACCATCGCAAGATCTTTGTTGATGTTGTTGAAGCAGCTCCATGCACTTTCCCACCCAAGTAACTTATTGTAATTTATTGCTAGAGTTTTTTTATGCCATTACAGAAGATTAACGCTACTTTTTGTGTCTGTGACTGTGTGTGTGAATTAGGTATTGCATAGATCACAAGGCTTAGTAAGCAAGTTAACTTTATTTGCCTCTTGAGTTTGTTATCAAGAAGAGCACATTGTGCGAAGTGTTTGGCAAACATGGAGAGATGACAAAGTGTTTTTGATATATTTCCAGGTACGAAGACAACCTTCAACGAGAATGCCTTCCGATGAAAGAAGACGATGAGACACCTCCCGATTCTGTTGAGGTAACAGAATATGTCAGGCCTAGAAGAAACGTTAATCGTTTAGTAACACGGCTGTTGCTTTGGGGATTAATCTAACACTTCTTGGCTGTCAAATTGACGTAAGAGGAAGGACGCTCTTTGTAGCCAATCTCTCTCCCCAAACAACTAAAATAACACATATGTAAGTAGCACTAGCACCTCTAGTTTCCAATTTCCTTCTCGGAGCAAGTTTTTTCATGTCTGATATATTTATCCTTCACTTGAACAGCATCGATTTCTTCAAAGATTATGGAAAAGTTGTTAGTGTTCGACTTATTGTAAGCCACGAGGGTAAGCATGTGGGCTATGGCTTTGTTGAGTTTGCTTCTGCTAAGGAAGCAAAGTTGGTAAGTAGTTTTGTAGTAATGATGATATAAGTATTTAAAGTAGTTTGCAAAATATAGCTGATTAAATCTTTTTATACTGTAGGCGCTGGAAAATATGAATGGTGTATATTTGCATGATCACAAGATCTTGTTGATGAAAGGACTTGATAAAACTCCTGATGTTGTTGAGGTACACTCTTCTTGTTATCTTCAAAATAATGTCAGACTCTGTAAAGAAAATGCTTAGCGTTTTAATAACACAACTGTTGCCACTTGTCAATTCAGGAAGCTGCATTAAGAGAAAAGACGCTCTTTGTTTCCCATGTCTATTACAAAACTAAAATATCAGATATGTAAGTAGCACCTTGAATTTCCTCTTTCGTTCTTGGAGCAAGTTTTTTCGTGTCTAAAATTTTTTGTCTTCCACTAATTAGAGCACCGACTTCTTCAAAGATGTTGGACAAGTTGTTCATGTTCGACTTGCTGTAAACACCACGGCCAAGCATAAAGGCTTTGGGTTTGTTGAGTTTGCTTCTGCTCACGAAGCTAAGTGGGTGAGTAGTTTTTTTGTAGTGATGATGAAAAAAAGTAAAGTCATTTGAAAATTAGTTAGATGAAATTACATTTTGCTGATCAAATATTTTATACTCTAGGCGCTGAAAGTGAAGAACGGTAAATACTTGTGCGATCGCAAGATTTTACTGAATGTAGTTGAAACTGCTCCATACCCTCCACGAACCAAGTAAATTGATTATTCCATGTTATGGAGATTAACACTTGTTGCTAGAGTTTTGATGCCATTACAGAGTAGACTAACGATATTCTTTTTTTGTTGATTAGGCATTGCATAGATCACTATGTTTGGTAAGGGATTTAACTATTTTCCTTTAGATTTTTGTGAAGTTTTTTGGTATAGATGGAGAGATCACAATGTTTTTGATATATTTCCAGGTACGAAGACTACCTTCGACAAGAAAGCCTTCTGATAGAAGAAGATGCGGCAGTGGAAGGACTTGATGAAACTCCCGATTTTGTTGAGGTACAAGTGTTTTGAGGATGACTTATAATTCTGAGGATGAATCTACTTTTTAGTTGTGATGCAATTTAACAAACTTGGCTGTTAAAATTCAGGAAGTTTCCGTAAGAGAAAAGACTGTCTTTGTTGCCAGTCTCTCTCTGAAAAAACAATCTCTTTGTGACGTATCAAATATGTAAGTAGCACCTTTAAGTTTTTCTCTTTCCTTCTTGGAGCAAGTTTTTAATGACCATTTTCTTTGCAGCATAAGAATGTTCAAATCTGTTGGGGAAGTTGTTGGTGTTAGGCTTATTGTAGACGACTGTGGTGAGCATGTGGGTTGTTGCTATGTTGAGTTTGCTTCTGCTAACGAAGCAAAGAAGGTAAGAGTAGTCTTTAGTTAACGATGAAAAGTAGTTTATGGTTAATGTCTGATTAAATTATGTATAATGTAGGCGGTGCAAGAGAAGAACGGTGGTAGTATTTTTGTTCAAGTGGCTGAGATAGCTCGATCATACCCTTTCCGACACAAGTAAACTGATTTGATTTGTTTCTCTAACTTAGTTTTGATGTCATAACAGGAGAATAACTCTGTTAGTTTTTGTTAATTAGGTACAACTTGTACAAGCTTGCAGAGAAGCTTTGGTAAGTTATTTCATTTATTATCAAGAAGCACATTTGGGCAAAGTTTTTGGTGAGCATGGAGAGATGAAAAAGGTTTTTTTTTGATATATTTGCAGGTACGAAGACAATCTTCGACTAGAAAGACTTGATCCAGATAGACATGTTCTGAAGATACACAAGACAATCTACTACGGCTCTATGATTGGAAGATGATATCATGTAAAATAGTCAGATGAGAATTGAGAGAAATAGAAAAGTCTATGTATTTTTTAACTTGATCCAAATAGACATACTCTGAAGAAACATAAGACAATGCAGCATTTTTTTAATTAGAAGTCAATCGCAATCTTATGCGGATAGAAGAAGATATCTTTCTGTTGTTTTTGTTTTTGTTTTTTTTTACTTTTTATACAGTTGTGCAAGTTAAATTTATAACTTTTTGTTACCAATACAATATTTTTCTAGTAATGTAACGATTTTAGTGGATATTTCTGACTAATTAATTGACTTCAAGGCCAAGGCTAAAAAAAAAAAAATCGACCACTTTTTACCAGTCTATCTAAATTCCCCATCGACTTAAATATTCCACCACTAAACTTCACTCAAATTTTACTTGTAGGATACACTTAGATATTCTCCATCTAATTTCACTAAATATTCTCCAATACAGTTAGATTTGTACTACATGTGCACAACGTGTAGGATATTTCTTACTCATTAAATCATGATATATGTCATTGTTAGTTTAGATTGTGACATGTTTTAATGTAATAAAAATGAAAGTTTTCAATGGTCAAAATAATAGTTATAAAAAAGTTCAATTGTCTAACAGAAATAAAATAAACATACAATTGAACTTTTATTAATAGTTTTCCTTTTTATTTTATTTCACCGAGCTCGTTTAAAAATTTGCCTCCTTCATAATAGACCCCTGATTTCAGTTCATGAGCAACCAAATTGGATATGGGATCGAGTCGGTGAACGAGTATTGATTTCTTACCATTTAACGCTCAACCCAATATGTGATTTGTTTGTTTCTTTTTGAATTTGACAACAGAAAATAAATAAGAAACAGAAAACAAATATTATGAAGAGGCAACAACAAATTGTAATCTTTCTTTCTGATTATTAAAATCACACAGTAAAATGTGTGATACAATAACTTTAGGTCACTATATTAGCATTTGCGTCACAGTTAACAATTCGTTTTGTCTCATAATTTGTCAAATGACTAAAACATTTTTGAATCTAGACGCCTCTTAATAGGGTTGCATGCCATGTGTGACCCCATCAATTATACATGTTCCGTTTCATAAGTTTAGGGGGACTCGTACGAAATTGAGGGATCGAATCCCAGGAATGAAACCATTTTAATAAACGTTATTCCAAACATGAAACAACTCTGCTTTTATGCCAACTTTTTTTTAACATAGCTTTGCTAATTTAAGGTGAAACTAGTTTGAGTCTAGTCATTACAAATCGCTTGATTCCAAACAATTATTAATAAATGTTCTGCCAAGAAAGTATATAGTTGAAATTTTTAGTACATATTGCTTTATAGTAAACTCATACTGTATACTGTATATATTATTTTGTTATTAAGAATTTGACTCTTCAACTGACTATCTAGTGATTCGAATGATAATTAATTGAAGATTTAACAAACTTGGCTGTTAAAATTCAGGACGTTGCAGTAAGAGAAAAGACTGTCTTTGTTGCTAGTCTTTCTCTGAAAAAAAGAATCTCTTTGTGACGTATCAAATATGTAAGTAGCAAGTTTTTTTTTTAATTTCCTCTTCCGTTCTTGGAAAAAGTTTTTAATGACCATTTGTTTGCAGCATAAGAATGTTCAAATCTGTTGGGGAAGTTGTTGGTGTTAGGCTTATTGTAGATGACTGTGGTGAGAATGTGGGTTGTTGCTATGTTGAGTTTGCTTCTGCTAACGAAGCAAAGAAGGTGAGAGTAGTTTATAGTTAATCATGAAAAGTATTTTAAGTAGTCATTTGAAAAGTAGTTTATGGTTAATGTCTGATTAAATTTTTGATACTGTAGGCGGTGCAAGAGAAGAACGGTACTAGTATTTTTGTTCAAGTGGCTGAGATAGCTCGATCATACCCTTTCCGACACAAGTAAACTGATTTGATTTGTTTCGCTAACTCAGTTTTGATGTCATAACAGAAGATTAACTCTGTTATTTTTGTTAATTAGGTACAAGCTTGCAGAGAAGCTTTGGTAAGTTATTTCATTTATTAACAAGAAGAGCACATTTGGGTGAAGTTTTTGGTAATTAAACATGGAGAGATGACGAAGGGTTTTTTGATATATTTGCAGGTACGAAGACAACCTTCGAGTAGAAAGACTTGATCCAGATAGACATGTTCTGAAGATACACAAGACAATCTACTACGGCTCTAGGATTGGAAGATGATATCATGTAAAATAGTAAGATGAGAACTGGAATATTTTTTGTTTTGTTTTTAATGATCGACTACCTTCTCTGACGACAAAGCAACTTAAGTTTATAACTTTTTCATTGCCAACAAAATCTTGTACGGATAGAGGAAGATGAAGAAGCTCTCTTTGGTGTTTGTAACTTGTGATACAAGGCAATATCTTTTTTTATAACCAACTAACAAGATATGAAGATTTTTTACACGCTCTTGTTTAATCGCTCAATGCAATTCTCTGGTTTCTTTCCGTAGTAAGTAAAATCACGGATTCTTGAAAGGCTGTGGTCCTTCAGTAGTAGAGGCTGTGGTCGGGAGCATAAACTGGCCAGAAGCATCTTGACTTGATGCCCAAGGAACTTTTTGACGATTTCTTTTTCTTAAGAGCCGGAATCTACGCTACAGAAAACAAATTTACAAGTTTAGGACACAATCAAAGAAAATAAGAGGTAGCAGTTAAGGAAGTAATTTTCATATCCCTAATCAAGAACTTCAATCCATGTCTTGGAAATCATCTTTATGTTCCTTTTACCCATGGCGTCACAAGTCTTCATTCTCAGATTTCACCACCCAAAAAGTCTACCTAATCGATTCTCTTTTCATCTTGTAATAACTTTCTTCTTCTGGATCATCCCACTCAAGCACTTTTGTCTTCGTTCAGCTCCATTTCACCACCCAAAAAGTCTACTTCAGGGGACAGAAGCGATTCTCTTGCCATCTTGTAATACCTTTCTTCTTCTGGATCATCCAACTCAAGCAACTTCATACAATCTATCTGAGGCACCTATGTAATTCCATCTTTGTTACCAGTCTTGGCTGACTCGTTAAGCTCAACTGCCTCTGACATTTCCTTTCTTTTTCGAGGGTTCTCATTCACTAAACAGAGAATTCCATTTGTTGTCCTAGTATATGTTTTCTTGAACATACCTGACTTCGCTGCTGAAGTAACAGAGAACTGCTCTCTCCCCTGTGACTTGCTCATGCCTCATTGCCTCGTTGAGCCTGGTCGTGAGAACCAGAGCTGGCCACCAAATCACAGTTTGTATCATATCGCTTTTCAGCTGGTGGTTTCATGCCCTTTGCAGCTTCAGCATCTTTTGTAAAGTATCCCTCTAGCAGGCTTATTTGACTACCGCAGATTTTGATCTCCAAATCTAATTGAGCTAGCTGCAATTACACATATATGTCACCACAATTTCACAATTTCACAATTTCAAAAAAACTGAAAAATGTTTTGAAACTTACCTTTGCAATATCAGCAGTAGAGCCGCTCATAAATCTCCTGCGATTAGAAAGTGTGTTGATTTTGAATTTCAGCAAAGCCAGCTCCTTTTGCTGGAATTCCATTTGAAACCTCTCAAAAGCAGCCACCTTCTCCCATTGCTTGCTCATTATATCTTCTGATTCTCAAGCTCCCTCTTCATAACCTTCAACTCTCTCTTTTTCACAGCCTCAAGGCCTTCTTTTAGGGCTTCGTCTTTAGACATCGCTTTTCTCAGATTGGAGGCCAAGTTGTCAAATCCGGACTAGTCTTCTGCTCTTTTAGCTCTTCATCATTAGACATCATTTTCCCTAGCTTTTCCACATCCTCTCCCTTTCATTGTCTTTCTTTCTTCAGACTCAATCTGACAACTTTCTCTTTCACTTGTGAATGTGCATAGCCTGAGCACGAGAAGTAGGATTTGTGATAAATGTCGTTTTAGTTTAGATCATGATATGTGTATGTAAATCAATTGTGTAAATAACAAAAAAGAAAGTAACTCAGATCTGAATTTTTTTAATACATTTTAGTTGTCCGGGGTCGATATAAATTCTAAATTTCACATAAATCTGAAAAAAAAAAGAAACTTACTGAGAAGAGAAGAATAGACCGAGTGAGAAAACATTTTGGATCTATTTATATAAGCTTCGGACTTTGTGAAAAAAGAAAAAACGCTGATCCTTCCTAAATTAGTCTAGTCGATCATATTGAAACTCGTGTAATACAATAATAATTTCTTATCAATTAGATACGTATGGGAAAAAAATAAATTTGTTAGATTCAGAAAAAAATGACATTGCTGAAAGGGAGAATACTTGAGCCTCCAAAGCCAAAAGTTGACCGGCCAAAGAATATTCAAGAAAGTGAGTTTTTAAAGGAATCTGAATCGAAAGATAGGCTCTCATGAATATAGGAGCCATCACGGATCAGAAAACTATCATTCCCAAGTTTATAAACGATCTCACTCAAAAGTGTGAGCATTTGGGAGTTTTCCTAAGCAAGAACACAATATTTGGGAGTTTTCATATTCTTTCTATCTGAACCATCACACCTACTCAACAACATCTTCGTTGGAGCTGATGTAACCCTTCCTCAACCTAAGGAGAAAGAAGAATCATGCCCCTCACAAAGGAAGTCCAAATTAAGTACTTGCTTAGAAGGCTAGACTGAATGTTTACAAAGAAGTAATCATAAACCTTTTGTATTGATCTTAATTCCCATAAACACAAAACGTTGACATAAAGTCAAAAAATAGATTTTTATTACAGATGTAAAACTGAGAATCAAAAACAAATGGAACTACCCTGAGACTGATAAGAAACTTCTTCTGGATGTTCACAAAAACTTGAGTATTCTATAATTATTTGTAGCCATCATCAAAGTGAACCTCCAGACGATTCTCTGACGAGCTCGTAAATAGATAAAGCGTTTTCAAGGGTGAGCAAGAAGATAATGCACCACTCCAAAAGATCTGATCGTCGGCTCTGCATCACCTCTTGGAGGAAATGAATGTTGTGCTTCACATGAAACGAGAGAAGAATCACATCAAAAACTAAACAAACATAACTACGAACATTGACAAGATGATGTGTACGTTAACATTGACGTTTGAACATTAACATTGACAAGTCTTCAGTTTTTTTTGCGGTCTTGTTCAGTCCAAATTTAACTGACTTCGAAGAGTGAGTTAAGGATCAATAATGAGTTCTTGGAACCCACCCAGACAGAAAAATGTGTACGTAGCTTCCATATCCAAGAGAGTTGGGAGAGATGTTGTGACACACTAATTACACATTTAATTAAGTATACTTCTCTGGTACTATGTTTACTAGCTTTGAAGCCCCGCGCAAGCGCGGGGTTGTTTGCGATAGTTTTTCTGTTTAATTTTATTTATACTCGTTGATTTGAATTATGATGGTTTTGTATTAACTTTCATGTTTTTGTTATGTTTTGAGTTAACTCAACCACTAACACTAAAAAATATGAATAATTTGTTTTTTATTTTAATTTATTAGGATATTAACACCCGCTTTATCTCGAGTTTTCTATTTCTAAAATTTATCATGTTATAAATATTATGTTTGTTTACTTTTTTTTTACTTCTATTAGACTGTAAACATGTATATGTATTTGATTGAAGGTTAAAATTTATAAATATGTATATGCATTTGACTGAAGGTTAAAATTTGTAAACATATTCTTGTTTTTCACTACAATTAAATTTACATATAAAACTCCATTTCTATTTGTTTAGAAAAACAAACTCTAACTCTAATTTTCATTAGCTTTCTATTATCTTAATTAATTTATATTCAACTTTTTAACTTGTAAACACATTATAACATTTTTAAATATGATAAATCCTTTGAATAAAAAGGTAAATATATACTATTTGAAGTTAAATATTTCTTTACTCCATCTCTATTTTATATTCCAACTTTTTGATAACTTTTAACATCAAATTATCACATACTTTCTATTATTAATTAATTTATTTGTATATTTTTATTAAATATGAATAAATGTAAAGAAATATGAATAGTCATATATTTAATAAATAATTTAAATACAATTTAATGTTTTTGTGCTGATGTGGACACTCTAGATGGAGAGAGCAACTCTCCTATTATATATAAGATTTTGCAGCGATACATTCACCCTAAATTTAACGAAATAAAATTTTCAGCAATTCATATTTAAATTTTAAAACTTCGAAATAACTAAAACAAGAAATCTCATTTTTTCCTTTTCCGTAATAAGAAAAAAGAAAAGAAAATATACATATGTGGATATAAAATCGGAACAGACTTTTGAGATGTAAACGGAACAACAGAATTTGTTCTTCGTAAGGGAACGTCAATGCTGTTGGGTTGCCAGGTGAGTGAGAGTAAGTGATTAAGCAAGTGAGACCACTGAGAAATTCTAGCACATGCATAATTTATAAAAGAAGAATTGTAGTCTAATGAAGAAGTCACGTACGTTTTAGTGTTTAAAACCTGAAAGACATGTAACGTAGCAGCTTTCCAGCGCTCTTACTCAGGTAATAGTTAAGGCAGATAAATGATTTAACACCAAGACCATTCTCATATTTAAGCATATTTTTATGTACGTTCAGACAAAAACTTAACTAAAACATAAGAAAAACGGTAACAGATCCTTCTTCTTCTATCAGTCGTCGTAACAGAAAGTAACCTTCTTACAGCAGACTCCGCCCTCCAAATCATAATCTTCCACTTCTTCTTCCTCCTCTTCTTCTTCTTCTTCTTCCTCTTCTACCAGAAGGCTTTTTACCTTGGACCTGGAACATCAAAGACCCTTGTCATGTCGCCTTCGACCTTGATAACAAAACTCAGAAGGCAACTATATATACTTAAATCCTTACCAAAGTTTCTCAGCAAGGTTGTACCTAATTAACAAACCCAAAAAAAAGGCGTTAATGACATGAAAACTATAGCAACAAGTTAAGAAACAAATCTTCATATGGGAAAATCAGTTTACTTGGGTCGGAGAGGGTACGGAGCTATCTCAGCCACGTCTAGACTAAACTCACGATTACTCCCTTCTTCCAGCGCCTACAGCATAAAAGATTTAGTCAGCAATCCTACTTTCAAAATGTATATTTTTCATCATTACTAGTATAAACTAGTCTCACCTTGTCTGCTTCGTAAGCATAACCAAACTCAACAAAGCCACAGCCAACATGCTGACCCCTGTGGTCTACAATAAGTCGAAGAAGAACAACTCGTCCAACATATTTGAAGCAATGGACGCTGTACAAATGGATAATAAAATATATGAGTCATGAAAAAAGAAGCAAAGAGGAAATTACAGGTGTTAGTTACTCACATCCTTGGTATACTAGTTTCGCAAGGGATATTGGCGATAAAAAGGGTCTTTCTTCTCGCAGCAACTTCCTGAAAATAATTTGCATACCCCCTGGATTAAATCATCTTTCAACTTTTGTGGCAACAGTTGTGTTATTAAACAACGCTAAGCATTTCTTCTAATCTATAAATTAATACTCGATAAATTAATAACTCCAACTATTAGTATAGTTTTCCGATCCCAAATTAAGTTTTTGATCCAAATTATTTCTCGATAAATTGATAATTCGCTAAATTAATAAAATATCATGGTCCCAACATTATTAATTTATAGAGTTTCTACTGCAATAAGAACATATATGTACCTCAATATACTCGAGAATATCATCATGTCCTTCCACTGCCTCATTTTCCTCTATCAGAAGGTTTTCTTGTCGAAGGTAGTCTTCATACCTGGAATATCAGAAAATATGTTACCAAAAACTTCACCCAATGTGCTCTTGATAACAACAAACTGAAGATGCAAACAGTTAAAATCCTTACCAAACCTTGTGATCTATGCAATACCTAATTACCAAAAATAATTAGTGTTAGCCTCCTTGTGTAATAGCATCAAAACAACTGTAGCATTAAGTTACAACCAGTGCTACAGAAATTCAATTTACTTGGGTTGTGGAGGGTATGGAGAGCCTTTTTAGCCGCTTGAAGATAAATCTTGTGGTCATGCAAATATTCACCATTCTTCTTTTCCAGTGCCTACAGTATAAAAGATTTAATCAGCAATCCTACTCTCAAAATGAATACTTGCATCACATGTATACACTACTTTTCAGATGACTCTTTCACCTTCTCTGCTTCGTTAGCAGAAGAAAACTCAACAAAGCCATCGCCTATATGCTTGCCCGTGTCGTCTACAATAAGTCGAAGACAAAAAACTTGTCCAACATCTTTGAAGAAATTGATGCTGTAAAAATGGAGGATAAAATATTAGTCATGAAAAAACTTTCTCCAATAACGAAAGAATAAAAGAAAAAAAAGGTGCTACTTGCATATCTGATATTTCAGCATCGTGAGAGAGACCGGAAACAAAGAGCGTCTTCTTTCTTACAGCAACTGCCTGAATTTAACAAAAGGCAGAAGAAGACAACTTTCGACTTTGTGGTTATTAAATGTCTAAGCCGAACATATATTGAAGATAATAAGAACAGAACAGGTACCTCAACAAAATTGGGAGTTTCAACTGTCTCATCTTCTTCTAGCACAAGGTTTTGTCGTCGAAGGTAGTCTTCGTAACTGAAATATCAAAAACCCTAGAGTGATCATCACTCCATGTATACCAAAAAAAACTTGAGCCGATAGCAAAACTCAAAATGCAAATAGTTTAAATCCCTTACCAAAGCTTCTCTGCAAGGTTGTACCTAATTACCAAAAAATAATAGCGTTACTCTTTTGTAACGGTATCGAAACTCTAGCAATAATAAGTAACAGCCAGAATCTCGAAAATCAATTTACTTGGGACGTGGAGGGTATGGAGCTGTCTTAGCCACTTGAAGAAAAATCTTGTGGTCATGCAAATATTCACCATTCTTCTCTTTCAGCGCCTAAAGTGTATAGAATATTTAATCAGCAACCGTACCTTCATATAAACTAGTCAAAATACGTTTTTTCTATCGTTACTACAAAACTACTATTACTCTCTCACCTTCTTTGCTTCGTGAGCAGAAGCGAAGTCGACAAAGGCATAGCCCACATGCTTACCCTCGGGGTTAACAATAAGTCGAACACTAACAGCATCTTCGAAGAAGTGTTTGCTGTAAAAGGGGAGGATAAAATATCAGTTGCTCCGAGAAGGAAAGTGGAAATATAATTAAGATGCCTACTTACATATCTGAGATTTTAGTTTGGGGAGAGAGATTGGCTACAAAGACTACTTCCTGAATTTAACAGCCAAGTGTGTTAGCACAACTCTTAAGGAGAAAAGGACTTAAAATTGCATTGACAGGAAAAAAAAAAAAACATGCACGTACCTGTGTCTCATCTTCTTCTATAGGAAGGCTCTCTCGTTCAAGGTAGTCTTTGTAGCTGAAAAAAAAAAACAAAATAAATAACTAGTGATCTCTTCATGCATACCAAAAACTTCACCCAAGGAAGTCAAGAGGTAAATAGTTAAATCCCTTACCAAACCTTGTGATCTATACAATACCTATATTACAAAATATAAAAGCGTTAGTCTGTGATATTTCAGTATCAAAACTCTAGCAATAAGTACAGAAACAAATATCCATAACATTGAAAATCAATTTACTTGGGTCGTGGACGCTTTGGAGTTTTTTTAGAGGCAAAAAGTTTTATCTGAGAACCGAGCAAGTATTCACCATTTTTCTTTTCCAGTGCCTAGAGGACAAAAGATTTAATCAGCAATCGTAACGACTATTTAAATAACCTTTTTCATCATTACCATAACTATAAACCAATCTTTACCTTGTTTGCTTCGTTAGCAGAAGCAAACTCAACATGGCCATAGCACAAATGAAGACACTTGCTGCTTACAGAGAGTCGAACACGAACAACTTGAACAACATCTTTGAAGAAATCGATGCTGGAGATATAAAAAACAAAAATATCAGTCATGCTCGGACAAGGGAACGAAAGTGGAAATTTTTAATTAAGGTGTCACTTACATGTCTGATATTTTAGTTTGGTCATGGAGACGGCAAATAAAGAGCGTCTTTCCTGTTACGGCAGATTCCTGAATTGAATTTAATTTGCACAAGAATGCTTACTCTTGAACATGAGGAGAAAAGGAACCATATGATTTTTAAGAACAAGATGCGTAATGGAACATACAAAAAAATTGTACATGATCAGCAAAATCCTGTAAAGAAAATTGTTTTCAAAGAAGAAGAGGATTCCGAGACCATCTGAGGTTACCTTGTCCTCCACGGTTTGGTAAGAGGTTTCCTTATGTTTCTTCAGAAACGGTTTGGTCTCCAAATCATCTTCAGGATTTCGCTTACCTAAAAGAAGAGCAGCAACAACATGGAAAATTTTAAAGCTACAACCTCTTCAGCCAGGCATTATAAAACATTAGATATGAGCTCAGAGCCACACAAAACATACCAAATAAATTAACTTTGGTGGCCGATTCCTTGCTAGAACTGGCCATGGAGAAGGTGGACTGGAAAACGCGCCGGTTTATTTTTCAAGGATGAGTTGAGCGCAAGCTAGATAACCCTAGAAATCCACCAATGTCAAAAATAAACGATTTTTGTATCAAAAATAATAAATTTAATGATATAATATTCTCAATTTTAATTTATATTATATGAGAAATTTCCATTTTAAGTATATTTTCTTAAATGGTTCTCATAGACATTTAATAACACTTCTTCTTATTATCTTCAATATATGTCCGGCTTAGACATTTAATAACCACAAAGTCGAAAGTTGTCTTATTCTGCTTTTTTGTTAAATTCAGGAAGTTGCTGTAAGAAAGAAGACGCTCTTTGTTTCCGGTCTCTCTCACGATGCTGAAATATCAAGTAGCACCTTTTTTTTTCTTTTTTCTTTCGTTATTGGAGAAAGTTTTTCATGACTAATATTGTATCCTCCATTTTTTTACAGCATCAATTTCTTCAAAGATGTTGGACAAGTTTCTTGTCTTCGACTTATTGTAGACGACACGGGCAAGCATGTAGGCGATGGCTTTGTTGAGTTTTCTTCTGCTAACGAAGCAGACAAGGTGAGAGTAGTTTGTAGTAGTAAAATGATGAAAAATATATAAGAAGACATTTTCTGACTAAATCTTTTATGCTGTAGGCGCTGGAAGAAAAGAGTAATCGTGAGTTTAGTCTACACGTGGCTGAGATGGCTCCGTACCCTCTCCGACTCAAGTAAACTGATTTCCCATATGGAGATTTGTTTCTCTAACTTGTTAATGAAAAAACAAAGCGTTAATGACATGAAAACCATAGCAACAAGTTAGAGAAACAAATCTCCATATGGAAAATCAGTTTACTTGGGTCGGGAGCATAAACTGGCCAGAAGCATCTTGACTTGATGGCCAAGGAACTTCTTGACGATTTCTTTTTCTTAAGAGCCGTAAGATAGCCGTAATGTTAGATTCCTTAGACGCTCTGGTTTAATCGCTCAATGCAATTCTCTGGTTTCTTTCCGTGTTCAGGCCAATGTAATGCTGCGTTAGCATATATCAAGTTGGAATCGACCTACTACCTACAGAAAACAAATTTACAAGTATAGGACACAATCAAAGCAAATAAGAGGTAGCAGTTAAGGACGTAATTTCATATCCCTAATCAAGAACTTCAATCCATGTCTTGGAAATCATCTTATGTTCCTTTTACCCATGGCATCATGCATAAACCGTGAGCCTTACAAAGTAAAAGTGCATACAATTGCATATTCATAACACTTTCAATATCAAAACATGAAATAGTACGCTGGTTCCACTGCTTTAATTATGTCCTATAAAAAAAAAAATAAAAAAAAAAAAATAAAAAAAAAACTTCAACAGAACAATGCATAGAACAATTGTTTGCCACCCACGATAACCTCTACCGATAATAGTCTCCACTATACAAAATCAGTAACAAATCTCCACCAACTACATTTCGAGTGATTACTTTGCATCTCTCACGAGGGACGCTGCTTAAAAAAATTCTTCATTCAGTGAAATCCTCCCAAACAAATCTCCATATCATATGTGTTCCATCTCATAATCGATTATAATGTATGGCTGTATGGGTTAATGGTTCAAGAAAAAGCAATACCCCTGTTTTTAATGCACATCAGCAATTTGTTTTTCTAAGCAAGAGGAATGCGGCCGATTAGGGTTAGACAAGGTTTGATATATTTGGAGTTTTCAAATTAGGGTGTTATTTAAATTTGTTTAATCTTTTACTCAAAACAAATATATCTTAGTATATTAATAATTTCGTAATTATATATGTATGATGACAGAAAATCAGAAATATATTTAAGAAATCTACATAACTAATAAGGCTTGGACAATCTCCAGCCTTTGACACGTGGCACTCTTTTTTTTTTTTTTTTTTTCGCCTAACACCAAAACGACGTCGTTTTGCGCTTTATTTTTTTTTTTTCGTCTTACACCAAAACGACGTCGTTTTGCGCTTTATCTTTTTTTTTTCGTCTTACACCAAAACGACGTCGTTTTCGTATTAAAAAAAAAAAAAATCTAAATCAAAATTATGTGTAATGCTGTTCGTTTTGATGGGCTTGATTATTTATCGGACCTCTTCGTTTCCATGGTAGCTTTAAATGGGCTTACTGGCTAATTAGCTCATTTCATTTCCTTTTAAAAAGGATTGCAATTATTATTATCTATGAGTCTGTAGGATAATAATCAATCTATAATGATTGTTAGTATAAGGAAAATTAGAAGAACTCAACTCCAGTCGATAAATTATTGTATAAAAGAACAAAAAACATATGAAACTATTCACTATGAGTCTATATAAGATTTCACGTAAATAACAACTAAATTTTAAAACTATATGAAAAAAAACAAAATGCAAAACTTACAGAATCTAATATATTCGAGTAAAAAACAAATGATATATTCGAATCTAATGTTCTGAATAATTAAATTAAAAATATTTGGTTTAATAAACCCGCGCATTGCGCGGGTTCTCTCCTAGTATGATTAAAGTTATTAATGTAATTGTCTTGTGAGAGTGAATGAAAGAGCTCCATTCTCCAAAATCACTTCGCAAATAATAGTATAGATACTTGTGTGAGCTCTATTTAGTGTTCACAAGTCTTCATTCTCAGATTTCACCACCCAAAAAGTCTACCTAATGATTCTCTTGCCATCTTGTAATAACTTTGATCATCTAACTCATGCACTTTTGTCTTCATTCTTCACCACCCAAAAAGTCTACTTCAGGGGACAGAAGCGATTCTCTTGCCATCTTGTAATACCTTTCTTCTTCTGGATCATCCAACTCAAGCAACTTCATACAATCTATCTCAGACACCTCTGTAATTCCATCTTTCTTCCGGATAGCGCTCAGAAATCTTCGGCAATTAGCAAGTGTATAGATCTTGAATTTCAACAAAGCTAGGTCATTTTGCTGGAACTCCCTTTGAAATCTCTCAAAATCCCCAATCTTCACCTCTCTCTTCAAAACCCTCAATTCTCTCTTTTACACAGCCATCCTTTCTCTAGCTTTTCCACTTCCTCTCCCTTTTATTGTCTTTCTTTCTTCAAACTCTCAATCTGAGAACCTTTTTCGTTTGCTTTATCTTGACATATAAAGTTAAATGTGCATAACGTGAGCACGAGAAGAGGATTAGTGATAAATGTCATTTTAGTTTAGATCATGATATGTGTATGTAATTCAATTGTGTAAATAACCAAAAAAAAAAGTAACTCAGATCTGAATATTTTTCATACATTTTAATTGTTTTGGGCCGATCTAAATTCTAAATTCCACATGAATCTGAAAAAAAAGAAACTTTTATAGTGAAAAGAGAAGAACATACCGAGTGAGAAAACAATTTGGAAGCTTAGGACTTGGTGCAAAAAGAAAAAACGCTGATCCTTCCTAAATTAGTGTAGTCGATCATATTTAAACTTGGGTAAAATTTCTCTATTTTCTTATCAGTTAGGTATGTATGGGAAAAAAAATCAATTTGTTTAAAGACTTTGATTCAGAAAAAAATGACATTGTTGAAAGTGAGAATACTTGAGCCTCCAAAGCCAAAACTTGACCGGCCAAAGAATATTCAAGAAAGTGAGTTTTTAAAGGAATCTGAATGGAAAGATGGGTTCTCATGAATATAGGAGCCATCACGGATCAGAAAACTATCATTCCCAAGTTTATAAACGATCTCACTCAAAAGTGTGAGGATTTGGGAGTCTTCCTAAGCAAGAACACAAGAACCATCACACATACTTAACAACATCTCGCTTGTCCAAGGTTCCATGACCGAGCTTTACATCTTGATATCTTCAAGATTGTTTAGACTCGATGAGTCGGTGATCTGAAGTCCAAATTGAGTAATTGCTTAGAAGGCTAGATTGAAATGTTTTCAAAGAATGAATCATAAACCTTTTGTATTGATCTTAATTCCCATAAACACAAAACGTTGACACAAAGTAAAAAAAAAATGATTTTATTACAGATGTAAAACTGAGAATCAAAAACAAATGGAACTACCCTGAGACTGATAAGAAATTTTTTTTTGGATGTTCACAAAAAATTGAGTATTCTATAATTATTTTGTAGCCATCATCAAAGTGAACCTCCAGACGATTCTCTGACGAGCTCGTAAATAGATAAAGCGTTTTCAAGGGTGAGCAAGAAGATAATGCACCATTCCAAAAGATCTGATCTTCTGTTCTGCATCACCTCTTGAAGGAAATGAATGTTGTGCTGCAGATGAAACGAGAGAAGAATCACATCAAACAACCAAAGAAAGACATAACTATTTGTTAAATCGATAACCATAATAATAATACCTCTACAAACTTTAGCTTAAAGTCTAGATTCCCGAATCTCTGAGTAACCTCATACTCTTCTCTAAGGTACTCATATATCTGAGCATATCTAGCCTCTCTCCAAGCGATCTCGGATCTATAAGAACACAACAACAAAACATACAGAGTCTTAGACGCACAAGGTTGAGCATAACTTCCAAAAATCAAGATTCAAGAACTTAATAGAATACCTGTCAAACAAACCAACTCTGAGAATCACGTCAGCTAGATTAGAATTAGCCTTCCCTACAAGCTGGAAGAGCTTTTTCCTGTGCATTGTGAAAGTTCCCGTTTTCTCCATTGCGCGGTTTATACCAGCAAACTCTTCCACCAACTTATCAACCTGAGATAAATCAGATATCTCAAGCTCCCAACCTTAAACCAGTTTCTCACAGTCTCTGTCACTCTATGAAATAAGTTACCTGAGAAACAAAGTAATCCAATGCAATACTTTGTCCGAGCACACTCCCAATTATACGAATGCTATCAGTATCCAAAGTCTTGAGAACAATGTAGTCAGGACCACCTCGCATTTCCTCAGTCAACAAAGGTTTCTCCTTAACAGCATAATCTACACAAACAAAATCCAGAAAAAGGGTTATTCATCTGCAAAACTTGACACAATTGCTGAAGTAGTAAGAAGGAAAAAAAAATGGTTTAACAAGACCACTGACCATCTTTTCTCATTTCTGTAAGCAATCCAGAAGCATGTCTACGAACAATGTCGAGGTAAGACTCAACATCACTGTCATCAACATTGAATAAAACAGCAGAACCGTATTGAAAGACAACCATGAAACGGCAGCTGCTCACACTCTCCCTCTCGTCTAGACTCTGTGAAGAAGGGAGCACAAACATCAAAAACTGACTAAACCCACATAAAAGGTATATCAAAAGGCATGTCATTTGCAATTAGTAAACAGAAGTTTCACTTTCAGGTGCAATCATATTCAAACAAAATTTCATTACTTGAACACAGACGAAACAGCATAGTAATCTTACAGGGATTTTAGAAGAAGAATCAGAAAACTTGAGGGCAATAGAATTCGTAGAACGTGAGGTAGGAGGAACAACGTTGCACAAGTTGTCAGCTTGCATTCCCTTCAAATCGATACTGCCAAAACCATAAATCTGAGACACCAAATCATACAAGAAACCAGAACAAAAACACACAACTACTTATTGTATCTGGCAGCAAAAAACATTCAAAGCTATTCCAAAATCAAAACTTTAACTTTAAGAAATGAGTCCCAATTCTAAAACAAAATCAAAACTTTAACAATGCAATACGCAAAAAGCAATACCTAGTGCTGAGAAAATAGGCTTTGATTGGGATTTTCCCTCTATCTTCCTCTTCCTGCGTTCCAAAGTCGTAGCTTTGATACACATCTCCCGACCCAGAATCAGAGTCGTTGTTGTAAATCGAAATCGGAGACGGGAACGCCGAGAAGTGTCGGAAATCAAGTAAACGAGAAGCTTCTCTTCTCCGATGGAAACAGAGCGCCGGGTGTTTCAAAGCACATGGAGAAGAAGGCTTTAATGAAGAATTGACTATTTGATTACGAAGAACAAGAGCAGCAACTGCGCTCCATCTACCCATTCACAACAATCAAAAAATTGAAACTTTATTTTTTCACGTTCTCCGCTTCAAACCCAAAATCTCTCGATTACTTCGTGATTTGGAGATTTGCGATTGATTTTCCAAAGATATTGTTGCGTCCGAAGAATTCTCCGGCGACTACAGTTCCTTAACGAGAGTAAACCTCAGCTCAAGGCAAAATTTCCAAATGCGAACCGAAAAATCCTGAACCCGAACGAACCAAATTATTAAATAACCCGAATAAATTAACCGATTCTGAACCGAACTTTGATTACGTTTAAATATTGTAGTTGAAAACGACAGCGTTGCCTGATAGCCTTTTACTCTCTCACTCGTATTGAGTCGTAATCTCATCTCTCTTTAAACTGCGACGACCGAGAGATTCGCTTCTCAGGCGAGAATAATTCAACTTTCTCGGAAATCGGAAATCGGAAATGGCGTTGTCCGGGAGTCTCAGGATCTCTGCGAGCTTAGTAGCTCCTTATCATCACCACCCTAATCGCCTCTCATTACCTTCTTCGAAGGTCTGATTTCTTCCATTTCTACTCTACGGTTTTGAAATTTCTCCTCACGCCATTTTTGGGATCTAGGTTTCATGAAATTGGCCACTCCCTCTCCCGATTTCGCGTAACTTGTGAGTAGAAATAAGATTTGGAATGTCGATCTCTGACTTCTAGGTCTTAGGAAGAATCTGGATGCGTTTTTTTGGTTGGAAACCCAGAGATACAGCTCTTTTAGCTCTAGAATTGCTTGTTCATCGCTGGGACTATCATCTTCGTTTTTGTTTGTTTTCATAGAAGCAATTGCCACTGGACGCAAATTTTGATGTGTTTGGTGGTTTTGTTCAGCTCAATTTCTGGAAACTAAGGTTTAACAAGTCTCTGATTTTTTAGGAAAACCAGTGACTTCATCTCCATTTCCAGCTTCCTTTTTGTTATTTGATTTATTTCTTGGGATAAGAAGATTTTGATTGCTTCCTTTACCTATTTGCAGATGTTTGTGGTGCTATGACCTGATGTTTTGCTACTTAGTTAAAATGAGCTTGATGTTACAGTTTCTTTACCTATAGATGTACTACAATATAACTGAGTGTTGAAATGTTTGTAATCTGGAATTACAGAGCTGATCTTGGTTCTCTTCTGGCGTGTGATGTATGTAAATTGTGCAGGTTGATTTCACAGGATTCATAAGCAATGGCGCTAACAGTGTGGAAACTCAGAAATGTCCTGGAGTGTCAATCAGCAGCGAAAACAAACGTGGTCAAGTGAAAGTCTTTGCAAGGGACAACGGAGGAGACTATGAGCTATCACCAAGCCCAGCGGAGCAAGAGATTGAGAGCTTTCTCTTAAACGCCATCAACATGAGCTTCTTCGACCGGTTAAACATAGCGTGGAAGGTAATCTTCCCGTCACACGCGTCGAGAAGAAGCTCCAACGCAAGAATCGCAAAGCAGCGGCTCAAGATGATCCTCTTCTCAGACAGGTGCGCCGTGAGCGACGAAGCCAAGAGGAAAATCGTCAACAACATCGTCCACGCGCTGTCGGACTTTGTAGAGATCGAGTCGGAGGAGAAAGTTCAGCTGAACGTCTCCACGGACGGCGACCTCGGGACGATTTACTCGGTGACGGTGCCTGTCAGGAGAGTGAAACCGGAGTACCAAGACGTGGACGAGGCTGGATCTATAACCAACGTGGAATATAAAGATACGCTTGATGGCTCTGTGGACGTCAGGTTCGATTTTTATGTACCGGAGTGATAAGAGAAGGCAAAGGTCGTAGAGTGTATTATTGTTTGTGTTTTTCTTGTTGATGTTCTTGAAAGTTTTAGTTTGGAGGGGAAGCAAAATACAGTTTCTTTATACTCTCTTCATGTATATATATGGAAAACTCGTCACTTCTAAAAGGTTTTTAACTGTTTTTGTCACTACTGGGTCAAGTTCATAGCAAGAAGTAAGAACAGACTCAATGTTAAATTCAACCAAAATATGGTGTAAAAGTGTAAATGGAGTAAGAACATTTCAAAGTAGTATGGGCTTAAAAATATCGGCCCATAAGCCCATTAACCCGTTTGGGAGCGCGACCCGGATTTTGAAATTGTTCAGGTGTTCGTTCATCAATCGCAAATCGCTCAATCATTTTGAAATTGAGGAGCGGGATTCGAGGATTTTCGAATTCGCCACTCTCTTCGTCTTCGTCGTCTTCTTCTTCTTCTAGAGATAACTTCTGCTTCGGAAGTGATTTCGGTATTTGAATTCTGGGTTTGAGCCATGAGTGTCAGCGATGATCGAATTGAATTTGAAAACCCTATAGAGGACGCGGTTTCGAGGCTCAGGTTCTCTCCAGAGTCAAACAATCTCCTTGTTTCTTCTTGGGATTCTGTGAGTTTCTTCATCTTCTTTTTTCCGGATCTCAGAATCGATGATTCATTTGGTGTCAGAGACAGAATGAGAATTCGATTTTTAGTGAAACGATTTCATTTTGTTGGTTTTTGCAGTATTTGAGATTGTACAATGTGGAGAGCTCTTCGCTAATTGTGGAATTGTACTCTGGAGCTGCTCTTCTCGATTGCTGTTTCGAGAATGAATCAACTTCGTATAGCTCTGGCTCCGATGGATTCATCCGAAGGTTTGCAATTTACCAGAAATTTTAAAATGAGTTTTGGTATTTGTATGAAGCGAGGATCTTAAGTGTTGATTATGACCTTTTCATGTGTTTCGAAATTGAAATTCAATTGGTTCAAAAAATGTGTGTTTCAGGTACGATTTAAACGCAGGAGCAGTGGATACAATTGGAAGACATGACGACATTGCAACATCCGTCATGTGCTCTTCTGAAAAAGGTCAGCTTTTCTTTTTAACTCATCCAAGAACTTTTAACAACTTTCAAGGTCACTTGCTACAGTTTCTAGTTCAAAGTCCATGTTGAAGTACACGACTCACAATCTTGATTGGTGCTATAATATGCAACTATTTAATCTCAAGTGGTGTGATGCTGCTGCTCAGGTGAAGTGATCTCTACTGGTTTGGATGAGAAGATAAAATTCTGGGATACAAGACAAGGAGAAAGCCTTTTGCTTTCGACTGACGCTGGTGCAGCAGTGCGATGCATCACTGTATCTGGAAATAACTTAGTAGCTTGCGTCGAAGCATCAATGCATGTATATGATCTGCGTAACTTACATCAACCATTCCAGTCTTACGCTTCACAAGTGGAGGTTCCAATCAGATGCATCACCTCTGTTCCTTATTCCAGAGGTAAACAAGTATCCGTGATCTTACATAGCTTACATAGAGACCATTGTCCAGGGTTTGAGGTTTTGGTTTGATTACTGAAATGTTTGTAGTTGCTCATCAGCAGGATATGCAGTTGGCTCAGTAGATGGACAAGTAGCCTTGGATTTCCCCAATACATCATGCTCCAGTGAGATAAAGTAAGTCATGATTGAGCACTTTCGTTGTGGCTAGTTCTCTTATTGTTTTGTATGTCTCTTATTAATTTTTCATGGCAGCTACACTTTCCGATGCCATCCAAAGTCTATGAAAGGAAGACTCAATGGTACATGCATAAACGCCATTGAGTTTAGTCCATGGTATGTTCGTTTGTCTCATTCAACATCTAATGGTTTTTAGATGATTGATCCACTGGCTCACTCTGTCTTCTTGAAACTTGCCACAGTGGGTCAGGGAACTTTGTGACTGGTGACAACGAAGGATACGTTATCTCATGGAATGCTAAAAGCAAAAAAAGACTCTTTGAGGTTTTCAAACACTAAAACATGACTTCTTCTCTATATATTACTGTTCTTGTCTCTCTCTCTCTCACTCTCCTCAACAATCTTTTGTGTTTTCATTGCAAAAGTTGCCAAGGTACTCAAATAGTGTCGCGTCTTTGGCTTTTAACCACACTGGAGAGCTCTTGGCTGTTGCATCAAGCCACACTTACCAAGACGCTAAAGAGAAGTGAGTCTCACACTCTTCTTGCTGGTCTTTACTTCTTCTTGTTTGTTTCATCATCGTCATCATGCAACCGATATCTTCTTGTCTTTTGCAGGGAAGAAGAACCTCCTCAAGTGTTCATACACAGGTTTTGAAGGACTGTTAGCTTCTTGAATCAAAGCATGAATCCTTTACTTTTCTAGCTATTTTGTTTGTTATTTGTGTTTCTTGGCAGTTGGCAAAGTAGAATTTATGGTATGTACTAGTTTCTTGACTTGTAATTATGGAAGCAAAGCTTCAACATGTATGAATGTATTTATATACGTTCATGTTCTCTTATCCTCAGAGCTTCAATAGTTAGTCCACTATTTTGCTTCCCCTTGTGTAAATTATGAAGTTATAAACTATTCTCTTGACCTCTGTTTTTTCTGTTTCTCATTATCTTTCCTTCACCAACATAGTGGAAAAGTGAAAACATATGCTAAGTTTCATCACTTTGTATTATATTCAAAAAAATACTCAAAACATTATCCAATTAGTTTTTTCAAATTAATTAAATAGAGAATCTAACATCTACGAATACGAATACCATCAGCAAACAGACGCCGCACGTGTAGGGCCGCGTATATAGCACGCGATATATGTCGATAAATCTGGACTGTACATTTGACTAAAAAGGATCCAATCCAACGGAATAATTGGAATACGCAACCGTCGCTCTCTCAGGCTTACTTTCGTCGTCTTCTTTCTCCCCATTTTCTTCAAGTTCTATAAAAATTGAATACCACTTCCTCTGAAACTGATTATTCTCTCCATTCTTTGCGTGGCCAAATCATTCACTCGTCTCGTCTTCCCAATTCGCTGAAAACATGTCGGACGAGGAGCATCACTTCGAATCCAGCGACGCCGGAGCTTCGAAGACGTATCCTCAGCAAGCTGGTAACATCCGTAAAGGCGGTTACATCGTCATCAAGGGCCGTCCCTGCAAGGTCTTATATCCTTCCTCTCTGGTTTTCGGATTCCGGAATTGTAATTAGGCCTGCGCTGTGCTAACTTCTCTGTTCCGGATTCTGAATCTCTATTTAACATTTGATGATCATACGCTGAAATTGTATCGATTTGATCCTACTGTGTGGTGGTTTAGGGATTAATTTTGAATTGCTTGATTTTGATTTGGTTGAATTTTGGATAGGTGGTTGAGGTTTCGACTTCAAAGACTGGAAAGCATGGTCATGCGAAATGTCACTTCGTTGCCATTGATATCTTCACTTCTAAGAAGCTCGAAGATATCGTTCCTTCTTCCCACAATTGTGATGTTCCACATGTGAACCGTACGGATTACCAGTTGATTGATATCTCTGAAGATGGCTTTGTATGATTATCTCATTCTCATTCTAACTTTCTTTTTTTTTTTTATTAGCTCGGCTTTGTTTTTGACTTGGGCACAATGTTTTTGTTCTTGATTACAATTTTTACAGGTCAGTCTTTTGACTGATAATGGTAGCACTAAGGATGATCTCAAGCTCCCAACAGATGAAGCTCTGCTCACACAGGTTACATTTTCTTGACTTTCTCATGGATAGACTCAAATCAACTGTTCATGTGATATTGGTTGGCTCACTTGGTTATGTGGTGTGTGAATGCAGCTCAAGACTGGGTTTGAAGAGGGTAAGGATATAGTTGTGTCTGTCATGTCTGCAATGGGAGAGGAACAGATGTGTGCCCTGAAAGAAGTTGGTCCCAAGTAACAAAGAAAGGAGAATTTATCTTTCTCTGCTCCACTTTGACGGAGGAAATATCATCAGTTTGACTGACATAGTCAAATATTATCATAAGAAAAAAAGTTTGGTCTTTTTTCTGTTTCTTCATAGTAATTTAAACCTTATACTGTATGTGTTTTTGATCATTGATGAAAGACGCATTTATCTATACTATTGGTTTTGGTTGTGGAGAAGTTACTGTTTACAGTTCCAAAGCTATAATATTTTACTACATATGTGATGTGAATGTGATACTCTTAGCGTAAGTGCCAAGTGTTAAGTTTCGTAACCACAAATCATTTTGGTTATGGGTAATGTCAATATTACTTGTGTTCCCTCTCTTTTAAGTGCTCTCTTTGACGGATGAACAAGATCATATCTTCTTATATTGGGTTAAATGGGCCAGTAGGCCCATAACAAATAATAAAAATGATTACCGCATTGCGTATTCGGCCATTTGGAATCATGATGCGGCTTAACGTGGTATCATCCATAACCTTAATGTTGAAAAGTTTCGAATTAATACAATCGAGACAACAAAAATTAATTGGATATATCATGGGGCGAAAAGCACTTTCCAATAATCATCATCTTTGTAGTTTTGCAGCACGCTAAATTAGTCAATAGTAAAGTTAAGTAACATGTCAAGATATCAAATTCCTCTCTTCATTACTACTCATCAAGTAGTAATTGCCCCCACCTCATATCATTGCTTCTTCCATTGCCAACAAGTTCACAACACCACAGCCTCACAATTTATAATTTTAGTTCACAATTCCATAAACTTGTGAATATGAATGAAACATTGTTTTTATGTTTTGTCAACGGACCTAATAATAGCCTGTATTGATACATGAATTGAAAATAAGGAGGGATCGAGTCAAAAATTATGGAGTCACGGGAATGGGTAGGGAGGCACAGTGCACGTGGCTAAAAGAAAAGACCCAAGCAAATGAGAACAAGTCCCTCTCACTTTCTCTTGTATGTCCCCATCTACTATTCTGTAATATTCGTTCGTTAGATCATGTATATCCTTTATCCTTCCACAACATTCAAAACTATTTACACAAATTTTATATTTAATTTTGTCAAGCCAAAAAGCTGTTGATATCGTCCTTATCGTTTTTGTTTGTAGTGGCATTGCTAGTTGCTACCACAGAATTGACTTTTTATTTTTTTGTCGACGAATTGACTTTCTTACACAAAATCCAATTCTTCAATGTTCATCCCGTGGGTTTTCCTCGAAACATGTTTCTTTACTATTGTTAATGATATGGTAGATGAACGTATAATCCATTAATCCTTACTGTTTGTTCAAAGAACCCTCAAGAAAAGAAACAAAGTTCATTAGTTAAGATGTTGACACAACAACATGTTCCCACACATATGTTTTGCCAATTTTAAAACAAATTTTGGCTATTAGCAAATAAGCCCGTTACAAATATTCTTATATAGCGACATGCATGTACATAGCCATTTTTGAAACTTCTACAAAAACCAGACGTTACGAAATATATGAAACATGTTTTTGTATAGAAAAAGGAATTTCTTTGTCACTTGCATGGAAGTGATGATTATGGAATGATGTAGCTCAGTTCAAATGATTTACGAGGAGATCAACAAAAATGGAGAAATTTCGAGACTACGGATTCAAATACTTGTCAACGGATGAGACTTGGATTTTCACATAATTTTTTTTTAATATATATTCGTTGATCTAGTCATAGATAATATTATTCTCGGAAAAATGATGAACTTAGGTTGTAACTGGTGACAAGGAATGAGGAGGAATAAGACAATTCTCCTTTACTCCTTAAAAGTTACACCATTTATAAGTAATATATATTTCATATTATTCCTTATCATTTCATATTAATTAGGGAATTATAGTATTAAAATATTCTTTATAAAGTATGAGGAGGAATGAATTCTATATATTTTATTCCTCTTCATTCCATTTTTTCTTGTTCATTTCGTTTTTTTACATGTCACAGCCGTAGAATATGACATTTTAGTTACAAAAAAAGAGTAATATGGGATTCGCACAAATGTTAGTTGCGAGTTGCGACCGGATATCTCGATCAACGATTATCCCGTATTAACCGGGCGTAGCTTATTTTATTTTATGTCCGTGTGTTCAGTTCGAAACAACCGACGATTAATTTACTTTAATTAATTACGTATTTAGGATTTTTATAAGAATGCTTGTCTATACATTACCTCATCGGTTTTCTTCCTTTTTCGATAACACTATTAAATTGCTCTCTCCTACCAAGAAAAGAAAACAGAATATGAAGAAGGAAAACGACATACGTAAAGAGGTCCTAAGAAATTTAATGCTTCACATTTACTCCTTCACCCACACAAACCTTTTGTCCCTTTTTAATGATCTTTTGAGTTTTTTCTTCTTTAAAAATACTCATTCGACACTAGTAAAATAAAACATTAAAAAGGAGTATATACCTTTACCCAAATATTAAACCTAAATCAAAATTTAAATGAAAAATATATGTACAACTTTAGTTGTTAAACAAATTATCCAAATGCTACGATTTCTCCGGCGGTTAGTTTCATGGGATGTAGCAAAACTAAAGCCGTTCGAAACATGTGTTATCCGGATTTTTGAATTGAAATTTTCATTTTTCTAAGAAAAACCATAAATTTTCGTCTCTGCATGCAAAGTCTACGTATATTAAAGTTTATATCGAGGTAATAGACATGTAAGACATTGGCTTTCGATCCAAATGAACCTTTTTAAGAGAAGTGGCAATAAAAAAAGGTAACTAAAACGCAAACCAATTACAAAAGAAAGTTTATCTTTTCTACACAAAAGTCTCATTTTTCTGACAAAAGAAAGACCATAAGAGACATACCAGCTACCAAAGCTCTTAAAATTTCAACAAGAATCATAAAAAACATTGAAATAAAATAACAATCCTAACCATATAGGAAAAAATAATTTATCTTCCCTCGACCGTCATTTTCTTGGTGCTATGTTCTGTCACTCTCAATTTTCTTGGTCCTCAGAATATAAAAAATTCAAATGAATTGTGGGAGCTAGCTACTTAAATAATAGTCTTCCATTTAAAAATGTTTGTATTATAATCTTCCTTGTGAATGTTTTCAAAATTCTCTTTAACCAAATCGGCTTTGATTCTTGTAACATATTGACTGTAAAGTGTGCAGAGTAGTTACCAGTTTGGAAGACAAACATTTAAGACAAAAGTCCTTTGGTACCAACATTAAATGTGAACCTGAGGTAATTCAATACACAAGGACACATTGTAATCAGATCAAAGATGGATATCATTAGACTACCTAATCTCACAATTAAAACCTGCAAAATGTAATTATGCTCATTTAAGGGTGAAACGATAAAGGTAAAAAAATTTAGTGGGTAAAAAAGTAAAAGTGGAGAGTGATGATAATTTAACAAAGGAGAAAGAAAACAAGTGTTACTGTGATTGCCAGCAACGGGACTGTGACACATGATTTGGCCTTGGAGAAAAGGTAACTGCTTTTCATCTCTTAATTATAACTCTTTTTCCCTCTCTCTCTCTCTTCCATGGTGGGTTCTTTAGATCTCTGGACTAAAGCTCAAAGCTTTGCACAGAAGGTACAGAGAGAATCAGAGAAACCACAAACAAAGAATAGTCTACTTTTCTTTTTGTTTCTATTTGAAATTTTGCTTATTTACTTTTCACACAGTGGTCAAATGTCTTCTTCTCTACTCTTCTCCCCTTTGCTCTGAAGAGAGACTATTCTTACTTTTTAGTCCGTGAGAGAAAGAAAGAGAAAAATGTTGGATTTTTGGAGAAGATGAGTGGAAAAATGAAACGTCTTTCTGTTTATTTGACTTGAGTCTCTTCGATCTACATCTGGGTTTTTGCAGCATTCTAGAGGAAAATGAGGAAACATGGATGGCAACTTCCTTACCATCCTCTCCAGGTACTCCAAATCCTTCCGATTCTTCTTGTTCTGATTGAAATTTCTGTGGAGGGTTTCGATTATTGAGGTGAAAGTTTGAAACTTTTGTCACTTTCTGGGTAGGTGGTGGCTGTTGCTGTGTTCTTGGCTCTAGGGTTTGCGTTCTACGTCTTCTTTGCTCCTTTTGTTGGGAATAAGATTCATCAGTACATTGCGATGGGCATTTACACTCCCCTGGTAAGCTAAATTTGTTTACTTTTGCTTTCCGAAATCAAATCTGCTTTCGGATTAATAGTTCTTGAAAGGCTTTAGAGATCAAAATTGAGTACTTGTTGGACGTTTATGCGTTGTCTCTATTCTGTTGTCTTTCCATTTCCGGGAATTGCTTATCTTTTTCCTGAGGTACATAGAGACCATTGGTTCCACAATCTATCATGCCTTTGTGAATTTTTGTTGCTTATAGCTAATTAGGGAAAATTGGATTTTACCTTTGCCTTATAGTGGCTTCTTGATCTGGTCCCATCTAGAGATCCTAAGCCTCACTTATTCATGAAAATGTGCAAGTTAACTCTAGATACTCGTTGATTCCGAGCCAATTTAAGCTTATGGTTGGAATTTCAACTGATTTAAGCTAAAACCTTCTACTTTGGTATCTGCTTACAATGTGGTATTGTTACCTCCATTATATGCAAAGATTGAGTCTTTGAAAATTGTGTTTTACTTTTTCCTTTGGATGGTTTGGTTTGGTATCCTCTTAGAGGTTAACATGAGTTAGTGAACATTTTTTCCAGATTACATGCGTGGTTGGACTGTATATATGGTGTGCGGCTTCAGATCCTGCGGACCGTGGAGTTTTCCGGTCAAAGAAGTACCTGAAAATTCCTGAAGACGGAAAATTCCCTCAGTCAAAGGATTCAAAAGATGGATGTGGATCAGTCACAGCTAAGTCTCATGACAGCACATGTGTGCAGGATGCAGAAAATGGAAGTACTAACAAGAAACTGGAATCATCAGAAAGATCTCCTCTCCTGCGTTTGCTTTGCTCTCCTTGTGCATTGGTTTGTGGTTGTTGCAGTGGAAGAGATGAATCTTCTGAGCAGGAGATGAGCGAGGATGGGATGTTTTATTGCAGTCTGTGTGAAGTTGAGGTGCGAGAAAACATTTGAAAACATCACAAACTTGTTGAATATTAAGAAAGCTCTCCAGATGCTAAGGACTAATACTTTGTCTGGATATTGTATTTTCTTTTTGTAGGTCTTCAAATACAGCAAGCATTGCAGAGTTTGTGACAAATGCGTGGACCGTTTTGATCATCACTGCAGGGTATTAAAAAGGATTTGCCTGAAAATGTCATGTCATGACTTTACTTAAACCCTTCATTCTGTTTATTAGCTCTAATCTTCTTATGCTTATGGACTTGTGTAGTGGCTTAACAACTGCATTGGCAAGCGGAACTACCGAAAATTCTTCAGCCTTATGATATCAGCTATCTTCTTGGTAAGGTTGCCTTGATATTTCACAACTTTCTTTAAATGTTCTCTTCTGTTTCTCTCTCTGCTGTGATATGTTGATGAATCAAAGAGCTGGTTGTTCTGTTCATTGACTTCAAGTTAGACACTTATTAACCGGCATAAACGTTGTGTTATTCAATGGACTTGATCTTGCAGCTCATAATGCAATGGTCAACTGGGATTTTTGTGCTGGTATTGTGTTTACTGCGGAGGAACCAGTTCAATGCAGACATTTCCTTAAAGTTGGGAAGCAGCTTCTCGCTAGTTCCATTTGTTATAGTTGTTGTAAGTTTATCTTCTCATGCAATTAATCTTCTCCCACTGTCTCCTGAATGCAAGCTATAAACGTTTCTTGCTCTTGCAGGGTGTTTGCACTCTATTGGCAATGCTGGCAACGCTACCACTCGCTCAGCTTTTCTTCTTCCACATTCTTCTCATCAAGAAGGTTGTTTCCAATGCTCAAGAACTTGCTCCATTAACTATACAGTTAACTTAACAAGTTTTCTTTAACAGGGAATCAGTACATACGACTACATAGTTGCGCTGAGGGAGCAAGAGCAAGACCAAGAAGGTGGTGGAGGACAACAGAGCCCTCAGATGTCAATGATCAGCTCATTCACTGGACTCAGCAGTGCAAGCTCCTTCAATACGTTTCATCGTGGAGCCTGGTGCACACCACCACGCTTGTTTCTTGAAGATCAGGTACCATAATTTCACAAGTATAATTATATACAATGCAAAATACTGTAATTTGTGCTCTAATGTGTGTGTTTCTATTAGCAGTTTGATGTAGTCCCTCCAGAGAACGCGTCTGTAAGTTCATACGGGAAGAAGTCAGTGGTTGAGGAACGCGTCAAGAAGAAGACACAACCTGTGAAGATCAGTCCATGGACTCTAGCACGTCTCAACGCAGAAGAAGTTTCGAAAGCAGCAGCAGAAGCAAGAAAGAAGTCAAAGATAATCCAGCCTGTGGCAAGACGAGAGAATCCTTTCGTTGGCTTAGAAGCAAGCAGCAGCTTTGGAAGCAGCGGCCGTAGAATGTTCCCAGCGAAGTTCGAAGCTTCCAACAGTAACAGCGGGAAGCAGCGAAGACAGTCTAAACGCATACGGTTACCAGCAGAATTGCCTCTAGAGCCACTGATGAATGCTCAGTCAAAGGCAGCTATTATGATGGAGACATCAACTAGCTCAGGGCTAGCTCCTCTTCAGCTAGAAGCAAGAAGCGCGTTTCAGACAAGCCGTGCAATGTCAGGGTCAGGTGGTGGTGTTATGATGGTGACATCTTCACCAGAGAGCAGCTTAGACTCACATGACATTCACCCTTTTAGAGTGTCCTCTGAAGCAGAAGACTCAGCACAGCTCAATGGGTTTTCTTCAGCTGTTGGTCTGATGGGTCAACAGAGAGGACAGCAACAACAACAACAACAACAAGAACAGCAACAGCAGTCCATGATGATGATGATGATGCCGTTGTCAAGGTCTACAAGTGACGGCTATGATGCATCTGGTGGAGAAGACAGTGATCAGGTTCCTTCTAGGAACATCCACAAATCAAGATGAGAAGTGTAATAGCAATCAATCGCTCTAGTTTTGGCTTTTTAAGGATTGAGAGAATCCTTTGAGGCATTCTTTGATTAATGGGCTAGTGACATTCAAATGGATTTGAGCAAGAACAGTCAAAACATTCTCAGACAAATGTTTATGGGGCTTTTACAGTGTCTGAGTTTTAGGAGAAGCACCAATGGATTAAGAAGAAAAAAAAACAAAGACATTTGTGGATTCTTTATATTTTGTTTTTAAAGTACTGAGCCATTTAAACATGATATTTTAGGGATTGACCACAACTTTCTTTGCTTGCCTTGTAAGGAAAAATCTTTGTTTTTCTTATAAAAATGTCAATTTGCAAGTTGTATAATTGCCAAAGTCCAGAGAGTCTGAGAGTTGAATATATTAATTTTAGATGAAAACAATGGATATTAAATTAACAAAATAAAAATATATTTACTACTACTTACTTGGATACTAAAACATTGGGAAATTGACTGACATTAGTAGAAAATAAATAAATAGAAAGATTAGTTAATCGGCAGTTCTCCTATTAAGTATGATCTATGAATATAGTTTTTTGGACTAAATATAACAGAGACGACGCTTCAAATTTCCACTCGTAGCACCTTTTCTTAAATCATATGACCAAAACGTTCTTGCTTAATCAAAGTACACACATTTTTTCTCTCTTGTCGCTCAATCTCTGCACAACAAATTAAATAACACTAGTTTAGCGCGGATTACTTTATTACGGTAATTTGACAATAGTTTAGATTTCTTAAGATAAAATAAAACACACATACATATAAAGGCTATCAAATTAATGAAAATTTAAGAGTTGTTCAATGACCTTGAATTCTATTTGTCCAAATGCTATTAATCAAGTTACTAGTTTTAGAACCAATTTGCTATTTTGGTATCATAAGGTCCCATCTGTCCTATGAACAATTCTCATGGAATTTGCATCTGTAGTAATGCTCTTTATACGTTGGAGATGACTACTTAAGAGTAGTCATATGTCTAACAAACCAAACATATCATTTTTTTACCTCTTTTTCCTTTCTGATTTTGATATATTCATTCTTCTTTGATGATTTTAATAGTTTGTCTTGACTTGTAATCTAAAATAATTTAAGTATTTTGTGTTTGAAGAGAACAAGTTCGTCCGTCACTGAAGTGTATATCCAGTAATTTGTGTTTGCAGAAATGAATCTTGAAGTTCATTGTCCGTCAGTGACAATATAGTTTATTTTAGAGGCATCATGTTTATTACACTGTTTTGTATTTGAAGCTAACATGCTTGAAGTTCAATGTACGTAGTGACAATAAAGTGATATATATATATATATATATATATATATATTTTTTTCGGAATGTTATGGTTTAAATTAAAATATATATTTTCTTGCAAAAAAAAAAATTAATATTCAAACATGTTTTTGGTTTCCCTCACGAACATTTTTCAAATATGTTCTCTACGATAAAGTAATTTACGACCCAAAAACATTCACCATGGATGTTATGGTCCTTTTTTAGGTGCGGTTAAGTAGAAATGGTGATATGTGTATCGTTTCTGTCTACAATGGCAAGGTAGAAGTGAGATTTCAAAATGATAAAAGGGAGATTGGTAAATGAAAATGTGGAATGAAAATGGTAGATAGAAATAGTGGGAAAGAAATGGGTATATATATTTTGGGCCATAGAGAGACTGATTTTGGGCCTAAATGTTATGCTTGTTATGAGCCTAAAACTTCAACTGGAAAACTAGTTAAGGATTTTCATGCCTAAATTGATCGAGATTATTTAGCACTAACAAAACACTAAGGAACTTACTTACATGATCATTCTTTTCATAAAAGACTGAAACTTGCAAAAACTACCCAGACTGTTGGGTTGGCACACCGCACACGTGTCTGTGAACCTAGTTGCTACATGTAGTAATCTAGTACCAGAGTTTAGGAAACAGTATTGTCAAATGTGAACTATTGGATCATAGAGTGAAGTCCACCATGATGGGATTGGATCATGTTGTTTGATGGGATATTTTTACAGACGACATGCAATGATTCTGTCTCTCTTTGCCACAAAAACTACCAATCTATTGTGTTGGCTCCAATAATTTCTTTCGTATTTCTTGGTATCCAAAAGTTTCCAAAAACAATTTATTTATTTTTGTCGTCTAGTGTATAAGAACTTTAACAAAGGATAATCAATAACATGTCATGTAAATATTATGTTTCACTGTAACTCGAGCAAAAAGAATTCCTAAAAATAGAAAGATGATATAGCTTATTATATTTGATACATGTTGGATTGATAGTGGACACATAACACGTATCTTTAAATACTCTTTTCGAGATGAATATGAATCCTAGCTAAAACCTACCGTATGCTCTTCTCCAGCTACAAGCCTACAATAGCCTTGTTCTTAACTGTTCAAATGCTCCAGAGACCAGAGTAGTTAACACAGAGACAAATTTTGTCAACTAACTTGCAAGACAAGAACAAAGATTTGACTACACATGGACAGTTCATTCGAGATGTGCTACAGTTTTGGGCAAAATATAACTTTGTTAACTTTAACTTCAGCATAAATTATTGAAAGTAACCCAATAATTAGTTTGAATGTATAATTTAGCAAGGGTGATAGAGCAAGTACCTCAGTTATATACGATTACTGATTGCACACATGTATAGTTATAGATATTAATATGTATATTCCTTTATAATTTTTTTCTTAAAAGAGAGAGAGAATTTGAGACAGTTTGGTACTAGTTCTCTCACTTCTCTGGAGAATTTAAGTTCCCAAGAACTGGAAAAGATGAAAAAGAAAATCAAAAGATGCACATTTTCATATTCTTTTTCCCTTTTCATATTTTTTTGACAACTCATGAACACAGACTCCCTAATTCCTCCTTTTGTACATTGTTATAACAAATTCATTCATTTATTCTCTCTTTTGGTCCTCTGTGTCGTCGTTATTAAAAAATCATAAAGTGAAGAGTAAATATTTTGATATGGCTTCGTCTGCTGCAAACTCTCTGCCCATTTCATTAACTACACTTTCTTCCAACCTGCAAACTTATTCATTTTTTCCATTTTCTCTCTTTTGTCCTTTCTCTTGTTTTGGGACTTTCACCTTTCCTAACTTCCAAAGCTTTATCTCTTTCAGAGCATTTAATTCTTTTCATAATGGTACTTTCAAATTTATTCTCAATAACAGCTATTTCTCTTAAATCATGACAGTTTGAATTTAACATTTGGAAAAAAAGCAAAATTTTTGGAGTCCCTACAAATTACTACTCTTTAGTTTTCAAGTGCTTGGTTGAAATTTGGCCTTGATGTGATATTTAATGTGATTGAATTACTAAGTTAGTGGTTGTGGTTGTAATCGTAGAAACATAAATGATCAACTTCATGCATCCAAACAAAACAACAAAAAGAACTTTAAATTTCCTTTTCCCCATTTTAAAGATTATACTATAAAATAGTACTAATACTCACTGTTTGAGCTTTTTCAAGTTCAATAATTGGCGGTGGCTTGGTATTGGTCATGGTAATAACATCATGTGATTAATTTAAAATGGAACATTATATTGGCTTATATCTCAAGGAACTCAAAATCAAGAACTTAGAAGACGACAGAATCAAGAACATTTCTTTATATTATAAAATCAACAATAAAACATGAGATTCTTAACACTATCACTTAATTTAGGTAATGGAATCGTCTTGGGAGGACCAACTCGTGACACAGAAGAAAGATTCAATGATCCTCCATTAGTTTCAGATGATCTCTCAATGTACAACCTTCCTCTGTAAGCTGCAAGGTGAGCGTAATAAGCCGGTGGCACAATAGAAACAGGTTTCGTGCACCTCACGAAAGTGTAACACAAGTTATACACAAGTCTCTGCAGCTCATCTGAAGTAAACTCGTTCTCGTCCCACAAGATGTGATAATGCGTTGGCCTGCTCGTGCCCTTCACTCCCAAATGGCTACAGAGATAGAAATCAAACTCTTTCGGATGTGTTATCACCGAGTCAACCACCGTTCCAGGAGGGATGTTCTCGTGGTCAGGATCGCACCGGAACAGCCTCGTGTGGTGTCGTTTCTGGACCACTGCGAACGTGATGCTCGGATTGTAACCGTCGAACTTAGAACAAGCGGTCTTGATGGACTGAAGCTCTTCTTGGAGGACTTTCTTGAACTGAGTCTCGCTCACACCGTCTCTGAAGAATATGATCCGATTGGGAAGCTTGTTCACGGCTTTGTAGAAATCTTCAAGAAGTTCCTTGACCATCAAGTCAAGATCTTGAATGATCTCTTGCCTATGAGTCTGAGACCTCATTCTCGAGACATAACGGTTAGCTTCTGGCCAGTTTATGCTCCCAACCACAGCTGCTACCGAAGGGCTACAATCATCAAACGGATGAGGATGCGTTACATCAGCTCCCATGAAGATCACTGGCTCATCGAGTCTAAACAATCTTGGGATGTGAGAAGGTAACGACTTGTAGAGCTCAGTCATGGATCCACCAATCTTGGCGTTTATCTTGAGAGCCAAGTTTGACACAAACTGAGAATTGAGCTTAGTGATGTTAGTGTATAAGCAGCATTGCGTCACAACGCCGATTCTTGTCTCTGCTATCCGCTTTAGATCTCCATACCCTTTATGTTTTCTCTCCATCACACAGATAATCAGCTGGAGATTGCTAGACGCAGCTCTTTGAATCTCCTTCAGTTTCGATTCGAGAAGCGAGATGTTGTTGAGTATGTGTGATGGCTCAAAGAAGATGCTGCTTGTTGCGTTCTTGCTTAAGAAGACTCCCAAATGCTCACACTTTTGAGTCAGATCGTTTATGAACTTTGGAATGGTAGATTTCTGATCCGTGCTGCCTCCTATACTCATCAGAGCCCATCTCTCGACTCGGATCCCTTTAAAGACTCGACTTTCTTGAAGATTCTTTGGCCGGTCAAGTTTAAGCTTTGGAGGCTGAAGTATTCTTCCTTTCAGCAATGTCATCTCTCTTGCAACCTCTAGGTTGAATTCTCTCGTTTGCTTTCCGCTGTCAAGCCAAAGAAGCATAAAGATTAAACCTTTATTGATGTTAACGACTCAAAGACTCGGTTAAACTGGATTTACCTCGATGGACCGACCGGTCCTGCCATGACATTGTCAATAATAGCTTTCCTTTCGTTTGGTCTTTGGCAGCCCATTTTCATGATCTTTGCAGCTTGATCATCAGAAAGCTTTCCAAGAAACTTCTGACCTTCACAGATCATACACAGCTCCACAGGAAGGTAACAAGGTCTTGTCCTACTAATCTGAAGACAGGGCAAGTTCTTGTACTGAATCTCATAACTATAGTGGTCTTTGAAGTAGCTCATAAGCCTTAACTGCTTCCCATCTCTATCCGGAAACCATAGATTCTCTGTTATCTCCTCTGTTAACCCGTAAACACGATACCTTTGAACAGTTTCTCTATGACAAACAAAGACTCTTATGTTCTTTAGAGCTTTCTCCACTTCTCTCATTTCCTCCAAACTCAATTCTCTACCTTTGTTTCTAGGAAGATCCTTGAGAAACTCTAGCCGCTTCTGCAAGTAAGCTATCACTCCAATGCTTTCATGGAATGCTGTGATTGAGAGATCCATGTTAAGAGCTAAACCTTGCTGAGTCTGTCTGAGACTCTGGAAAAACCCTCTGAGTCCAACAGCTCCTCCTCCAATCTCTTTAGATCCACCCATAGAGTTTGAGTAAAACGATCTTCCCATCGATGTACACTTCTCCAATGGATTCTCTCTCAAGATAACATCAAGAGCATGAACGTATTCTTGAGGCAGAGGAGCCCAATCTTCTCCTTCCTTCCTCTGTTCCTTACCATCAAACTTAGACACAAGCCTCATGTTAACCTTAAACAGTTTATCAATATGATTCTTCTGAGTTTGCTTCTCTAGCAAGTCACCGTTCTTCACCATAGTTTTGCAAGATGGGATAGGGAGATTAACAAAGAACTCAAGCCTGTCTTCCTGAAACTCCACAGGGCTATAAATGTTTTGCCTACCATCAAACGCCGGGACAGCACCGGAGAAGCTGCTCTGTTCGGTCTCCACCAGCTTTTGTTTGATCATCCGAGCAATTTCTTTAGAAGGTTGTGGAGAGATGTCAACGTTGTAATGGTAAATCCTCTGTAAAGGATCAAACTTGACAAGAATATGGTTGGCGAGAAGGTAAATGACAGAGCCTTGTTGACCTCCAGAGTCAGGTCTTTTAGCAACCACTAATGCTTCTTCTGCTAGTTCTGTTCCTATGGACCCACTCACTTTGATGTTTCTACTGTTGGATTCATGTTCAGAAACTTGTTTCTTCTTCTGCTGCTGTTGATGTTGCTGTTGTTGCTTTCTCTCCACAACTGTTTGAGGAAGAGCAAATGAGTGAGTCAAAGTCAAACAAAAGTTTTTTTTTTTTTTTTTTGATGGAAAGACAAAAGATGCAAATGAATCAGTACCAGTAGAGAGTATTTAAGAAGACAGAGAGTTTCTTTCTGAGTAAAAGTTTCAGACATTAAGACATTAAAAAGAACATTAAAGAAAAAGTGATAATGTTGTACAGAGAGGACTCAAAGGAGGACCATATAGACATTCACACAACAATTATAGTGTGTTGGAAATCACACCAAGAACAACAAAGGGTAAAGAGATAGCCTTGAAAAACTCGTTCAATATTAATAAAAAATAAAAACAAGAATCTTGACAAAGGAACCAAAAACATGCAAGAAACAGGGAAGAAGAAAGAAACCAAGAACATAAAAAAACGATTTTTATGAAGGTTTGTTACCTGGAGAAACAGAGAGAGACTTGTGGAATCTTTGTTGAAGAGGAGGAGGGAGGGAAAGTAAAGGAGGAGGAGGGAGAGGGAGAAGAGGAGGAAGAGAGTTGTGAAATTGAGAGTAGAAGCAGTAGTAGTAATAGTAATGGAGATTGGAGGAGAAAAGATTGAGATTTTGTTGGGGATAAGAAGGTAAAGGAAGAGGATTGGTGTGAACATGGTGAAAAGGAGGAGGCTTGTGGAGAAGTGGTGGTGTTCTTGATTTGGAATTGGGACTGTGTTTGTGTTTGTGTTTGCTAGTGTGATGACTCTGAGTTTTTTCTTCCATGGTTGAGGAAGAATGAGAGAAAGAGAGAGAGAGACCTTTGAGGAAAAAGCAAAAGAGATAGAGAGAGAGAAGGTAAGACTTAAAAGAGTGTTGTGGTTTATTATCAGAGAGGCAGAAAGGGATTGTCTGAGTTTTTGCTCAGGGAAAGGTCAAAGTCTCTCTTCCTCTGTTTTTTTTTTTTTTTTTTTTTTTTTTTTTTTTTTTTTTTTTTCTGTTCTGCCCCATGAAAAAAAATATAAAAATGAAATGATGCTATTCATGCTGTCATAAATACACTCAATTTGTTGGGCAATAGTACAAACAAAATTCAAATTGTCGGGGCAAAAAAAAAAATTATGAAAACAGCTAAAGATATGTGAAAAAACTATAATATTTTAAACTTAAATTGTTGTTACATACTATCAATAAAAGTCGCAAGAAATTTGAAAAGAGAACCAAAAAGTTGTTTGGTGTGAGTGTTACCGATGACATTAGACGGCATAAATTTACCGATGACATCATATGTTTTTTCAACGGCATAAATGATTAGATAGGCCTAAAGTTTCGTAAACCCAAAGCTGTGTATACAATATACATGTTTTTGCAACAAAAATTTGACCAATAAACTTGTGAATCGAGGTATGGGGGACCATGCTATTTAATTATTTATTCTTGGTACTATTCTTTCGTACTTCATTGATAATAAGACACTTTGGACTCTTTCATCAATACACATATTTTTCTGATATGTTATTTTAAAGAAAATAATTATACATGTGTTCCAAGCTCCATCAAAACTTAACACCTAACGGCAACAAAAACCTATAGCAACAAAAAAAAGATCGACCAAATTTAAGCAACCAAACAAATTTTGGAACATTATCAAAGTTAGATTAGTGATTCTTGCTATTCATGGTTTATTATGGCAAGTATGAAATAGTATTACATGAAAGCAAAAAAATAATTCAAGAAACTTTGGCTTCTTTCATGTTGAATTGATGGTGACCAAAACCCACACCAATAGTTCCCACTCCCCACAATTATAGGTCCCACTAAATTTCTCTCTTTTAATAATTGTATTTCGTTAAAGATCAAACGATGAACAATGGTCTTAAATCATCACATCAACATCGATATTAGCCTATTAGGTGTAATTTTGCATAGTTTATGAAGCTATGTATCCAACTTTTATCTAAATCATTCGATATAATGCTTAAAGACAATAATTCTAGATGGATGACATGGAGTTGGTTAAGTGCATACGAACGATGTATCTTGTGAAAAATGGTCCGATTCAAAGAGTTTGCTTTATGTAATGGAACGACACTAAAAGATTACTGGGACCAAAGAGATTTGGTCAAAGCTAAAAGTTCCCTATAACCCATTGTTTTGGGCTAAAATTGCTCTACTTTTAGTCCAAATAGCTAAGCTCGAAATAATAATACTATAGTGTTTTTTTCACCTTTCTCTTTTGAATAAACATATATGGTGGTGAAAGCCGTTAATCCGATGATTTCCTGTTATAATTTCGATTTTTGTTTGTTTGTCAACTATCTCAAAACTTTGTTAATAAAATATAATCATGAGAATGTTGTGATGTTGACGGGGATTTATGATTAACATGGACCCTAAACCATATTATTACTCCATTACAAATAATTAGGGGTGTTCAATCCGGATATCGGTTCGGTTTTTCGGTATTCGGTTTTTCGGTTAATAAAAAATAGCTACCATATTAGATCCATACTTACTTCGGTTTGGTTCGGTTTGGATAGTCTCGGTTATCGGTTTTTGCGGTTTGGATATTTTCGGTCGAATAATCTCGGTTTTCGGTTTATTTGTATTTTTTTTTTATGATTATTTTATTAATTAGGGTTTTCGAATTTTCTCATAATCAAAATGATCAAATTCAAAAAAATGCAAACTCATATCTTATTAAAAGTATAAAACTCTTCAAATTCTATAGAAAAATTATAAAAAAACACATTGAAGAACAAAACTTGAAAACGAATGAAATGCAATTATATTGTAAGCTTAAATATCAAATAAATCCAAATTGATTTAGTTAATCAATGATAATTAATGATCTATTACTCTAAACTTATATTATTATATAAGATATACCTATACTATATATTATTATATGAGTAATTTTATATATAGACTATTCGGTTTTTTGCGGTTTTTGCGGTTCGGTCGGTTAATATCCAAACCATATCAATATCCACGGTTTATATAAAATTGCATCCATACGGTTTATACAGTGTATCCAAATCCAAACCATATGACTTATTTCGGTTCGGTTGGTTCGGGTCGGTTCGGTTTTACCAAATTGAACACCCCTACAAATAATAATAACTGTTTTTTCTCCGATTTTATTTCGGAAATCATAAATCCAGTAATCCACTGTAAGACGCCTCCACTGGCACGGTTCAGGACTAAAAAATCAAATAAAAAAAGCTACTGACGAAATACTTAAAATAAAAATATTAAAAACAAAGATCAAGGTCTAATCGCTCTAACCAATATGATAAATATCAGATGACCCATCATTCCACTTACCAATATTTGATTTAGACAAGAGCCTATAAAGATGGTGTAACTGTAACCTAACATCATCAGATCATCTTTAGATACCTATTTCTATGATAACACATTCTCCTACCAATTTATTTTTAATATTTCCCAGATTAAACAAAATTATTAATCTTTTTGAGTATTTTTACGTCCAAGCTCCAAACTCCAAACTATGCCTAGCAATGAACAATTTAACAGCACTCTTGTTTTAATTTTTGTTTTTTGAATGAAACTCTTGTTTTAATTTTAGCATTTGCAAACAAATGATGTCGTGAAGATAAGAGACATGGTTAAGTTACGGTAATGATTGTTCAGTCCAAAGAGAAAGCATAATTATTGCTGATTTTACATCGTGACTAACTAGGTTTATATAACAAAGTAGTTATTAACTACCACTGGTATCACTCATTTAATATGTTGATTACCCTTTTAAATCAAAGCTGAACACAATAATAAACAACTCGTTTATGATACAAACTACAAAAAATCTTATGACTGATTATGTAAAGGTTTGGTTACATATAAACTTATAAAAATTACGACATGGAGTTTTCAATGTAAATCTCTAATGTTTTGACATTTAGGTATGAGTGAAGTAATTAATATATGCACATGTCTATACAAAGGAACGTTTATTCAGAAAAGAATCAAACCTCACTCGAAGAGAGAAGAGGACTAGTGAGGCTATTGCTTCCTGAGAGGCTATTGAATCGAAGTGGGAGCAGAGCAGGATCTTGGTACGCAGTAACCAACTTACTGTAAAACTCTGACATTCTTGGATCAATTTGATCTTCCTTGTCTCTCTTTGTCAAGACCTAAACACCCACAAACACACACAGAGGAGTTAGCTTAACTCCATATTCATCTTGTATTATCATTTCTGATTCGTATCGTACCTCAGCAGGATAAGCAGTGAATATAGGCATGAAACGTTTACGACAAAACTCGTTGAAAAGAAGAGTGAAAACAGGAAGAGGAACAAGCAAGTAAGTAGCTAACTCCATCTTCTTGAGAGCAAATAAACCAATTGCGATTGCGTGCATGAGTACAAGAGAGAATATCATCGTATAGTGTATCATAGGCCAAAACATCCCTCCTGTGTCATACTTTGGCTCGTACACGTTTATGAACTGCATCATCCCAAATAATCATTATAAGTGCTTAGCAGTATAAAGATGCGTGTTAGTGTCATTAACTCATTATCATACATACCTGGTTTCGGTAGATGATGTATGCAAGAACAAAGTAGAGAAGAATGAAAGGAAGAATCAACGGAGCTAAGAAGAAGTATGTAATCCCAAGAAGTCCGAAGAAGAGAACTCTTGGTGTGTCTCTGTGGTACCGCATCGGAGGGACTTCTAGCTCGTTATCTTCTTCTGTTGGCTCGAGTGATCTTTTCACGTAACTGACCATGAAAGGAACAACTCGGAAGAGCTCAGTGAGTGTATCCGTCCATCCTGTTGTCACAACGTAGGCGATGAAAAATGACGCCTGCAAATGATGTTCTGTTTCAGTTTTTCAACCAAGAGTCTGAGACCATTGTGTGTTAAGTGACATTAGATGGTGAGAGAGGTTTATTTAACCTGAGCAGGAACAGCCACAGCTAACTTGACAAGAATTTCCTTTGGATCGAGAATTACAGAAAGCTTGTAGAAGGCAGAGCCAGAGAAGACAGTTGCGAAGAACACATTCCATATTGTGAACCAGATGACTTTGTTGCAAGCACTCTTTTGTATGTCGCTATGGCAAATGTGGCCTTGGATAGAAGAGAGAAACTCCATGATTGGAGGAACGATTTTCAGAGATGTCTGAAGTATAAGACTTGGAAGGTAGCCAGTTATGATCTGACTTACGATTTTCCTGCAACAGAGATATAATAACTAAAGTTTTTTAGCAGAATGAGGTTAAAATGATTTAGAATGAAGAAAGTTCTTCAACTTACATTGATAGAATCAATGTCAAGAACGGGAAGAAGTATTCAAGCGCAGAGAGGTTGGTGAGACCTTGCACAAGTACGACCGGAACAAGAAACAAGACTGTAAGGAGGAGACAAGCGAAGACGATGACAATCTTAGCAAGCCATTTCTGCATGAACGACGCAGAGAAGAAAGGCCAGTGGACGTCATGAGGCTCTGGTGCTGGTTCCGTGAGCCAGTAAGTGGGGTTGATTGATTGTGGCATGTGAAGCGCCATTGCAGCACCGTATCGTGACTCGAATGATACAAAAGCAGCTCGAACTTCCTACACGATGAGAAGGAAAAATCCATTTTATGCAATCATCTTGATTGGAAATTCAAAGAATCTATCTGAAGCAAGCATACTTTTCCAGGTGATGAAACTTCAGCTTGCCCCAATCTTATGTTATGTTCCATTTCCTGCAACACTTTCTCGTAGTGACCCTCAGGAGTGTCCTTGCGACTGAAGAATCTCATTGGCGGCTTTCTCACTTGACCATGTTCTGGCTTCTTCTGTTTCACCTTTTTATACAACTTTTTAGCATTATCCTGCAAGCGCCCAGATTTGAAAAAAGAAGATTAACCAAGAGATAATGCTGTAATACGTCTCCAATGGAAGGCATATTAGCTGTTTCATGGACTTACGACGATACTTCGAAGTTTACTTGTTCGATGGATAACCACATGGGACATGTAGGTAGATGAATGGTTCTCTCTAAAGAACTTATCAACAGTGTCGCTCACACTGCTTCCATCTGAAGAAGGGACATTACGAACCAATATGGTGAACTGTTGCGGCTGAGGCTTGGACGAATGAAAATGCTCAATCCTTTTCAAGCCAATGTATCTGAATTCCTGTCAAAGAGAAACGAGACTAGTAACAATCTTCTAGAGAGTCATCATCACTAAGAACTTTAGTAACCGTGAAGACATGCCCTTACCAAGTAAAGAAGACAACAAACGAATGCAGTGACAAGATATATAGCTCCAAAGTGAACCCATAGCCTGCAAGAAACCAAAAAGTTTTGGCTTTTATAAAATCTTTTGTACTAAATTGCTTAGACATAGATTGACACTAAGCTTCATCATCAACTTCCTAATAATATAAAAAAAGTTTGAGGCTTTTACCATTTTGAGCGGATTTTGAGGTTTGCAACAGAGAATAGATCCAAAGAATTCGCTGACCAGTCAGCATAGTCAATCTGTATAAGTTGATCTCCAAAGCAGTTCACAGGCAAGAGAACAAAAACACCAATGATCCCAGCAAACAAGAACACTTTCAAACTGCATAACGAGAGTACTAAGCAATCACTAACGCATTATATACAAACAAAGCAAAATGTTACAAATTTTGAGTTTGGGAATTTACCTGAAAGTGATCATTCTCATGAACACGACGCCGTCGAGGCCAGAAGATTCCATGAGCTGCTGTTCTGATGGTTTAAATGATTTCCAAATCCAACGCACAGAAGGGATGTATCTTGCGACTTTGTTACGTCTTCTCTTAGACGTTCCTGCTACGAGCCGGCGAGGTAAAAAGACCTCATAGTTGTGTGGTTGTTTCCTCAGTACAGAGTAGAGTATGAAGAGCAGTACACAGAGGCAAGAGTTTATCCCAACGGACATGAGAAGTGCAGACACTAGCATCTTTGACGGACCAACTTTAGTACCTCAAAACTTTGTGTATGAACTCAGCTTTAGAACTGCATTAACAAATCAAATGTCAAGTGACTCAAGTGCAGAAATTAATAGGAAAATTTTGTAGAGGTAAGTTTTATATTCAACCATCAACAGTTTAATCACTGTTCAAGTGAAGCGCCAGATACTATCAGTTCAAAATCAGCCAAAAAAGGAAGGCTATTTATGAACTTGGGGTGGTCAATTCGTAATATTCGAAGTTCCAATAGTGAATAAAGCTATGAAACTAAAAATCCGAACGAACAAGTTCGAAAACGGAGCTCAATTTCTGTAATTTAAAGCCTTTGAATCTTTGATCGATGATACAACAAATGAACAGATAAGAAAATTAAAACTAGAGAAGCTCAGATTCAAACACAAAGCCCAGATTCTACAATTTTGTTCCGTTATCTAAAATCTAATGACACCATAGGAGAAAAATTCGTCATCAGTGGAACTCGAGATGCGAAATCAAAACTAAGAACATAAACAACCTGATTTTAAATACAGAGATCAAACACTAATGTTACGAGGATGGAGGAGAATCGAACCTGAGCTTCAAAGTCTGAGACTGAGAACTTGAAATCAAGAGGCGCGCTTGAAAGCTTCAATAATCAGTGATCGAAACTAAACGCAGAACGAATCAGAGGAAACGAAAATCCAGAAACTATTGCTCATAATCGGATATGAAAAAATCAGAGAAGCAGAAGCAAATAAGGAGAAATTATTTAGTTAATCAAATATGAAATCGACGGTCAAGAACACGATTACCACGCGTTGTAGCCTAAAAAAATATTATCATCATCATCAAATTAATTCAGATTTAGACCTTCCCTCGCTTCCCATTTTGTTTATTGACTAGTACCCAAACTGCCCTTAACGTGCTTGGGATGAAATTTGTATGCTTTTATTTTAGGACTTCTCAAGGGTATTTTTGTAAAGTTTGGTAAAGTCAACGGGTTTAGCAACACTGGTTGATGAAGCAATCGCTATTCTAAAATCGAATGAACAATAATCCGGCATGTTCAAATCAATTTTTATTTTATTTTATTTTGTAACAATGGGGTCTATCATGTTCAAAACAATTATTCAAATCTTATATTCCTTTTGTTTCTTTTTACTTGATGTTCTAGAGTTTTTCACACAGATTAAAAAAACAATTAAAAAAAATAGAAATAATAAAGGAAAAATGTAATAAAACGACAAGTAATAAGTAATATGAAACAAAAAAATTAACTCTAGAATCCTATACTCACTCCGTTTCAAATTATTTGGCGTTTTGGAAAAATGTATGACAACTAATTTGAAATAGAGGGAGTATATAATTAGAGAGTTTTCTCTCCATTTACGCTATCCACATCAACACATAATGACCCCACTATCATTATTATTTTTAAATTAAATTGTATTTAACTTGTTTATTAAATACATGTTTATTCATATTTTTTTAAAGTATATTACTATCTTAAACATAAATAAAACTATGAAAAATACAAAAACAAATTAATTAATTAATAATAAAGTATTTAATAATTTTATGTAAAGTTAAAAAGTTATAATAATATAAATAAAGATGAACTAAAGAAATATTTAAATCGAAATAGTATATATATTGTTAGCTTTTTGAATAAATAAAAAGTTGTATAAAAGAATTATCCTACTTAAAAATGTTATAATCTATTTATAAGTTATTGAAAATACAGAATACAATTTAATTAAAATAGTAGAAAGGTAATGATAAATTAGAATTATAGTATTTTATAAAAATAAATTGAATTCGAGTTATTATATGTAAATTTCATTGCACCGAAAAACATGAAATTTTTAAGGATTGTGATATACTGATATGTTTGTTTCAAATATAATTTCTATTTACAAAACTAACATAATAGAAAATAATCAATAATCATCAACGCTAATACAACAAAGCAGATATGTAAAAAGTTATACATATTATTTTGTATAATAGTTCATGTACAAATGCAATTTTCACCATATATACAAATTCTAACATCCAATCAAATGCATTTTTGTAGTCTAAAGCACTCTAAATTTTAGAAAGATAAAATTCGAGATGAAGTGTGGAATTAACATCTTAATAAATAAAATTGAAAAACAAATTGATCATATCTTTAGCGTGAGTGGTTGGATTAACTCTGAATATGAGCATAAGTTATTTCATGAAGCCATCATATTTTAAATTAACGAATATAAATAAAATCAAATAAATAAATTGTCGCAAACAACCCCACACATATACGAGCTTCAATACCTAGTGACAAATAATTTGAAACGAAAGGAGTAATTTTTTTTGGGGTGGAAGGTGGAGGGGGCAACTTACATTCATTATGTTATTGTGTGTTCGATCTAAAATTGTAATTAAAGAAAACTACATTTTAAAGAAGCATATTTTTTAAAAACCTATTTTCATATATCATGACTTCGAAACAATTGTCACTATTAAACTGGTTTATTAACCATCACAACATGTATATATAGGTTTCCGTTTAATAAGTATGATTAGTTTTGATATTTGTCTAGATATAAGGTTTATCAGGGCTTTATGTTTAATTGGTTGGATTTGGTATCCAAGGAATATGAAATAGTAAAATAAAATTATGAGATATAGATAGATCCGATCCAAGAAAATCAAAGTCTAGAAGAAGATCATCATTGAGGAAGGAAGATCATCTTGAAGGGCAGAGATTCAATGGTGGATTGATAGTAGATGATGACATAGAGAGAAATAGATTGAAGAAGATTGTTTTGTATTTGATTAGGTTCCCAACTGGTCAGACAATCTGCATAACATATGTAAACGACCGGTTTAACAAGTTTATACCGATTTACATAATTAAAAGTAAGTAAACCAACCAAATATATTGAGATAAAGAGAAAGATAAACTAGAGCATTGTTGAATTTCCTGTAACAGAATATTTCCCAGAAACGTTGGTGCAATGTTCGAGTGATTTAAAAACTTGAAAAGAGATAAATCATAAGGGTAACTAAATCCAAACACAGCCAATTTTTGTTTGCATCTTCTTAAGCTTCATACTGAATTGTTCTTCTGATAAAATATAAAGCACTCATAAATTATTTGAGTAACATACATTTTTATCTCAGATACCCAAGTAAATTTCGGAGATACATTTTTTGGATACCAAATTCATTCAATTATATCTAAATCGTGATAAACCTCATCAAATTGACTAGTTACATAGATCTTGCCCAAAATTAATCATATTTTACATATCAAACTAAATTCCTAGATATCGCTTTTCCCATCTTATGTCTTGTTAATAAATGAAGTTAATTCTTATAATCATTTTTGGGGGGTATATTGTATTGAAATGAGAAATTTCAAAACTACACCTCTATGGTGAATTTTTAAAATTACACTTTTTCATTGAATAAAATAACTCTAAATTCAAAATTTAAATCCTAAACCATAAAATATAACCTTAAACCCTCAAATCTAAACCCTAAACCCAAAATTCTAAACATTAGTCAAGGACTAGTGAATCCAAATTTAAATGTTAAATTTAAAAATTTAACAGCAGAAATATTTAGTTTTGAAAATTACCACCACAAAATGGTGTTTCTTAAAATTTCTATGTTAAAATACGGTTGTAATATTTATTTCTACTCATAACTCTTTCAAAATATAAATAATATTTATTTCATAAAAAAATACAATAACATAACCATAATAAACTTAATTGATCATTTATGGGAAAAATATTCAAATGAGGTAATTAAATTAAAATCTTTGTTTTCTATAGAAGTATAGTGTGATGTATTTTCTTTTAATATTACAATAATAAATAATAAAAAATATTATAATTGTAAATGTTTTTGCAAGAAAGAAAAACAGATGATTCACTTTGTAAAATTTGAAGAAATCAAATAGTTTTAGCTATTAATAATAAGTTGGAAAAAATTATAGCATGAACCATTGGAGAGAAACCCAATGCTATTGCTATATTTTTGCCATTTGCAATAAGATATGGCATGAATCATTAGATATGCTCTAAAAGGATCAGTGTGTTTTATATCTTCAAGCAAAAAAAAAGAGGAAGAAAGCCAAATGGAAAAATATTCGTGATTTTTAAGTGATAACCGTAATACCCTTTCAACTTTAAGCAAAAAAAAAGAGGAAGAAAGCCAATTGTATGTTCTTACTTTTTGTTTCTTGTGTGTTGCGTCTTCTCAATATTAATCAAAATCTATCATTTTTTTTTCCTTTTCCAAAATGTAATTCTCAAATACTAATACAAAGATGACAGTGTTATGGTGGAGACGGAAGAGCTAGGCGTCGCAATTCTACAAGATATGAGTCACCACGGCAAACTATAGTATCAAACTATAAAGGTTAAGACTGTTCACTGGTGTAAGTGTATGAATCCTATAACTTTCCCATTTGATCACAGCTTCATGGTATGGACAACTGGACAAGGCCATCGACAAGAGAGACAAGAAGAAAATGTTAAGGAACAAATGAATCTTTACTTCAGTGATCGTTGCTCTCGTTCTCTCAATCGTCATCCTGATCATTTCTTTCAAACTATAATTTTTAAACCATCAAATTATCCAGCATCAAGGATCAACCAATCTAAACGAAAACCCATCGGCAAATACTGGCACATAAATAAAATTTCCAAGTCTCAGAGAACATGCTTGATCTAATGTACAACACCCAAAGAAGTAAAGACGGTTTGTTTGGGCCGTGAAAATAGAGATAGAGTGTGAGTGTGACTGACTACAAAATCTTAGATAACTTTCTTCTTCTCGAAAAACGTCTTCAAGTGCATAAACTGCAATCCAGCCACTCCTATGCAGACAAACAAAGAGAGGAAACCCAACCACGCCATTTTACTGTTCGTCGACCTGTTCAGGTCTTGCATCTCTTCTTCCCTGAGACAAAGAACACCAAATCATAGTTATCAATAAATAGTATCTTCTTGATACCAACCACATTCAATAGCATTTCATCACCAACATAAAGACTTTACCTTTCTCTAAGATAAAACATCTCTTCATGAATCGAGTTAACAGTATCAAGAAGACTCTTCACCTCGTATTCCATAACCTGCCCACAAAAAATCACCAACACAAATTACATAAGAACACGCAATTGGTTCTACTAACAACGAAGATCAACATTGTAAACACACAATTTCGGCTAATTACAAGTCTCAAGCTTGAAACTTTCGTTATCTAAACCTTTTCAGCTACAATCTTAGTAGGATGAATCAAATAATGGAAACTTGAACTTACTTCGATTTGGCTCTTCTTGGCTACTTTAGCCCAGCTCTTGGATTGAACACCCGTCCTCCACTCAAAATCAATGCTTATCGCCGCCTCAGGCTTATGATCGGCGGCGGAGAAGCAAGCCATGTAATCCCCTGCTTCCACCGCCGAGAACGCGAATTGACCCGAATCCACTTGCTCCGAGTGATGGTACGTGGTCCCGGAGCTGGACGTTACCTTTCACAAAATCGCACACATACAACGAAATCAGATCTCTCGATCCAAAAACAAAATCCAGAAGCTAGGTCAAAAATTGGACGGATCCGCGTACCTTGACGGAGATCTTGTGAGATGGCGGAAGAGTCTGGCCTTCGTGAGGGTTATCGATGCTGTACTTGCCAACAGTCATGGAATTGCTCTTGATGTCTTCGGCGATACACTTTGTGCGACCTGAATGCAAATCGAAGTGCAGCGACTGTGAAATTCGCGAACAAATCGCTAGAATCAGAAGCATCGTCCATAAATTCTTCGACCGGAGAAACATTTTCGAAAAACCCAGAAGAAATCAGAAATCTTCTTCCTTCGTCGGTTTTTTTCAGTTCCCTTCTTTGCTTCCTCCGTAATCGTTCGTAGAGGCTTGAGACGAAAACGCAGTGAGAGACAGTGACCGTTACACGTGTGTATGTCTCATTGGTTAAGACACATACGTTGAATTTATAAACCTTCTCCCCCGTCTAGAGGGTTTCAGGTCCAGAATTCAAATCGGTTCAGAATCACATATTTGGTTCTTCTCAAAAGCGCCGGTTTGGTATGGCATTTGGTCCTTGCCTCTCAAGGAATGAAGAGTGTTTAGGTTCTAAAGAGGAAGAACACAAATTTCCTTTTCTTTAGTGTGAAAATTTTCATTTTCTTTGCATAGACCATTATAATGAAAAGGAAAGTAAACAACAACGAAGAGTTTAATTATAATATACCGAATATCTGTATAATTTTAGTAGTGAATTAACGGATATAATCAGCGAGAGAGTGTGTGTTATGTTTGATAACTCAGTCGTCTTTGTCGTCAGTGTCATCATCGTCGTAGTAATGGAAAGGATGTGGAACAGACTTGAAAGCTCTGTATTTGCCTACATTGTTCAAGTGCTCATTCTCCAACCTGAAGAAGCTCCATATTCCACGACGAACAATCTCTAAACATGAAATAATGGTTGATACCGCGATTTTGTGAAGAGACTTCAAGTTAAACTCAAGAACTAACTGCATCCATGCCACTCTTAGAATCACATTCACTACCTGAAAAAAAAACTCAAAACCATAATCAACCAGAATCTTTATTATCTGATATATAATTTAAATCGTATGAGATTGTACTTGTGTTACCATGGCTGTAAAATAGACGCTCTTGTGAGGAACAAGAAGTTTGTCTCTAAGGTATGGATTCTTGGAATTCCTACGGAGAAGTCCCCAGTCTATAACAATGTCCCAGAATGTGTTCATAGCCGTCGCTACACCTGAGCTTACAAGAGCCAAAATCATCCAGTTTCGTCCCTTTTTCAGCTCAAAAGCTGTTCTTATAATGACTGCGATGATTGTCAGCATGTATTTCAGAGCATTGTATCCATGTACGGTTTCTTTTTCTTCACATAATCTGCGTATGCACTGCAAAAAGTGATATATATATTTATAAGTGATAGATTCGGATGTGAGACATAATCCATTAAGGCGGTAAGAGATTGAATGTGTGTGAGAGAGACCTGGAGGAAGCGAAGCCAGTAAGGTATAACAGCAACTACAAAGTAGAAGGCGTTGTAAACACCGTGACTATGACACTTGTTTTGTCTCTGTAAGTATTCTCCTAAGCCGTAGTAGCAAATGAATAGCTCAAAACTTCTTATGGCTTGTACCTGAAGTTACCAAACCAAATTACAATCTAGTAGCATGTGTCATTTATGGTAAAAAAACCAATGATTGAAGCCAGTAAAGAATATAAAACCTGACTAGTTAGGTGGTCTGCCAAGAAAAAATCCGGTAGTGTAACCTGTGATGAAGAACAGATACATAAATGTGACGAGATCATTGTTTTACTTGGCTTTAGCGACTTGTACATATGTGTATGAAAAAATTCAATACAATTACCTCGTAGAGAGGAGCACAAATGCAGTGAACCAGTGCTCGAATGAAGAATAACCGACTTGAGCGGTATATGACGTTGAAAGGACAAAAAAGTATGACAAGAACAACCTGCACACAAAAAGGTTTGTTTAAAATATTGACATATTCCATCTTATCAGATGATAATTAACGACTACACAAAATGTAGAAACTGAGAAAAAAGGATCTTACAGTGACCAAACCCAAAGGAATAACTTCAGGCAGTGTCTTATGATCTTTTATCCTCCAGTCCATGTCAAGCTGCAGATTTAGCAAGAAACAGAGGAAAGCAAGCACCGCGAGACCAGTGCTTACGAGGAAAACATCTCTGTAACCCAACTCTGTTCCCTGCTTGAAACCAAAGATGAAGGTATAGTTGACTCTGTAACGCCTCCAGAAGTAAATGTTCCCAGAGTACATTAGCATATGAAGAATGATATATCCAAATAAGCTGCATGACATGGAATGTTCGTGAGTGTGAGACAAGAAACATCAGTTTTCTAAATTTTTAAGCACATGTTCACCTGTAAAGAGGGATAATATTCGCCATGTATTCAGTACCATAGTCCTTCTCCATGATCTTTCTACTTTCTATCTTGAAAACAACAGCAACAATTAGTGCAATTGAGCAGCCAGAAAAGAAACCTGCGAAAAGTTGAAGAACAGTCATCAGTGAATCTTTGAAAATCTGACTCTCTCTTTTCTCTCTTAGATTCACTTACCAGAGAAGAATGTAACTCTATGCCTTTCTCTTTTAACTTTTGGCCTTAGACACTTCATGCCTTCTCTTCGGTTTCCGCTTGAAAAGTGCTTAACGAAAGTCACCTCAACTCTCTCCAGGAGTCTGTTAACCTAAATCAGTATACAGTGAACAAACATTTGATGTATAAAACTGATTTAAAGTCTGTAATGCTTCACAAACCTCATCAGAACTCCCAATCAATGAATTATCCACAATTTTCATATAGTTCCTAGACGCATTCCTTGAAGCAATCTACACATTAACAAGCCAAATCAATACATTGCATGGCTCTGTTTCTCAACATCAAAGAATCTCTTCATATCTAACCTTCTCGTACTTCTTCATGATCTTTGAAAATGCAAGAAGATTCATAAAACTGATTCAAATTAACACAAACATCGACAAATCAGTAGCATGACAATATCAAACAAATTCATGAAACTGAAACTTCTCCTCACCTGTACTCCTTCAGACGGCGAAGTTTCTGATAAAACTCACTAAAAACAAGCCTCAACTGCTCCTCTGCTCTTTTCAATCCTTTCTTGGAGATTACTTCATCGTTTCTTGAATCACCAAACACTCCTTTCAACGTAGAAATGGGATCTCCAAGCGCATCATTCATCTTCACACGCTCTAGTATCTCGCGTAGATCCTGCTTGTCACCTTCCTCTGCATCCCCATCACTACAAGCAACCGGAACAATGTCGGTCACGATCTGAGAAGCCTCTTCCTCCGGAATGCTAGTCCTCTCAATACCATGTACAATATCTCTATTCGCACTCCCTGATTAAAACATATCAAGAAAATCAAGAAAACGGAAAACAAGAAAACATAAACAAACATTCTTTCTCCTATATATAAGCTTTACCAGGTAATCTCATTGTGCTATCATCAGATGCATCATCTACAACAACCTTATCAGAAGGATGCTTCTCCAAATTCACGTTACTCGCATCAGGTCTCTGCACCTTAACCCTCAACGCAATCAACGCATCCATCTGTTTATCTAGCAAACTCGCTTCCTCAAGAACCTCATCGACTTTCTCCTTGTAAAATCTATTAACTTTGTTTAGATTCTCATCGAGCTTCTTGAAGAACGTCTCTTCGAACTCGCTTCCTTCTTCAGATATCTTTAAAAACTTCGTCTTGTACAGCTTACGAGTGTCGTCATCATCATCTACAGTGTCGACTTTTATCACTTGGTCCTCAATGTCTCCTCCTCCTGCATGGTCACTGTGACGAGGATGGAAGGAGAGTCCGCTGAACGAACGGTGCAACGCTTGAGCCTCCTGAGAGACTCTCGACGCTGCTCTGGTTAGCTTGCTGTGCTTGTAGCTGCGGATTTGTTTTAGAACCCTCTTCAAGCCGTTGTAGTCCATGTATGCTTCTACCCACTCTGGCACCATTTGCTTCTTAAATATTTTCCCAAACTTCATCTCTTTTGTGCAGCTCAAAATTCAAATCCAAAATCGATTCTATCACAGAGAGAGTTAACAAAAAACTCTAATGAGACATTTCGTCGGAAATTAGCAGAATCTAATCGGAATTAGATATAAACCCACAATTCGGAAATGCGATCGCAATCGGAAAATCAAATAAGAAGAAGAATCAAAAATTTAGATTCGGAGTAGTTTTTCAAACAGTGTACATTAATGGTGATTGTTTTTTTTTTTGACCAACAGGTTCTCTTTAATGGTGATTGTTGATACGGAGCACGGAGACTCCATGATTAGAAAGTTACCTTGATGAGGAAGAAACGTGGAGGAGTAAGTAACCGTTGAAATTAGGAGCTTCTCTGCGAAATCTGACTTACGCCATTTATAAGGAGTGAGAGAGAAGAGACGAAGTGAGACGTCGGTGACTTGAAATCGCCGCCGACTGACAGTGGAGTATGATGGGTTTTACGGCGAGAGATCGTGTGCGGCTGAGATCATTTGCTTAAGAAGTAATCTTTCGTCCACAACCGTTGGATTCTTGTGCGATTGAGTGCCACGTGACGTCCGTTACTGTTGCGGCCGAAACCGACGGAAGGAAGCAATCAAGCAAATGAAATCATAGATACTGTGGTTTGACTAATTATAACTGGCCCACCAGAGCGTGACACGTGTTGCTTCGTGTGCTCCACTGTGGCAGTAAAACCGCATAATTTGGCAGTACCTGTATGGACCCTTTTTAACCAATCAAAAGATTCAAGTTCACATACAAAATTTTTGGGCCATTCTCATTTTTCTTGTTGTGTATATTTAGTTTCTCTTACACAATTGTGTGTAGTTAGTTTCTCTTACACAATTGTGTTTCTATTGCTATCTTGTCCATATGAATTCTTCAAAACCTTCTAAAATTGCTAGATAAAATTGTACTAGCTGTTAGTTATAAAACCTCTTAAGCATGTTAAAACGAGAGCAAACACCATATTGATTAATTCTGCAAGAGCTATCCAAATGATATGAGTAAACTTAGTCTACATTATATCCCTTGAGTCCTCCACTAAGCACACTGCAAAATATATCACACAGTAAGTTCTGATCAGTTGTTAGAACTGCTTTGCTCATCAGGTATTGCCCGCTCACCGATGATGCAATAATAGAAAATGTGACAGCTTAACTCACCACACAACTCCTGGAAATACACAACATTGTAAGCACATAAGCTGGTGTTACTAAGAGTGTTATAGAAATTGACATAATGTCACGATACAAAAGTTATTTTTTTAAGATGCAGTCTTAGGTCAATCCAGAGAAGAAAGACAACAGAGTAAGTCTTCTTTGATAACCCCAAAAGAAATATTTAATACATAACTTTACCAATGCACAGATTAAAACCATCAAAACGTTTAAGAGAAAGCACAAAATGTTCTCATCCCCTGCAACGGATGATCACAAGAGAGTAGGTTTAAAGGCTTTTGGTCGCTCTCTTGTGTTTAGAAACCTTCATGATTCAGGAAAGCAAATTTATCTTTAACCTTATCAGTCTCTAAAACGACAAGCAAAGTTTAGTCCTTTCCCATTGCTACAACACCAACTGGCTTAGTAAAATCAATGATTTTGAGCATAAAACGAAACAAATCAGATTTACATGTTAACATTTCGTCATTTCCCAAGAATGACTAGCAAAAATGGCCAAAAACAGCACAAAAGGAGATGGAAAAAAACGAATCTTTACCAGAAAAATGAATGAAAATTAAATTTTTCAAAACCGGAGAGACAATTCTTTAAATAATCGACGAATCATGACCCACAACTTCCAAAATCGGCCTAGTCTCGCCTCCCAAAGCTTCCAAAGCCTCAACAGCTTCCATACTATAAGACCGACAGCTAAAATAAAACACAGCACTCATCATCGTATCAACAAGCACCACAAACGAATACATAACCACAAGCAATGGACCTTCCCAAATCCTCGAAGACCCATCTCCATAGCTCAAACTCTTCACCCTATGCTCAAACAAACCTTCCACAAACGTCATCCCAATCGTCGACCCCAAGAAAATCAACAACCCAACCTGCGTCTGCCCTTTGATCAAATCATTCGCTCTCACCAACGCCAACGGACCCGAAACATCCTCGAGAATCGATATCACAATCGTCGTGTTACATAATATGATCACATTCGCAAACACAACAGAGAATCCCAAACCGATCAAAACGGCACCGTACGCGTTGAAGTCAGGAGAGAATCCGAGGACGAAGAAGGAGCTGCAAACCGCGACGAGGAAGACGCAGAAGGAAGTGAGACAAACGACGATCACGAGACAAACCCAGAGGTAAGTGAAGACGAGACGCTTCCAGAGCCTCTGCATGATCACGAAGAACTTGCTTATCGAGACTCTCCTCCTCGAGTAAGTGCAATCGACGGAGTAGACGACGGCCGCTCGTGATAAGAGCGAGAGAGTGACGAAGAGAGGGAAACACGTGGCGGAGGAGACGGCTGTCTCGGAGAATTTCTGGCACGAGTTTCTCACGAAGGGGACGAGAGGGAGGCCGCTGGATCTCGCGAGGAGGAGGAGACGGACTGTGAGCGAATTCACCGCCGATTGGTCGACTAGGATGTTGGGTAGGAGGATCGCGGAGACGGGGCAGATCAGAAACGATGCGATTAGCATGAACGCGGCGAGATTGTACCGGAGGATTCGAACGGTTTCTCGAAGGATCTCGAGCGCGTTCATCGAGTGGAATTGGTGGTCTGGGGATGATGACGATTCTATCTCGAATTTCTGGAAATTGGATTCCGGATTCGTCGTACCGGAAAATTCCTGATTCGAATCCATGGTTTTGTGGTTTTTGTTTTCCGGCGAGGAAATGTGTTTCAGCTACACAGGAGATTGCATATCAGAAACTCTACATGCAATCGAGACTCGAGAGAAATCGAAGAATAGAGTGAAGATTGTCTTTAGGATTTAGCTAATCCAGATAATTTTTTTTTTTTTTGGCATCAGCTAATCCAGATTATGGGATTAATTTCGTAATCATTAACCATAATAATTAATTGTATTTTATTACGCAGCGTTTAAAGCATGAAAGCGTCACGAAAGGAATAGAATTTGGGATTTCCGAGAAAGCAAAACGGAAAATGAAAAACAGAATTCACGCATAAGGAGGTGGCGTGGAAAAGATGGGGAGAGGTCTTCTGCGGCTGAGATCATGCTTGAGGACTTGTCCTTCTTCCATATCCGTTGGATTCTTGCTCTGTTGCGATCCAATTCGATGGAAAGAAACAAATGATATTGCTCTGGCCAATTATATTATGACACGCGGTGCTTCGTCAGCTTCAGTTACAAGGTGAGATAACAGACGGCGTCGTTTCTTCATGGCTCAAACGAGTAATTGAAAACCCGACTTTGGTTTTACACTTATACCGATACAACCGCGAACCAGTCGCTTGTCCGGTCCAGGTTTTTATCTAGATGTAAAATCACATTGCTCGTCAACCTAAAAAAAACTCTCACATTACCAACCAACTAACTATAAAACAAAAACAAAGAAGCTAAAGATTAAGATGACGACTTGGCTAATCATCGTCACTAAATACTATATTTTTTGGTTCCTTAACAAAAGTTTGAGGCTTTGAGCTTTAGTTTGCGTCATCTTATCCTAGTCCTCTCCTATCTTTTTAATTAATTCTATCTTTTCTTGTCCCATGCCCTATATAGTAAGTGCTTGATGATATTTATGATATATATGAATGCATGATTCATGTGCTATTTGAAATAGGCTTTTCGGGTTTATTTGTTAATGCATATCCTTATTAGAATATTCATTAACACAAAGTAGTGTTGAGAAAAATTGACTTTGCATTATTACTGTTTATTAAGATTCAGTGAAACAATAGTAGATTAGTTCCTCTGGTAAATTGTTTGTGTCCATCGAATTCAATTCAAATTCCGCATGATAGGATATCTCATATATATGACGAAACATTAATCCCAAATTACACTATTGTAAAAAGTATTAGCATTACGATTTTTTTTACTTTTAACAATGGAAAAACTTTGAAAACATGGTCTATTAAGGTCGAAAATCAAACCATGAAACTAACCAGAACAAACCAAGTGTAGACAAACCAAATCATGGTACCAAACCAAACCTGCCGATTAAAAATATACTAAACCAAAATTAGAGGAAATTATCAATTCTAGACCACAATTTGATTTTTTCTAGTCAACTAGACCACAATTTGAATCAAATGCAAAACTAACCTCTTTGGGTAGTAAAATTACCCCACAAGCCCTCATGACCAAACAAAAAAACGCATGCCTCGATTACGATTATAACCTCCGGAGCATGTAGATCTACTAAGTAGATCTACCTGGTAGACAATGTTAGAGGTCTACCTCGTAATAACATCTTAAATTTTAATTAACAATTAAATAAAAAATATTTTTATACAAACACAAGTATGAATAATTCTAATATAGACATTATCATATACAAAAAATATGAATGCATACAAATGAATGATTTATAGATAAGCAAAGACATATAGGTTAATATCTATAAAATGTGTGAGGTCTACCGAGTAAGTCTACTATGTCATTAAATTTAATTTTAATTATAAAAATTGAAAAAAAAATATTTTGATGAAAATTATTTATACATAAATACAATACAGACAACTTGCATCTATATAAAATATAATTTCATAGATTTGAACCAATTGAACTATAAAAAAAAAAATTAGGTTAAAAGCCTATAAAACCATGAGAGGTCTACCAAGTAAGTCTACTAAATAATCAAATCTTAAATTTAAATTAAGAAAATTTAAAAAATAATTTGAAATATTTGTTTCACAAATAACGAAATAATAGACATTTAACATCTATTAAAAATAAATTTCATAAAAATCATGAATCTATAAATATCATATGTAAATAGTTCATAAGGATAAGAGTTTGAGTAGATTGTTTAGGAGTTAATGGGGAGAGTTGTAGGGTTTTGAAAAATTTTAGATGAAGAATTGTTTTTGGTTGGTTTTACGATTCAATGTTTGTTTATTTGTGATATACACTGTAAATTGACAATATGGCAAGCAAATCGTTGCAAAATTGTATCTAAATTATTCGATTTAGGGTTTAGGGTAAAGTAGACCTAACAAGTAGACGGATCGCGTAGACCGAAGTGGAGGTCTACCAACCGTTTTAACCTAGCGGGAATCCCGAAGTTTCAAAGCGACGGCTGAGATTGAAACGACGTTTCGGTAATTTCGTGGTAGACCGTAACGGTATACCTAAGCCGGAAATAACCGACTCAATTGTTTGCGTAGAACCGTAAATTGAACGGCTGAACCGATATTAATTGAAATAACCGGCTAATTTCTTGGTTCAAACCGATATAACGAAACCAGTTAATCGAACCGACGTATATAAAGCGGTTTTAACCCTGAGCAGTTAATTTCTAGGTTTTGTTAGAACATTGCGAGTCGGCGCTCTCCAGAGGCGATTTCAGGCGATTTCCGTGTCCGACGCCGTTTGCTCCGCCGCTATTCCTTTTCCGACCCGCTATTCCGTTTCCGACGCCGTTTGCTCCGCCTCTGTTTGATTACGCCGGTAATATCTCCGCCCTATACCTCGCCCTATACCCCTAGTGTCGTTAATCTATCTCCGCTCAGTCATCTAACCGTTTTATTGTTCATATTTGGTCCGCCGTCTGGTGAACTCGTCGCCGTTGTCTAACAGAATCGGAGCGCTCCACATCGATCCCATTTCCCGGTAGTAACTCCGTCACTCACTCCTCTTTCTTACCATTTTCGCTTTGTATAACCACAAATAACCTCACCGCCGAATTCATGTGTCGTTTTTGTAGTTAGATCTCGTCCAAGATATCGTTCCTGGTGCTTTGCGATAAGCGCTTAGAACTGTCGTCGTCGTCGAGAGGTACAACAATCTATAACATAACCTCTACAACTCATATATGTCTTTCTTCTTCGTGATTCGGTAGATTTCGTTTAGGGTTTAGAGTAGACCTTTCGTAGTAGACCTTCGTAGTAGACCTTCGTTTTTGCCTTCTTTGATTTTCCTTTTATGTTCGTTGCAGAATGAAGAAGCCTACCTTTCCAAGGAGGTTATACACAAGAGGGGCTGAACCGGAAGCCCAAAAGAGCATCTCCTACGGCAGCAACGACAAAAAGCTATTTGCTGCCGTGAAAAAACTACTGAGTGATGCCGAGTGGGAAACACTATGCGACTCGCGAGTTGGTGTCTTCTGCAAGTTTCACGACCTCGACTTCGCGTGGTCTTCGAAGTTGGTCCACACGATGCTCTCATATCAGTTAGAGTGCAAGAAGAAGTATGAGATCTGGGTTGCGGTTGCGGATAGCCCAATTAGATTTTCCCTCCATGAGTTTGAGCATCTCACCGGCCTCAACTGCGACTATGTGGAAGATATTGATGACCCCAAGTGCAAGGTTACTCTAGAGATGAGAGCATTCTGGGAGAAGCTCGGAGTAGATGTTGAGCTTGGTCCGAGTCAAGTGGAGATCATTCGTGCATGCGAATGGGCAACAGACTGGCCGAGTGAGGACAAACTTAGGCTTGGTTACTTGGCCATCTACACTGGCTTCATTGCTGCTCGGAAAAACACCTCGCACACTCCTGTCAACCTGGCCAGATTAGTGATGGATGAAGAGGAGTTTGAGAATTATCCGTGGGGGCGTGTAGCTTTCAAGAACCTGATCGAAGCCGTCAAAGAAGCAGAGCTATGGAAGTCCGGGTATGTCCTGGATGGGTTTGTTGAGGCTCTACAAGTATGGGCATATCGTTTCATGCCTGAATTCGGAGCGGGTTGTGGTGCGCCCATACGAAACGCTCCTGACATTCCGCTCTTGTCCTACAAAGGAGTCCAGGGTCTAAGGAACATTGAACTCACGATACTGAAGCAGGTACGATACTGAACTCACGATAGGCAGTAGACCATTTTGGTAGACCATTATGGTAGACCTATTTATTTACTTTCCCTTTCGTGTGTAGGTGAACTTTGATCACTGCATAATGGTGGAGAGAGACTTCGTTTACCCAAAGTGGGATGAGGATAAGGAAGACCCGCGTGTAGATGAACTCATCAACGCGCTGTATGGAGACCTGGGCCGGTGGAGGTGGAAGCCGGCGGACTGGAATCCTCAAGGTGTTCTGGTGAAGAATCCTATACCCCCGGAGTCTGCGAAGAGGAAAAGAGCCTCTGCCCTGGAGATGAAATGCAGAAGAGGCAGTGTCCTGAGAGCGTATCCTCTGCTGAAGATGGCTTCAGTCGCTTCGAGGAGAAGATGAAGGTTCTGTTTGAAGATGGCTTCGGTAAGTTGTCTGCGGCGATGAAGTCTGGCTTTGAACAGTCTGATTCCAAGTTCACCATCCTGACTAGGAAGGTGATCCGCATAGAAAAAACAGTCCAGTCTATGCAAGCAGCATCAAGGCGTCCAAACACCGAACCTGTGGAACCTGACGCAGATAATGAGAAGAACGAGCCGTCTGTTGAAGATGGTCGAGCCGAGGAGAAGGCTGCGAAGGATGCTGCTGTCTCGGAGAAGGATGCCACTCCCAAGAAGGACGAGTCGTCAGGTGAAGAGGAGGAGGAGGAGGCTGACATCGGCGAGAAGATTGGCGATAACTCCACCGAGAAGGCTGCCACTCCTAAGCAGAGAAAAGCTCCAGCTCGGGTTAGTAACAAACCCTCTCCTACTATGAAGAAAAATCAGCCTGCTGAACCTACTAGGATCCTTCGAAATAGGAAGCAGAACCCCAAGTACAAGCAGTAGATTTGTCTGCTGCTGCTTTTCTTGTTTTATCATAAACTTGTGTGTTTTAACTTGTTTCTATATTTGTGAATCTTTTTCTGCGGAAAACAATGAACATATCTGTTTTATATGTATATCTGTTTGCTACAAGTAAAATATTTTGATGCAAGCGGCGTTCATTGTCATTTGCAGAAACAACAAGTTTTATCTCCATGCGGTAGTGACAATGGCGTAGACCCGGACCTGGTTTTCGTGAAGGAGTATACACCAACAAAAGCTGAGGAAGTGGAAGAGGCACAGAGGATGGCATTAAAACAACAAGCAACAATAGATATTGCACGTGCAAACGTACAGAGACAGCGACAGCTGGCCGCATCACAAGTGTCTCCGTTTATAGGAGATAGCACAGTGAAGGGAATCATTCCTAACAAGCCACGGCTTGGATATGGATATGATCCCAACGAGCCTGTGGATAAGGACAGACTTGCACGGCTGAAGAAAGATTTCAAAGGCATTTTGTAAGTATTTTCTTAAACTTCCTTGGTTTGGGCAGATTTATAGCTTGTTTGATTACCAATTGTGATTTTTATGTTTTGTATCCAGCGGCCCGACGAAGTTCAAACTCCACATTCCACTAATGTGGTGGCATGAATTGGTCACGCAGACGGAATGGCTCGCGGATACGGTAAGTCGCCTATAATGTAGACCATTTTGGTAGACCATGTTGGTAGACCATTTTGGTAGACCATTTGGTAGACCATTATGTTAATGTTTTCTTATTTACTGTCTAAGAATTTCGTATCTGTTTTCAGCACATGGACGCAGTAATGAACATGTTTCGTCATCGCATGAAGTTGCACCCCGAGTGGTTTAGGAGTGACCGACTGTGCTTCTGTGATAGTACTCCTAGTATGCTGTGGCAAAAAGACAAGTGGAAGAGGTTTTTGAGTACAAAGCCCGATGGACAGGGACTAGGAAGGTGGGTCCCGGGAGGTGCGACCGATCTCTTCGAAGGGAAAGCACCACGTTTCTGCCAAACCTTGAAGAAATGGGAAGTAGATATTGATGAGATCTACATGCCATGGAACGTCAAAGACGCTCATTGGGTGGCCTTGATGGTTTCTATACCGAAAAGGCATATTACTGTGTGGGACAGCATTCCAGGATGTCTATCGGAGAGGTTGTTAGCCAAAGCTATCGAGCCCGTTGCTGTCCTTATGCCTTATCTACAACGGCTCATGGCTGACATCGGCGATAGGTATAAGTATCCACTCGACCGTTACACCCACGAGTATATTTCCGGAGGAGATGTGCCTGCGCAAGACAATTCGAGTGACTGTGGAGTCTACTGTCTAAAGTTCATCGAGTATCATAGTCTTGGGAGGCTTTTTCCGAAGACGCTTTGTGGTAGGAACATGAAAGCTATAAGAGCAAAGCTTGCAGCGGACCTATATCACGAGATCAACTGTCGCGGCCCTCCAGAGCGTAACTGGGAGGATCTGGACAATGACATATAACTATCTAGGTAGATCGGTATATATCAGTTTTAGGCTGGGTGTGTTTTGTAAAGCGCTCATGGTACCATATTTTGCTGTGTACCTAAACTCGACGCTCTCATTATTTTTTGGTGTAAAATATAACTACCTAACCCAGCTAAATATATAATATAACTGTTTTCGGATAAATTCAAATTCTTGCATGTTTACTAACATGGACGTACCCCGTCAATATCAAACAAAATGAATAACATAAAACATTAGTAACTCAAAACAGCTAAAGTAGACCTCTTCGGTAGATTGTTGTAGTAGATCGGTCGGGTAGACCTACGTAGTAGACCGAATATTACGTCTACGTAGACAAGGTAGACTAAACATGCGGTCTACCGAATTAGTCGACTAAGTCAGTCTGCCGCTGCGTTGTTCATCTGCAGGAGTTATGGAACTCAAGTAAGGATAAAACTGAAACATTAACGGAAAGAGGGAGTTTTCAATGGCTTACACAATGAGGTCGGGTGTGTCCTGGAACCCTGCACAACGAACAGCTATAAACTTTGTGGACCTTCCTTGGTTTGGGCTGTCTCTTCCTTGACAATTCTAGCCATGTTAGATACCTTGATTTCTTTTTCCGGCCACGAGTTGGCGCCACTTCTGGAGGTAAGCAAATGTCTTCTTCTTCCTCTGCATCTTCTGTAGGCTCCGGGTATATGGGACGTGCATATGTTGCATACAAAGATTCTTTCGTGTATGTCATACACACGTTTTGCGAAATGTGCATGTTTGCCTCAGTAGACGCTGCAATCGCATGTGAACAAGGTATTTTCTCAATCTGGAATACACCACATTCGCAGGAACGGTTTTCCAAATTCACAATATAATGCCCTCCTCCGCCTATAACATTGAAAGTCCATCCATCTATGTGTTCCACAGTGTATGTTTCTGCGTGGTGTGTACGAATAGCTAGCAAATATTCAACTCCCTTGCTGTATGGGGTCTGAAGACTCAAGGCGTCCTCTCGCCTTTTGGCAAACCAAACCCCCAACTTCTCCCGGATGAATTGCAGCAGATACGGTATTGGAAAGCCCTTTGCTCTCTTCAATGCGGAATTGATAGATTCAGCAATGTTACTTGTCTTTATATTGTATCTATCCCCTGGAAAATGTACTCTGGACCATAACTTAGGATCTGCTAACTCTAAGTAGTTCGCAAGTGCAGGTTTAGCAGCCCGGATTGATGCCATGCAACGGTTATACTCTCTCAGCGTATGGGCGTATGCAGCTCCTTTCACCAAGTACATCAAATCCTTTGCACCCAGCTCTGACTTTGAGACAATGTTTCCCTGAAGATGGTAGTAACAAATACCTCTGGTTACCCAAGGTAGAACATTGAGACATGCATTAGGTATGGAGGGGTGCCTGTCCGAAATAATGACCATGTGATGAGATGAAAAGCATTGCTGCAACTTGTTCATAAACCACCCCCATGATTCGTTATTCTCGGCATCTACAATCCCAAATGCCAACGGGAAAACCTGAAAATTAGCATCTTGTCCGGCTGCAACCAGCAATGTTCCTCCATACTTTCCAGTTAGATGAGTCCCATCTACCACAATAACACGTCTCAAGTACTGAAAGCCAACCATTGAAGCATACAAGGACAAGAAGCAGTATTTGAATTGACCATTAGCCTCACATACAAGGTCAGTCACGGAGCCCGGGTTTGACTGCTTCACTCTTCGCAAGTACGAGGGCAAAGCCGCATATCCAGCTTCTGGTGTTCCCCTAACAAAAAGTTGGGCAGCTTTTAAAGCTCTGTAAGAGTGGTGTAGTTAAGCTTAAGTCCAAGCAACACCCTTATCGCGGAAGCAATATGCCTTGGGACAATTCCATCAATGATTCCAAACTGCTCTACAAATATCTGCCCAAGATACCTTGGAGTACATCCCTTGCGGAATCGAGCACGGTCCACCACAGAGCATGTATGAACCTTGACATACTTTGTGACAAAGAACCTCTTTGCCTCATTCTTTATAGCAGCTCTGCACATCCATTTGCATCCATCTACAAAACATTTTGCCACATAGAGCTTGGTAGTAGACTTAGAAACCTTGAAGGCGAATCTAGACTTCACTGCCTTCACTCGCAAGGCAGATATGAGATCATTCTTGCTTACATAGCTCTGGCCAACTGATATATCGCCTGACCCATCGAATCCTACCCCATGACCATTCAAATCACCTCTGCGAAGCCTTTCTTCAAAGCGTTTTTTCTCCCAATCATCTTCATCTTGAACTTTCCCATACTCACTATAGTCTGCGTCCGTGTCTTCAGCTTTCTTTCCTGCAAAATCTTCATCCACATAGTCATCGTCCCCTGCATCATCATACTCTTCCTCAACTTCTTCATCTGAATTTGCATCCCAGTTTACATCTGAAAGTTCCTCCTCCTCTTCATACTCATCCTCATCCACATAGTTATCTTCATCGACATAGTTATCCTCATCTCTCTGCTGACCTTTATCCTTGTTTCCAACAGAGATGCAAAGGCGCAGCACATGCGTTTTGCATGTCTCTATCAAGCTATGGACCTGCCCATCGTTGGTGATGTACATAGGAGGAAAGTCAGAGGGCATTTGATGGAGCATAACATCTGGTAATGGATAGGATAACTCCACCCGCTCTGGTTCCATATCCAGCATATAGTCAGCTTGTACCATTGTAAGGAGCTCCTCATGTGTACAACCATCACGCAAGTAGAACATCCTCCCTCCTTTTCCTTTATCGACCTCAAAATTCCATGTCTTGTCTTCCATCACCACCCATTTTCCATAAACGGAAGCTAGACAAACCATTACCTGCAACAAAAACGAACAAGACCACAAAACGGATTAGAAGACAGAATGGGTAGACCGCTACGGTAGACCCACAACTTGGTCTACCAGGTAAAATTAATCTAGATACCTAATTGAAAAGAAATCCGAATATAGCCTTAATTACGCAGAAAGAACATTTCAAACTCACACAGAAGCAAGTAAACAAACAAAAGCAACTAACTGTTCGAGATAAATTCCAAAATATTTGATATATTGAAAGGAAAACGACATTTCAAAAAACACATAATAATAGACCTACAACGTAGACTTCTAGTAGACGTAACGGTAGACCGAAATGTAGGTCTACGCCACGTGGAGGGTTAGTTTAGCAATTGTTCGAGGAAAATGTTTTTTTGGAGGTCTACCGTGTCGGTCTACTACACGTGGCGGGTTAGTTTTGCAATTGACCAAACGTTGACTTTTTGCCAAGGTCTACCGTCTCCGTCTACCAGAAGACGTAGACCTCCAAATCGGTCTACCGTAAAAAAGTAGACCTCCAAATTAGTCTACCGTATCGGTCTACCTAAAAAACATTTTGTGATGGCGTTGACTTAAGTTTGACTTTCCTCGGGTAGACTTCCGTGGTAGACCTCAGTTTTTTTGCGTTGACCAGTAGACCTCACTTTCGGTCTACCAAGCAGTAGACCTACACGGTAGACCTCAATGACGCAAACTCTCTCCTTTTTGAGGAAAGTCAAACTTTTGTCAACGGCCGGACCAACGTTTTTTTTTTAGGTAGACCGACCTGGTAGACCTACGACAAACATTTTACTCGATCAATTGCAAAACTAACCCGCCACGTGTAGTAGACCGACACGGTAGACCTCCAAAAAAACATTTTCCTCGAACAATTGCTAAACTAACCCTCCACGTGGAGTAGACCTAATTTGAGGTCTACCACTTGTTTTTTTTGTTTGCAAAGGAATTGACCCGGTCTACTTTTGGTTGACCGGTAGACCTGAGGTCTACCATGTAAAAGTAGACCTTCTCTTCCGTCTACCTTTGCGGACCAAAACTGAAAGTCGTTCAATTTTGAAAGAAAGGTTACCTCGCCGTCGGAGAAAGGCTCTTCGAAGCCTGATAACTTAAATTTGGGCTTCCAGCAACGATCTCCGGTCGTCAACGTAAGCTAGACATCGGAAATACCAAGATCCAAGATTTGAGATTTCTTCTAGATTTTGGGATGAAAATGGAGAGAAAATGAAGAATAAGAGTTTGTGAGATGAAAGAAGGAGAAATGGTAGCTCACCAACGAGTTTTCGGAGCATTGAAAGCTCCATGTTCGGTGAAAATGGTGGTTGGCCACATTGATGATATGGCATTTTCGAAATTTTGTGTAGGAGATGAGGGGTCTTTGGTCTTTCAGCAGATACGGTAGACCTACAAATCGGTCTACTAGTCGAAAAAAGTAATGGCAATCCTGTAATTAATTAGAAAAATCTGGACAAACTTAAAACGAAAAAAGCAGGAGGTTACTTTTGCATTTGACCACAAATTTGGGTCTAGAAGTGAAACAATCTCCCAAAACTAGACCGATACAAAAATCAAATCGATTTTGATAATTGTCATGACACTGGTTTTTTATTCCCGCTTTCCTACTTTAAGCTGGAACGTTCCTTCGCATCTTTTAGTAATCCAAAACCTTTTTCAAGGAACTTGTGTCCAATATGAACTCAGCGTGGCCAATTTCTTGACCAATGCAACTAAACAAATGTTTAATCATCCAATTAGGGCGTGGTAATGACACTATTAGATAAGAGTAGGCGTAATTAGTGACACCTAACTATTACTTCCTCTGTTTCAGTTTATAAGGGGTTTTAGGTTTTTTCATAATAATTAAGGAAGCAACTAAAATACCTCTTATAACCTCATCTTCTATTACTTATTTCAATATTATACCACTAAAAAGTTTTCTCCACATTGAATAAGGGAAGGATAAAAATGTGAAGTAGTGATAATTTTAATCTAGATTATCGTAAGAGACCATTATTCTGCAATAAATTTTTTTTCCTAAAACCTCTTATAAACTGAAACAGAGGAAGTAATCTTTAATCATATATCCGTCGTGGCGCGTGGGTGTTAGCCCTCCACAATCCTTATCCCCTAGTTTCCTAAAATACAAACTTTTTATGTGAAAATGATACGTCATCTAGATCAACAAAAAATATGGACCCCTAGCCTTATTGTGTGCCACGTTTCTTTTCCAAAATTTGACTAAGAACGGTCTTCACACTCTTTTGTACTTCTTTTTTCGTTATTAGTGATTTAGTGTAATACAAGTTATTTAGTACTTCTCCTTTGGATTCCATATAATTATTGGTTTTGATCTTATGACAAACGGATATTCCTATACTCAATGATATTTCAGCATTTAAAATAAAGAGAAATTTTATGAAATACACCTTTTGAGGTGCAAATTTTCAAAACTACACCTATAGTATGGAAATTTTCAAAAATACACCTTTCCCCAATTTTAATATATATATTTGAGTTCACTAATCCTATATTAGGATTTAGATTTTGGGATTTAGGATTTAGATTTAAGGGTTCAATATTAGATTTTAGGGTTTTAGATTTATATTTTAGGGTTTAGAGTTCTTTTACTAAATGAAAAAGTGTAGTTTTGAAAATTGACATCATAGAGGTGTATTTTTGAAAATTGACATCTCAAGAGGTGTAGTTTTGAAATTTCCCCTAAAATAAACAACATTTAACGAGATAAATATATTAAACTTACAACAACAGAAAAAAACATTGTAACATGGGTAATCCATCTACAATTTATTCAGAAAAGTTATTGAAATATCTATGTATTATACTATATCTGCATGCAATAAAAATGCCTATTTTCTCCATAAATTTGGGTGTTGTTTTGTTTGTCATACAATAGTGCAGATAATAATGATGTATATGACTTTTGATAGTTATAGATGGATAGGGTAGACAAAGAAAGATAGGAGGAGAGCAATAATCAAGAAGAGTGAAGAACGAATATTTGGGGAAATAGGACAAAAGAATATACTTGTTTTGAAATGGAGATTCACCTAAATACTAAAACGGAAGCCATGCAATGCAACCAAACAAATCAGTGGTCAAGCACAATCAATTATATGTCTTCTTTACTTTTCTACGAAGAAGACCCTTTTAGAATCTCCACAACTAAAATATATTTTCTACAATACATGATAATTCTAACTTTCTGCTCATAAACTATCTGCAAATTATAGAACAAACAAATCTTTCAGAAAAAATAACAAATCTTGTAAGTAAATAACGAATTCATCATCTCACATACACAAATATAATTAAATAGACATATATAGAGTTAAATAATACTTTTGTCCTTTTTAGATTGACAAATGACATGCTTATTATCATGAAAAACAAGATGTAACTCAAAACTCTTTTGTTTATAATAAAAAAGAAGCTTTTTAGTCGTGACTGCTTTTGATGACCATTATACAACTTTACAATATTATTGTATGGAAGAAAAACAAATAAGTGACTAGAGGTAATGGATAGGACATTCGTGTTGGAATGGATCAGAGAGCTTTGCAAAGAGAATAAACTGAATACTTGCTTAGATTAAAAAATGAAAGAAAGTGGTCTCATGACCTTACAACGAGATTCCGAAATAAACGTAATGCTGAAACAAACTAAATCGTTTCCTACAAAACAGGGCAACGACTTATTCTTAAGTTGAACAATTCAAACTAACTCAAACTCCATAACTTGAGCATAAAGCAAACTTTATTCTTCAAATCTTCCCCTAAACTGGAACTCTCTCCTTCCAGTTTACTCCTCCTTGCGACATACACCCATCTCACCTCTCAGCTTCTCAAACACATCAAGCTTCACAGCTTTCGTCATGATATCAGACAACAGACAACTGTTCTTGAGTAGTACAATAATCAAGCGCAATGACTCCATCATTCACAAGCTCACGCAAGAAGTGAAATCTCACATGAATGTGTTTGCTTCTTCCATGTAGCACAGGATTCTTTGACAACTTAATAGTAGAGCTATTGTCACAGAATAGAACTGTACCTTCCTCTTGAGCATATCCAATCTCTTCAAGAATGTTTCTCAACCATACTCCTTGACACGCTCCATAAGCAGCAGCGACAAATTCAGCCTCAGTCGTAGATAACGTGACTATAGGCTGCTTCTTTGATGCCCATAAGATTGCTCCTCCTCCAAGCATATACACATATCCCGATGTGCTTTTCCGATCATCAGTATCTCCTGCATAATCACTATCAACGAACCCCACAAGCTTCTCCTCATCTCCCTTCTTGTATCTAATACCATATTCAGAGGTTCTTTGCAGCTAGCATGTGTTGTTCTCTAGGATTCTCCATATACCGACTGACCAAATTCACAGAATAAATAAGATCAGGTCTAGTAGCTGCCAAGTACCTCAGACTTCCCACAAGCTGCTTGAACGATGTGGCATCAACGACTTCTCCAGCTCCAATCTTTGTTAATTTGTTGCCAGGTACCATTGGATTCTTCACCGCGTTGCAAGTGTCCATCCCGTACTTCTCCAGTATCTCTTCAGCATACTTCTGCTGGTTGATGAAGATGCCTCTGTCATCTTGTATAACCTCAACTCTCAGAAAGTACTTCATTTTCCCCAGATCCGTCATCGAGAATTCCATCATCATAGAGCCCTTGAACTCATCTAACATCAGGTTTGAATTCCCTGTGTAGATCAGATCGTCCACGTACAAGCTCACGATGAGAATCTCATCCCCTCTTCTCTTCACGAACAGAGTGTGTTCACAGTAAGCCTTCTGAAACTTTTCTTTCATGAAGTACCCTTTGATACGACTGTACCAAGCCCTTGGTGCTTGCTTGAGTCCATACAGTGCCTTCTTCAGTTTGTAAACCTTATTGGATTCCTCTTCAAGTATGAAACCCTTAGGCTGCTCCACATAAACATCTTCATTCAACTCCCCATGAAGAAAGGCGCTCTTGACATCAAGTTGATACACTCTCCAATCTCTTTTCGCAGCAAGAGCAAGAATCGATCTTATTGTATCCCATCTTGCCACTGGAGCAAAAACTTCATGAAAGTCAATGCCATACTTTTGATGATATCCTTTAGCTACTAACCGTGCCTTGAACTTGTCTACTTCTCCCTTCTCATTGAACTTGGTTTTAAAAACCCACTTTACTCCAATCACTTTAGCTCCCAGTGGTAATTCCATCAACTCCCAAGTGTAATTTTCTTCAATGGATTTGATCTCAGCCTCCATTGCTTTTCTCCAGACCTCATGTTGCACTGCTTCTTCAAAACAATCTGGATCATCAGATGCAACAAACATTGCCAAGATGTCATCTCCATCTTCAGAAATCACGAAACCTGCATTTCTAGGCACATAATCTTTCATCCAGACAGGTGCTTGTCTGTTTCTGCCTCCTTCACGTGCAGGTGTGACATTGACAACTACTTCCTGAGTTGTCTCTGTTTCCTCGTTTCCTTCTTCTCCATTCTCTTCTTCTCCGTTTTCTGTTTCTTCCCCCGTCTCTGCATTCTGTTCTTCAAGCTCATTCAGATTCTCTGCAGCTTGATTCTCAACTTCTTCTGTTTCAGTGACTAGCTCATTCCAAGATAGCTCTTTGCTTTGCAACTCTGCATCCCACTCCCATCCCTTAGTTTCATCGAAATGAACATCTCTACTTATCACAATCTTCTTTGTGACGGGATTGTATAGACGGTAAGCTTTTGATTCCTTGCTTAGCCCGAACAACACACACTTCACGCTTTTCTCGTCCAGTTTGATTCTTCTTTCGTATGGCACTAGAGCAAATGCAACACAACCAAATATCTTCAAATATTCCACTGATGGCTTGTGTTGGCTCCACTTTTCTTCAGGCGTGATGTCTCCTAATGCAGCAGATGGACTCCTGTTCAAGATATGAACCGCATACTGCACAGCTTCTGCCCAAAATCTTCTTGGTACTGACATCTCCAGTAGCATACACCTTGTCATATTCATGACACTTCTGTTCTTCCTCTCTGCTACACCATTTTGCTGTGGTGTGTATGCTGCTGTGAGTTGCCTCTTTATGCCATTCTCCCTGCAAAACTCTTCAAAAGCCTTAGAACAGTACTCGCCTCCTCTGTCTGTTCTGAGACACACCAAAGGCTGTCCCGATTCTCTCTCAACTCCAGCCTTAAACTCTTTAAAGACTTGAAGAGCCTCTGACTTCTCAGTCAACAGAAATGTCCAACATTTCCTGCTGAAATCATCTATAAAATTGATAATGTACCTCTTTCCACTCTCTGAGATTGGTGAGATGGGACCACAAATGTCACTGTGAACGAGTTGTAGTGCCCTTTGATATACACATATATTAACATACATTAGCATACATTTTCATTCATATTTCCATCCTATTGGTCTTATTCTCATACATTTACATCCTCATATATCTATTTATACATTGGCATCTTCATTAAGACTTGCATTGCATATACATTGCATTTTGAGTCCATATCAGGTACTTAATGGAGCTTTGGAGTCATTTGGGGAGAAGGAGTGTTGGAGACGTCAGGACCAAGAGCGACCAGGATGCGAACCAGGATGATTCCAGCGAATCGTCCCGGCATTACCCCACCACCGGTCCCAAATTTCAACTTCGACATCAAGACAAGCTTGATAAACTTGGTGGAGAATTCCATCTTTCACGGAATGAAAGATGAAGATCCTTTGAAGCACTTGGAAAAGTTTGATAGAATTTGTGCTTTGCAAAAGATCAACAACGTCACTGAGGATGCTCTTAAGCTCCGATTGTTCCCTTCTCTTTGAGTGGACACGCACTAGCTTGGGAGTCTTCAATCCAACCTGGAACCGTGACAACTTGGGAACAATGCAAGCATGCCTTTCTTGCGAATTCTTCCCACGTCAAGAACTGCTCAGCTAAGGAACAACATTGCGAGTTTCACTCAACAAACCGGTGAAACATTCTCAGAGGCATATGAGCGATTCAAGGGATATCAAATGAAGTGTCCTCATCACGGCTTCTCCAAAGAGAACTTACTAAGCACGTTGTACAGAGGATCTCCCCTAAGTACAAGATGCATTTGGATTCAGCTAGTAAGGGTCATTTTATGGGAATGGATGTAGAGATGGGCTCGCTTTGGTGGAGAATGTTGCTCTTAGTGATGGAAACTATCCAGAGGAGTATGATCGAAGTGATAGAGGAGATAGCTCAGTCAATGATGAGAAGCACAAGAAGGAGATCAAAGACATTGAATGACAAGCTTGACAAGATCTTGACTGGCCAACAAAAGCAAGTTCACTTTGTTTGTGAGGATGATGTGAACCAAGAGGGGGAGGACCAACAAACTGAGGAAGTGTGCTATATGAGTAATCAGGGAGGTTACTACAAAGGGTTACAACACAAACAACAACACGAACCTCTCTTACCGCAGCACCAATGTGGAGAATCCACAAGACCAAGTCTACCCACCTCAACAAAACCAAAATCAAGGGGGCCAACAAACTGTTTACTTCAAGCGTGGTTACCCACCAAAGGTTTTTGGAATCAGAACCAAGGCTCAACTCAAGCTCAAGCAGGGAGCAACTCAAGTCAAGATCTGATATGAAGACCATGCTTCAACAACTTAATCAAAGGGCCAAACAAGTGGAGCTACTGAGCTAACACCAAGCTAGCCGAGATCAACAACAAGGTGGATTGCTCTTACAATGATCTCAACAAGAAGTTGGAATCTTTAAACTCAAAGGTTCAACACTTGGAAGCTAAGAGCCACAACATACCTTCTCTTCAAAGGGAATGCTTCCTGGAAAAGCAATCGCAAACCCAAAGGAGTATGTGCAAGCAATTACTCTTAAGAGTGGGAGAGTTCTTCCGGAGAGAGTGGTACCATCAAGAAGCAACGAGGACGTTGCGATTCAAGAGGAGGAGGAGTCAGTCGACATTGAAGCTGAGGAGAGTTGAGAAAGAATCAGTAGAGCCAGAGAAGCAGAAGGACAGCGCACCGAGCCGTCAAAAGGAAACAAGAAGAGGAGGGAAACTCTTTTTGTTCCTCCACCATTCAAGCCAATGCTACCTTTTCCAACACGTTTCAAGAAACAAATGGCAGAGAAATGCAGAAAGTTTTGATCAGCAACTATCTGAGATGATTGAAGATCCCTTTTAGATGCTCTCATGATGATCAAGCCTTATCAGAAATTTTTGAAAGATGCCATTTTGGAGAGAACCAAGGAAGTGCAAGGCATGGTGGTATTGTCTCAAGAGTGTAGTGCTATAATTCAAAGCAAGACAGTAACAAAGAAGCTTGGTGATCCTGGAAGCTTCACTCTCCCTGTTCCTAGGACCTTAGCATTCAAGAAGAGTTTGTGTGATTTGGGAGCAAGTGTAAGCATAATGCCTTTGACTGTGGCAAGGCGTTTGGGTTTTGAGAAATACAAGGAGTGTCATTTCTCTCTGATCCTTGCTGATAGATCAGTTAAGCTTCCAGTAGGTATGCTTGAAGATATGCCACTCAAGGTGGGAAGTGTGATAGTTCCAACTGACTTTGTGGTAGTAGAGATGGATGAAGAACCCAAAGATCCTCTGATTTTGGGAAGACCTTTCCTTGCCACTGCTGGAGCTATAATTGATGTGAGAAGAGGCAAGATTGAGCTGAATTTGGGTAAAGACTGCAAGATGGTGTTCAATGTAAAAGATGTTATGAAGCAACCAACTATAAATGGTGAGTCATTTTACATTGAAACACTTGAGCAGCTAGCCGAAGACTACTTGGAGGAATTGGGAGTTGAGGATAAGCTGCAGCTGGCTTTGACTAAGGATAATGAGGAGTTTGGATGTCTACAAGCAGAGAGTATGGGTTATGCTTGGCTTATGGACTCACACAGAGCAGCAAAAGAGGGACAGGCTTTGAGGAGTTGGTCAGTCAGAAACGAAGAGCATCCGGGATGGAAAACAGGTTGAGAACCTGTTTGCTCTAGAGTCAAACCGAAGGAGGAAAGCTCTCAAGAGCAAGGCACGGACGATGACTGGTCTGAGCTTAAGGCTCCCAAGTCGATCTCAAACCACTCCCAAAGGGGCTCAGGTATGCGTTCTTAGGCTCTAACTCCACATACCCTGTCATTGTCAATGATGCATTAGACCCCCATGAGCTTGAAACCCTCCTTGTGAGCTGCGAAAGTACAGGAGAGCTCTTGGATACTCGCTGGACGATATCAAGGGTCTCTCCCCTACTCTATGCACTCACAGGATCCATCTCGAAAATGAATCAAAGGGATCTATTGACATCAGCGTAGGTTAAACCCCAATCTTAAAGAAGTAGTAAAGAAAGAAATCTTGAAGCTTCTTGATGCAGGAATCATTTACCCTATTTCGGACAGTACTTGGGTTTCTCCAGTACATTGCGTCCCAAAAAAGGGTGGGATTACTGTCATCAAGAACGAAAAGAATGAATTGATCCCAAGTAGGACAATAGTTGGACATAGAATGTGCATTGATTATCGTAAGTTAAATTCTGCATCAAGGAAAGATCATTTTCCTTTGCCATTCATTGACCAAATGCTTGAAAGGTTGGCATGTCATCCATTTTATTGTTTCTTGGATGGCTACAGTGGTTTTTTCCAGGTTCCAATCCATCCAAATGACCAGGAAAAGACCACATTTACATGTCCATGGCACCTTCGCATATCGAAGAATGCCATTTGGATTATGTAATGCCCCAGCAACGTTTCAAAGAGCCATGCTTTCAATCTTTTCGGATCTAATAGAGGAAATGGTTGAGGTCTTCATGGACGACTTCTCGGTCTATGGCTCTTCTTTTCCTCTTGTTTGTCTAATCTATGTAGGGTGCTGAAAAGATGTGAGGAAACGGCTTGGTTTTGAATTGGGAGAAGTGCCATTTTATGGTGAAAGAGGGGATAGTCCTTGGCCACAAGATCTCAGAGAAAGGCATTGAAGTGGACAAGGCAAAGATAGAAGTAATGGTGCAACTTGGGGAGCCAAAATCAGTTAAGGATGTGAGAAGCTTCTTGGGACATGCGGGTTTCTACAGGCGCTTTATCAAAGATTTTTCTAAGATAGCAGGCCACTCACAAGACTCTTATGCAAAGAAACAGAGTTCATCTTTGATGAAGAGTGTAGCCAAGCTTTCTTGAAGATCAAGGAAGCCCTTGTTAGCGCACCAATTGTCCAAGCTCCAAATTGGGACTCCCCTTTGAGATAATGTGTGATGCCTCAGACTTCGCGGTTGGAGCAGTGCTGGTCAGAAGGTGGATAAGAAGATGAACGTCATCTACTATGCAAGTAGAACGCTAGATGATGCTCAAACCCGTTATGCGACGACCGAGAAAGAATTACTAGCCGTAGTGTTTGCTTTTGACAAGTTCAGGAGCTACATTGTGGGATCAAAGGTCATAGTTCACACCGATCACGCAGCTCTCAAGTATCTCTACACCAAGAAAGATGCTAAACCGAGGCTGATAGATGGGTTCTCTTGCTTCAAGAGTTCGATATCGAGATCGTCGACAAGAAAGGCACCGAGAATAGCGTGGCCGATCATCTATCAAGATTGAGGATTGAGGGAGATGTTCCCATCGATGACTCTTTGCCAGAGGAGCAACTCATGGCTGCCAAGATCGTGGATAGAGGCTATTTGACCAAGTGCCGGCTGGAAGAAGGAATAGCAAGAGGAGAAGAGGTTCCATGGTACGCAGACTTTGTGAACTACTTGGTGTGCAGGAAGTTCCAAGTGGATGGAGTGGTTATCAGAGAAAGAAGTTCTTCAAAGATGTGGTTCACTACTACTGGGATGAACCTATTTGTTCAGAAAAGGGAATGATAACTTGTTCAGAAGATGTGTAGCTAAAGAAGGAAGTTGAGGGAATCTTGTTCCATTGCCACGGGTCAAGCTATGGAGGCCATTTTGCGGTTTTTAAAACGGTCCAGAAGGTGTTGCAAGCAGGTTTTTGGTGGCCAAGTATGTTCAAGGATGCTCATGCCTTCATCTCTAAGTGTGAGGCTTGTCAAAAGGCAGGGAACATCACGGAGGAACGAGATGCCTCAGAATCCTATCTTGGAAGTTGAAGTGTTTGACGTATGGGGAATAGACTTTGTTGGTCCTTTCAACCCGACTCTCACGGCAACTTACATTCTAGTGCCGTTGACTATGTCTCAAAATGGGTGGAAGCATAGCCGCACCAACCAACGATGCCAAAGTGGTCCTCAAGCTGTTCAAGACTATAATCTTTCCGAGGTTTGGGTTCCAAGATGTGTGATCAGTGATGGAGGATCTCACTTTGTCAACAAGGTGTTTGAAAACCTTTTGAAAAAGTATGGGGTGAAGCACAAGATAGCCACACCATACCACCCTCAAACTAGTGGTCAAGTGGAGGTTCTAACAAGCAAATCAAAGCCATACTCCACAAGACAGTGAACTCATCAAGGAAGGACTGGTCAGAGAAGTTGGATGATGCTTTGTGGGCTTATAGAACTGCTTACAAAACGCCAATTGGGAGATCTCCATACTCTTTGATCTATGGGAAAGTCTTGTCATTTGCCTCTTGAGTTGGAATATAGAGCTAGATGGGCAATTAAGTTCCTAAACATGGAGCTAAGTACAGCTCAGGAGAAGAGGGAAATGGACCTCCACGAGCTAGAGGAGATTCGCTTGGATGCTTATGAGAGTTCTCGAATATACAAGGAGAGAACTAAGGCCTTCCATGACAAGAGAATCACCCAAGGTTTTCAAGGAGGGAGATGATGTGCTCCTCTACAACTCAAGGCTCAAGCTATTCCCTGGGAAGCTTAAGTGTCGCTGGTCAGGACCATTCAAGGTCAAGGAAGTGTTGCCTTATGGAGCCATCACCCTAGTGAACAACAATGGAGTGAGTTCACGGTTAACGGTCATCGGTTGAAGAAGTACATGGGGAGTCAAAGCATTGGAGAGGGAAGTTCAATCCGTCTCCATGATCCACCCCAAGCCTAAAAAGGCAATGAAAGTCAAGCTATGGGACTCAAAACAAGCTCACTTGGGAGGAAGTCCCATGGTTATCCTTTTGTAAATAGTTTTATTTTTATCTAGCTTTGTTTTTATCTAATGTGTTTTGTAGGATGATTCAAGAGAGAAGCTGAGAGAGAGTTAAGGAATTGGAAATGGGCAGTTCTATAAAGACATTTCTTGTCCAAGAGCTTAAGATTCAACTGCCCAATCCAACACTCCTTTGACTCTAATCTCAGCTTAACCGGGTGAATTCTAAAGCAGACGGGTTGTCAGCCAGGTTCTGACAACCCGCGTCAGTAAGTGACCCGTTTCTTTTTGAATTTTTAAATCAGAAGAAACCCTTTTCTTTTCTCCTTTATTTTAAAACTTGGGGTTTCTTCTTCTTCAAAAAGCTTTTTCCCCGATTCTCTCTACACGAAAATCTCGGATTTCTTCGTTTCTCAACCAAAATTCGAATTTCAAAGCTCAATCTCTTTAAATCCGCCGCTCGATCAAACTTTAATCTTAATCCGACAGTCCAATCAAGGTATCCGATCTTAGTTTTTACTCTTTCACTTCCGGTTTTCTTCTTTTTGGGATTCAAAAGAGAAACCGTTTGTTGCTATTCTTGAGTAGATCCGGTTGATTGCGACTAGGTTAGATCGAATTCGAGTTTGCATGTAGGAAATTTCGTGCTTGAAGTGAATCTCGAGCTAGGTTTTTCAAAGTGTTCTTGAGCTTTTCTAGCTAAAATCTCGAGGTTCATGGCATGTTTTTAAAATTTCCTGTTAAATGATCTTGAGTGGTTGGATTTGAAAGTTTTGAGCTCGTTCTTAATCGAAAATCGAATTTGGTTTAAGCCGAAGCTTTGAATTTGATTGTTTGTGATTATTCCAAAAACAGAGCCTAATCGTACCTTGAGAATTGCTTGTTTCTCAGGTACAATGGCGAAAACAAAGTTCACAAAGAAGACGGTTCAGTAAGGATTTGGTTCAGAGTGGAGATGTGGAAGCGTCGAGAGAGAGAAGCGTGAAGGGAAGAAGAAGATGGACTATAGTGGGAAGAGAAAGGGAGGCCCAAAGGTGTCGGTTCCGAAATGGCCGGAGACTGCTGGCCAGGATATGGATGACTCGATGATCCCGAGACCTTATGGGGTCCAAGAGCGCATCCGTATCTTGAGGAGGATGCAGTTCATGTCGATGCGCTACCCACACCAGGAGACAATCAGAGAGCTGGGAATTGAGGAGGACGTCAACGACATCCTCTACTACATCGAGCTCGGAGACTTCACGAAGCAAGCTCTCCCGGCATATAGGGAACCGGCGATAGAGTTCCTCGCCTCCCTGAAACTCAAAAAGCATCCTCAGGGAGCAGCTGCTGAGCTCAAGAGAGATGGGATCGGCTACATCACCTTCACTCTACTGGGACAAGATATCTGCTCAGCATGAAGGAGCTTGAGACCATCTACAACCTTGAGGAGGATCGAGGTCTTGACACCGAGCTGTGCGTAGCCGCAACTGAGCTCCATGCGCTGTGGAGGATGATAAGTTCGAGATCTTATCAGATTTCCAGCAACAAGAGTGGCTGCATCAAGAACCCGGCGATACGCTATGCCCACAAGGTGATCGCCAATACCCTTTTTGCTAGACATGACTGCTCAAACGTCACGACGCAAGAGCTCGAGCTACTTGATGAAGGGATAATCCAGAAGCTCAAACTCTGGATGATGGAACCGAGATGAAAGGAGACTTGCGAGAGACGAGCAAGGCAGTCGTGTTGGTGAACTCGTTCCTACATGTGATGAGGAACGCAGAGCTGCTGTACGAGCAAGGCAAGATCAAGGAGTCTCACTTGGCAATAGGTAGCTTGATCACTCCTATCCTTCTTGCTACAAAGTCAAGCTCCCGGCCCCTTCTCATCCACCCAAGTTCATCGACATTGCCCACCTAAACAAGACATGGTTCTTGCGAGGAATGCATGAGGGGAGGCACATCTATCGTTTCGAGCATCCCTCATTTGGCATCTCGAAGATCCTTCTTCCGAACCCCGATCTTACAAACACCAACAGCCGGGATGGAATCCTGTTTCTCCCCTCGGCTGACCAGTTGTTTATGGATGGAGGCGATGCAACGGTCGGTGAAGGGACAAGGGCGTGAACGAGGAGAGCCTTCCTCAAGGACAAGCAAGTGAGCTTGGAGAGTTCGACTTCATCCCGTACAACGCGAATGGAAGCGTCCCGCGATCATCAAGGCACACAGCATATAGGCATGCTTCAAAGGTGGTGCAAGAAACAAGATGAGGTGATCAAGAAGCTCACCGAGACAGTCAACGTTCTCAAGGAGAAGCTCTCTTGTGCTCACCAAAAGCAACAAAGGCCGCATCGCCAAGCAAAACCGTGGAGCCAACGTTAAGGAGAAGCAAGCGGAAGAGAAAAACCGGCGCATCACCACCTCCAACGTCTTCAACGGAGCCAATCGACCTTGACGATTGTCCCACACCACCCTACCCCGACAACGAATAAGGTAAGACTCAAATCCACTGTAAATACCACTCATTTTTATTTTTCTTTGTTTTGCATCTCTTTGATGGATCTCTTCTTCATTCTCTTTTGTGCACAAGAGACTGTGCACTTAAGTTTGGGGGAGAGGTCCATAGCATTTGATCATGTTTTCTGTTTTCTTATTTTCAATTTTCATCCTTGAGTCTCATGTAGTTTGCATTTGCATATATGGCATAGAAAAACCAAAAAAAAAAATTGATTGAAAAATTTCAAAAAAATTGCATTCTTCAAAAAGAAAAGCATCATGAGCATTTGCATTTTAGGATTGAGTCTAGATGCATATCATCCCATTTGCATAGAGGACAATGAGGAATAAAAGTTTGTGATTTTTCGAAATGGTTTCAATGGTCCGGTTTTGAATCATTTGGTGCATATAGAGTGAGCTTGAAGTTAAGAAAGAACCACACCTTGAATGCACTCTTTGACATCTAGAATCGGCTGAAACATTGTTGTGATTTGATCTCTCATCCTGCTTATCGAAACCTGAATTTGATTGTTAATTATCATCCTTGTGCATTTGCTAAGAACTCGCGGATACATATACATACTTGGATTATCTTTCACCCTTTTCACCACTCTTGTTAATCCAAGTAGATTTCCCCACCTTGAACCAACCTTTCTTTGAAACCAAGTTGTTATTTCTGAGTGTGTAAGGCCTTTTTGGTTGAGCTTGGTAGAAAGTGTTGGGTTTTTACTGACAAGGTCTAGGCTTCCATGTAGATTCTAGCTCTGTCCTTTGAGCTAGTTAGGACTAAGTTTGGGGGAAACACCGTTTGGGCTTGGGAAGTTCTCAAAAGAAAGGAAAAGGGAAAGAGTTCCGAAGGAAAGTCCTAAAAAGGGAAGAAAAAGTTAAGTCGAGTCCCTTAGGAGAGAGTAGTGAAAGTGTTATGCTCTAGTGAAGGTTTGGGAAAGAAATAAGAAAAAGCTCTAGCTAGAAGAAAAAAGAAAAAAAAGAAAGGCCAAAGCCAATTTAGAAAAGAGCCTAAAAAGCCAAACAAAAGGAAGATCCCAAACCGCTAGATGAAGTTTAGAAACCTCTCCTAAGGACTTGAAAGCAAAAGAAAAGAAAAAGGTAAAAGAGTTAAGCTTGGAAACAGGGGATTGCACTTCATTTTTTTTGGGTAGATGAAAGTCTAGCCTTGTATCATCCTTGGTTTTCACCCTTAGCATTCTACTAAAGCTCAACCTTCTTTGAGAGATCCCTTGTGCTGATTTTGAAACCAGAAAACAGGACCATCTCTGTCCTTTGAAGCTTATCCCTTTAAGCCAAGCGAGCTCTTTGAAAAGCATAAGTGGTTGATTCACGGTTCTGTTATAATTGAATGTTAAAGGATGAGAGCTATTTGAATGCACTGTGGAAGTTGAGCCTAGTGTTTTTCTGTTGCTTTGATGGGTGTGTATGCTGCTGTGAGTTGCCTCTTTATGCCATTGTCCCTGCAAAACTCTTCAAAAGCCTTAGAACAGTACTCGCCTCCTCTGTCTGTTCTGAGACACACCAAAGGCTGTCCCGATTCTCTCTCAACTCCAGCCTTAAACTCTTTAAAGGCTTGAAGAGCCTCTGACTTCTCAGTCAACAGAAATGTCCAACATTTCCTGCTGAAATCATCAATAAAATTGATAATGTACCTCTTTCCACTCTCTGAGATTGGTGAGATGGGACCACAAATGTCACTGTGAACGAGTTGTAGTGCCCTTTGATATACACATATATTAACATACATTAGCATACATTTACATGCATATTTCCATCCTATTGGCCTTATTCTCATACATTTACATCCTCATATCTCTATTTATACATTGCATCTTCATTAGGACTTGCATTGCATATACATTGCATTTTGAGTCTGAATCAGGTACTTAATGGAGCTTTGGAGCCATTTGGGAGAAGGAGTGTTGGAGACGTCAAGACAAGAGCAACCAGGATGCGAACCAGGATCAGAACCCGTTTGTCACCTTTCCTTGACCAAGAAGAGAGTTGACCATGCCTTAATGAAACGCAGCGTTTTGGAGCTTAAATCTTGGGGAAGGAAAGAAGAAGGGTTTTAGAGAGTCTCCACTATATAAACTAAAAAGTCCTAAGTTTTTAGGCACCTTGTAATTTGTCTTTCATTTTGCCACCAAGAAATACTCTAGTTGAGATCTAAGACTTTGTAAGCTTTGGTCTCTTTCCTTAATCAAATCACGTACTTGTTTATTTGCATTTAGTTTCCATCTCATTTTACTTGTGAAACAACCTTCCTCTTATGAGAATCGGGTTGTCAAACAGGATGAGTGAGTAGTCTTTAGATTGTTTTAGGTGATTCGGTTTTGAGAGCTTTAAAGGAGAGTTTGGGCTTAAAGCTAGAACCTTTAGAGTTTCTCCTTGCTTAGTGCCCTTAAGGCTGAGTCATTTCTGATCATCTTGGCTCAGATCTCAAGCTCTCAACACATCAAAAGTGTGTTTGAGAGCTAGATAATCTAAGACAAGGGATCCGCTTTTCTAGCTCGCGATAGCGATTTGTTTAGAAAGCTTTTTGGTGATGGGATCTGCGTTTAAAGCTTGCTTGTGTGTAAGCTCACTCACGATAGTGAGTCTTGAGTTTGGACCTTGCATTCGAGCTCATTCACGATAGTGATAAGCTCTTGCTTTCGTTTTCCTTAGCCTAGAAACTCGGTTTTATCTTTAAGTCTTAAAGCTTCTTCCTTTAGCTCGATTTCCATCCGAAATCACCTAAAGCCATCGCCTTTCTTCATTTTCTTATCAAAGTTCAAGTCTTTTAGCTCAAAGTCGATTTCTTTCCTCTTTGAATCTTGATTTGGACCGTTATTTCACTGTTCTAAGTTTGTATTTTTACTGTTTAACGTTCGGATTTCATAAAAACCAAATCTTGTTCTTGGCTTGAAGTTTTCTTGTTCAATCTCTAGAACCCAATCTTCCCTGAGATTTGGATTGATACCTTAAACTATACTGCAATGATATGAGCAGAGATTTGAGGGTTTGGATCTACTAAAAATCTTGTTTTCACCCTTGTTGACTTCCAATCACTCTTCTTTGGAATGCTGTGACGATTTTGCTTTCCCCTGAAGCAGATGTCACACGCAGCTTCCGTCTCTTCTAGACCCGAGATTGGCAGTCCATTCACCATCTTCTTCTCAGCCAAGATTCTCAATCCTCCATAGTTTAGATGACCAAACCTCTTGTGCCATAGCTTCTCTGTTTTCTCTGAAACAAGTAGGCACTTCCCATCTACGACTTCTCTTGCACTTCTCACCTTAGCTAGAGCAATGAACATCCTGTTCTTTGTCATAGTTGAGTACATCACCATCTCCTTCTGTTGCTTGTGCCAAATTTCACATACATCGTCCTCAATGATTACTCTGAGCCCTTTCTCCTGCAGCTGCCCAATACTGAGTAAGTTGTTCCTCAACCCAGGCACATAGTACACAGATGTAATCACCCTGATCATGCCATTGATCTCTAAACGCAAGCTTCCCTTGCCTTCCACCACCAATCTTCTGTCATCACCAAGTTTCACGTTGTGTCGGAACTCACTGTCAAACTCAGTGAACCACTCCTTAGTTCCACACATATGGTTACTGCATCCTGAGTCAAGAAACCAGACATGTTCCTCCTCGTCCTTGAGATCGACGTGAGCCATCAACACCATATCTTCATCAAACTCGGCATAGTTTGCCGCTTCTTTGTCCCAATCTGGACATTCAGATTTGTAGTGTCCCTTCTTGTGACACTTGTAACACTCCAGCATTTCTTTTGATGTGTTGCCACGACCTCTCCCTTGGTAGCCTCCTCTACCTCTTCCTCTGTTTGAGTAGTTACCTCTTCCTCTGCCATATTGTGTGTTCCATTGACCCTCCACCTTCAAGGCATGTTCTTCTCCAACATGACGGCTCAGGTTCTGCTCATGCACCATCAACGAACTCTGCAAGCCATCCACCGTCATGTCTTTGATGTCATTCGATTCCTCAATGGCACACACAACATATGTGAACTTTTCAACCAAAGTTCTCATAATCTTCTCAACCACCTTTGAATCTGGCATCTCTTCTCCTAGATTCCTCATATTGTTGGCAACTTCCATCACTCTTGAGAAATACGCCGTGATGGTTTCTCCAATCTTCATCTCGAGTACCTCAAAGTCTCTGCGCAGTCTCTGCAGTTGCGCACTTTGAACTCGATCATTCCCTTGGTACTTTCGCTTCATCGACTCCCACAGATCCTTCGATGTCTCCTTCTTGAGAATCGTCTTGAGGATCGTCTTGTCTATCGAGGCAAACAGGTAATTCTTCACCTTGTGATCTATCACCGTCTTCTCTGCTAACTCCGTTCTCTGTGGTCCAGTGAGGATCACATTCGCTGCTCTCTGTGGAATCCCAGTTTCAATGAGATCCCACCACTCTTTGGATTTGAGGAGGTTCTCCATCAGCATCGCCCAGTGTTCGTAGTCTCCATCAAATCTTGGCACAATCAATGCATCTTTGTCACTCATTTTGTGTTTCTGTTTTCAAACTCTCAAGCTCGTTACAAGCTCTGATACCACTTTGTTGGAATGGATTAGAGAGCTTTGCAAAGAGAATAAACTGAATACTTGCTTAGATTAAAAAATGAAAGAAAGTGGTCTCATATATTGACCTTACAACGAGATTCCGAAATAAACGTAATGCTGAAACAAACTAAATCGTTTCCTACAAAACAGGGCAACGACTTATTCTTAAGTTGAACAATTCAAACTAACTCAAACTCGATAACTTGAGTATAAAGCAAACTTTATTCTTCAATTCGAAGGACAAAATTAATTATTATCTAAATCGCAATGTACCAACCAATAAGAAAGAAGTGACGCACTCTAAACGACAAAAAGGTCAAGAATATAAACCCTCACCTTCTCGGCTTTCTAACATTTCATAAACCTTGAAAACATCAAACACTAAAAAAAAAAAAATCTTCTAATTGTCCCAAAATCATGGAAATAAGTTCCCAATCTACTCTTCCTCCAGGGTTCCGATTTCATCCTACCGACGAAGAGCTCATCGTTTACTATCTTCGAAACCAAACCATGTCCAAGCCGTGCCCTGTCTCCATCATTCCAGAAGTAGATATCTACAAATTCGACCCTTGGCAATTACCCGGTTCGACCCGGTTATTTTTCAATGTTAATATTTTCACCTTTTCTCGTCGATAATATTAACTCTCGTTGCTATTTTTGTGTGTGTGTGGTGAATCTGAACAGAGAAAACAGAGTTTGGAGAGAATGAGTGGTATTTCTTCAGCCCGAGAGACAGAAAATACCCAAACGGAGTACGGCCAAACCGGGCAGCTGTTTCCGGTTATTGGAAAGCAACCGGTACAGACAAAGCCATTCACAGTGGCTCGAGTAACGTGGGTGTCAAGAAAGCTCTCGTCTTCTAAAAAGGCCGACCTCCTAAAGGAATCAAAACCGACTGGATCATGCATGAGTATCGTCTCCTCGATTCACGTAAAGCGTCCACCAAACGTAACGGTTCCATGAGGGTAAGCAGAGGCAACTAAATTACAACTCATGTTTTATTTAATATTATATTGTTAGTTAAAAATGTTTTTTTTTTGTTCGTGTTGTTGCAGTTAGATGAATGGGTGTTGTGTAGGATATACAAGAAGAGAGGAGCAGCGAAGCTTCTAGAAGAACCAGAGGGTTTTGTGGATGAAGTACAAATCGATGAGACAGCGATTGTTACGGATGAAGCAGAGAGAAGACAAGAGGAAGAGATGAGGATGATGACGTCGACGAAACTTCCAAGAACGTGTTCGCTTGCTCATTTGTTGGAAATGGATTACATGGGACCCATCTCTCACATTTTAACACCGTTCGATCTTCACCATCCTGGTTCGAACACCATGAACGAGTCTGGTTGGTTCGGAGATTTACAGATTAACCAAGACGAGCTGTAGAATTAGTATTCAACTGACTTGTTTATTCACGATCCCAAACTTGGGTATTTATACAACATGTCTTTGGAGCTATGTAACCCTAGACTCCTAAATACAAGGAAACTTAACTTTATCACAACATAATGAATTAGGAAACTTAACATAATGAATCCTTATACTTAACCGACGTAACTATCCGTAATACTCCCCCTCAAGTTGGAGCGTGGAGATTACGAACGCCCAACTTGGATAATAGATACTGAAATGGAGCACGCCCAAGTGCCTTTGTAAGTATGTCAGCCAACTGCTCCTCTGTTCTCACATGATCAGTCACAATAACTCCTTCTTGAACAGCATCCCTTACAGCGTGACAATAAGATTCAATATGTTTCGTTCTCTCATGAAAAACTGGATTGGAGGCAATGTGAATGGCCGCCTTATTGTCACAAAACAACCGTGTCGGCTTTGACTGATCAATACCAAGTCCGGCTAACACTCGCCGAAACCACTTAATCTCACGGAGAGCCACAGCCATTGAACGATATTCTGATTCAGCGGAAGAATGAGAGACCATGTCTTGTTTCTTTGTTTTCCAAGCAACTGGGGAGCCACCAAGTAAAACCACGAACGCGCTAAGAGACCGGCGAGTTAACGGACACGAGTTATAATCAACATCACAATAGACCGTGAGGGTAAGATCAGGATCAGACGACAAGAAAATACCCTGGCCAGGAGATCCTTTTAAGAAACGAACAACACGCAAGGCTGCTTCCCAATGAGCCACTTTTGGTTCCTTCATGAATTGAGACAACAGGTGAACAAGTAGCACAACTCTGGTCTTGTATTGAGTAGATATATGAGTCGGCCCATGAGCCGCCGATACTTCTTTGGATCATCAAGAAGAGGACTCTCGACCGTAGATAACTGATGTGTACTCTCAAGTGGTGTTGTGGCTGGCCGAGAACCAAGATTGCCAGTTTCGGCGATAATGTCTAACGCATACTTGCGTTGGGAAAGGAACATACCCTCGGGTCCTCTACTTATTTCGATGCCCAAAAAATACTTCAGTTTCCCCAAATCTTTCATGGAGAAACATTTACTCAAGTAATCTTTAAATTTCTGAATCATGTAAGAGTCATTACCACAAATAATGAGATCATCCACATAAACGAGAACCCGTAGCTCAATGTTCTTGCGCGAGTAAGAGAACAAAGAGTAATCATCATACGACTGATCAAAACCAAAACGAAGCAATGCATCAGAAAGCTTCTTGAACCAGCAACGCGGAGCCTGTTTGAGCCCGTACAATGACTTACGAAGACGGCAAACTTTGCCAGGATGAGAGTGACGAAACCCTGGAGGAAGTTTCATGTACACTTCCTCTTCTAAGTCACCGTGAAGGAAAGCGTTGTTGACGTCCATTTGGTAAACCTCCCAGTTTTTAGATGCGACAAGACGAAGAACAGAACGAACAGTATTCATCTTGACAACAGGAGCAAAAGTTTCATCGAAATCTTCTCCTTCAATCTGATGATTGCCCTGGACAACTAGCCGAGCCTTGTATCTCTCGATAGTACCATCAGAATTATACTTCGTCTTGTAAACCCAAAGACAACCAAGAGCTTCTTTGCCAGGAGGTAAATCACAAATATCCCACGTACGCTTTTGTTCAAGCGCATCCACCTCAGTTCCCATAGCATCGTTCCAGACCTTAATTTGAACAGCATCTTTGAAGTGTTTCGGTTCATCTCCCGCAGTAATGGCAGCAAAGAACGCACGTTGCCCTGGTGAAAAGCATTCATCCGAAATAAAATGAGACAGCGGGTATAGAGATGTACCTTGGACCGATGAGGACTGAGATGTGGGATCGGGAGGAGCGTGATGGGGGTCTTGATTGCACACGACGTTATAAGTGACGTAGTCTCGTAGCTTGACAGACGTGGACCGTTGCCGCTGACCACGACCTAAACTCGGAGCAGCCGCTTCCTCAACAGTTCTCTGTTCTTGTTCTGTTTCTGTGACATGATCTGAGCCAGGTTCTTGTGGATTGACTGTGAGAGGTTCTTGTGATTTTTCTGTCACAGGTTCTTGTGGAATATCTGACTCAGGTTCTTGTGTATTATCCGTCACAGGTGGAGTTTAGGGTTTATTTGGAACAGCTGTTGCTACAATGGGAATGCTAAGCACTGCAGCTTATGTTCTTACTATGGACATGTTTGGCCCCATCGCTGATAATGCTGGTGGGATTGTGGAGATGAGCCAGCAGGTAAATGTCATACAATTGATTTAAAAAGCTCCTTCTGTTTCATCTTTATACTAATGTAGAAATGATAATTGTCTCGTGTAGCCAGAAAGTGTCCGTGAGATCACAGATCTTCTTGATGCTGTTGGGAACACCACAAAAGCAACAACAAAAGGGTTTGCAATTGGATCTGCTGCACTTGCGTCATTCCTTCTTTTCAGTGCATATATGGACGAGGTTTCAGCGTTTGCTAATGTGCCTTTCAAAGAGGTAAATGTTATTATATTATATTTTTGCTGTATTCTCTATGTTCAGACAGTTTCTCTCACGCTCATCCTCGGATCAAAACAGGTTGGGTTCAATGCTTATTTTCCTCTTTAGTGCTTGGGCATGCGCAGCAGTTGGTCGAACTGCACAAGAGGTTGTTAACGAAGTAAGAAGACAGTTTATTGAGAGGCCTGGCATAATGGTGAGCACAATTTTCCTTTTTCGAGTGCTTTTTCATCTTCACTTTCTTTGTTTATTATCTTGTCGTCGTTGACTGGTGAAATCAACTTGCTGAAACAGACGTACAAGGAGAAGCCAGATTATAGTCGTTGTGTTGCTATTGTCGCATCTGCTGCGTTGAGGGAAATGATAAAACCAGGAGCTTTAGCTATAGCATCACCCATTGTAGTTGGTAAGTCAGTCACGTTCCTCAAAGTCTGATTCTTCTCCTGTATTGAATCGAGAAGATTGTGACCAAAGCAAACCTTGATCTCTCTCTGTCTCTCAGGTTTGGTGTTCCGGATCTTGGGATACTACACGGGACAACCTCTGCTCGGAGCTAAAGTTGTAGCTTCTATGCTAATGTTTGCAACAGTTTGTGGTATCTTAATGGCACTATTCCTAAACACAGCGGGAGGTGCTTGGGACAATGCGAAGAAATACATAGAGACCGGTGCACTCGGTGGCAAAGGAAGCGAAGCCCACAAAGCAGCCGTGACTGGTGATACGTAAGCATTTTGTTTCACTTTATGATCTCAGTCAAAGTTGTATTCCTAAGTGTGATTTTCTCATTACTAGTATTCAATTGAAATTGCAGCGTTGGAGATCCTTTCAAGGACACGGCCGGTCCATCTATTCACGTGCTCATCAAAATGCTTGCGACTATAACTCTTGTCATGGCTCCGGTCTTCCTCTGAAAATGATAAGTGTTTACCCTAAAGACCGTCTCTTGCACATATACATAGAGATAGGAAGAGACGAGAGAGAGAGAGAGAGTTGGTTATTGGAGTTACATGGATTAATGGTTTTGTGTTTCATTTCATCTGAAATAAATGAGATGTTTCCTGTTTTTGAGTTTAGTGACACTCTTAAGCAACTCTAGAGACAGTTTAATCAACTACATCTTTGACTTTGTGAATCTTCTCAACTCTCACTCTACTAGATTTCGTCTTTCTACCACTTCTTATTCTTCTTGATTTGCCTCCAATTCGTACAGACATTTGTCTACTCTGTAGCCTTACGAGGCGGCGGCTGCTGCCAAGATGGTTGTGATTGTGTTTACTTCCTAGTCGTCTTCTTTTTATTCTTCTTATACTTCTCTGCTTCGGTCTAGTGTCGCTTAGACTGTCTGATGAACTTGATTCGTTATCGCTCGGGTGATCAGAAGTCGCAGCTTCTATGTCACGGAGACGATTTCTGCGGCGGTTGACACGTTTTGTGCTGGCCAAAATGTTCCACAAGCAACGACACATCTCTCCAATGGCGAACCAGTACGTTGCGCAAACAGCACAGGACATTTTGCAGATGCTTTTCACAATACATTGGCAGATTCCGAGCTTGAATAAGAGGGTGATGAACATCAAAACTGCCACAAAGAACAAAATACAAATTTCTACAAATAGTTTTGCAAGAATATGTAACAAATTACTTAATATAGAAAATAGAAGGAGAAAGGTTACTTATGAAACAGAGGCCTGAGATCAGAACTAGCTTCGCGATATCAGGAATACAAAAATGCTCTATGAAACATGCAAGATCCCATGGCCCCGAGCAAACGTTTCTGTAAGTGATAAATCAACTGACTCAACGATTTTTGCGACAATTCCGGTCTATTTCAGATAAAACCAAATGATGATGACGTGAAAAAAACTTACATACAGGATCTTCCAACTGTGGCTTTCAACGGTGCTGTAACTATATTCCCGATAAAACCTCCGACGTCGGTTGATGCTTTGCCTATAGCGCCGCCCATTTTCCTTAAATGTTAACGTAATCGGTGATAGTTTGATCAATTAGTGACTCTCTTGACTGATTTTCATCAAACGTAATTTTTTAAATTTCTGAGAATTTTCAGAATGTGGATGAAGTTACATCTTCGCATACAGTTTCCTCTGTTTTAGAAAAGAAAAATTTGCGGGAAACCGTTTCCTCTGCTTGTACAAAATTGCAAAACAAACCTATACTTGTAGATAATTTCAAAGTAAACTCATGGACCTAAACGGAATTGCAAAACGAATCCGATGCTTATACTGAATTGCATAGTAAACGTACTTTCTAAAACCCAATTTAAAATTACAACTCTTGTCGAATTCAATAACATTATGCTGACTAAGTCGACAAATAACTTGCCACGTATATGGCAACTTATAATAATATAATTTAGTTTTTTTTTTTTTACGGCAATTGCATTTCATTAATGCCCAAAAGGGCAACAGTACATGGATCATCGTATAACCCAACAACTTAATTTAAGCCACCCATAATGATATGTTTAGTAACAACAAAGTAAGGCAAATATTGACACGTAACACATGTATAACGCAAGTTGAGGGATGGAAAACGCCATCGTCCGATGATAACCACCGAAAATTAGCCTCCTTCTTCGAGATCCATACTGCAACTTCCTTTCGCAAACCACCAGAGAAGAATTGATCTATATTGTTTCACCAACTTAACTGAAACCGCGAAGGATTGTTTGTAGAATACTCCTCAGATCACCATCAAAACCGACGAGAGCCTTTGAATCTACATATTCCAAAACAATCACTCCGAATCATTTTGACTCATCAATCAAAGAGACACCGTACTTTTTCACATAAGTAAGGATTTATGCTCAGTTAATTGATGAATCAAGTATTGGGTGAAAACATATATCAAAATATGACCGGAATTTAAACTTTTCAAAACAAGCGAAAGGGGAAGACACAGAAACACAAAAGAAAAGAAAGCAAATCCATCCATAGACAAAATCAGTTTTAATATAATTCAGTTTTCAGTTCCATCATTTACTTCATAGTCGTTATTATTTATTAATAACATCACTACAACATCTCCATTCAAACAAAAATAAAAATGGCGGATGAGGTGATTCTTCTAGATTTCTGGCCGAGTCCTTTCGGTGTGAGAGCGAGGATCGCGCTGAGAGAGAAAGGAATAGAGTTTGAGTACAGAGAAGAGAATCTGAGAGACAAGAGCCCTTTGCTTCTAGAGATGAATCCGGTTCATAAGAAGATTCCGGTTCTGATCCATAACGGTAAACCGGTTTGTAGAGAGAAAGCGTGGTTAAGTCACTCCCTGATCCTGAGAAGATCGTTGAGGTCGCGTTTAAGATTAGGAAGATGTATTGTGTCTGAAATCTAAATCTTCTTTTCGCGTTTTGGTTCTTCAATCGATTCCATCTCACGTTCTATGGTTCTCTGTTTTCTTAAGGGTTGGTCATGGTCTTCTGTGAATATTTTGTCATTTCGTTTTTTCACCGAATAATATTTGTTTCTTGTCACTTAAAAATAGGTTTCCTTGATTTGAAGAGGTCCACTTTTCCTTCTCTTTTGAAAAATGTTGGAAATGAAAAGTTTATCTTTAGGAAACTTCGATTCCAAATCCAATTTTATTGGCTATATAATTAGCAAGACAAACCTACTCTCTCCTCTTCGTCGGACTTCGGTGACAAGAAAAAAAAAAGTGTTTCGGACGTAGTATATATATTATGTGTTTGTGTTAGTGTTCCAAAAAAAATAGCAAACAATTCAAACATAAATTTACAGTTTTTTGGTTATATTATATCAAATGAAAAATTATCAATGAATTGACTTAGTAGACCACGTGTCGCACCACAGCAAATTGATAATCACATTTGGTGGATTTTGTGGGATTTGTTACATTTTGGATGAGAAAAAAATTTACTAGCTTAAACAGGCCTCCTCCTTATTAACCGTTTTCACAACAGAAACTTCTCCAACCTCGGCTTATGTAAAAAGCCTCATGTTGAAGTTCTTCACCTAAACTTCTCCAACCTCGACTTATGTAAAAAGTTTGTCTTCTGTGTTGGAACTAATTTATTTTTGAATGAGCCATTAAACAAAAGACTAAGAACAAATCCGTTATGGATTGCACATAAATTGTACAAGATCTCACCTACTAAGCAAAATCTACACGTGTATCTTCAACAATACAGATGTTCAAGGAATTCCGAGAGTTTTCCAAAATTCTTTTATGCTAGTTTTTGGACAGTTTGGTTTCAGTTTATGAAGAAAATTAGTATACTTTATCTTGTTGGATACTTAATATCAGCATATGCGATGTCCAAACATTATACAATTAACCCAGATTGATCAAATCAAATAATTTATGTATATGTCTAACAAAAAAACGAGATAGAAAACAAAAGTTATAGTCTCACTACAAGAAAACAGTCATTTTGCAACGAAATTTATTTCGTCGCAAAATAACATCAATTTAGCGTCGATATTACGACGAAACACAACATCGTTGTAAATTCGTCGTAAATCGGGACGATCAGCAGTCGAAGTAAATTCGTAGTTAAATAGCGACGTTGTTGCGACGAATTAACAACGTTTATATGTTTCGTTGGTAAATCGTTGTAAATTTACGACAAATTGACAACTACCGTATTTCATAGGTAAATACCGTCGAATTACCAACAAGATAAAGACGTAAAGATTTTCGTAGTTAATCTGTTGCTAAATGCCGATGTAAATAGCGACGTGTTAGCGGCATAAGGTTCTATAGTCGCTCTAACATTGTTAATTCGTCGTAAACCTAAACCCTAAACCCTAAAAACAACTGTTACACTCAATTTTTCAATTACCAACCTAACCAATAACAAATGATAACTTTTTCATGTTTAATCCAAGTAAACGTAAGTTTCGAACATTACAAAGAAAATGAACAAGTGTTTCTTATAGTATAAGGTTTACTATATGTCATCTTAGAGGATTTCTTATAATTTATGATCTTTTCCAAATATGTTGTTGTATTTTGTCAATACAACTTCTTTTATAGCTCCTACTTACATTTCTCATACGAGTAAAGGAACGTCTAACAGTTTAGGGCAAATTTAGGGTTTAGGGTTCATATTAACAACGAATTTCTGACGAGTCGTCGTAAAAATGAAGCAAAATCGTGTCAATTCTTAAAATGTTTTCTCGGATGAAATTGAATTATAATATTATGTGGTCCCTGTTTAGCAACGAATTAACGACGATTTGGGACACGTCATTGTAAATTTGTAGGTAATAAGTATGAAAATTTTTAGCGATGAATTAACAACGATTTCTTAGTAATCGTTGTTAATTCGTTGGTAATTAACGACGAATTAACAAGGACATCAAAAAATGGAAAAAATAATTCCCGCGTGCGGGAAAACGAAATTTTGCGAAAAAATTAGCGACGAATTTACGACGATTACCAAGAAATCGTTGTTAATTCGTTGGTAATTAACAACGAATTACCAAGGGACATCAATTAATGGAAAATTTTAATTCCCGCGTGCGGGAAAATGAAATTTTGCAAAAAAAATTAGCGACGAATCAACAACAATTACCAATAAATCGTTGTTAATTCGTTGGTAATTAACGACGAATTACCAAGGGACATCAAAAAATGAAAATTTTAATTCCCGCGTGCGGGAAAACGAAATTTTACGAAAAAAATTAGGGACGAATTTACGACGATGCATACATATCATCGGAAATTCGTCGCTAAATAGCGACGCTGTTGCGAGGAAACAAAATTCTATATAAGGGATCCTCACTTCTTTCACACTTCCATCTCCCTTTGATTCTCATTTGCAACTCTCTCTTCTCACCGATCCTCTCTCACCCGCCGGATCCTCTCTCTCCCGCCGACCCTCTCTCTCTCTCCGCCAAGCCTCTCTCTCCCGCCGGACCTCCCTCTCTTCGCCGCCCCTCTCTCTCCCGCCGGACCTCCTTCTCTCCGCCAACCCTCTCTCTTCCGCCGGACCTCCTCTCTCCGCCGGCCCTCCCTCCATCGATACTCTCTCGGATTATTAGTTATTATATTATTATTATTTTTTATTTTTTTAAAGAAAATATAATCGTCGCAAATACGACGCAAATAAAATAGTAAAATAACGACTTTCGTCGTTAAATCGAAGCAAACTTATTACAGCTTCGTTGTTAAATCGTTGCAAATTTGCGACGATTTAACAACAAAATATTACCGACTTAAAATTTCCGACGTTTTTTTGATGTAAATTTGGCGTCGAATTGAAGCCTCCTTGTAAATCCGTCATAAAGGTTACGACGATTTTACGATGTTTAGGTTGCGACGAATTAACGACGATTTTTTTTCGTTGCTAATTAGCAAGGAATTAACGACGATAGGTCATTAGCGTCGATAGCTTAACGACGATTTCGAATTCGACGCAAATCCGATGCCAAGGTCGATTAGCAACGATTTAACAATGTTTTCGGCCGTTGCAAAACGCCTGTTTTCTTGTAGTGTCTATTTATATCAAAAATTTAGCCGAATCCTAAAATATGAATATGGTGCCGCATCGTATTTACTAAAATAGGTACAATTAGGCGCAAGAACATAATAAAAAAAACTTAGTAACATTTAACTAAAATAGGTACAATTAGGTATAATTCGAGTTTTTAAGAAAAGTTGAATCGATTCGTAGATTCTCATATTATTTTTTGCTGTTGATTAGGTGAAGTGTAGCGTGGCGCCAGTGCTCTTGAAACGAGGAGCGATGTAGATTTTCTTGGCGAGGAACGTGAAAGCTGCAGAAGAAGAAAAAGACGGAGAATCAGAACGGAGATCGTCGTTATGGTATCTCAATTCCATTTCTTCCGTACAGAGCTTTGTCACCAATTTTGAATCTCTCGATCTACATCATGTCAGTCAAATTCCTCTTAAGCTTTTATTTGAATAATATTTATTTTAAATATCTTCTTATCTAATGTCATTTCGATGTAAATATCGAATCAGAAACAACGCATGAAGATTTGCGCATGAACATGCAATATCCGAAGACGGGATCCAGATCACATTTGCCTATTACTTATCAAGGTGATTTTTTGTGAAAGCGATCCTACTGTTAATCATTAAACCTTGGTTGATTCATTTGTTTAGTTTGCTTTGCCTGTTGTCTGATAATCTTAGACTGGAAATAGTATGTGGCTATGATCTTTAAGTGCCTCAGGAAAATATTGATTATATATGTCTAGTCCAAGAATCTTGGTGAGAGTTATGGATCACCGCATTGTTGAGTAGGTGAAGGAGAGACTAGTCTCTAATTGATGGGCTTTGGCTGTTTTCATTAATGCGATTGAGTACTATGTTATAAGAATGTTATCATCAAAAAAAAAAAAAAAGAGAATGTTATATCATTGCAATTTCTGTGTTAGGTTTTTACTATATCTGCTTGATGAACTATGGCTGTTTTCATTAGTGTGATTGGGTACTTTGAAAGTTATGATCTTATAAGCATGTTTTCAACTTAAGAATTCATAGTGTAAAACACATGGAGTCCCTATTTCTAGACTTAAAGTTAAACATATGGAATTTCTATGTCTGTTATTCGCTAAGCTATATTTTTTTTCTATTTTTGTTTGATGGGCTATGACTGTTTTCATTAATGTGATTGGGTATCGTGTTATAAGAATGTTTTGACAAGTACTGCAAAGAGATTTCGAGGAGACTATCCCGTAGAAATGGCTTCCTCAAAGGTTGTGGAGCCATGATTCTAGTTGCTGTAGTAAGTACTGCTTCAGTGGTTCTATCTTCCAGCCGGCAGGACTAATTGGACGAATACGTCAATGCACCTGTGGTAACTCTGGTTATCGTGGTGTGACTTTATGCTAAGTTAAAACAATTATAAAATACTAGGAGAGAACCCGCGCAATGCACGGGTTTATATATTAATAGATTATTTGCTTTTTGTTCCAAGTATTTTTCACATTGTTTATTTTATGGTTTTCTATTAAGTTGTGAGTATCTTCTTCTGAGTACATACATTTGCGATAATAAAACGGATAAAACCTTTATCTAGCGCCGAATCAAAACCAACCCATAAAATCAAATCCCCATTCAGTGAAAGACACGACTTCATATTCTAGCTTCCCAAAAACTTAACCATGGGCGACTTTGTTGAAAGAAGAACTCGAAAAGAAAATGAATCAGCCGAGATATAAGAGACAACATGATCTTTCACTCTTCAGGCTTGATTCTCTCACGTCTAAAATCCTAACACAGTTTTAATTTTTTTTTGAAACAGGGCAAACAAAATGAAACTGAAGATTTTATATGTAAAAAACAATTAAATTAAATATTTTCATTTTAAATATGTTCATATTTTATATCGTTATTGATTATTAGTTTAAGGGATGGTTTATTTCTTTATAATTATTTCATAAATTCGTATAACATTTATTATTTCAAGACACTTAAAGTAATGTGTATACAGTTTTACCAAAAAATGAAGGTATGTCAATACAATCGTTTCTCGTGTTGTTAAACTTAGTGAAACCATAATTTATCTAATTTTTTTTTCCCTAAAAATTTTATACTGGAAAAACTATAACTTCTGGGGGTTATCAATTGGTGAAAAATGAAAAGCCAGAAATCTGAAACATTTCACAAGGAACAAAAAAATGAAAAGCCAGAAAGATAGAAAAACTCTCATTTCATAATCTAAGGAGTGTAAACAATGTGACTTGAAAACTTCTGATAACAACGAACTAAAATAGAAAACAAAAAGAGAGCAAAAACAAGATCCAGTAAAAATCTTCCTCGGTTGAGAAAATCCTACTCGGAGAGACTCATCTCATGTCCTGCATCAAAGTTTTTTTTGGTCAATCACAGGGAGCAAGCTCCCAATTTTATTAAACTAAAATAAAAATCTCACACACGGACATGCCGCGAAATCGAGTTTCCATACTCGTCCTCGCATAAAACAGAAACTAAAACGGATGGAACTAAATCAAAAGTATGCAGTCCCAGCTGCAGTGAAAACGCATAGTTCGCCAATCCATCTGCTAGACGATTAGTCTCCCTATACACATGAGTGAATCGAACATCCCAGTCCTTTGCTAAAAAGCCATGGCACAAATGTACCAGGAATGACAGCGGATGTGTGTCGCTAATCCCTGTCTTCATAAAACCAACCACCAACGAAGAGTCCACCTCTACTTCGAGCCTTGTGACCCCCTTCTCCCATGCAATGCATAACCCATAGTATAGCCCCCATAACTCTGCATCAAAGTTTAATTTTACAAAAGTTTAATTCCTAGATTTATATGAAGCCAAAACTCAGTAACCATTTGTTTAAATGTTATATTATGATGATCTAGGTAGTAAACATAGCAAAATCAAAATGGTAACAAATATGAAGGCCAGAGGCCGAATAAACTTTTGCTACTTGCCTTGATAGTGTATGTGTAAATCTAATATTGAATACATATATTATTTTTTGATTCTATAACTATATTTTTTTTTGATTCTATAACTATATTTTTTTTAAGTGAGAAGTATGTGATAATAATTAGTAAACAACATTAAAAGAATTCAAATAAAAAATGAAACTTTATAACCCGAATGAGAAAGCTAAATATAAACTTTATTAGTGTAAAGAGACTGATAAGCAAATGAATATGAGAACCCAATTAGAAATCAATATCAACTGAAGCGGGAACAAAACCTTATGGGTTTAGTCTGAGTCTTGATGAGGAAGGAAGATCATAGCTTGAAGGAGAATAAAATTAAAATAACATTGCTCTTTACTTGAATTATTTTCAAAATATTGTCATCTAGCCTAATTAATCATCTCCATTCTTATGAATTGCTTTTGATAATATACTATTGATTTTGAATTGAGTATCTATTTAAAATTCGGCACCGGAGACGATGGGGCCATAGGCGTGAAGAAAGTACTCTTTCCCCAGCAAATCTGTCAAAGGCTCATACCTGCAAATTGCAACCATACTGAATCAAAAGAGATGATTAGGTGTTACAAATCCGATCGTTCCTCAAAAGAGAAGCACGAGTCGCAATGTTGTGTTAGTGTTTACTTGTCCTTACCATTTGAGCTTTGGATCTGTGAAAACAGGACCTTTTTCAGGCATCAGAGGTATGTCTGCGAGTGACTCCGCTCTTTAGCCAACAGCAAAGTCAATCGATCTGTGAAGAAAAGTAACAGCATCATATAAAGTCCACAACTTTCCAGAGGTTACGGATTAATGTGCAAATAAGAGATTTCAATGAATTACCTGGCCTCAAGTATATATCATCATCAGCTTTGACATATATAATTCTGAATCATACAGGGCATATGCAGCTTTAAAGAAAGCCAAACTATACAGCACAAAACGTATAAAAGACCATGTATCAGAGTTTATTCGTGTTATTTGTCAAAAGAAGATGTGAACAAACAAGTGTTAGTCTTTCACTAACGTTTTGTATGGGAGCTTACTGTACTCCTCCTCGATATCAAGCAGTCGAAAGTCATCGTACTCTGAGATCTCCCTTCTAAGCTCGACCATTTTCGTCTCATCTTTGGTTTTGCCTATAATAAACCTGATGGCCAATCCTGTTGATTCTTCCAAGTGGTTAGTGAGATAGTGAAAGTCTCAAGGCTCAAGTACCAAATGATCATGAAGCATTTGGTGATAAATGATAACGCCTCAAGATCATTGAGTATTCAGGAAAATACTATATTCAGCTTCCATAGGTTTCAGATCTTAAAAGGTGTAAGCTTATGATCAATGACAAGATTCCTCTCTAACCAGATCAGATTCATGCCTAGAGCTTTCTATTCAAATCAAGATCAAGCCAATTTCGATAATCCAATGGTTTTTAATCCAAATGGAGACTAATTCGTGAACAATGGCAGAAGAATGAATCAATTTGAGATTTGAGAGAAGAAGAACAATCAGTACCCTGGAAGCCCTTCTGAATCGGACGGCATCCACGTGTTTGTAAGCGCTCATCTCCGGCCACCTGACGCGAATCCGGTCTGAATTCCGACGAATCCCATCACCTTGTGCCTCTTCACTCCCCCGCTAGCCAATACACACACAGACAAAGATAATGAATAAAAATGCAAGTTTTTTTCTTTTCACAGGAATTTGGGGTTCAAAGGGCAATGGCATAAACATTTCAGTTTAGAAAGCTTATCATAGACAATGTACAGAAATAGGTAAGTCCAAGATTGGTGTTGTGATTGTTTGGAGTGCGAGATTTTCAATACAAAGATCATACCTTTAGAGCAATATTGTCTCCTGCTCGACCAACGGCTCTGACCAAATCAATGCTCGACCAAGACGGTGTTTGCTGTGATCAGCGGAGGCTCTTTCAACGGATCCACTGTACTGACATACACATCCACAGCGGATAGCTCCGATGGCTTCCCTTCTTTCTCATATCTGTAACCACAAAAAAAAGGTAAAAAATCATCATTCCTAATCCAAAAGTCTTTAACATTTGTTTCCTTTTGTCTATGATTCAAAAGTACCTTAATGAGAGTCGGTCCAAGTATGTTTCTCGCTCGATAGGGTACCACTTAGGGAACTGATCAAGAACCCATGAGACAGCAAACCAAATCTCACATATGACGGATATAAGCCACAATGCATAGGCATCTTTGACAGGGTGGAGAATACGGTAGTGGAAGAAGAGACCAAGAATCACAAGACGTAGAATGATCAACATCCTGTATGGATTTATCTTGCTTGATTTGATTGGTATCTTCCTTGACAGTGGCTGCCTTCCTTCATCCATCCTATATAAAATATATTAAAAAGGTTTCATAAGTAACTAACACTGCAATGACATAAAACCATTTTTTTTTGTTTGTTATATGTCTTACATAGGGAAATCGGCATCATCGCCATCTTCAAAATCAGGATCTCCTTCATGTTTAACCACCTGAAGCTTCTCATTCTGCTTTCTTTTCCATTCCTCCATCCGATCTTTCCAAGCCACACTTCCATAACCGTAAACCGCAAGATCCTTCTGAGGTACCATTGGTCTTGGATGTGCTGTAAAATTAGACAACGGAAATAAAAAAAGTTCAGCAAAACATATTTCTTTCATTGAATACTAAAACTTAGAATGCAACAAATTTACTCACCAGCAATGGTTGGGTCATTGAGAGAAACTGGGTGAACTTTATTGCCATGACCACCAAGGGAAGGAGGAACAATAAGAGCATGTCTATCAGAAGATATCTCAATGTCCTGTGATAAAAAAACAAAAGTTAAAATCTGAGAGAGCCAGTAGATAAAGTTACTGAAGATAGTACAATGTGGATAAATTATTGAGAGTTTTATTACCTCGTCGCCATAAGTGAGCAATGGAATCTGAGAGCCAGGTGGAGCAGAATCCAAATCAGATTGTGGGAAGCCGGAGTTGCGACGAGAGATGGACGTATTTTCAGACATCTGATCAAATCCAATCCCATTGTTACCGTACTCAAACTCATTGTCTAAATCATCAATGTCATCTTCCTCTTCATCATTTTCAACCCTTGGACTTCCTAACAACCAACAACCAACAACATATGATGAGCAAATCTTTCACATTCTCGGAAAACCACAACATTTATCAGTGTAACGAAAAAGAAACCTTTAAGCCGTTTGTAACGGGTTTTGCATTGAGGACAAGCTTGATTGCCTTCTCGTCTTTCGTACTCATAGCAAGGTCTACACACAGGGAATGCACATTCGTTACAGGCCACAAATGGTTCTCCATCGACTGTCAATTCCACCTCGTCTCTGCAGATTTTACACGACTGTCCACTCAGCTCTTGCACTGACCTTATCTGCACAATTTTAAAGTTATCATCAGATCATAGTGACAGTTACAAGAACTTACTCTTACTAAGAACCGACAGAACATATATTAGATCTCAAATATAGAAACAACACCATATTCCACTACTTAAACCAACCCAATGACATAATCTTCACAATTTCTGAGACTTCTGAGAGGAAATTCAACTTTCACATTGGCAGATTCATGATCGAGCTTTGTGTCGGCAACTGGACAGAAACTGTTACTTGAAGAAATCTCATAATTTTGGAGAATTAAGACAAATCAAAAATCGAAGGTTTATGCATGTGATTCCGAAGGAGCTTAACGTAAGAGAAGCAATCATTTCAAAGTTTCAGAAAAAGGTTTCATTTGATGAATACAAAACTGATGCTAACCTTAGAAATCGATTGAGAGGTGTCCAATTGCGTCGATTTGAGATGGCGAGGGTTGGCCAGGAGAAGCAATTGCGTTCGTGAGGAGAGAGGATGGGGGTTCGCAAAAGTTGTGGGGTTTCTGAACAGATTTGGAGATGAGAGAAATGGGAAATGTGGGCAATCGAAGGGGCGTAACCGCGTAACCGGCAGATTTAATGGCGGAGGAAGTAGCCCGATCTCGGCGGAGACGTCGAGGCAAAGAAATTGGGCGAATAATTTATGGGAAAAAAAAACCTAAACGACGTCGTTTCATAGAATTTAAACGACGTCGTTTTGGTGTTACACGAAAAAAAAAAGGTTACAACGCAAAACAACATCGTTTTGGCGTTTGGAGAAAAAAAAAGAAAAAGGTGCCACGTATCCTCAGCTGGAGAATGTCCAAGTCTTATTAGTTATGTAGACTAGGAGAGCACCCGCGCAATACGCGGGTTTTTATTATTATTTTACAGAAATTTTTTAACTAAAGAGTTTACAATTTCAATGTATATTTGTTAATTTATTTGATGTCATTAATTATGCTTCTTATGTTAGTAAAACTATTAATATTTATTAGGAGAGTACCCATAAACTAATTTTTTTTATTTAGTTATCAAATGAATTTCAGCAAGTAGCAATTTTCATTTGTTAAAGACATATCTATAAAGGTTTTTTAGAGTGGAGAGAAAGAAGGACGAATGATAAAAAGAAAAACTCAAACTCCTAACAATGTACACTTTGATCTAATTCCAAGAGGATCATATACTGTACATTGCGTCTCATGGACTCATGGTATAGAGTAATCTGAGGATCCGTTAAAAAAACCCACTCCCTTTGTCCTTATAGTTCCCTTTAGGGTATATAATCAATCTCCTGAAAGTTTTAAGAACAATATTCATTAAGATAAGATGATACACATAATATTAGGGGATTAAATGTATACATATACAATACACGTACCAGTTGTATTCACCAGAGGAGAAACGACGAGACTAAAAGAAGGCAACATAGACGCGGCGGCTTTTCCAACCACTGGATCTTTCAATCTTACTTCCGGAGTGAACAATCTCCTAACAAGACTCATCGTTCCTAATCTTTTTCTTCCTTGAAGCAAAGCTACTTGGTCCAATCTCTATTGACATTCTCTTTGTTCTGTAGAAGAGACACAACAGTAAACAATTAGAAGTGAATATCAAAATCAGATAAACCAAACCAAAGTTGTATAAATCGATAAGAAGAGCAAATGTATATACCTCTCTGAGAGCTCGTCGGATACTTTGGCATCACAATGAGAACCTGTATTAGAATCAGATGCAAATCCTAGTTTCAAAACGAGATGAAAGTGGAACCAACAAACAGAACAAACAGAAAAAATGAGCAACCTTTGCAATTTTCTTCATCACCCTCGTGCTCTGACTCTGAACCAGAACTTGACTTAAGCATCCAAAAATCTGCTTCATCGGAATCAGTATCTTCCTTACCGCCTCTTGTTTTCTTGGTCTTTCCGCTTGATCCAGTTCTTTTTCCACTTGCTCTATCAAACCAAAACATTACAAGCGTGAGACTTTCAGATTCAGTACAAGATGTAAGTGAGTCTGATCTTAAGTGGAAACGTTTATTGACCTAATTTGTGAAAAAATCTTCTCCCATTCACGTGTTTCCAGATATGTTCCTCATTCTTGTTCACAATATCTCCTGTAAGCTTGCACACGAGTTTCGAACTGAGAACACAGCCAAAAACCAGAAGAAAGCTTAAAACTTTATTTATTTTCTTATGCTGAGAACATAGCCAACTTGAATAGCGCTTATATACATGTAGAGTATCACTATGATTATGAAGCAAAGATCTCTCTGAAACTATGAGCTATATAAAGAGGAATCCAAACACATAAAAGTCTCATTTTCTTGGCCACAAAAACTCAGAAAGTTTCCTCAATGGTATTTATCAAAACCAAAATCAATGAGACTCTAATGTAGAAATGATCTACATGAAACTTGAAGCTTTATAATCCGAAACTCAAGAGAAATACAAAGACATGAAAGTACAACTTTTTCCCTCATCAAATTCATCCACTTTCTTTAACAGATGTAAACAACTACAAAGGATTGTTTTGGGTTTCAACTAATTTTGATAGCTTGTGAAGCCTCAAAACCACTTTAATCTTGAAATTAGCAATTCTAACTTTCACTCTTATAATCCCTAAACCCACTTGAAATGGATATACGTCTTATCACACAACCCGTGCTCCGCAATTACAATCGAGGTCGTCGGCCGACAACATCTCTCCGGCTGCTGAGTCTCAAGTGGCGATTGCATCTTCTTCGCCGTGAAATTCTGTGGACGTTTTCAAAGGGAAGAAGGTGACGGTGAGCAGCCTAGAAGCGGGGAAATAGTTCGCCGGAAAAGTTTGAGAGGAGATGGATGAAGGATTTTATAGAGGCAGTGGGCAATGGCATGTAACAGCCTGTTTTATTGGAGGCCATTTAAAGCAGAAACGGCAGGTGATGGAATGCCAACAGTCTAGCCGGAATCAAGGATCTCGGCGTAGAGGTGTAGAGGAAGGAATTGAGTGAGAATTGAATTATATCAATCCTAAACTCAAAACGACGTCGTTTTGATGCCAGTAGGGAGGGTCCGAAAATGACGTCGTGTAGGTTTTAGGCGTGGGAAAAAAAAATTAAGGTGACGTAGCACTCTCTGGGGTGCTGACGTGTCATCAGCTGGAGAGTGTCAGAAGCCCTTTCAATTATATAGATTGAGAGTATTATTTTTCTTTTCTTGTAATCTCAAAGTCATTTGGGAGTCTGTTCACACACTTGTCGAACAACATTAATTGGATCTGGGCACCATAAAAATCCGAATTTTCGAACCGGATCACATGCCCAGGTTAGGCCCAAGTTTTGGGCTTTAATGAAATTAAAGATTGCCAAAAAGGAAAAATAAAAGTCTTAGGGGTATTGGTTTATAGAATTAGGAGGAATTGTGAAGAATTGAAAATTAATGGATTTTGAAGTACTTTAAAGTAATTGTTGGGAATTCAGTCAATTCTATCAAAATCTCTGCAAAAACTGGAAGAATTGAGCCTTTACAAAAAAAATTTCCTCAAATTCTATTAAATTCCTTCCAAATGACAATACCACCAAATATATCTTGATATCGAATAACACCGGAATTTAATGGAATTGAAAAACTGATCAGTTAAATAACACCGAAATTCAAAGGAATTGGAAAAAATGATTTCAAATCCTTCACCGAATAACACCGGAATTTAAAAGAATTGAAAAAATATATACTAGAATAACACAGGAATTGAATGGAATGGTCAATTCCTTTAAATTCCATTGAATTACTGCCACCAATACGCCCACAGGAATTAGTAACACCGAATTCCCAGATCTAGCACCATGACAAAAGGGTGAATCGGACGGTCAGCATTCATCAAGGTCTCAAAGAGGGGCAAACCCTAATTTCTCTAATAGCCCCCCCCCTTCTCTACATTGAGTCTCGTTGTTTCTTTGCTTTTCTCGCCTGAGAGAATTATCGAGAAATTGAGAATCGAAACCGGAAGCAAAAAGATGGAAGAGGGGAATAGATCATACGCTAATTCAACGGTAAGGACTTGAATCTCTTTGTTCAATCTCACTCGTGGAATTTTTCATCTAAATACTAGCTATTCTCTTTATTTATTTTTTTTAATCTCTTCCATCCTGATTGATGGAATCTATAGAAGGACGACGATGAGTATGAGGTTGTGTTAAGTGACGGATGCATTAGGCGGAGGCGAAAATGGACGAGACCCAAGGAACAGTTGCCGAAGGGGTTTCTCCCCGAAGAAAATGTGTCTTTGGCCGATGCATTGGCAAGGATTGATCATTCTCATCTTGCCGCTTTCCTCGCAGTTGCACCAGGACCAGCACCGGTAAGTACACTGGAATTCTCATTTAATCCACCACCAATCAATATTCAATTGTTTATTGTTTTTGTTAAATAGGAACGTCCTCCGGGAACTCAAGTTCTCGACTTGGTAGATTACTTTGGGAGTGCTCTCTCCGGAGTATCATCTGTGGAATATCAATATCCATGGCCCAACATGAACAATCTGAGGGATGTCATCGATGTGAGAGCTTGATTTCTTCCTTTTTCCTTTGTGACAATTTTCGAATCTGACTATTTCTTTTTTTTTTTGTATATAAATCAGCTTCCGTTTCGTCATGTTCCTGAACCTCTCTACAAAACAGTAGAAGATTGGATCGAAAAAGTTGAAGAAAAATCCGTCAGTAAATTTATAATCTGGTCGTTTTCTTGGACTCGCAATCGTTTGGCAGGAATATATACTGAGCCCAACTCTGAAGTAATTTTGGAAAACCTCTCTCTCCATGTATCTATCAACCTTACCTTATCTAATTTGTTTTGACTAACTCTATTATCTTCTACTACTTTAGCTTGGAGTATTTGTTGCATTATCAATAATTTTGCGGAGCAGTCCTCGTGTATTGTCTCCTGTATTACCCGTTCTGAGGCAGCAACATTATCATTTAGAGCGCTCACCGGAAATGCTTCAGTTTACTGTTTGGATGATGGCTCAGGTTCGTCTGCGAGATATATTTCTTTCACACCCTTAGGACCAAGAGTGATTTAGTTTTGCCTTAGTGTATTATTCTGAAAAGTTATTCATTCACAGGTCGCCCAAGTTGATTTATGGTCAGGCTTGCATTCATGGGCGAGTAACTTGTTACCGCTAGTTCCTGACAAGTTAAAAGACAACCCTCGGTCAATAAATCTCATCTTGCAGCTGATTGAGCAGTGAGTCCGAGATTTTTTCCATATCCTTTGCTATATATATATATATATAGATTTCTTGTTTTATGCGGATTTTTTTTTTGCAGTGTTTGTACGGAGCCAGGGGCTCTGGAGATAATTGGTGTGTGACCAAGAACACACAGGATACAGAGCGGTTTGAGGCATTTTATCCCTTGTTGAAGGAAGTGGCTCTTTTCGATGCACCAGGAATGGAGGAAATGATACAAATCACTCCGCTTATCTTCGCTTCTTCTTTGAAATTTGCTGCGGAAGAAGGTATTTATTATTAGTAAACTCTTGAGTTTTCTTTCTGCTTCCCTCCAAGTAGAGTTGTAATAATGTGTTAACCACCCTTGTTGTTACAGGAAACGCTGTTTTAGCCAAGGAAGCTACATCAATCGCTATTCGGTGTCTGACCAAGAACGTTGATTGCTGCAATCACTGGGACAAAGTCTACATGGATAATCTGGAAGCTAGTGTTGCTCTTCTTGAAAACCTTGTAGACGAATGGAAGGATCATTCCCCTAAACTATCATCATCACCCAGAGATATTCGCATTCTCAATCTAACTATGAAGAACTTTGTGCTAAAGGTAAAGGCTCTTTAGTACTAATATTTGTTTGGCTTTTTCTCAATTTCATATCTGACCTAACCTGTGATATGTTTGTTAGAACGAAAGAGGCCTCGCTGGAGGAGGAGGAGGAGGAGGAGGAGCCAGTACTTTTCTTTACGAAGAAGCTGACAAGTACTGCAAAGAGATTTCGAGGAGACTATCCCGTGGAATTGGCTTCCTCAAAGGTTGTGGAGCCATGATTCTAGTTGCTGTAGTAAGTACTGCTTCAGTGGTTCTATCTTCCAGCCGGCAGGACTAATTGGACGAATACGTCAATGCACCTGTGGTAACTCTGGTTATCGTGGTGTGACTTTATGCTAAGTTAAAACAATTATAAAAATATTGAGAGTATTATTCTTGAAGATTTTTAGATTGTTTATTTTGTGTCAAGATAATTGAAGGGAGAGGCTCTCCTTTGTTTTTAGGATGATAAGTTATTTCGGTTTGTTATATGTTTTGAGTTTGATAGTCATTGTTTATGTTTGAACATAGAAAAGAGCATGCACTAATCATTACTGAAGAGCTTCACCGTCACCTTGCTTTCGCCGTGGTGATGTTGGTGTAGGATCTATAGTCACGGCTGCACCAAGAGGATTTACGGTTGCTTCAAGCAGTTTGATTCCGGTCAATCAAAACAAATGGTCCATATAGGGACGTGGCCGGTTTATTACGATTTGACTTACTTCCGATTCTTCATCCACATGTGTATGCTTAATTAATTTATTTTAATTTTAACTTATCCAACAAACAAAAAACTTTGAAGTTAAAATGAAGGGAGGCTCTCAAATGTTGTACTACAACACATCACCTCTTTAAATTGTGAAACCATTGAATCAGGAGAAGAGGAGGAAAACAAAAGAATATAATACCAACTAAACGGAAAGGTGTTCATGGAGCTAGTGATAAAAGATTTGCAAAAGATTTAAATCAAAATGCTATATGTTGTCCTTAATAACAATCGGTAGTAGTTATTACTCCATCAGGGAATTAAGCGATACTAAAATATATCCTTAAATAGTTATAGTAGTCAAGCGCGTGAGAGCGCATTGGTGATGTTGATCAAAGTTTGCGAGAGCATCATCTCCCCAGTGTCGAACGGGTACCCAACGTACACAGTGGAGCCTCCCTAGCTAGCTTGCCGGAAGTATGACGAAGCCAAACGGCAGCAATGTCATTTTGATATAATATAAAGTATCTGAAGATATAGAAGATAAAAAAAAATATCAGTAGTAGTTTGCTCAAAAATGTCTTCGAAAATGCACAAATATATCTACTTACATGCACATATATATGTCTTTTAGATCGCTATTACCTCTAATATCGTGACAGGGAGATGTGCGATACATGAAGAGAAATTTTAGAGAAATTTTATGAAATACACCTCTTGAGGTGCAAATTTTCAAAACTATATTTATAGTGTGGAAATTTTCAAAAATACATCTTTCCCCAATTTTAATACATATGTTTGGGTTCACTAATCCTATATTAGGGTTTAGATTTTGGGGTTTAGGGTTTAGATTTAAGGGTTCAATGTTAGATTTTAGGGTTTTGAATTTATATTTTAGGGTTTAGAGTTCTTTTACTAAATGAAAAAAGTGTAGTTTTGAAAATTTGCACCATAGAGGTGTATTTTTGAAAATTTGCACCTCAAGAGGTGTAGTTTTGAAATTTCCCTGAAATTTTATGAAATACACCTCTTGAGGTACAAATTTTCAAAAATACACCTATAGTGTGGAAATTTTCAAAATTACACCTTTCACCAATTTTAATATATATGTGAGAAATTTTATGAAATACACCTCTTGAGGTGCAAATTTTTAAAACTACACCTATGGTGTAGAAATTTTCAAAAATACACCTTTTCCTAATTTTAATATATATGTTTGGGTTCACTAATCCTAGATTAGGATTTAGATTTTGGGGTTTAGGGTTTAGATTTAAGGGTTCAATGTTAGATTTTAGGGTTTTGGATTTATATTTTAGGGTTTAGAGCTCTTTTACTAAATGAAAAAAGTGTAGTTTTGAAAATAGACACCATAGAGGTGTATTTTTGAAAATTGGCACCTCAAGAGGTGTAGTTTTGAAATTTCCCATATGTGTGTTTGGGTTCACTAATCCTATAATAGGGTTTAGATTTTGGGGTTTAGGGTTTAGATTTAAAGGTTCAATGTTAGATTTTAGGGTTTTGTATTTATATTTTAGGGTTTAGAGTTCTTTTACTAAATGAAAAAAGTGTAGTTTTGAAAATTGACACCATAGAGGTGTATTTTTGAAAATTGGCATCTCAAGAGATGTAGTTTTGAAATTTCGAATTGTTTTCTTTCTTCTTTTTTTTGATTGGGTTACATGAATTATTTTATTTTCATATTCAATTTTTACACCTTCTTCGAAACTTTTCACGCAAAAGCCGTACCCAAAATTAATATGGGGAAATTTCAAAACTACACCTCTTGAGGTGCAAATTTTCAAAAATACACCTCTATGGTGCAAATTTTCAAAACTACACTTTTTTCATTTAGTAAAAGAACTCTAAACCCTAAAATATAAATCCAAAACCCTAAAATCTAACATTGAACCCTTAAATCTAAATCCTAAACCCCAAAATCTAAACCCTAATATAGGATTAGTGATATGTATTAAAATTGGGGAAAAGTGTATTTTTGAAAATTTTCACATTATAAGTGTAGTTTTGAAAATTTGCACCTCAAGAGGTGTATTTCATAAAATTTCTCAATTAATATAAAGTGAAAGTCTAATAGTGCTACTTAGATCCATCCAAAATTAGTTACAAATTAAACAAACACACAAAAATCCATAAATAATTATAGTCTAAATAAAAATTACATCGCCCAAAGTACCGCATACTGAAAATGGAAGCAGCCTCGACATGCTTTATTTTCTTCATGAAGAAAAAGAATATGTTTTGCCGGAAAGCTGAAAAACAATCGCCTATATTTGAACTTTAAGGGTCTTTGCTTAGGACCAAAGTGTGAAATGTCCAAGGGAAGACAAATCTCATAAGCCCTTAAGGCTTTGTGAGAAAGTCAAGGCTGTCCCCAAAAAGAACATGCCATCTCTCAACTCTTCTATCATGTGCTCTTGCGTGTCTTAAAGTCATATACGGTTTGTTTTGGCTTTTGCCAAAATGTACACATAATTCCTTCAATCTATACTCCCACCGTCCCACGTAACTTTATATAGTTTTGCCTTTTTTTTTGGTTAACTTGTAATCAAATAGTTTTGTCTGGTTATGTTGATAGTACTTACTGGCAATAGTTAAGTAAACTCACACCATAACTGTATAAAGATTCTTCTTGTAATCGAAGAATAGACTATAGAGTGAAGAAGATTTTTTGTTTTTTGTATTTAGGATTTAGCTAATCCAGATTATGGGATTAATTACCTTCGAAATCATCATTAATTATAATTATTTGTATTTTATTACGCAGCGTTTAAGCATGAAAGCGTCACGAAAGGAATAGAATTTGGGGTTTCCGAGAATGCAAAACGGAAAATGAGAAACAGAATTCACGCATAAGGAGGTGGCGTGGAAAAGATGGGGAGAGATCTTCTGCGGCTGAGATCATGCTTTAGGACTTGTCCTTCTTCCATATCCGTTGGATTCTTGCTCTGTTGCGATCCAATTCGATGGAAAGAAACAAATGATATTGCTCTGGCCAGTTATATTATGACACGCGGTGCTTCGTCAGCTTCAGTTACAAGGTGAGATAACAGACGGCGTCGTTTCTAAAAACCCGACTTTGGTTTTACACTTATACCGATACAACCGCGAACCAGTCGCTTGTCCGGTCCAGGTTTTATCTAGAAGTAAAATCACATTGCTCGTCAACCTAAAAAAAACTCTCCTTACCAACCAACTAAAAAACAAAATCAAAGAAGCTAAAGATTAAGATGACGACTTGGCTAATCATCGTCACTAATACTATATTATTTGGTTCCTTAACAAAAGTTTGAGGCTTTGAGCTTTAGTTTGCGTCATCTTATCCTAGTCCTCTCCTATCTTTTTAATTAATTCTATCTTTTCTTGTCCCATGCCCTATATAGTAAGTGCTTGATGATATCTATGATATATATGAATGCAGGATTCATGTGCTATTTGAAATAGGCTTTTCGGGTTTATTTGTTAATGCATATCCTTATTAGAATATTCATTAACACAAAGTAGTGTTGAGAAAAAATGACTTTGCATTATTACTGTTTATTAAGATTCAGTGAAACAATAGTAGATTAGTTCCTCTGGTAAATTGTTTGTGTCCATCGAATTCAATTCATATTCCGCATGATAGGATATCTCATATATATGATGAAACATTAATAATCCCAAATTACACTATTGTATAAAGTATTAGCATTACGATTTTTTTTACTTTTAACAATGGAAAAACTTTGAAAACATGGTCTATTAAGGTCGAAAATCAAACCATGAAACTAAACCAGAACAAACCAAGTGTAGACAAACCAAATCATGGTACCAAACCAAACCTGCCGACTAAAAATATACTAAACCAAAACTAGACCGATACAAAAGTAAAATCGATTTTGATAATTGTCATGACACTGGTTTTTTATTCCCGCTTTCCCACTTTAAGCTTGAACGTTCCTTCGCATCTTTTAGTAATCCAAAACCTTTTTCAAGAAACTTGTGTCCAATATGAACTCAGCGTGGCCAATTTCTTGACCAATGCAACTAAACAAATGTTTAATCATCCAATTAGGGCGTGGTAATGACACTATTAGATAAGAGCAGGCGTAATTAGTGACACCTAACTATTCTTTAATCATATATCCGTCGTGGCGCGTGGGTGTAAGCCCTCCACAATCCTTATCCCCTAGTTTCCTAAAATACAAACTTTTTATGTGAAAATGATACGTCATCTAGATCAACAAAAAATATGGACCCCTAGCCTTATTGTGTGCCACGTTTCTTTTCCAAAATTTGACTAAGAACGGTCTTCACACTCTTTTGTACTTCTTTTTTCGTTATTAGTGATTTAGTGTAATACAAGTTATTTAGTACTTCTCCTTTGGATTCCTATAATTTATTGGTTGTGATTTTATGACAAATGGATATTCCTATACTCAATGATATTTCAGCAGTTAAAATAAACAAGATTTAACGAGATAAATACATTAAACTAAAAAAAAAACATTGTAACATGGATAATCCATCTACAATTTATTCAGAAAGTTATTGAAATATCTATGTATTATACTATATCTGCATGCAATAAAAATGCCTATTTGCTCCATAAATTTGGGTGTTGTTTTGTTTGTCATACAATAGTGCAGATAATAATGATGTATATGACTTTTGATAGTTATAGATGGATAGGGTAGACAAAGAAAGATAGGAGGAGAGCAATAATCAAGAAGAGTGAAGAACGAATATTTGGGGAAATAGGACAAAAGAATATACCTGTTGTGTTGAAATGGAGATTCACCTAAATACTAAAACGGAAGCCATGCAATGCAACCAAACAAATCAGTGGTCAAGCACACTCAATTATATGTCTTCTTTACTTTTCTACGAAGAAGACCCTTTTAGAATCTCCACAACAAAAATCTATTATAATTCTAACTTATTTTCTGCTCATAAACTATCGATATATATATCTGCAAAGTGCAAATTATAGAGCAAACCCTACTATATATATGCTATTTCTGCAAATAATAGGCCAAACAAATCTTGTAAGTAAATAACCAATTCACCATTTCACATAACATAAATACAATTAAAGATAGACAAATAATACATTTTTCCTTTTTAGAATGACAAATGACATGCTTATTATCATGAAAAACAAGATGTAACTCAAAACTTTTTTTTGTTTATAATAAAAGAAGCTTTTTAGCCGTGACTGCTTTTGATGACCATTCTACAACTTTACAATATTATTGTATGGAAGAAAAACAAATAAGTGACTAGAGGTAATGGATAGGACATTCGAAGGACAAATTTAATTATTATCTAAATCGCAATGTACCAACCAATAAGAAAGAAGTGACGTACGTTAAACGACAAAAAGCTCAAGAATATAAACCCTCACCTTCTCGGCTTTCTAACATTTCATAAACCTTGAAAACATCAAACACTAAAAAAAAAAAAATCTTCTAATTGTCCCAAAATCATGGAAATAAGTTCTCAATCTACTCTTCCTCCAGGGTTCCGATTTCATCCTACCGACGAAGAGCTCATCGTTTACTATCTTCGAAACCAGACCATGTCCAAGCCGTGCCCTGTCTCCATCATTCCAGAAGTAGATATCTACAAATTCGACCCCTGGCAATTACCCGGTTCGACCCGGTTATCTCTCAATCAAAGATGTTGCTATTTTCAGCTTTTATCGTCGGTAATATTAACTCTCGTTGTTTTTTTGTGTGTGTTTGTGTGGTGAATCTGAACAGAGAAAACAGAATTTGGAGAGAATGAGTGGTACTTCTTCAGCCCGAGAGACAGAAAATATCCAAACGGAGTACGGCCAAACCGGGCAGCTGTTTCCGGTTATTGGAAAGCAACCGGTACAGACAAAGCCATTCACAGTGGTTCGAGTAACGTGGGTGTCAAGAAAGCTCTCGTCTTCTACAAAGGTCGACCTCCTAAAGGAATCAAAACTGACTGGATCATGCACGAGTATCGTCTCCTTGATTCACGTAAAGCATCCACCAAACGTAATGGTTCCATGAGGGTAAGTAAGCAGAGGAAACAAAATTATAACTCACGTTTTTATTTTATTATATTGTTAGCTAGCTAAAAATGTTATTTTTTGTTCGTGTCGTTGCAGTTAGACGAATGGGTGTTGTGTAGGATATACAAGAAGAGAGGAGCAGCGAAGCTTCTAGGAGAACCAGAGGGTTTTGTGGATGAAGTACAAGTCGATGAGACAGCGATTGTTACGGATGAAGCAGAGAGAAGAAATGAGGATCAAGAGATGAGGATGATGACGTCGACGAAACTTCCAAGAACGTGTTCGCTTGCCCATTTGTTGGAAATGGATTACATGGGACCCATCTCTCACATTTTAACACCGTTCGATCTTCATCATCCTGGCTCGAACACCATGAACGAGTCTGGTTGGTTCGGAGATTTACAGATTAACCAAGACGAGATCTTCAACCATCATCGTCAGGCTAATATGTTTCAGTTTTAGTGATATGGATTAGTAGTAAAAAGAAAAACGAAAATGGAAGAAAAAAGATGTGCTTGTAAAGTTGTTTTGGTACATGTTTTCGTAAGTTTGGGTTGCATGAAAATTGTAAAATATCAACTAAATACCCAAATTGGATTTTATATTTTCGAATGTGAAATGAACAACATGTTTAATTATAAAACTAAGCTGTTTTTAGCATGATAGACGGAGTCATGGAGTTGATTTACATTATTATACTAACTAATAAACAAAAGACCTATTTGTATTAATTAAAAAGAGAAAAAGAGGAGATTGAGATTACGTTAACTTGGAACGAAAAAGTCGATAGCGTGTGGAGGAATCTACGCCGGATGCAATGCATTTGGGTACTAATCTTTTGTCGTTTTGTTAGATAATAACGAATGTTACTTGTCATCATCGTACCTTTATAAGCTCCAATTAGATACGGTCTGCGTCATCTCCTGTCTCAAACATATCATATACTTAGATTAATGACGTGGTCCCATTTTGACCGGTTTTGGTGTACCAAGAAGACAATTAACGGTTAACAAAAACCAAGAAACTACACTAGTTTTTTTAGAAAAGAACACACTAATGTTACTTTGGCATACAAAGACTGTTAGCTAAGTATTAGATTACTCACAAGCTTTGCCTGATCACAAAAACAAACCACATAGAGATATAAAAACTCCATGAATCTTCAGTTTCTTGTTTTTCAGATTCAAAAAGATACAACAAAAATGTCGATATGGATCGTTTTAGCTTGCATGGTGACATCATGGATCTTCTTGCACCGACGGGGACAAAGGAACAAGAGCTGTCCAAAGACATGGCCTTTGGTTGGAGCAGCGATCGAGCAGTTAACCAATTTTGACCGCATGCACGATTGGATCGTTGAGTATCTTTACGACTCAAGAACCGTAGTTGTCCCAATGCCATTCACCACTTATACATACATAGCAGATCCTATTAACGTTGAACACGTCCTCAAAACCAATTTCTCCAACTACCCAAAGGTGAAAAAAACAAAACTTTTTTTGTCTTTTGTCTTTTGCCAATGCAAACCTAAATAAGTCTTGTTTTGATTTTCATTTGCGTTTACTTGTGTCACAAGGGAGAGACATATCATTCGTATATGGAAGTTCTTTTGGGAGATGGGATATTCAATTCAGATGGAGAGCTCTGGAGGAAACAGAGGAAAACCGCGAGTTCAGAATGCAACTAGCTCTTGGTTACCTTCATTCGTCTGTGACGTGTCCCATTTACCACAAGGATGTCAAAACCGCAAACATAATGCTTGACCACAAGCATCGTGCTAAGCTGGCGGACTTTGGAACTTCTCGAGTTATCTCCGTGGACGACACCCACCTGACCACACCTGTGGTCTCAGGTACTCCCGGATACCTTGACCCGGAGTACCACCAGTCCAGCCAGTACACGGACAGGAGTGACGTCTATAGTTACGGTGTGGTTCTTGCTGAGCTCCTCACTGGAGAAGAACCTTACATCCTCCAACCGCCGCCTCAACATCCCAAGAAATTAGCAATAAACTTCCTCCGTGACATGAAAGAGAAGCCACTTTTGGACATCATCGATCCCCGAATCAGAGACGACTGCGCTTTGGATCAGGTCAAGGTTATGGCCAAGATTGCGAGGCTGTGTCTGAATCGTAAAGGGGAGAAACGACCAACCATGAGCAGTATTATAATGGAGCTGGAGAGGATTGGTTCCTCGCATGGAGATTCACAGGCACACCACATACTGGAAACTGACGACGACGAAGACGATGACGAGGAGCAAGCGGTCCAAGTTAGAGAATCCTTCAACATTGACGTGGCTTCCACTTCAGCAACCCAACCGGTTAGAGAATCCTTCAACATTGACGTGGCTTCAACTTCTAACTCAACCCATGTTTCCTCGGCAAACATATTGATCGCTCCAGCATGTCTACAACGACCCAATCTTGACTTTGGGATTTATCATCAATATATATATATGTATGCTTTTTTTCTTTTTCTTTATTTGAATTATTATGTTGTATTAACTATTAAGGCTTTAAGGACGCTTGTATTAATTATGATTTTCAGACTTTCAGTTTTCTATCATTATTTAAAATGGATTTAAGAGGACGTGTTGACTAAGTTTTAAAAGAACTCATTTACATATGAACAAATTGTAAACTCAAAACTAGATAGATGATATTCCATGTTTTTTGCCTTAAACATTCACCAAGCAATTTTTAACTCTTAGTCAGCTATAATTTGAAAAATTAAAATTTACATGTTTTGATCTTATTGGCCATCCTTACTTTTCGACATTCCTTTTCGACCAAAGAATCAATTGGTTCATATTTGTGGTTAAATTTAGCTAAAACCATTAAACATTCATCACACAAACGTCTTTTCATATAAATACTACGTATTGATGCCTTTAGATTCATATTCATCCATAATATTTTGTTTCAGAAAATGAATAATCTCATACTTTTTGTGCTTGTTATTGCTATTTATTTGGGGTTGACAGAAGCAAATAATTGCAATACGTTCGAAGTTCAAAATAAACTCGGTCCTGGTCAGATGCTCCTCGTTATAAAAGGTGGTCGACAAATGGTGATGAAACTGAAATTCAATGAGAAACAAGTAGTTACACCAGGAATAGGCTAAAAAATGCCTGAATCTATCCTTGTCAGTTGATGATTGAACCACCTAAAACTAAACCGATACCTCGTCTTAATTCTTCTTGAATATGTCACCTCGAGTTCCTCCATGTAATAATGAGCTCCGTTTATGGATTGCTAAAAGTGACGGAGTTTACATCCAGGAAAATAAAACCATGCCTATCACATTTGCGGGTAGATGGACCGAAAGATGATGAAAATAAAGCAAGCCAATGACGGTTGTGGTGGATGGATGGATGAAAAGCAACCATAATTCATATGATCAATGGGAAGCATCATGTTTTTTTTTCTTTGTTTTTTTGTAGAACTAATCAATGCTTAATTGTCTATGAAAATGTAATTTTTGAATTTTATTTCAAAGTTATCATTCTAGCTTGGTATTTGGAAGATGCACCAAATAGTTATATCATATGATATTTATGCAATATTATATCTATTTGTAAATTGTAGGTATATCATTTGTTCCATCAATTTTTATATATCTAGACTCAATTAAAAGAACCAATTAAATTACACTTCTCATTTTGCGCTACCATGGACGACCATATACAGTGACATAGTCCAAATCATATTCGCAAATTGATGTAAACGAGCTCAAAGTGAAAACATTTTCTGTTATTCATTAATTTGCATTTTGACATTGACATCAATTTGGTGGAGAATCTCCAGAACCAATTTGGTGGTGCTCAATCTTGATCGAAGAAGAGAGCTTACAGACGAAAGAGAAATCAGTGAGACTTAAACTCTCTCTACTTTGTTGTATTGCGTCATTGTGTGTGTGTGTCTGCCGAGAAATGAGTTTCGTCTGAGTCTCTTTTCATTGGAGGAGAGGGCATTTATCCACATGTACCTCGTCTCGAAATAATAATGGAATATTTTACCATAAGGTCCATAACCACATATTACATGCTTTGCTGGTTTCACTGAAAGCTTAATAATGAGATTTATCTTATCATAGTGTGTTGTGTTAATATGCACTCTTTTTTATATTGACCCTGAAAATGTTTATAATATATCAAAAGGGTTTCATAAAAGCACAAATCGTGTCTGGAACAATCAAGCCGTGCGATGATTATATTTTCTGGAGGCTATTAAGAAATGATTCGTACAACTGACCAAATTTCTTGAATTGGACCGACAAAACAATTAGAGTAAACAATTATTCACAAGTTCTTGTTTCTTACTTTAGGTAGGCTCCAACACTGCCTTTTTAAGTATCTAAATTCAAAAGAAAATCAAATGTGATCGTGACCGTCCAGATAATCGTAGGCTGAAAATTTGTGTAAATCTTTGCCTTTTTCTAAATTTTACTTTTGTTTGTATGTAATTTCTTTGTAAGATTAATAAGATTTTGAGAAATGTGTTCTTTTATAGAACTAATTTTGTTATGAATCTTTATTAAATCTTCTTAATGGCATATGTAGCTTTCATTCGTACTAACAAATTTCCTGGGTTAAAAGAAGCATTGGCGGCTGAAACTGAACAAATGCCCTCCTCTCTCTCCATTCCAACTCCATAGTGTAAAAACTACTATGTCAAAACCTACTCCAGATTCTTTGAAGAAGAATTGGTTTTCGAAAATGAAGAATCCTCAGATATTACAAGTTTGTTTGATAGGCTTCTTCTCATTCATATATAGAGTTAGCTTCATTTTACACATCCTAAAATTAACTCAAATGGTTCCATGCGTATTAGAATGGTAGAAATGGTTCACTAAAACTATAGAAAAAGAATATAGCTACGGCTGCTGGTTAAGGAATAGGGGGTGTGTCTTTGATGTTTTTGTTTTATTTAAGTCATTATTTGACTATCTTCTCGACCTTGTGGTAATACATTTTTTGAAATAATATACGTCTGTAAAGGAAATTGTACTAATGTGATCTTTTAGTGTTTCTGTATGTGGCACAGACCAAAACAGACATAATATTAACACGAACATGTTAACAAACTCCTCAATCGATCTCTTACTACTTCTGTTAGAAACTCTGTAATTTCTTGCATAACTATTCACACTACACCTGCTGCAGTTAGGACAATCATTTAGTTTTATCAATTACTCTTTACTTAACACTATATTTAAGTCCGCGCTATGCGGGTGGTGTTATTTTTTTTTTTTTTTTATTTTTTATGTTTGTAAAGTTTTTTTGAAAAATTAATAATGATATGATAGTCTTTTCTGACGTAATGTTTCTTTAGTTTTCCAAGTTTTTTTCCGCCATTCATGTGACGCAATGACTTTACTATGAAATTCATTTCATCTCTTTTATAATTCCGCCATTCATATTCCAGTATTGGATTTTCAGATATTATTCGGGTTTATGGGTATTTTTACGGTTTTAGATATAACTTTTTATGGGCAACTTTACGGGCATCGGAGGAGAAAATGGTAAGAAACACTTTAAAAGGTGGAAGGTAAGATAATAACGAATGTTACTTGTCATCATCGTACCTTTATAAGCTCCAATTAGATACGGTCTGCGTCATCTCAAACATATCATAAAATTTAGATTAATGACGTGGTCCCATTTTGACCGGTTTTGGTGTACCAAGAAGACGATTAACGGTTAACAAAAACGAAGAAACTAGACTAGTTTTTAGAAAAGAACACACTAATGTTACTTTGGCATACAAAGATTGTTAGCTAAGTATTAGATTACTCACAGGCTTTGCCTGATCACAAAAAAAAAAACCACATAGAGATATAAAAACTCCAAGAATCTTTACTTCTTGTTTTTCAGATTCAAAAAGATACAGCAAAAATGTCGATATGGATCGTTTTAGCTTGCATGGTGACATCATGGATCTTCTTGCACCGATGGGGACAGAGGAACAAGAGCGGTCCAAAAACTTGGCCTTTGGTCGGAGCAGCGATCGAACAGTTAACCAATTTCGACCGCATGCACGATTGGATCGTTGAGTATCTTTACGACTCAAGAACCGTAGTTGTCCCAATGCCTTTCACAACTTATACATACATAGCAGATCCTATTAACGTCGAACACGTCCTCAAAACCAATTTCTCTAACTACCCTAAGGTGAAATAACATACCTTTGTTTTCTTTTGTTTATCATCAATATGTATACATACATAAGTCTTGTTTTGATTTTTATTTTATGTTTACTTGTGTAACAAGGGAGAGACATACCACTCGTATATGGAAGTTCTTTTGGGAGATGGGATCTTCAATTCAGATGGAGAGCTCTGGAGGAAACAGAGGAAAACAGCGAGTTTCGAATTCGCTTCCAAGAATCTCAGAGATTTCAGTACTGTAGTCTTTAAAGAGTATAGCCTCAAGCTCTTCACCATTCTTTGTCAAGCTTCTTTCAAAAACCAGCAAGTAGATATGCAGGTAACAAAACAATACCATCACATCTTTGAACATATATCGTATGTTCTCTTTTCTTAAATCTCTTTTGGCTCTAGGAACTGTTGATGAGAATGACTCTAGACTCTATATGTAAAGTGGGATTTGGTGTGGAGATAGGGACATTAGCTCCAGATTTACCAGAGAATCGATTCGCTAAGGCTTTCGACACTGCAAATGTAATCGTAACACTTCGTTTCATAGATCCTCTTTGGAAGTTGAAAAAGTTCCTTAACATAGGCTCTGAGGCATTACTTGGTAAAAGCATTAAAGTCGTCGACGACTTCACCTATTCAGTCATAAGAAGAAGAAAAGCAGAGATCTTAGAAACAAAGACATCTCCTGGCAACAACAATAAGGTAAAAAAAAAAACTATTATTGATAACTTAGGGAGCAAGGTACACAAATGTATATATATAGTAACATATTTTTTCCCCCTCAAAAACCCTAATCTTTCAGATGAAGCATGACATACTCTCGAGGTTTATTGAGATCAGCGACGATCCTGAAAGCAAAGAAACAGAGAAAAGCCTAAGAGATATTGTTCTCAACTTTGTAATCGCTGGCAGAGATACAACAGCAACAACTCTCACTTGGGCTATATACATGATAATGATGAACGAACACGTCGCCGAGAAACTCTGCTTAGAGCTACGAGAACTCGAGAGAGAAAAAGCAGAAGAGACTAACACAAAGCTGCATCATTACGACACAGATGATTCCAAGTCTTTCAACGAGAGGGTTACACAATTTGCGGAGCTACTGGGTTATGACTCTTTAGGGAAACTACACTACTTGCATGCTGTGGTCACAGAAACACTTCGTCTCTACCCTGCTGTTCCTCAGGTAATGCGACCACAAAATCCATCAAGATTCAAGAATTAAGCAATAATAAACATTTTCTTTGGATCATATATTCATTGTAGGATCCAAAAGGAGTATTAGAAGATGATATATTACCAAATGGAACAAAAGTGAAAGCAGGAGGGATGGTTACATATGTTCCTTACTCAATGGGTCGCATGGAATACAATTGGGGATCAGACGCAGCAACGTTTAAACCCGAGAGATGGCTTAAAGATGGGATCTTTCAGAACGCATCACCATTCAAGTTCACAGCTTTTCAGGCAGGACCTAGGATATGTTTGGGAAAAGATTCAGCTTATCTACAAATGAAGATGGCAATGGCGGTTCTTTGCAGATTCTATAAGTTCCATTTGGTGCCTAATCATCCTGTCAAGTATCGGATGATGACGATTCTTTCTATGGCTCATGGCTTGAAAGTTACTGTATCAAGACGTTCATAGACACAACACAACAAAACATATACAAGAACAATAAAGGAAATTCTCAAAAATCCATGTGAAATGATCCAAGAAGATAAATTTAATTTTTTGTTAACCTTTTTGTTCTCAAACCACAAGAAGATCAGTTCCATAGATCGAAGTCAAACAAATGTGCAGCAAAATTTTCACTTTGATACAAGAAGAGAAATATAAATCTTTGAAACACCAAAGAAGATCCATTTGTATAGATCAAAGTGAAAAGAAATCGTTATTTTATTTTATTTTGCTTTTCAAGCAAGAAAAATCCATAAAAGATAGTCGACTCGAATGAAACTTTCTAAAAAGATTTTAGAATCTTGATATAATGGAATATTCGGCCCATTAAGGCCCAAATCGCTCGACTTTTTTTTTTTTAATGAAATGAGAGAATATTTTTTGCTGCGTTAAATTGAGGCATCGTCGTCATCGTGGAACGTGCACAGCTCCGAAAAAAAAAAAAGATAAACAACACTATAAATCCACTAGATCGGATCTTACCCCGGTTCTCGTCGGAATCGGAATCTTCAGACGGTAACCGGCGTTCCTCATCCACCTCTTCACTTCAGGTAATTTGCTCCACTGAAAAATCTCTTTCCGATTGATCTACTTCTTCTTTGATTTTTGTTTTTCCCGGTGTGATCATTCGCGGCTGCTCATGTGAAAACGGAAATTTCTAATGTGATTTTACTTAAGAGTTATATATCTAGATCTGTGTATGATTCGGTTTCTCTATCACTGAAATTTGCGGGAAGTTTCGAAAATGGAAGTGGACTTTTTCTCTAATTACTATGGTTTTTATTTTGTAGTGAAGAACGAGATTAGATTTGTAGTTTTTCGTTCTGGACTTGAAATGTACAGAATGATGCATAAGAAGAACAATATGATCTTATTGTAAACAGCTTGAAACATACTTTTCTGAAAAATTCAGTGATGGAAGACGTTAAAGGGAAAGAGCTAATTGATGATGCTCCGATCGATAACAAGAATGTTTCAGATGAGAGTGAGGTTCATAAACAGCCATCAGCTGAGTCTGAGGTAATTTTTTTGAAATTGTTTCTTTGTATTGTTGTATCGTTGTTAGAGTTTAGGTTTAGGGAATATAGCTATGAATCCTTCTCTGTGCTCTCTGGTTATTGACTATGATGGGGTTTTTGATTTGTGTTGGTAGGAAAATGCAATCAAGAAAAAGTATGGAGGATTGATGCCAAAGAAGATTCCATTGATATCTAAGGTAGCTTACTTTATACCATTAATACGTAAAGCTATGATCTTTATAATGTTTCACTACCATAGTCGATTAGAGAAAGCTAAAAATTCAGACGTGTTTATGTTTCTTTCAAAGGACCATGATCGTGCGTTTTTTGACTCAGCTGATTGGGCATTGAACAAGGTGATTTCTTTATCTTCTTATTGTTTCTTTCTATGTGCTGTGCTATTTACAAAAGAGTTGTGAAAGTAAGTAAAGAAGAAGAAGCTAATTGCTTGAATTTGCCATTTGTAAACAGCAAAAAGGACAAAAACCAAAAGGGCCATTGGAAGCTCTTCGCCCAAAACTACAGGTAAAAAGTGAAAACCTTTTTTAAGCTCTGTTTCACCATTTGTTGCTTGTTTTTGTCTCCTTTTGACATTATTATCTATCTGTTCACGCAACAGCCAACGCCGCACCAGCAACCACGAGCTAGACGAATGGCTTATTCTTCAGGCGATAACACTGAAGGTGACGTATTAGTTAGTCTGCAACCTTGTTATCTTGATTCCATTGACATATCAGTAAATAAGTTTGCGTCTCTGTGAAAAATCAGACTCTGAGACTGACAACAACGAGTCTCCCGATGGATCAGCTGTTGATGCGACGAGCTTAAAGAACGATGGAGGCAGCGATGGTGACGCCGCGAAAGACAACATCAAACCGTGAACAAAGATCATCATCATCACAAGTCAATTTACAGAGAGAATAAAAGCGACCAGGTTTGCTTTTTGCAAAAGGTTGTAATATTGGAGTCTCTTTACATTTATCAGAAATTGAGGACAGCAAATCTTGTGTATCATCATGTTCAGAAACGTCTATTGGACGGATTGCAATTGGTTTGCTTTATATAATCACCATCAAATCTCCTCTTAATGATTCATCAAGGTCTATTATACTCATCTGAACACTGATTTGTCTTTCATTAACAACAACCTTGATTAAGACATAAGGTTCCAAAGATTACAAAAATGGAATAAAGTTGCGAGAGTCCTTGTGAGTTATGACAAAAGCTAATGACGTCTTACTAAAACAAGGCTTGAAAAAATGTCGGAATTGGTAAGTCAACTTCAATACCAATTGCGTCAACTTGAAGACAACTTTTTTGTTTTATCTTCCCTTTTCCTTGTTGTTTCCTTCTTGGCCTGACCTTTCCAATGTAAGTATAACTTTGATTAAGACACCATTAAAATGGAGTTTATAAAGACCCAGAAGACTCGCTTTCCTTGAGGATTCTCTTCTTCTTCCTCCTCCTCCTCTTTCTGCTAATACCACACCGTTTCTTCACGTCTGTTCTTCAGTATTATTTATGTTCAAAGGAACATACTCATTTTGTTTTTTTTTTTTTTTTTTTTTTCCCTATGCATTAGGCCAAATGTTGATCTTACAAAGTTCACAAACGAATCTCTCTACTTGTGTAACATGAAACCATGAAATAACCTATGGGAATCTCCGTGGAACCCAAATAGAATAAGAGAAAGAAATCTTGGACCATAATATGTTTACATTTTTTTTTATTTTTATTATCTCAAATCTCAATATATTTCTTAAGATCTTGGCTGAGCAGAAGTTGAGTTCTGTACACAAGAAATCGATAGTGACAGTGTTAGGGTTTTATATGTAAAACAGGATGTTCCGGGAGCACATCATCCGCAGAGGCCAGTGGTATATAAGGAGGCTTTGGTCTTGGTTTCTAAACGCAACGATGCAGTCTTATTGGGAAGAGGTATGTTGCTTATGGAGCTGTGTACTTTGACATCATTCTTTGATTAAAATTCCTCAAAGAATCTCACAGTTTTTTTTTATTGTTCCTCTGTTTTTTCTTCTTTGGCAAAGATTGACAACTGCAAGATTAAGGTGTTTGATAAACTGACTGCAAAAGCTGAAATGGTGTTAGAGATTGGTATTGGGACAGGTTCTAATATGAGTTACTACGCTGATTGTAATCTCAACGTAACTCTTTATGGGTTGGATCCAAATCCAAAAATGAAGAAGTACCTACGCAAATCCGCTGCCAAAGCAGGACTGAAACCTAAAAACTTCAAGTTCAAGCAAGGAGTAAGTTCTTTTGTTACCAATCTTTTTGCATCCTATATTTATAATCCATTAATGTTTCTTCTCTGTATGTTACTAGGTAGGAGAAGCTATACCATTCAAAGATGCTTCTGTGGATGCAGTTGTTGCAACACTTGTTCTATGTTCTGTCTCTGATGTCACTCAAACACTCGCTGGTAAGTCTTTCTTCCTACTAATCAAAGAAGCATCATTGTTGTTATCTACACAATTAGAAAACTCTAACCATTTTCAGGATCTTTTTTAATCAGAAATCAAGCGAGTGCTGAGACCAGGAGGGACATTCATATTCTTAGAACATGTTGCAGCAGAAGGTACATTAAGTCATAAATATCCATACAGATCTTCTTAACCATATAATATGCGTACAAAGATGTGAAAATCCTTATTTTGGTTGCAGATGGATCGTTCTTCAGACGTTTGCAGAAACTATTGGATCCATTGCAGCAGAGACTCGCAGATGGATGCCATTTGACAAGAAACACCAGAGAGTGTATCATGGAAGCTGGTTTCAACGGAGGTGTTGAAATAGAGACCATGTCTATGTGTAGCTTCCCTTGGATCACTAGACCTCATATCTATGGAGTTGCTTACAAATAAGAGTCTATCAACTACATATTATACAATGATTGGCGTGCAAGGCTTTAGACAGACTTTGAATTCTAAAAAAATTGTTGTTGTAACTGAATATTGTTTCATTATGAGAGAGTTAATAAGACAAGTGACCAATACCAGAACACAAACGTGATGAGTGGTTATGCAATGTACATGTGAAGCCTATGTATATATGATTGAGCACACCAAAAAACAGAGAACATAAACTTAAATGTTTAGCACATGATCTTTCAAGGTTTCCCAAAAGAGACATCGCCTAAAATAAAATAAATAAATCGAATGTGACAGAATTAGGTACACCATTATTAGTATGTTTTTGAATAATGGCAAAAAACTCTTGAAATGCGTAATTGATGCCACACTTTTTTTGTTTTTTTTTTGAATTACTAAGAGGTTTTTGGCCGAAGCCCGTACATCCCCTTGGACCCGAAATCACAGCATGTAATATTGGTTTCGTCCCACACAGCACTCGATTATGTGACCACTAAGCTTTGTCTAGGTCCCTTTACCACTCGAGCTATAGTCACTTGGTTCCACACTTTACAATTACCAGTGACGATCTTTTTGTCTTTCTATTATAAATAATCACAAAAAGAAGCTTTGTAATAAGTTATTGGAGAAAAAATACGATTACAAAAATGTGTTTGTACGATGGTATCAGAGAAAGATACTGAAAACGAGTAGTTGGAGTAGTAGCAATGACGATCTTGCTTTTCACATCTTCCTCGCTGATCTCGGTGGCTAAAGATTCAGCTGCAAGAAGAACAAGAATTAGCTGTTCTCGAGATTCTGTTGTCAAAATGCAGAAGAATCTCATTGGCACAGACTCTGTCTACTCTAGTTTCAGCTTATGTCCTTGCGGAAGAAGGCATTTCCTAGGAGAAGCTACGACGCCGTTTCTTCCCATTTCTCCTTCCTACGTTTCTCGAGCCTCTGCTTCTAACTCAACGGTTGCTTCCCAATATCTGTTTTCTCTAATTTTCAACTAGTTTCTTGGTTTTTCTTTCAAACCATAGAAGAGAAAGATTCTTACTTAACATTTGATATTATATTAGGACGTTTTGAACAAACTGCGTCCTCCAAAAGCAGATTGGTATCTTGAGCTCTACGGTTGGTTTAGGACACGAGAGAAGGAGAAATGTGAGAAAGAGGTTAGTGACTTTAGATGCATTCTTTACGTTCCACTTTTGTAACCTAATTTTTCTTCTTCTTTCTTTTGTCAGATTGCATGTTACAAGACAAAACTCTTTGAAAATTTGGTCGGAAAAGCAGAAAGAGTTTTGGAGATTGGCATTGGAGCTGGTCCAAACATCAAGTACTACAACACTATTCCAAACGTCTCTGTTCTTGGTGTTGATCCAAACCCTAAAATGGAGTCTTACGCACGCAAGTCCGCTATAAAAGCAGGACTGAAATCCGAAGACTTCAAATTCATTCACGCGGTAACGCTAACGCCCTTTTCTTAATATTCTTTAATCCTTTTTATTTGCATCTGCCTGATTATAAATTTTTACTTATGCATTAGGTCGCAGAATCTATACCATTAGAAGACGCATCAGTTGATGCAGTTGTGGGAAGTCTAGTGATGTGTTCTGTCACAGATATCACTCAAACGCTTAACGGTAATTGTTTAGTTCCATTTATTCGAACACTTTTGTCAAGTGAATGGATTATCATTTGCAACGTTTAACAAAAGGAAAACAAATGTTAATACAAATTAATTTGGATATTGAAGAGATAAAACGGATTCTAAGGCCAGGAGGAGTTTACCTCTTCATGGAACATGTTGCAGCTGAAGGTAAATCTCTATTTGACTCAAGAGGATCCATATGCAGAAATGATGAAAGCTTAAGTTACAAAGGTTTTTTTTGGGTGTGAAGATGGATCATTCCTGAGGTTGGTGCAGAATGTGTTGGATCCAGTGCAACAAGTTGTGGCCGATGGGTGTCATCTAACGAGGCACACAGGAGATTACATATTAGAAGCTGGATTCAATGGCGGTGTAGATATTAACAAGGCTTCTCTTTCTAGCTTTTATCACTTAAGCCCTCATGTCTATGGAGTTGCTTATAAATAAAAAAACAACTTGTTGTCTACAATGTCTATGTCATCAGTCATAGTATTGATGCAGCTCACCTTTGATTCTGTTTTTTTATTATTATTTTTTATAGTCCTATGACTCCTATCAACAACTCTATGGATTGATTCTGAGTTTTTTGAGTTTTCAAAAATATATACACTATTTTCAAAACTAACTTAAAAAAAAAATTAGATATCAACAAAAAACAAATTAAACAAAGATACATTGTAGACAATATCTGTGTTTGATTTCCTGGTCTTATCAAGAATGAAAATAAGATTAGTGTGAAGGCCTTTTAACAAAAAAAAAAGAAAATAAGATTAGTGAGAAATACATTGAAGAAAATGTACTTTGAAGAACTAAAGAGCCTTTGTAACTAAACCAATTTTTTTTTTTTTTTTTTGGTGAATACTAAACCAAATTATTAAAACGTGGATTAGTTTCTGTTAAAAACTTAAAATGTTTAATCATCTTTTAATTAGCTAGAAACACAAAATTAAGAAAAACTACTGTATTGGGCTTGTTTCAGCAATTTGTGTTGGCCCATAATAAGACCTTGTAAGTTATGTCTGAGCCTATGAAAGTCTGGATTAGGATTTATGCTTGGCCCTGCCGGACCACCATCGCCAGGATTAGGGTTGCCGTCAAATCTCATCTTGCTTCCTGCAAACACGTAAATTCTTGGTAATCTTCTCCTCCATCGCCAACAAGACAAACATGGGGTACGTTTCTCTCCCTCCTTGGTCCTTCTATCTTGAGATTTAGAGTGTGTTATAGAACAACTCCTATGGTAGATGATTAAATATTATAGTGTTTCTGTGTTCTTCATTTATACATGAAAAATCTTAAGGTTCTCTGTCCAATGAATCTCCAACCCTGAAATTCCAATGATCTCTAAAGCTGAAATGCTTTCTACTTCCAATGATCTCCAATCGTGTTCATTTTGTTTGTTTTTGTTTGATCTAATGTTTGTATATTGTTTTTGATGATGATATCTTACCTTATAGTAAGACAAGGGGTATGGGAGCTGCACGCAAGATCAAGAAGGATCGGACTAAGCAGAGGTGGGCAGACAAGACATACAAAAAGGCTCACCAGGGAAATGAATGGAACAAGCCTTTTCAAACTACTTCTCACGCTAAAGGAATCGTCCTTGAGAAAATGTAAGTCTTTATAAAGAGAACACATAATTGGCTTCTTTATCTAAAGTGTGGACATATTGGTGTTGATGATGAGTCTCTCTTTGTGTTTGATTATTGCAGAGGACAAGAGGCTAAGCAGCCAAACTCTGCTATCCGTAAGTGTGTTAGAGTTCAGCTTATCAAGAACGGAAAGAAGATTTCTGCTTTTGTTCCCAAGGATGGTTCTTTGAACTTCATTGAGGAAAATGTAAGTTGAAGAATCAAAAAACCTTTTTGTAACCAAATTATTAGTTTCTGTCAAAATGTTGAATTGTTTAATGCTGTTGCAGGACGAGGTCTTGGTTGCTGGATTTGGCCGTAAGGGCCATGCTGTGGGAGATATTCCCGGAGTTAGGTTCAAGGTCGTGAAAGTTTCTGGTGTTTCCCTCTCTGCTCTCTCCGATGGAAAGAAGGAGAAGCCAAGGTCTTAAAACATAAGCCCTTCATGCTTTAATTTTCTCATGTCTTATGCACATTTGTGTGTTCTCTTGTTCTACTGTAAGATTCAAGAACTTGATGTATTAAAATGAAATTATAATGGGTTTTTTTAGTTACTCTAGACCTTATAATCTGTTATTGGTTTATCTTTAATCAGTTTTTTTGTTTCTCTCATATTTTCCTTATTTTGCCTTTATCATAATCATCCAAAATCATTTCTTTGAATCATACTCATTACCACATCGAATTTCAGACAAAACCTAAAATCTGCTAGAGCTCTGTTTAAAAACTCTGTTTTTGATTCTAAACGATCAACTCTGTGGAGTGATTATGAGTTATTTATGGTGTTGATGTTTATAAGTTGTGAATGTAATGCGTTTCATATAAAGAGAATAAATAAAAATGCCAATTTTATGAGAAAGTTTATTACTTTAAAAATCTAAAGCATTAAACTTTGAAAGAGACATTATTCAAAAAGATTTCACTATGTGGAAGAGATATCATCTTTCATCTTCTTCACTCTTCTTGCTTTCTTCGCTTACAAATGGCGATCCTCCACTTGTCACTTTCTTCACTGACCTCGACGATAACATATTCAGCAGCTTCACAAGATTCCGACAGAACCCGGAAGAAGAATCTCATTACGAAAGACTCTGTCTCCTCTTTCAGCTTATGTCCCTGCGGAAGAAGACATTTCCTCGGAGCTGTGACTTCGTTGCCGTTTCTTCCAGTCTCTTCCTCATACTCTTCTTCTAGCTCAATGGTAGTTTCTTACTTTGATTCCAGTTTGTGTTCAAGTTTCAATTTTTTTGTCTTGAATTGTAATTGGAGTGTGGAATTCCAAAATGATAGAATATTAGGGTTTATCTGGAATTTGATGAAGTTGAAGATCCTCTAATTGATCTAAACCTCCTTAAAACATTAGGATGATTTAAAAAGATTCCGTCCTCCAAAGCCAGATTGGTACGAGGAGCTCTTTGCTTGGTCTATGAATACAGAAATGGAATCTTACGAGAAAGAGGTTTAGTTTCTTTACATCAGTTTCATGATCATACATTCACCTTTGTCATATTCTTGATATGTTCTGCTTTTTTGTCAGATTTCGGGTTACAAAATGAGACTCTTTGAGAGTTTGGTTGGAAAAGCAGAAAAGGTTTTGGAGATTGGCATTGGAACAGGTCCCAATTTCAAGTACTACTCCACTATACCAAACATCTCTGTTCTTGGTGTTGATCCAAACCCTAAAATGGAAATTTATGCACGTAAATCCGCCGAAGAAGCCGGTTTGAAACCTCAAGAATTCAGCTTCATTCGCGCGGTAAAAATCTGTGTTATGTATATATGACATCATTGGTCCTTCTTGATGATAACATTTGACTGTAGGTCGCAGAATCTATACCAATAGAAGATGCATCGGTTGATGCAGTTGTGGGGACTCTTGTGCTTTGTTCTGTCTCAGATGTCACTCAAACGCTTAATGGTAATTGTTTTTTCACTTCTTTAAAATTTTTAAGAGAACAATGCTCAAAGAATAGTTTGGTTTTGTTTACAGAGATTAAACGGATTCTGAGACCGAGTGGGGTTTACATTTTCATAGAACATGTTGCAGCTGAAGGTAAATCTCTTTTAGTGACTCTTTCTTTCATCAAAAGAACCAATCAAGATTTTGTTCTTTTGATGTGTGTAGATGGATCATTTGTGAGGTTAGTGCAGAATGTGTTGGATCCATTGCAACAAGTTGTTGCTGATGGATGTCACTTGACGAGGCGAACCGGAGATTACATTTTAGAAGCCCGGTTTAGTGGCGGCGCAGATGTTATAAAGGTTTCTCTTCCTAGCTTAGCTTACTTAAGCTCACATGTCTATGGTGTTGCTTACAATTAAAATAAAATACTACAAAACCATTGTAAATATTTACAAGTAAAGAATGTGTTTGTTTTGGCACAAAGATTTTGTTCTAGTAATGCCAAGTTTGACTTCTAAGAACCATTGCACTTGACTTGTGGAGAAAAATGTTATTGATCAAGTTTTATCTGCACTAGGATGTTTCATAAACATCTCATCCTCAAAGTCCATATTCTTGATAAAATAAAAAAGGAAATGGAGATGCGGGGTATCGATCCCCGTACCTCTCGCATGCTAAGCGAGCGCTCTACCATCTGAGCTACATCCCCTGTTGTTGATTACAAGGAGCGTTTTGGGAAGAAGAATGCGAATCTTATGAAGCAGAGGTCATAGTCTTTATGACTTGAAGCAGATGGATCTTTTTTTCAGGCATGTCCAAAAATGTTTTGGATCCATTACAGCAAGTAGTTTCAGACAAATGTCATCTAACGAGATACATACACGTACACTGGTTTCTAAATTTTGGTTGCCGGTTTCAATGGTGTCACAAAGAGATCAACACGGTGGCAATCTCTAGCTTCCCTTGGATAATAAAACCTCATGTTTATGGAGTAGATTGTAAGTTTGTAACTATGCAAAGCAAAGAGGCAGGTAATAAAAATTCATGAGGTGGTTTATATTTTCAAATCTTTAGTTCAGTTTCGATTTTTTATGCAAAATGATTCTCCATTTTCGAAAAACTGTCTATTATCAGTATTATGCAACTCTTTGTTGTTATAAACTTGTAACACAAGTCTTATATGAGAAACGCCAGCTACCTGTTTTACGTTTTCTATCCTCTCTGGCGTACTGCTATATAAACCTAACAATTTAATTTAAATGGCATTCGTATGAGTGAGCATTAAGCTGTTTTACGTGAGTAGGCTTAATGCTAAACCTAACTGTTAGCATTACGTATATTACGTGAGTGAGCTTAATGGCATGTGACAACAGAAATGCAAAAACGCATTGAGCTTTAATGTTAAAAACCTAACAATTTAAATGAAAGAAAAAATTACAAGCTTGTTAAAGCCCAGTATTACAAACCAACAACTTAAAAACATAAACTGGGATCTTAAAATTGAACCAGTTAACCAAGTGTGGTTTGCTAAACCAAGTGGAGCCCATCTTCTCTGACAAGATACGAATGCCATTTTCGTAATATCAGAAAAGTTTGTGGCAGTAAAAGAGTTTACGTTTCTTTGTGTCTCCAACTTGTTGCGTAAATGAATTCGGCTCTCGCACCTCCGTCTACTCTCACGAGCCTCCCTCATCAGAAACTCCATTCCTTCCGATCACCACCGTCGCTTCCATCTTCAGCCTCTATGACGACGACGACGGCACGAGGGAGCCTAGCCGTGACGGCTGCTGCGACCACCACGCTGAGAGAAGGAATAGCTGAGTTCTACAACGAGACGTCTGGTCTGTGGGAGGAGATATGGGGAGATCATATGCATCACGGGTTTTACGATCCTGATTCCTCCGTCCAACTCTCTGATTCTGGTCACCGGGAAGCTCAGATCCGTATGATTGAAGAGTCTCTCCGTTTCGCCGGCGTTACTGGTTTGCTTTTTTAATCCCTTAGTCGTTAGTTATCCACTTGATATTGGAACAGTGAGTTTGATTCCACACTTAAAATTATTGTTGAATAAAGACGGGGAAGAAGAAGAAGAAGAGAAAAAGATAAAGAGAGTGGTGGATGTTGGTTGTGGGATCGGAGGAAGCTCAAGATACTTAGCCTCTAAGTTTGGAGCCGAGTGCGTTGGCATAACACTTAGTCCTTTTCAAGCCAAAAGGGCCAATGATCTTGCAGCTGCTCAGTCTTTATCTAATAAGGTTTTAATTTTCTTATACGTTTCCACCGGTTGTGTGTGTGTGTGTAAATATCATGTAACCGAGTCAGACACTGGACCAGGTGTCGTTCCAAGTTGCAGATGCATTGGATCAGCCATTTGAAGATGGGACATTCGATCTGGTTTGGTCTATGGAGAGCGGTGAACATATGCCTGATAAGGCCAAGGTATACTAATACTAGTGACCATAATCTTAATATAAATTAGATTACATCTCATGTTGCATTTTAGTTAACTACTCCTCCCGTTTCATATTAGTTTTCGTTTTTAAAAATGTATCTAAAATGTATTTGAATATATTTGAATGTATTTAACTTAAAACACATCTAAATATATTGCACATACTGAAAACGACAACTAATATGAAACAGAGGGAGTATATATTTATCTTCACTGTTTTTATCTTTTAAAACACAGAACTTATGTTAAATAATTCTGAAATGGTTCAAAACGTTTATTGTGATACGTAGATTTTGTAATGAATGATTGTGTGTGAAAAAATGAGTGCAGTTTGTGAATGAGTTGGTGCGTGTGGCCGCTCCTGGTGGAAGGATAATAATTGTGACATGGTGCCACAGAAATCTATCCCAAGGAGAAGAAGCATTGCAGCCATGGGAGCAGAACCTCTTGGACAGAATCTGCAAGACATTTTATCTCCCCGCCTGGTGCTCTACCTCTGATTATGTCCAGTTGCTTCAATCCCTCTCACTCGAGGTAAATATTTTTTCTTCACCCTATGAAGAGAATGTTTTAGTACAATCACGAAATTTGATCAACTTATATGAAGAGAAATAAAAAAATTGTTATGCAAGAATAAAACAGAACGGCACAAAATGCTTTAAATGTATGTATGTGTGTTTTGTAGGATATTAAATATGCAGATTGGTCAGATAACGTAGCTCCTTTCTGGCCAGCCGTTATTCGAACTGCGTTAACCTGGAAGGGACTTGTGTCTTTGCTTCGCAGTGGTATATTTTTCGTATTGTTGTTTAACAATTATGATTATGATCAAAACGATTTTTCTAAGTGTTTAAGAAAGCTGGAAACGTACACACAGGTATGAAGAGTATAAAAGGAGCCTTGACAATGCCATTGATGATCGAAGGATTCAAGAAAGGTGTCATTAAGTTTGGTATCATTACTTGCCGGAAGCCCCTCTAAATACGCTGGCTGCTGTTTTAGTGCTTATCAGTGAAGTGATTCACTCATTCACATGCTATATACAATGGAGACTGAATAAGATTTGCATGTTATAAATCTAAATGATAGTTGTAAACTATTTTATATAGTATTGATAATTCTGATTTCAATATGGGTTGTTCTACAAATGGCCAAGTTTGGTACTCTGTCTTCTGAGAACCATTGCACACTTGAGTTGTGGAGAAAATGTAGTTGACCAAGTTTTATGAATTGGAAACATTTCATCCTCAGAGGACAGATTGGTATAATACTATAATGAGCGTTTCTTTCTTTATTTGCTAAAAAAATTGGAAATGGAGATGCGGGGTATCGATCCCCATACCTCTCGCATGCTAAGCGAGCGCTCTACCATCTGAGCTACATCCCCTGTTGTTGATTACAAGGAGCGTTTTGGTGAAATCAATGCGATCGTATGATGCAAAGGTCAGTCTTTATGACTTGAAGGAGAGATTTTTGGGTTTCAGATAAATCTTTTTTCAGGCATGTCCAAAATCTTTTGGATCCATTACAGCAAGTAGATTCAGACGGATGTCATCTAACGAGATACAAGAAAAGAAAAAAATTGACTAAAAATATTTTTCTGAGTGACGGTACCTAGAAGTTCATTTATTGTTAGTGTTCATATTTTTAATATTATATATAACAAGCCATATAAAAACTTTACCCCTCTTGCAAATATAGAGACCACACAACAACAAAAAGAAAATGACACAAAAAATTGCCAATTCAAAAGTAAAGAGATCGATTAAGGATTATCCATTAAGATAAGGGAAGAAGAAAAAAAGGAAAAGCGTAGCTTCTCAGAAGATATGATGTGGGCAGCAACCTGCAGCAATCGAAGTAAGAACAAAAGGTTCGAAACATGTTGCATGTTCCCAAAGTTGCACATGCGAGAGAGCTTCACGGCACTGTCCTATCGCGACTTTATCTCACCAGCACCGCTTATTCTCACGTACCAAACGCTCCAATTTAATTTTCTATTTTTTCTCTCATTTCTCATTTCCAAAATTCTCCAAGCGGTTGGTTTATCACGTCATTTTTCCTCTTATTTCTTTAGGTCTACATAAAAAGACATATACAGACCGATAAATTCATAGAAAAAGTCGTTTTTCCAAAAGAATCCGACAAGTCTTTTCTCATTATGTTAGTTAGAATCCATTACCGGAATAACTAATAGTCGTCGACACTCTTAGCAACATATTGAAATACATATTTCTTATTCTACAATATGTTGATGACAATTCTTTGTAGAGAAAAAGATAGTCAACAGTAAAAGGAAGTCGTTAGACAAAATGAATATTTTCTCGATTAACATTTTAGATGGATAATGGCCTAATTTGTTTCTCATGAAATACCATCGTTGAAGGAATATATGGGATTTAACATTACAAAAGGAAAATACAATTAACTAATGTTTTGTTGGTGTGAATGAATAGATAATGGTTTCACAAGTGACGATTTGATGAAAATGACTAGTTTGTGGCTCTCTTTACTTGGGAAAATATTACATATTATTTGTGTGGTTCCTTCTGTTCATTCAAGTGTCAAGTGTTCCACGATATATATGTAGGGACCAATTTTACTTCATTTTCACGTGACATGTTTGAGTTTATGTGCACAGGAATTATATATATACAAAATAAGAAAGAAGTCGGAAATCAATAAAGTGATATATTTCTCTAAGAGTATAGACTTATTCGTGAAATATTTGTTTGCAAATGTAGGCTAGTATAGCTAGACTCAATGAGAACGATTAATCTTTAGAACGATAGTTAGAATCTTATCTAAGATTTTATAAGGTATCAAAATCATTGACATTTTATCAAACAAAGATAAAATTGATGGGAGAGCTTTTTATTTAATTGGTCCCAGCTAGATAGCCATGTTCGTAGGGTCATTTTCATCTTCGACTCTTTTTTTTCTTCGATTCAATTTAGGAGGTGAGGAATTTTTACAAACAAAGAAAAAAGATTTCCTCAGATATTGTTTTACAAGGAAATATATATGAAAGAAAATATATTTTCCGAAATGTATAATGGTGTTTTTTCATTTATTTTAGTAATACTTTTGATTTCTCTAGCAAATAGGAAAATGTGAATATAATTATTCTTTTCAATAAAGAGAAAGCAAAAGGTGTAATCAGGGTTTAGGCATTAAGCATTACATGTGTTGGGTCACTATTGGAGTTGCAACTTGGTGTTAACTTAGGCATGTGCCAACATAAGGCCAATATTTAAAGATCCCCTTTGAAAAGGAACACTATTTACAAAATCAAAGAGACATCACTCAGATAACAAACTATGGATATACAGTTATGAATCGATATCATGGCCTAACGCTGTCATCTTAACTTTTTCTTCCTAAAATAAAATCCATTAGATATGAAAACTAAGTTGTATTTTATCAGGAAAAGGAAAAACAAAAGTAAACTTGTGTGTCTGAAAATAAATAAATAAAGAATGAAGTGGTGATATTTAGTCCATTGGGATCATAAACAGCACTCAAGACCGCCGTCGTCACCACCATTCATATCAAAATGAAGTTTGACTTGTCAACGACATATTCGTCTTATTTATACATTATTATAAAGATTTAGACATAATATTACAGTTCAATATTGTTGAAAGACACAAGAGTCAATTGAGAGGGTAAAACATGCTTATTTTGCCACTTAGACACATAATCGCCACATTTTGCAAATAAACCTATTTTCTAATCTTTCTTGTAAATAAAACAATTGAATTTAAAAAAAAAAAAACGATTTAGTGTAGCTATTATGTGTCTAACGAGTGATATGTGCACATCACAATGTCACAGTCTCACAGAAACATGTAAAAAAAAATGAAGAACATTTAAACTGGATAACCTTGATATTGGTCTGTTTTTCTTTAGTGATGCAAACTGGATTAGTTGGGAATTGGTTTAGCAACCCAAAATCGATTATTATTACAGTTTAATTATTTAACATTTTATTGTCCTACAAAACGGCCCCGCAGGTTACGGCCAAGACTTGTATGTTTTTTCGATTTCACACATATGATCTTCTTTACTATTTGAGACGGATTGTTTTACTTTCTTATTTCCTTTTCCTGAACTGCCATGTTCAAGAAGAACATGTGTCGTTTTTCATTCAAATGTGCATCTTTTTTCTAGTCGCTTGTAGAATATTAACAAAAGCTAATTATCCAAAACGACAACCGGATATCTTTATAAACCCATTTGAAAAAGTTACAATCTTTTCATCACAACCGGATATCTTTATATATATATATATATATATATATATTATAACTATTTTATCATTGAAAATCTTCAGTAAATAGTAAATTAAGTGATGGTTAATGGTTATTTCTTAGTACTTCATGATGGCCATTTATTTTTCAGATGCCGTATAACTCTAATCACTGCAGAATATACTACTCAAGAGTTATGACTATAATTTACAAACTACGTCTAAATTCCTATCTTAATTTTCTTAAATATTAGGAAAAGAAAAGGAAAAAGAGAGGAGGTTAAGTGTCAGTTAAACTAAAAACCAGAAACCAAAAATAGCGACTTATGGTCCAGGGGGAGATGACTATTGTCTTACTCTTGCTTGGCCAATAACGAAACGTAGCAACTAAATAACCTAATTTCCTTTAACAGTATTATAATATATGGTAGCATGCTAATGATATAGAATGATGTGAACCTCGGTACGTGATCTATCCGTTCGATGTCGAGCTCATGTCTTAGTTTTTACTTCAGTTTATATGTTGAAAAGCACATTTTAACGATATTTGGGAAAAAGATCGACACAAGTTCAAGGGTCCTAGAATCTGCACGATATTATGCACATTATCTAATGGATCACATATTGTATATGGATGAATAAGAATATGATGTTGAATAACATCGGGAGAAAGAGATATTAAGAGAGAAGATTAGCAGATCAATGTAATCAGACAAATCTCTAATCTTAAGTTGATAGTATGTACGTGTGATGAGTTCACAAATGTGGAGTATCTTTTCGCATTATAAATTAATATTAACCTTATGAGAATTGGGTATCTGGGAGAAAAAAACAATTGGGGAGATCTGTATCGAATAACACATAGCTAATCAATCAAAAGAGTCGTAACCATTTACATGATTATGACTTAATCAAGCACATGAAGCCGACATTAAGATTTGATACATCTCACATGGTCATCACCATTGTGACAACGTCACCCACGTTTCGAAAAGTTACTTTCGTTTACTTTCGTCCTAATTGAATTATACTATAATTTAGGCAAATATATAACTATGAAGAATTGAAAATATAATTAAGAAACAACAACGATGTGATTCCTTGCCATCAAATAGTATTATTATATTTGTTTTCTAATTTCATCATTCATTCAACTGTTATATGACATTTTTTCCTTTGTATATACTCCCTCCGTTTCTTTTTAGTTGTTGTTTTGGAAAAATGTATATAGATATGTTTTGAGTTTAAGATGATTGCAGATACATTTTTCCAAATCGATAACTAATATGAAACAGAGAGAGTATTTTGTTGTTTTTATGTGAAAATCTAAGAAATGTAAATTTTAAATCCCGACTTCATAAACTCTAACATTAAGAAAGAGATATATTAAATAGATTGGTTAGTTATACACTTATACAACTAAATTAATGTGTGGCATTATTTTATCATTCTATTATAATTCAGTTATCTTTATACATTAAGAAAATTGTATACATACATATACGTCTCAATACTCATACATACGAAAGAAATGAAGAAGTGATTCAGTCTTATCAGTCCTTTCAGCCTTTGAAAGGTGTTCTGGTTTGGGGATTAATTTATACAAAACATCAATGTTCTGTCAAGGCCTCAGTAGGGATTCACTTGATCGTATTAAAGTCCTCTTTAACCTGAGAGTTTCTTCTCTACCTATTCGTTACTTGGGTCTCCCTCTTTCCTCCAAACAACTCTCTGTGGCGGATTGTGATCATTTGATTGTTCTGATCAAAAAGAAGCTAGATTCTTGGACTAATAATTTCCTCAGCTTGGCGGGTAGACTCTCTTTGATTTCCTCGGTTATTTCAGGGATCATTGGATTTTGGTCGAGTGCTTTTATTTTGCCAAGAAAGGTCATCAAGAAGATCAATAGTCTGTCTAGTTCTTTTCTGTGGCATGGCAAAACAGGCAGTGCTTTTGGAGCTAAAGTTGCTTGGTCCTCTCTCTCTCTCCCGAAAGGAGAAGGGGGGCTTGGTATTAAGGATGCAGTGAGTTGGAACAATGCTTGCGTTATGAAACTGATTTGGCTGTTGTTTTTTCAAGCTGACTCTATTTGGGTAGCTTGGATTCGTCGAAGATATCTCTCTAAATCATCTTTTTGGGCTCTAAATGATAGGAATCCCTCCTTCTCTTGGATGTTCAGAAAGATTTTAAAGCTCCGATCTAAAGCCTTTCAGTTTCTCAGCATTAAGATTGGTCGAGGAGAATCTACTTTCTTTTGGTGGGATCCCTGGACCCCTTTTGGTTCTCTCCATGCTTTCTTAGGGGATGATGGACCTTCACGTTTAGGCATTCCGCTTACTGCTACTGTTTCTGACCTTTGGTGTGGATCAGGATGGTCTTTACCTCCAGCTCGTACAGAACGTCAAGTTTTGCTTCACACTTATCTTCTATCTTTGCGATGTTCTGCTTCTGCTGATATTCCTGTCTGGTCTATTCGTGGATCTCCTCAAAGATCTTTCTCTCTTAGGGCGGTGTGGAATGAGATTCGTCCTACTCATCCAGAGGTGCTCTGGGCATCTTTGCTTTGGCACAAAGCAGGAATTGCTCGGCATCAGGCTATTACTTGGTTGTTCCTTCTTAACAGAACCCCTACTTTAGATCGTATGATTGGTTGGGGTTATAAAGTGGAAGGGACTTGTTTACTCTGTAGTTTGGACTTGGAGACGAGGGATCATTTGTTTTTCAGGTGTCCTTTCTCTGCTGCAATCTGGAGAAGGATTAAGCTGCTTCTTCATGCTCCAATGGCGCCTATGGAGTGGAATCATTTATTATCTTGGTTTAATGTCACTCTTTTGGATTCTTCGAAAAAGCTTGCTATGCTTCAAGGTTGGCAGGGTGCGATCTACGAGATTTGGAGGGAAAGAAATCGTAGGCTCCACAATGGTGTCACTCTTCCTTATGGAAGAGTCTTTAATCTTATTTTTAGTTCTACTAAGGATAAATGTCGAGCTATGGTTCTTTTAGGATCTTCAAGGGGTGATCCTATTTTCCATCAGTGGTCTCACCCCCTGTTTTTGGTTGATCTTTTTTTTTCTTTCTTTTTGATCTCCTGGTTGTAAATTAATGCTACTTCTCTGTAGCCTTTAGTCTAATATATATGAAAGAAAGCCCTTTAACAAAAAAATACTCATACATACGAATTCAGTGTGGAACTGTGGAATACATACGTAGCTCATTATTGTTCACATAACAAAGTGACGGAACCGTCGTTGCAATGTTCTGTTTCAATCAATGCGTTAATTAACTAGGACGCTGGATGCGTAATGTGCTTTACCTAATTTTAAAATTATATATGTCATTTTAGCACAAAGTTATTGCGCATTAACATATATAGTTACATGGAGGGAGACGTATCTGCATTAATAAAAGTTAAAACCTGTTTAAAAGAAATTAGCTGCCGTCAATAATAGAAAACTAAAAATAGGAACAAAATGACCAAAAAAAGCAAAAGTGTCTCGTTTAGAGAATCCTCAGCCGCAACAATTAATCATCTATGAATCACTAAAGTAGTAATTAGTTTCTAATGTAACCAAACAAGTAAGAGCTGAAAAGCCTGCTGATATAAAATCTTCCAAAGATCATATCAGAACGTGAAAATGGAATCTTAGGAAAACCCTTGAGGACTACAAATATTTTAAAAAGGTATAAAGAGATGATCTTCAGACATAGAGTTGGTTAAAAAAAGGTCGTTAAAACCGGCCTGGGCAGTTTCTGCTCTTTATGTTTAATGTTAATATTGTGTTCTACCAATTTGCCACCATCACGGTAATGGTTATGAATATTTTTATAAACGCAGACAAACATGCGCAAAGAGTGGTTTTCTTATTTACTGATCTGACTAAGAAAAAACACACGATATATATTTTAAAGACATAAATTAGTTACATATCGAAGAAAGAATTTACGTCCCTACATAGTTTTTTATGCATATAAAACTGTGTATTTAGCAATTAGCACAGTCTATAGATATATATATATATATATATAATTGTATATTTAGCACATAAATAAATACGAATGCACAATCATATATTGACACGTAAATAAAATCTTCCCTGGCTTTTGTTATGATTGTTGTTGTCAATGTTTGTTTATTTAGGTGTGTAAGAAGCGATAATTCCGCTGCATGGTATTTTATTATTAGTAATTTAGTAGCAGTAGTCAATCAGTCGTTAATTCTTTTTTTTATTGCAAGCTCTAAGCTCAATTTGATAATCTTTGTTTGTCTTATTAGGAGTGTTCAAATCTACAACCTTTAAGCAAAAAATAATATCAATAATAATAAATTCTACGTTCGGATTATTGTCAAGAAAATCGATATGCACATTTAAGTTATGTCGAGATTTCTGGTGTTTTTTAAAATGCATTAATATCCAAGAGTACTCAAGACTCTCTTCATGTTGATAATTTAGCTAACCATACCAGATGGTGGACAAACGAGACTTGTTCTCGCATTTATGTTTATTTTTTCCCCATATCTACTTATGTGAACTATCTTCACAAAGGGAGGAAAATGAGCACCAATGATAAATTGGTGTTACTCTAATCATTTGAAGATTAAATGATTTCAACACTAATAAACAAACCAAAGAGGATGGATTCGTGTCAACTTTCTTCGGCTCATCTATCAATACATGCTTTACAACGTTAGCTTGAAACGGCGTCTGTCAACCACATGCGGAGGTATCTCTGTTTTTTCATTTACTTATTTTATTTTTGTTTCTACGTATACTATTATTATAAAATGATTTTTTCAGACACTGGAGACGTAGCAAACGGACCGTCCATGATAAACTGTGGACCAATGTTTTGAGCTGAAATTACGGAAACTTGGCCGTCGATTTCTGCCGTTGAACTTCTTTGCCTTATCAAATTCAATGTGTGTTTATTATCTCGATGCACAAAGTAAAAATGTGATCTCACAACGACACACAACCTGTAGTCTAACTAGCCTAATAAATACTTCTCAGTTCTCACCGAAGAAGGTCCTTCGAAGTTAGTTACTTCATCACACCATTCACCAAACACATGTAAGTAAAACTTTTGTCATTAAGTAATTTAATATATGTAGTTCAGCGACATTTTTTCACATAAGCCAGACACGACTGCATCGATCGTACATAGTTTTTGATACTTTAAAATTCAATTTAATTAAGATTGTTACACATCGAAACATAGACTGAGATAAACGAACGACAAGGCTATACATTTCGTGATACATCTTACTCAAAGCAGACCACTGTGACCCACTTGGATTCCAACTTGAACTTTCTTTGTCTTTATATTATTTTCTTGCTTTTCTTTTCTTTTTATTTATTATTCAATTCAGTCTTAGTTATAAGCCATAACTATTTATATCAAGCATACCGAATAAAAAATTTACACAACCTAATACTTACTGAGGTTTTTTATTGATAGACTAAATGTATTACCCTAGGGGAAATTGTATTTATGTGTGTTTGAAAGAAATAAATAAGAACACACGAGCCGTCTTGTAACTCACATGTGTCTTTGCCTTCTTTGCTTTTTCAAGCCATTGAATATTAAAAACTTCAGCGGTTTTTGGTCCCAACAATAAAATACTTTTATTATATACTCCTCCGTTCATTAGTACTATTACATTTAATAAATCATTTTCTCATATATACGAAAAATCCAAAAAGAAATTGCATTCCGAGTATTAGCCTTGTTTTAATTAAGAATGGAAAAGAAAAAAAAAGGAATTGAAAAGGAGTGCAAGTTAGTTGCTAATGATAACTTGGAAAAAAAAAAATTAGTTGAAAATAACCAGTGGCAAAATGTAAATAATCTCTGAAATTTCTACACACAAAGTTTTTCTATAAATTGAACCATTCACATTCTCTGCTCTTTCCAATTCTAAACCAAACAACAGATTCCATAATCATCTCTCTTTTTTACCTCTTTAAGAAAGGAAGTAAGAGCAAAGCTTCCAAGTAATCATTTTCTCTCTCACAATGCACACATTCACTTAGTCTTATAGTTTCTCTCATGTTCTTTAAAAGATGTGCTCAAAACTGATCAAACTCACTTATATCTGTGCAGGTTTAACAAGAAACGATGGCTCTTTTCTCCTTCTTGTTTCTAGCTGTCCTAGGAGCAATGACGTCATGTGTCAACGGCTACGGCGGCGGTTGGGTAAACGCACACGCCACATTCTACGGCGGCGGTGATGCTTCCGGCACAATGGGAGGTGCTTGTGGGTACGGAAACCTTTATAGCCAAGGCTATGGAACCAACACGGCGGCGCTGAGCACAGCTCTGTTCAACAACGGACTGAGTTGTGGTGCTTGCTTCGAGATAAGATGCCAAAACGACGGCAAATGGTGTCTCCCTGGCTCAATCGTCGTCACAGCGACTAACTTCTGCCCACCAAACAACGCTTTGCCGAATAACGCCGGAGGTTGGTGTAACCCTCCTCAGCAGCATTTCGATCTCTCTCAGCCCGTGTTTCAACGCATCGCTCAATACAGAGCCGGCATCGTCCCCGTCTCTTACCGAAGGTAAAATCAAGAAACAGAGCATGTGACTATAAAATCAAGAAACAGAGCTGCTCTGTTTTTTACCCTAAAACAGAGCATGTGACTAAGAATAACAGAGCTGTCTGTTTTTGAATTAGAGTCTTACTCTGTTTTGATTTTTTTTTTTTGCAGGGTGCCTTGCGTGAGAAGGGGAGGAATAAGGTTTACGATAAACGGACATTCTTACTTTAATCTGGTTCTGATTACGAACGTCGGAGGAGCCGGAGATGTTCACTCGGTGTCGGTTAAAGGTTCAAGAACAGGGTGGCAAGCGATGTCGAGAAACTGGGGACAAAACTGGCAGAGTAACTCTTACCTGAACGGACAGGCTCTCTCTTTCAAAGTCACAACCAGCGATGGTCGGACCATTGTCTCGAACAACGTCGCTTCCTCAGGCTGGTCCTTCGGCCAAACCTTCACCGGCGCACAAGTCTAAGGGAAGTGGCAATTTGGTAAAACATCTCAGCTCATTTTATCGTGTGGTGGTGTAGTAGAAAAGCTTAGAGAGAGGGCATATTAGTAATTTAGTCCTTTCTTTCAGTTTGGGAGGGTTTAACCTAAAAGAAAGTGGTGTGCTTCGAGTGCTTTTGATTTTACACAAGGCCTTGATGACGTCATCTTTTGGGACCTTTTTCTATATTTCGTGTTTTTTTTTTTCTTTTTTTACTTTAACAAGAGAAGAAGAAACGATAGTGATGTGTTTTAGTATTGGTAAGGTTTTAAGTGTTACTGAAGCAGAGGTGGTGGAGTTATGTTACCACCCGCTAATAGTAAAATTCAGTTTGTATAATCTTATCCCTCTTGAAGCGAGAGGGAAGAGTTTTAAGCTTTTCAAGAATTGTTATTTGTTTACGTGTTCTAGTCAAGTCATGATGTATGTTGTAAATTTGCAATTTTTTTACAAAAGTAATGAATATTGGAGATTTGTGCTATTTTTACCTTTGTGTGTATCGCAATATATAGTCAAGAAAATCGGCATATTGGAGATTTGTTATTTTTTTACCTTTGTGTGTCGTAAAATCGCTATACACAGTCAAGAAAATCGGCATGCATTTGTTTATTTTAATTTCTTCCCGACCGGCATATATTTTTATATATAATGGAATTGGAAACATTATTTATAGTTCACATGAATTGCATGGTAAAAGCATAGTTTTGTTTAAAAAAACTATACTTCTAAATATATATTACATTTACTTTCTTCTAAGAAAAATAATAATAATAGAATGATCGAGATTCGAGATTAATCATCAATTGTCAAGAACCAAACTAACTAACTAACTAACCTATCAAAGACATTTATCTCCGGCGACCAGTTTTTATTATACTTGAATTGCATTTGCATGTGAAGAGATATGCATTTGATGCTCTTTAACAAATGCTGCATTAATGAACAAGAAAGTACCTACGTGGTGAATTATGTTTGTTTTTTGGGAAAACACTTTCGTCTCACGTCATGTATAAACGCCGAACTGTAACCGTCCGTTCACTCTTTTCCAAACGTATTAGATTCTTTTAGAGACACAAAGACGTAAATGTATCAATCGTTATTAAAAAAAATATCAACCATCGGATTTCCTTAGTTGACATCTTTGTCTCTTTCATTAACTTGCAAAACGTATCACAACTTACATATGAAAGAATCCATGGAAGAATAACGAAACAATTATCCAAACACAGAGTAGTTTTCTCGACATGTTCTTTTAGCTTTATCAGAAACGCATATCTATTAGATTTCCTGTACTTAGCTTGTAGACAAAAGTAATTCAGCATTTTGCGGAAAAAAACTAAAATAAAAAAGATCCATAAGCATTTTTATTTTAATATAGTTATCAAATAGTTTTATTGAAAGTGCAAATATTCGCAGGTAGTGACAAGAAAAAGAAAAAGAAGAAGAATGAGGTGCACGTAGTAACAGTCACGAGTGATACAGAACAACCGAAGCCATGTGGTTACTCTGACAACCGAAGCCATGTGGTAACTACTACCCACATGAATCCTATGGGTCCCAAATCATTCGCATTGTTAGCTAAAATATTTAACACTGTCCTTTTTTCACCAAATTTATGATATACATGGGCCTCAACCAAAAACTACTATATAGGTTGTTCTCAATCTCATTATAAGCCTTTAGTGTTCAAGTTCTTGACAAGGTAAAATAAGTAGATGTATCCTAGATCCGGTTGAGCTAGTTTTGGAAAAGTGTAGGCATCATCGATTCTCTTCATCGTAAGAGATGCAGGAAACAATGGGCCTAAGTCATTTTTCTCCCTGACCCAATTTGAATAAAATCTCAAGGAAAAAGGGAAGAAGAAAACAAGATTTATAAGCAGTTCAGTCTCTCGTTTACAGCTTGGGATTATATTACTAGAGAAGTTAAGTGCAGTAGTATCAACTATCAAGGTAGGTCACGAAAATAGAGACAAAAAAAAAAAACAAAACTTTCGATAGTTCGTTCGATTATTCTATTTGGAGATGCCGTGAGTTACAAGTAACTTAATATGGTATCATATATTTTGGTATGTGTCCATGTAACTTATCAACCCTATCTTTCTTCCGCATTCGTGACTGCTCAATACAAGAACCGTTCTTGGATCAACGCCTCTGTGTTTCCTTCTCAGTTTGGCTGTTGCATATCAGATATGTTCACAAACGGTTAGAAACACACAGAAGCAAATAAATGATTAGAAAAAACCGTTGCTTTACCCGCGTAAACAGAGGATCATCAAAGACAGCAACAGGATAAGGTAATGTCTCAGAAGAAGACCAGTTTCCTCCAAACTGTGGCCTATAAGAAGCTTCCAAGATCTGGCTAACGTAGTAATCCGCAGGGCTTCCTAATAGATTCCACTCAGCTAGTTGCTCAAGCTTTGGATCGTTTAAGAAACTGAGATTGCTGTATTGCATATTTGGATCAGCCGATGTCCCAGGAATGCTGCCAGTTTCTAGGTTTGGTGCTGTCATATCCGAGCTTTTACCAAAGAGTCCAGAGTAACTTCCAAGAGAAGAACTTGCGGAGCACGTTAGGTCTCTGTACGTGTGATGAAGCTGGTGCACATTCGGGTCTTCTTCTTTAACAGGAACATTCATGTTTTCGTCGCTACGAACCCATGAGAAATTCTCAAGCTCTTCCATTCCAAAATCTAAATCTATTTCATTCTGCAATACAATTCATATTGTTTTAGTACACAAATATTTCCAAAAAATATTTTAATGTTCAAAAAACTGATTCTCTACCTGAATTTTGCATTCTGAGGACATAAGTTGTTGCTGCTGATGTTGCAGCATGTTCTCCTGTAATTTGCAATAATATGATGCATGAGTTTGATTAAGAAAAGAGGCCTTGATAATCATTTGGGAGATGGGTTTATATACCTTATGAGCACGGATTTGATACAAAGACTGTCTTACTGAATTTTCTAATTGCTGCAAATCATCTATGCTCTCAATCTTCTCTACCTCGGTCCAGTAGCTATATTGGAGATAAACTTATTATAACTCACAAATGAGAACAGAAAAACAAAAAAGGAAAGTTTAACTGAAAAACTAAGTATAAGATCTTTGCACCTTAGTCTTGTGTGTATTTCTGATAATTGTGTTTGCAGAAACCTGGCTTTCTCACTCAGAACCTGGTTGCGAAAAAACATTTTGAATTTAGGAGATGTTTCAGCATCATTATTAACATCATAGGATTAGACAAGTAGTACATACCTCAACTGTTGGTTTACTGAAAAAAATAACAAAAACGAGTCACATTAGTAAATACTCACCAATACAAATATTCAAAGTTCACTAAGAAGCTTAAAGTACTTTTGATGTATCTAATACACGCACCTTCTGTCTAGAAACTCTGATACATTTACATCGTGATCAAGCTTCGAGAATGTTTTCTTTAAGGCCTGGCACGTTTTGAGGATTAAAATATTAATGATACTTCATAGTTTAGGAGAGGAGATAGAGACTAAATTTAGAGCCGAGCTTACTTCAAGATTTTCCAACTTCCTGTTCAAACGTAGAACAAAAAAAAAATGTTCAGTGTAATAATGTCAATCACATAAAGATTCAAGAAATGTGTGTTTTTATAGAGTGAAGAGATGTTAAACCTCTTTGCCCTTTCTTGAGGAGTAAATTGAGCAAACTTAGCAATGACTTCTCCAATGCTAACCAAATAAAAAAACAGAACAAAAAGACAAAACTAAGAAACAGAACGATGTTTAAACAGCCTTTGGTAGTACTAAGAAAGAAAGAGTCATGAGATAACCTGTGTTTGCCACTGCACAGGGAAGGCCTTCCCATGGGAGAGAACATGAGAAGCACAACATCTATGTCGCATAAGATTGATAACTCTTTAGCCTTTTTCATGATCCCATGTTTTCTTTTGGCATATGTAGCTTGACGTCCATTAAGGTTCTCTAGTTTCTTTATCTTTAGCTTCACTCGACCCATCCTGCACAACTTTGGATTCAATCAAGATTACCTTTACAACGATTCAAGATTTCAAAACACAAATTACAGAACAGAAGAAACTCAAGCTGAAACGCATAAGAACCAAGAGAAGACAACACATAATAACCATTGGGATAGTTAAACGATGAACCACTTCAAAGAACGTCAATTAAAATGATTATTTTGCCAATTTAGGAAAAAAACCATAAGAAGAAAGATTGAAAATGGAAACAAAATAATCAATGTAAATTAACCTAAAAGAGGAAGAGAAAGCTCACCTAATTTAAGACAACAAAACTTTCCTTGAATTCGGATTATGAACCAAAAAAAGGAAACAAAACTTTCCTTAGGAGGAAGAAATGAAAAAGAGAGAGAGAAAAGGGCAAAAACACAGAGCTTAGAGAGGAAGAAGGATGGAGATCGGAGAGAGAAGAAATAGGTTGTGATTGAGAGGACCGGCGTGACCGCCAAAATCGGAAATTAGGGTTTGAATCGAAGCTAGAGACTAGGAAGAATTGGGATCGTCCCATTAGTTTTTCTCTCTTACCTTCATAGAACAGAAACAACGACTTACCCGCTTATTTTATTGGACCACTCATTTGGGCTAACCACCAAAAAAATACCGGTAACCAATAGCTACTAACCAAATAAATACCGACGTGTCGATTTCTTCAGGTTTCATTTTTTAGAATGTGGTTCGAGGCCACGATGTTGCCGTAACGGTGAAGTAACCAGGGCCTATAACCACAAACATATTATAAATTGGAAAGCCTAGTATATATATATGTATGTATGTTTTATATAAATTGATAATGCATGGTGCGATATCAACGAAAATAATCAGTTTTATTTATACACATTTTTAACGTCTCTATTCGAGAAGCAAGCTGTCGTAACGAGAAGGAGCCGACGACCCATAATACAATGGTAAGCTCTTTCCAGAACCAGCATTTAAAATTTGAGAAATCCAAATCAAGAGAAGTTTTTGTTGCCACTTAAAATGAAGACAAAGATAAAATCAAGAAAAAAAGAGACATACAAACTAAATTAGTAACTTTTTTCAACTCAACTAGAATGTTTTTGTTCGATTAATGGTACCTACAAATAAATTAAATAATAGAGACATTTGTGAGATCACCAAGAAAATATTTAAAACGATTATTAAAGAAATTCAATTCCATCCAGCTTGTAGCTATGTTTCATCATAGACCTTCGAGATGCGAGAGTAGTGGTAGTTGGAATGTTGTCGATAAGAGTTATTTCTGTTTAAACCATGACAACTAATGTAACGGATAATCTAGGTTACAACTTTTTATATATCTAAGATATCAATTTTTGTTTGGCCCCACTGACGTAACAACTCTTATAATTTGTTGAAGTTTACATTTTTTTTATTTGGTTGTGACTTGTGAATTATGATGATCGCTTGAGGCGAAAATGTGAGACACACGACCAAAATAGGGAAACAAGAGTGTATATATAATATTAGACGGGTCATTTCATTCAATTCCACATTTTAGAGACTGTTACTATTTGGTTAGTTGTCATGTCATGAGTGTTTTTTTGTTGACTCTAAGAACTGTGGTCGAGTCCTTCGTGATCTGCTCCATCATTAATTTTGTAAATTTATTCTACATGTCGTAGTCATCTCTACTTCCTTTCATTTCATTCTCTTGTTCATGTATCCGATCCTCACTTGTTTTCCTGCTTTTAATGTCCAAATCTACCCTATTGTATAAATCCTTTTGGTCGGTTTAATATTCTAAATCCAATCAAAGCAAATTGTGTTGTATTTATTTCGGCCAAAGATAAACTGGTCAACTGAAACTCTAAAACTTTTATATAAAAAAATGGTTTGGAATCTTTTTAAGAGAAACTTTCGAAGATTAGTTTAAGTTTCTGTTTGGATATAGAAAAATAAATCTTGTAAAACAACCTCGGTTTAAAAGAAATGTTCGTATCATATTGATGAGGCTTTATGCCTATCCGGACACAAAGCAAGCCTATTAAACTAGCTACTATTGGCTATGTCACACTATGTGCTTTGAAATGTTTGATATATAATTGAGCAATGCGCGTGTGTATGGGTGGCTATAGTAAAATGAGGAGCATGCACGTGCTGTTTGTGCGACATGGTACGCCAAAATCGGGCCGTGGGGTCAAATATGTTAACCACAGTAAACTTGAAAAAACACTTCCCTGTTTGATATGAATTGGATCCTATGTATCTCAGTTAACTTTGTTTCCTTTCCCAACATTATGTTCTTTATTCAAAACCGAAATTTAATTTCCCTACAATAATTGAAACTTCACCACAAAACCAATGCATTCTTATTAGGCTTTCCAATGAGCTAAGAACGGTGACAAAATCTTGCTCAAATGAATAATTAATATATTATAAAAGGAAATACAAATGAAAAAAAGGTGCAATTGGGTGTCTGAATCTGATATTCCTCACCCTGCTAAAGTGCTAATGATTCATGTCAGTGAGTTGTTGTTAGTCTCAATTGGTAAAAAAGAAAGAAAGTAATGATCCATGCTAACATCTATTTTTTTTTTTGAACAACACAGACATTTCATTAAACCATTAAAGTATTTCCAACTACAAACCGGGATGGGCCAGATGAAGACGAGGAAATTAAACGACATTTTGCAAACTTGGCGATCGAATCAGCCGATGCATTTTCGGATCTAGGTACGAAACCGAACCAGATCGAGGTAAACAAAGAAGCAAGGGAATGGATGTCGAAAAGGATGCCATAGATCTCCTTGATTTGGACATGCATGTTCAGGGCTCAGATGAGGTCTTGCGAATCGGATTTGAGGTGGATGTTGCTAATTCCTTCCTCCAGGGCGTGGTTTAGGGCAGATCGAATAGATAGCGCTTCTGCCATAAGCGAGGATGTGACGAATCGTTCTGCTGTGCTATCATCTATTTATGATGCGAATTTTATGTAATATTCAAAGTTATTGACCAAAAATACAAATGAGAGAGAGCATATTGGAAATGGTCAGTTAATCTCTGCAGATGGACCGTACAAGTCTGCAACCATTCTGAATCTGATAATATATTATTATACCAATACTTATTGTATTCCTCTGCCAATTGAACTTTATGGTCAAATAAGAATACAACTACTTTACGTTTAAAGTCTTACCTATTTTCTTATATTTTCATTAATATGACTCTATCCGCTCACCATCATTGGCTAATATGATGCCTCCATGCATCATTGTTTCTCTTGATTTTTAAATTCTAGTAATAGTTCAAAAAGGGAGATATGAATTGCATTATATATATAGATGGTTATTAATCTAATGTTTGAGAGAGAAAAAAATGGTTGTGGTTAATTAGAAGAGACACAAGAGTCAAATCAAATGGTTATTTCCATCCTCAATAGCATTTCCACTTTTTTCATTAGCTAATCAACAACAACAATAAAAAACAAAAACATTAACTAAAAATGATTATATGTACTCAATGCCATATTTAAGTGAAATTCGGATCCATAGAAACCATATAAAGTGAAGGAGGTTCCTTTCTTGAATATGTCTCTTTCTTTCTCCCTTACACGTGAAATACGAACTAATCGTATTCTACATTATTCTATACATATAAGCTTGAAATTAACCACATAATCAATCCATATAGTTAAGACAGTTTATAACCATGTTGTTTACGAAAATTAAACCAAGATTTTGTCCGGCAAGCAATCATAGTATAAACATGATGTTTTTGTTTGGAAAAAAAAAAGCAGTTGAGATACAAAAAGAGGTTTGCGGATGTTTAACAACTTTTCATCTCTCTTGCACTTTTCTAAACACATCTCACTGCTCACAACGTAGGAAACGTGTTCCCTGCTATTCACTCTTTCTCTCTCTCTCTCTCTCCTCGACCATCTTTTCTTTATTTATTTAAAATCTCTATACGGTTTCACATTTATGACTTTTTCGTTTTTCTTGACCAATTTTTCAAGTTTCAACGATAATTATTGCGATGACGTTTATGATTTATCAGATTTTAGTGTAGATGTAGATTATAGGGTCCCTAGATTATATATACATGTTTGATTTATATGTATAACTTAGAACCAGAGATAGGAGTATGTATGTCTATACCATATTAAATTAATATTATTTAGCATGCATGAGTATTGAGTAGTACTAAAGTTGTTTATAATGCGTAATGCATCAGCTTTCAAATCAGTCCGTGACAGTCCATAAACCTTTTAACAGTTGTATAACAGCATTTTGTCAGAAAACAAGGTCACGACATATACATACACGCACATAGCTTAGAGCCATACGTAAGAATATCACACAAATATCAATTATATGATATATAGAATTCATATTTAATATCATCACATCGTTTCTCTTCCAATGGGGATGGAGATAGTGCATGCTGACGTGTCATCTCTCTCCATTACACCTCGCTTCCCGTCTTCGTCTTCATCCTCACCTCATCACTAACCAACAACAACATTATTGTCTCATGTCGGAAGATCATCACCGTTGGATGGATCAGGTCGCTTCATGGGACTATTTCTCTTTAAACATCAACAACGATCAGCATCATGGTCACTACTACGCAAGTCATAGCGAAGAAGAGATTAAAAATTACAATCGCAGCAAGAAAGAGGCAACGGACTGTGGAAGCTGTGGACACTCGTCAAAAGCTTCAGTGTCGAGAGGACATTGGAGACCAGCTGAAGATGCTAAACTCAAAGAACTAGTCGCTGTATATGGTCCACAAAACTGGAACCTCATAGCTGAAAAGCTCCAAGGAAGATCCGGTTAGTATATATTATCGCTTGATTAATCTTTCCAAAATTGATGAGGTTCTTGATGATTTAGGTTTTAATGTTGACCAGGTAAAAGCTGTAGGCTTCGATGGTTTAACCAACTAGACCCGAGGATAAACAGGAGAGCCTTCACGGAGGAAGAAGAAGAGAGATTGATACAAGCTCATAGGCTTTATGGTAACAAATGGGCGATGATAGCGAGGCTTTTCCCAGGGAGGACTGATAATTCTGTGAAGAACCATTGGCATGTCATAATGGCTCGCAAGTTTAGAGAACAATCTTCTGTTTACCGCAGGAGGAAGACGATGATTCCTCTTAAGCCACTTCTTAACCCTAATCCTCACTCTTTCATCGATTTTGACCCTACTAGGTTAGCTTTGACCCACCTTGTTCGTCATGATCAGAACCAGCCCATGTTGCCAATTCCTTGCTTCGCAGGTTTGAGTTTGCGTTCTTTTTCCTTAATTAATTCGTTTTTACATCTCATGTCCTTAAGTGCATCATTTTATTTTCTTATTTCTGTTTTTTTAACGTTTAGGTTATGATCATGGAAATGAGAGTCCGTTGATGGTGGATGGTATGTTCGTAAACCAACTGATGGACATTGGCGATTACATTGCAAGGACACAAGAAGCGACTACCTTCGATTTTTCAAATCAAACCGGGAAGTGTGAGATGCTTGAGAGCATGAATGAGGAGAAGAAGCCACCCTTTTTCGATTTTCTTGGGTTGGGAACGGCGTGATCATCATCAAGAACATGAGTGTGATTTAGTTAATTACTTAACAATAAAAATTATGAGATGATCCAAGTCCCTTCAATGTAGTTTAGTTGCGTTAATTAACGACCGATTTGTTGTCTTTAGTCCCATGCAACATTCTTAAATTCGTGTTAGTACGTACGTACCACTGTTTGGTTAATTAATGCTTTAATTTGTGTAAATGCCAAATTGTCTCACTTTCAAAAGCAAAGTTGATTTGAATACATATAATATATAATACGTATAATATATATGTACCATTTTATAGTTCTAACCAACTCTTAACTTATATGAAAATGTCATATTCCATCATTAATGTGGAGTAAGAGTAACAACATGCTTCGTATATGAAAGGGAAGGTGACATATGTTAAAGAAGGGACGATGATGTGGAAACAAGAAGCGACAAAAAAAAACCTAACAGAGAAGTCAAATTAAAAAGAGAATAATGTACGTTTGTATTTTATTTGGAGTATGCAGAAATTAACGATACCATGCGATATTGATGAGGTTGCAAGATTCAGGCACAGATTCTGCAGCAGAAAGTCCAAACATCTACTCTTAATTATTCTCACACCCATTGCATTTTTTTTATTCCCTCCAAGCAAAAATAGAAAACTTTTCTTATTTCATTGCTTCTTCTTACTCATGTTCCCTTCTTTGCCTCTTAATTTCTCCTTATTATCATTCTTGTACTAAACATTTAGTTTATTTGTTTAATATATACTATAATATAAAGGTGTGTGTACGTGATTATACTTTTAGTGAGCTTAATACTTTTTCTGCGGTAAATACAAAAAGAGTTTAGTACATTTTATGATTAGTTAAATAGGAACGGTCAATTTTACAGAAATAAGATTAAATGATAATTACTCGTTTGTCGCAAAACCTCCGCTTGCTGTTTTCCTCATCTGCAATATGATTTTTTATTCTTTTTTTCCATTACATATATATAATGGTGGAATGCAGAAATAGTTATGCAATTTCAGTATCTTTTTGCCAATTACATTGCTTGTGGTAAAATAAATAATTGTGACATCGTCAATTTACAGATTTGTGATCAAATCAAGATTTTTCTAGTTTTCATTCTACCATTCTTATTATTGAGTCCATGTCTAGGCCCAGTTCCAACCCCACACGTAAAATCGTAGACTAAAGCCTATTCTTAAAGTGTTTATACGATAATTGTAGTGTATTTATTTTATAGCATAGTTTGTGCAAAAACAATGCCTATTCTCTATTTTAATAGTTGATACTACATTACTACTTCTAGGACTGACAATACGTTGAAATATTTGCTATAGCTAAAAAGAAAATACACACAAAATAACTTTATAGTTTCCCATAGAGAATTAGCATTGTTCCATTTAGTTTTTTTCTTCTTCTTACAGAGGATCCAAAATTAGCAACAATATACATATTTGCCAATCACGTTCATGTTGCATTTTGCAATAGTACCAAAGCAATAACTCCTGTGGGAGATAAACGAGCTCCACGAAAAGGGAGCTAACAATAGGATTAAGCTAATGAACAACAAGTCAATACATAAAATTAGCATCATCCCCTCTTTGTAGGAATCGATTCCCACTTTCCATTTTTCATGGTTTGTATCGACTCTAATTTCTTATTTAAAGGACTTCTCATGAAATGAAAAAACATAAAGAGATTATTCATACAAATTATATAAATTCAACTTGTTTTTTTTTTTTTTTGGAATTTTGACCAGCTTCTATGATGAAGATCATTCCATCGATGTTCATTGTCATCATCATGATCTTGTCATCATTTTCGGTTCAGACCAAAGTCGCCGGTGCCGCGAATGTGCCACTGCCACCAGAATGCAAAATCCTTGAAGCTTGCATCCATCCGTTTTTAAACGGAGCCAAAGGGCCAGTAAGTTGTTGTGCTAAATATAGAGCGGATAATGCGAGACGATGTTGGACTAAACTCACTGAGTCTCCAGATCCTAAGCTAAACCTAGCTTTTTATTCTGTCTTTGAAACTTGTAATACATGTACTAGAAAATATAAGTTATATTGATTATTATACATATATAACAAATTAACATATTTTGAAATAATGTAATAACTATGGTTGGTTTGGCTAAATAAATAAATAATGTAATATGTACGTTAGTATGTGCGTTTGTAGCTTCATCAGCTACTCTATTATATACTGAGGATTGTCTTCTTCGGGAGTAACTGAACATGCTGTGTCTTTGAATCATATTTTCTTCCGTTGCATCATCCCTCAACGATCTACCACCCCCATAACCATCGCAACTACTTCTCAGCCATTATATTGATTAATGTTCTCTTCCTTTTTGAATTTCTCTTGTCAATTGCAAGTCTATCAAAGCAGGCATACTCTTTATAAACTCTAGCTAGCTTCATAGAAATAAAGTTATAACAGTAACGTATAGTCTAGGTTGTTGTACTTTTTATTTTTCAGCAAAGATTGTTGTACTAAATCTCACTGTTTATGGTTGATCAATCTTACTCTTTGATTGAATTCAGTCATCCAAAACGTCGATCTCTTCCAAGTATCTGAAGTCATTTTTAAAACATTTTAATTAAGAGGATTAGTGTAAGAAGCACAAAATCTTGATAAAACATTATAATGTGAAAATTTCAAACCTAAAAGAACAAGAAGAAAAAGAAAAAAACATGTGCTGTAATAAGAACGTCAAGAGCAGGAGACAATAGAAAAAGTGATAGGAGGTCCCATTAACTTAATTAAAGAGAAGGAGAAATTCAAGTCTGCTGATCTATTTATTATCATTGACACAAAGACAACGTATATAACAAACTGATGAGTGATGATCACCTATATAATTAAGTCTTGTCCAGTAGACCTGTTCTTGATTTCTTCTTCCAATTGGTGTATTTAAAGTTGGTTACTTATGTTGGCATAAAAAAAATAAAAATAAAAGCTGTAGAGGCGAAAAAGAGAAAAATTTACTAGTAGCTAGGGGCCTAGGGCATGGTGTGTTGTTAATTCGGCAAGCATGGACATGGGCATGGTGAATAAATTGTGTGTCACTGTCATATGCGAACTTTTGGCCGACGTCTCTATTAAAACTTAACGCATTCTTGAGTCATTCATATATCTTCAGACAAACAAAACAACAAAGAAAACGTTCCATAAACCCCCCAAACAAAAAAAAAAAAAAAAAAAACCAAAAATGGAGCTCTTGAGAGAAAAGTACGTGTGGGTTTGCTTCTTGCTTCTATCATTTGCGGCCACGAGTTCTGTTACAACAAGGCAAACACGCACCCATTGCAAAACCACTTGTGGAAACTTAACTCTAGAGTTTCCTTTTGGAACCTCTCCAAGATGTGTTCCCGATGAAAGGTTTCTCGTAATCTGCAAGGAGAGAGAAGGAAAGGCGTTTCTTAACACCACTAAGCAAGAGGTTCTCAGCATTTCGTCGGACGGAGAATTGCAAGTTCTCGTGGATATCCTCCGTGTCTGCAAAAACAACACAGGAGGTGTAGATGAAGGTAGAGAAACCGACCGTATAGAGGATGCAGGTTTTACGTTCTCCGACAAGAACCAGGTCACTTTAGTTGGTTGTAATGTTGATGCCAGTTGGGACTATTTTACGGGAGTTGGAGATTCTTCAGATTCATGCGTTACACACTGCAGTTCCTCGCAACCAATACATGATGATTCATGTTCGGGTAATGGTTGCTGCAAATATCCAGTCACTAGCGGCGGAGCCTACGGTCTATGGGTAGAAACAACGGGTTTCTTTAATCCTTGCATCTACGCATTTATCGTCAAAGCAGGATATTTCTTCTTCTCAGGCGAGCAAGACCTTGAAAATCTCCGAAACGTTACAAGGTTTCCGGTGATACTTGATTGGACCATGGAAGGAACTTGTCAGACAAGCTCCTGTGGATTGAACACCTACTGCACAAATCATACTTCTCGTAGGGGACCATCGTATTCCTGCAAATGCCTAAAAGGGTTTGAAGGCAATCCTTACTTTCCATATGGCTGCAACGGTATACCCTCATTCACGTAGTCTCTTCTTAGAGTTAGTGCATGGTATATTAATTTCTGGTGCACTTATTGATTTTTTTATTTTTTATTTTTTTCCTTATAACTACAAGACATCGATGAGTGTAAACTGAGCAGTCATTCTTGTGGGAAGCATGAAACCTGTAAGAACGTTATTGGGTCTTTTCGGTGCAAGAAAAAAACAGAATGGATTACAATCATTCTTGGTAAGTCCTTGTGGCGTTTACTGTTCTTCCTTAATATTTGATATATCCCAGATTCCGTAGCTAAAATCGTGTTGACCAGGGAGCGTCGTGGGATTCTTACTTTTCTTGATCGGAGTATGCTGCCTTATGCTCAAGCTCAAGCTCTGGCAAAGATCCAAGCTCAGAGAGAGGCGATTTGAAGAAAACGGTGGGATACTGTTAGTGGAAAGGCTCTTAGAGTTTGGTGCACATGATCACTCTTCCCCTCCTATAAAGATATTCAACGAGAAAGAAATCAAGACAGCGACTAAAGGCTATCACAAGACCAGAATTCTTGGTGAGGGAGGGCAAGGAGTTGTATTCAAAGGCATTTTGCCAGACAGCGTTGAAGTTGCCATAAAAAAGGCTGTAGATGGGGTCGGCAACCAGGTTTCACAGTTTATCAATGAGTTGGTCCTCCTTTCGCAAATAAACCATCCACACGTTGTCAGGCTTATAGGTTGCTGCTTGGAAACACAAGTGCCCCTCTTGGTCTACGAGTATGTGTCTGGTGGAACTCTCTATGACAACTTGTTCTCTTCTTCTCTGCCTTGGTCGGACCGATTGAGGATTGCTGTGGAGATCGCTGAAACTCTATCATTCCTCCACTTCTCTTGTCCTGTCCCGATAGTTCACCGGGACGTGAAGCCTGCGAATATCCTCTTGGATGCAATGTTATCTGCCAAATTAGCGGATTTTGGACTTGTTCCTGCAAACACTGACCAGATCACAACATTAGTACAAGGAACCAAAGGTTACTTGGACCCCGAGTATTTGCAAACCACCTCACTCAGCGAGAGAAGTGATGTTTATAGCTATGGTGTGGTTCTGATGGAGCTGGTGACAGGGGAGAAGGCCCTCTGCTTTACTCGGCCACAGGGTCAATATCATCTGGTGAATCACTTAGGAGCTGCTCTGAGAGAGAATCGGTTAAGTGAAGTTATGGACCAGACAGTGGTGAACGCAGAGAACCAAGGAGAGCTTTATCAAGCAGCATTGTTGGCGATCAGGTGCACCAGAGTCAAAGGAGAGGAGAGACCAGATATGAGACAAGTAGCTGCAGAGCTTCAAGGTCTGAGAGCTCCTAGGGAAGACATGCCGAGTCCATCTTTTTCAGCGCTTGAAATTGAAGAAACTAACCCTGGGGAAGACGTGTCTGGTCCATCTCTGTCCGGGTTTGAGATTGAAGAAATTAGCTGATATGTACTTTGGATGAAGTTGAACCAACCAAACTATCTAGATCCTGTTTATTTGTTGTCTTCTTAACTTCTTGTGTGTGTGTGTTTCGTTTCTTGTTTTTTTTAAAAAAAAATCTTCTGCAGCCTTTGGTTGTTTATGATGCTTGAACTACTAGTCTACTACTATGTTGCCATGTCGGCTAATTAAGTTGCAATAAGATATCGTCAATTATCTAAATCTCTCGTACGTCAATGAAGAGAATGTGCTTTTCAAAGACTTGGTTGAGTTTGACAAACTAGGGTCCTCCAAGTCCAACAAATAAGCCGCTTTAAGTCTTTTGCTTGTGTAACAAGTATCTATATATGCTTCTTCTTTCTTGTCGTGGAGTGTGTAGTACATGTGCCTCTCTTGTCAAATACATTTTTCTTGTGAGACGGCCAATCACATTCACGCATTAAAATTGAATTATGCAACAAAAATAGAAAACAAATGCAAGAAGAACTAAGAATAGGATGAAGCTATCGAGAACAAAAACAAGTAAATTCTTTGGTTTGTAATTAATAAAAACATAATTAGCATCGCTTCCCCTTCTTTGTAGGAATCGATTCCCACTTTCCATATTTTTTTCATGTTTTCTAAGCAAATCGTTGATTCCAATTTCTTATTTAAAGGATCCAAAGCAAAACCAAGAAAACATAGGTGATTTCTACAAATCAAATAAGTTCATTTTTCTTTTGTTTTTTTTTTATTGGAATCTCTTGACCAGCTATATACTATAATGAAGATCAATACATTGATGCTCATTGCCTTCATCATGATCTTGACATCATTTCTTGCTCCGACGAAAGTCGCCGGTGTCCCCCCGACGGTGCCAGAGCCACCAGAATGCAGAGGGGTGATTCGAGATTGCATCACTCCTTTATTCTTAGAGACAAAGAGCACTCTGTTATTCACTTGTTGTGCTGAATATAGAAAACCAAACTCGAAACCATGCTTGCGTAAATTCTTTACGTCGTCCCAGGATCCTAAACTAAAGAAGGCTGCTTCTCGGATTTTTAATTTGTGTGTTGTCGGCAATTGTCTTACTTAACCTCCTCGACGATCCTAACTTCCTAAGCCTAACGAAGACTGACTATTGTCTTCCTCCTCCTCCTCGTCTTCCAAAGAAATAGAGATTATTTATTATACATATATAAGAATATAGTAAACGTGTTTTGAAATAGTGTAGTACGTACTAATTATGGTTGGTTATATTTGGTTAATTGAAGAAATTATTACTATTGATATTGGCATGTTGCTATATGCGGTATGTCCGTATGTGTGTATCTTTCCTTTTTAAATCAAATAAATTGGTTGGATAGTGGATACACACAACACTAACAAAAAGAGATACGTACGAAATTAGTTAATACGAAATCAATCAAAATTATGTGAAATTTTGAGACGAATTTTTCTTTAAACCGGAAACCGGCCGGTTTAGAATGAATTTCATCGGGAAAGAATTTTACAACCAAACCGGGTTTAAAAAAAACATTGGCCAAAAACCCTTCCTCTCTCTCTCTCTCTCTCTCACTCACTCACCAAAACTTCACTGTCGAAATTGAGAAACAAACCATGGCGGCTACGACGACGACTCTTGGGTTTGTTTCGCCGACGGGCTTAACCATCCGTCGCGGTGGACATAAGGTTTCGTTCATCCGATGCTCCGCCTCTCCTCTCACTTCATCCACTGGTAAAATTCTCTTCATTTCGTCTCCTGGATTTATCAAAAAACCTCGAATAAAAATGATAAAGCTTCGAAATTTCACCAAGCATCGATCTCGCATCTCTAAATTCTCCTTTTTTTCCCACTCCGTAGCTCTCGTGGAGAAGCCTTGGACATCGTATAACGCTAGGCTTGTGCTAGAAGACGGCTCCATCTGGCCGGCTAAGTCCTTTGGTGCTCCTGGGACTCGTGTTGCCGAATTGGTCTTCAACACTTCCTTGACGGGGTAAGAGACTTTTTGCTGTTTGTTTGATCTCAACAATTGTTAAATTCGAGAGCTTGATTTGATTGTGCGTTTTTCTCTTTTGGCAAAAAGGTATCAAGAAATTCTCACTGATCCTAGTTACGCCGGCCAATTTGTGCTCATGACAAACCCACAAATTGGTAACACCGGTGTGAATCCTGGTAAGTGGGCAAAAAGTTTGGATCTTGTAAAGTTTTCTTCATCTTCTTGATGCTTAAACATTGTGATGTTTGTGTGTTTTAGATGATGAAGAATCTGAAAAATGCTTTCTTGCTGGTTTGGTGATAAGAAGTCTAAGCATCAGGTAAGTGTTAGCCTCTCATGTCACCTTAAAGATGCTTCCTTTTTTGAGTTTCCTAAAAAGAGATTATGTTTTTTTCTAAATCAGTACCTCAAACTGGAGATGCACGAAAACACTCGCTGACTATCTAATCGAAAGGAACCTCATGGGAATCTGTAAGTTTTCAAACGAAATGATCTTTCAAGATTTCTACAAAGTTATGAACTTTGACATTTTGAAAACGTTTCTGGTTTAACCAATGTCAGATGATCTCGACACTCGAGCGATAACACGTCGGTTGAGAGAAGACGGTAGTCTTATCGGTGTGCTAAGCACAGAACAAACCAAAACGGATGAAGAACTTCTGCAAATGTCCCGTTCTTGGGATATCGAAGGTTATAGTTCTTGTTTTTCTTTCTCTCTCTCATTTAGAATATGAAATTGAAATCCTTTCTTGGTCTGTTTGGTTGAATCTTGTAGGTATTGATCTGATAAGTGGTGTTTCTTGCAAGTCTCCTTACGAGTGGGTCGACAAAACAAACCCTGAATGGGATTTCAACACGGATTCACGCAATGGGAAGTCCTTCAAAGTGAGTAGCTCCTTCTCTTGTATTGATTGCTTGCGGCTGCACCAACTAAATTCTTACTCTCTCTCTGTTTCTACACTTGAATTGAAAAGGTTGTCGCTTACGATTTTGGCATCAAGCAAAACATCCTAAGACGCCTATCCTCTTACGGATGCCAAATCACTGTTGTGCCGTCGACGTTTCCAGCTTCTGAGGCTCTTAAGATGAATCCAGATGGGATCTTGTTCAGCAACGGTCCTGGAGACCCTTCTGCTGTGCCGTATGCTGTTGAGACGGTCAAGGAGCTTCTCGGTAAAGTGCCTGTTTACGGTATCTGTATGGGTCATCAGTTGCTTGGCCAAGCTTTGGGTGGTAACACTTTCAAGATGAAGTTTGGTCATCATGGTGGAAACCATCCAGTTCGTAATAACAGAACTGGCCAGGTGGAGATCAGTGCTCAGGTATATTTACTTTACCATCATTTCAAAGTTTGGATCTTTAATATGATTCAAAGTCTGAAACTTTAACATTATTCAAAGTTTAGAACTTTAGTGTCAAAGTTTGGAACTTTAACATCATTCAAAGTCTGGAACTTTAATTCGGATATGTGATAAAGAGATTGTGCTAGGAACATTGTGACAAGTTTGATCAAATCTGAATCTGTTGCATCATTGTGTTTTTGTTGGCAGAACCACAACTATGCGGTTGATCCGGCTTCACTTCCCGGAGGCGTGGAAGTGACACATGTCAATCTCAATGACGGAAGCTGTGCGGGTCTATCTTTCCCGGCGATGAATGTCATGTCTCTTCAGTACCACCCTGAAGCCTCCCCTGGACCTCACGACTCTGATAACGGTAACTTCGCTTTTCTTTTCTTTTGGGTAGAGTTGTATTGAAAAAAAACAGACTTGTAGTAATATGTGGATTTTGTTTTGTTTGTGGTTGCAGCGTTTAGAGAGTTCATAGAGCTTATGAAGAGATCGAAACAGAGCTCCTGATCAATGCGAGCGAGAAAGAAAACACACTCTTTTGTTTTGCTACTTAAACACAATCGTTTGGTTAATGACAATGGAGTGAGATTATTGTTTTTTGGCTGTGATGTGATGTGACTCAGGAACCTTACCACCTATTAAATAATTAAAATAATTATGTGATTGGTAATCCATTGAATAATAAAATAGTCTTGTGGTTTTGCTTAGATTTCAGTTATTATGTTGAGATTGGCCAAGTCATTTTGATAACCACCTGGGGAAATCTACCGAGTGAACAGCATGACAGATTAGTGATGGAAAAATTATATTATCCATGACCAATATGAACTCGAAGTTTCCTTCGTAACCCCCGGAACTTCTTCGTAGTGGCTCCGTTCCATGCCTCTCATTAGCCAAATGAAGATAATAAAGTTAATGGAAATGTTTAAATATAATAATCAAATGAATACCATGAAAGAGTAGTGAAGATGGATAAAAAGAGGAAAAGGACATTTTTTCAGAAAAAGGAGACTTTATGCTCTTCTTTAGGCTTTTTTCAGTGCCAGTGGTTGGATTCTTTTCTTTATTCCAAGAATGAAAGTGAAAGATGCTCTGCTTCTTCTTTCTTTGATTTCATATTCCTGTTTCTCCTTGTCTCTTATCTTAAATTAACTAGATCCATTTACACTAAATACCAAGCTAATAATCTGAAAACCTGTACTTTCTTCTAACAAGCTTATCTGTTGGGAATCATGGGCAAAAACGTAATTTGAAACTTGGCTGATATAGATCACTGGAGATATTAATCTAAAAGTTTATATATGTAGCAACTTCATCACACAATGTGAGAGAAATATCTACAACTTCTCAAAAATATTTCTATTTTGGTTGTACAAACAGCAATACTTATATCTCTACTCTTAAGTTCGAAACAACAGAATATATACATAGCTTTTCCTTCTTTCACAAGGTAACAATTAGCTGAAAATATCAAATCTCTCAGTTCATCAAATATTTTGTATATATACTCTATATAATCAGTGTTTTTGATTATTGTTGCATGCTCTCCCTGAAGCTCATAGATCTAGACATCGCTGCAGGGTTTGCTTGTAGATGGATAGACGTTTCAGGGACCAAACTTCTTCTGTTGCTACCCTTTGTTTCAAATCCATTGAACAAACTGAACCCTTGCGTTTTTTTCTCCGGTTTTGCTTCATTATTGATTCTAAGAGATTCTGAAACCAATCTTGCTCTTGTAGTAGTATCTTTTGTTCCTCCTCCTTCAGTTTGGTCTCTTGATCGTTTCCCTAAACATGGTGAAGTCTCTGAGGTAGGCCATACAGGAACCGTGCAGCCCCAATAGAAAGGGATAGGGTAGAAGTTAGCAGTAGGACCCGTTGGACTCCATTGGTAAGGCCAAGGAGACAATGCTTGCGGCGCAAGAAACCTCTGTTGGGTTTTGTGTTCTTGAGAAGCTGAATCAGCGGTTATCTTTGTATCTCCTGACTGATGCTTACCAGTCTCGGTAACGGAAGATTCTGAAGAACCGAAGCTAAGGATCGTTCCCGAGTTGTTGTTGTTGTTGCTGTTGTTATCGTAATCCTCAGAAGTGACTTGCAAGTAATGGTTTGAAGAAGCCCATCCTTTGTTCTTGCGTCGACCTGAGCCTACGGGGACGCTTCTCATGGATCCTCCAGCTGTCCAATACCTCTGACAGTTCCTGCAGAAGTAACGAGGCTGGTTCACGTTGTAGTTGTTGTAGTAACAGAATTTGGTGTTTGCGCTCTCGCATCTAGGGCACGGAAGAATCTTGTCCGGTTTCTTGAGAGTTGTTGGTTTGTCTTCTGATGTACTTGTTGTTGTGATCTCGCTCTGTTGATCGCCGTTGGTCTTGGAAGAGCTTCTTGGTGATGAAATCTCTGAGGCTGCTTTTGGCGGTTCGTTAAGATCGGATAAGATGTAAGGATCTTTGATTAATCTGCTTTTGTCTTGAGTGATTTTATTAGCAAGAACCTGAAAATTTTCAGAATTTTTTTATTAGAATTAAATTATTAGCAAGAACCAGGTCTTGTGGATTATAAACTTTCAAGCAAATAACAACTTTTAGCTTTTATTAGCATGGTGAGAGCTATTGAATCTTGCAAATCACTTTGACTCTTTTCTTAATCCAATCAATGAAAAATATCATAATTTTGTAATCTTTTTTATTAGCCAGAATTTGTAAATCTTGCTTCATCAACTATGCAATTTCCTCAATTATGAAATGTTGTAAATTCTTTGTTTGAGATCAAGATCGATCCTATAACAGATTCCATCAGCTGATAAATCTCTCAAAATCACAAATTAACTGATGAAATTGAATTTATCAAGAAGTTTCTTTTTGTTACAAGAATCTATCAAGAAGTTCATTAATCAATTAATACAAAACAAGAAGAGAAAAATATAATAAATTGCGTGACATACCCTATCTGGTCCAGCCGTGTGAGAACAAGAAGAAGAGGAAGACGAAGAAGCCTCCTTGCTCTGATCGGAGACACCGTGAAAAGAGGACAGCGACGACGGATCACAATGATTCACATGGAAAGTAGAAGTAATTGTCCTCCCAAACAACTTTATCTCCCCATCTCTAGAATTAGACATAGTAGTTTTTACAACTTAAAATCTGTTTTTCTTTTCTTTTGTTTGAAGATGAGAGAAAAATGAAGACCATGAAGAGAATACAAGAAGCTGAGGTTGGTATTAATGACGATAGTGCATAGAAGAGAGAGAGAGATTAAAAAGTGGGGGAAGATGACACGTCAGCAGAGAGAGAGAGAGACCTGTGAGAATTTGAGAGCCACATGTTGTTTAACAAAGTGGACATTTTGAGATCTTCTTTCTCACGCTCTTTTTGATTCCCCGTTGTAATGCCGCTAAAAGATTTTCTCATCTTCCTTTTTTGCCACGTTGGATTTTCTCTTTTTTCTTTCTTTTAATCGAAGGGATATAAAGTTAATAAATACTTGGTTCGTAGTGTCTTATATTTCTAGTGGTGTTGATGTAAACGCATTTAAGCAAATGATAAAAGTCAGCTGTAAGTACATGAAAAGTCATACTAATAGACAAAAAAATTGAAGAAAATAAAGGTTTTAAACTATGACCCGTACGTATTGACCGTTAACATAAGTTCATATTACTAATCAAGACTCTATATGTTACAAAACCATCATTGACGTACGTATACGTATCATCAACAAATTTATTGACCAATATATTATACAAATATCATGAAAGTTGTACAGTATTAAGCGTTTTTGTTTTAACTTATTATAAGAAGTTGAAAGAGGTACTGTGAAACTAAAAAAACCCATCAGATTCTTACACAACCTTATAATTTATAAGCTCAATTATGGGTTATCAACTATTTAATGTGATTTGTTTTACCGTTTTACGTATGTGTTTTCTGTAAAAATAAAATAAATAAATGTAGTATCATGTGTTAAGAACATAAATAAAATCTATGTTACTTTAAAAACACATTTGATCAAATTTATTTATAATATTTTGCCCTAATTCTTGCAAAGAAGAAAGTAGAATTTAACAATTACAGAGTAACTGAATACTATATTATTGTTTGTTTAAAAAAATTGAAATATACTTTCAATTCTATAAAAAGCTCTAATTTCATAATACTTTTTTTTTTTTTGAACATCTCATAATACCTTTTAAAAAATGATTTTCTCATAATTAAATTAAATATTATTACGTGATGTCTACACAACTGCAAATCAACATCTAAAGTTCTATCTCCTCCACACGCCACAATTAGGTACAAAGACATCTCTTATGACATGATTATATATGCTTTCAGAAAATATGTATCGATTATTATTATTATTACAATGTAATCCGACAAGGCATAATCTGTCAATGCCAGGCTGTACAACAACGTGTCACAGGACCCACCTCGTCTCCGAAACATCCTACACTCTCTGCCCACGTCAGCTGTAATAAAGCACCTGTGGATTGGTCCAAACTCCAAAGTCTTTAAAAAGGTTCGTCTGCCAGAATCTAAATCTAGCTGGTAGTCACGCATGTGACCAATGAGTGTCTAACACGTGTTGTAAGAAGAGGAACATATTTGATGTGTAGGGTAACGTAGTATCGTTGTGCTCTTTAATAAAATAAAAAATTATAAAGTCATTATAAAAAGTTGTATTCAAAAAGTTGTGGTAGTCAGGGAAACTATGTTCTGGTAGTGTCTGACACGTGGCATTTCCAGGTATGAGATAAGGCTGGACCATATCTTTTTCTCTTATCCCATTAACTCTTTGCCATCTTTCTTCTTTTGAAACATTGTTTTTGTATTTTTGCAATTGTATCCCTACTTAATTTCAACTATGCCGATAGTTGCTTGCTACTTTCCGTTGAAAAGTAAGTGAATAGATGAATAAGATTGACATTATGAAAGCACATAATCTTGTTTTGAATTACAAGGTCGAATGTTCAGATTATTGTAAAGATGGTTACAAAAAGAAACAAACTGATATTACTATAAAATTATAAAATAACTACAGGAGAAAAAACCAAATATACATTGATGGGAAAGGAAAAAAAGATATATCCAAACAAAACAAAAGAAATAAAAAGTGAGGTGTTAATGTGTAATCGGATTCTTGAAGAACAACGATACGTTTCTATAATCTTTTTAGATTATCTTAATTTGTATGGTCAAAGCCTCAAACTACAAAAACATTGTTAATGGGATAAACTTGGGAATAATCTTATTTGGAGGTATTAGTTTACAGGCCCGTATAAACAAAAACTTGAAAGCGAAAAAAACCTGAATTATTCGGGCCCTAATCTGACAAGTGTCATTCTAGGCACAGCATTGGCCCATTGACGTTTTAAAGTGTGTGCCTAGATCACAGTGGAGTCCTCTTATCATCGTCTCAATTGATTTTCTCAATTTCAATCGGACTAATCCTTATGTAGTAGTGGTCATATGTAGATTATTGACTCTTGGCAGGCTGGCATTAGTCATGCAGCTATGAAATAATGATCTAGACGATCTCTTAATGATGTATTCAATCTTTGAAATGATATGTTTTAATATGATAAATTCTATATTATGTAATCATACAATTCAAAGGTTTTAAAATCGAATTTTGTTGGTTATACTTATATGATCTTTAATCGAATTTTTTTTTGCTCCAAAATTCATGGGTATTAGACCGGTTGTGATTTGGAAAATTGCATTCCAATATCTATTGTTTTGGTAACAAATCATAATAACTTCTTCAAATTCATTCAATATCATCTCTTTTTTTTTGACAACGATTCATTCAATATCATCTAAGTTTTTGTTTTATCACAACTCAAATCATCTTTAAGAAATGGTTGAACACACCACCTTATTTTAATGTTTGTGAATATTTATCTCACTTCCAGCTTCCATCAATGAAGTTGAAATAAATGGTCCAAGATAAATTCCAAAATGGCTTCGACGGGTTTATGGTGATTAGCAGTGTCGGCTCATAATTTATTAGTTACAGTATAAAATTAGTTATATGTTTGGTGTAAAAATCGAAGTTGAAATTATAAAATGATAGTTTCCAAAAACAAGAACAACTTTCATTTTTTTTTTTTTTTTTTTTTGGTAAACGGAAGAAGTTTTGTATGATCCATACATGTAATCTTAAAAAGAAAACAAAAATCATCCTTATCACATATGAAAATCCTACAACAAATAAGGAACATAGATGTGTCATTATTACACGTTTATAGATAAACTTTCTTGAATTATAGTCATCAAGTGACACATGAATGATGTCACTTTTGTTCGACAATGGATTTACGGTTTTTTAAAGTATTTTATTTTATTTTGATGTTCTTTTTTGCGCATTTGGATCTGTGCATCACAAGCACATTCGATTGAAATTGGGTCCCTAAAAGCTAAAAGAGAATAATAATCGATGAGGCATCTCTCTTTCAGACTGCTTTCGATCCAATTTCAACATTATTCAAGAATCTCCTTTTGTTTCCTTCTTTAATAATTTTCATCTCATATATGACTTCGTTACAATGGATGGAAACATACTTTAGACTCGTTATAATAAAGTGTTTTCTTATGTATAAATCTTAGGTAAAGAAGAAGATAGTGAAATCTACTAGAGAAGTTAACATGATACGAAAATTGTAAAAAAACATCTACGTACGTCGAAAAGCGAAGATCGTTAATTCGGTATCATAATCGTCTCAAAGTCCTTGTCACTATTAGTCTTAAACTGCATGTAGCTCTTGATTCTTAATTCTATAGCACGTAACGCTTCATCATGTGATATGATGTATAAAAGCTTGATGATTCGATTTACTTCAATTGGTTTAGATAATGGTTTTCAACAAGTTATTAGAGAATATGTTTCTTTTAGCATCAGAAGAAAGTATATTAAGTAGGTGCTTAAAGAGAAAGTCTTATGATCATTATCCTCTCTTGGCTTTGCTTGTTTTTCAAACATTCGGGCCACACATATGAATATATGGTATATATGATCATCTCTCTCTTTCATTCGTATGCATTTTTATGCATGCATGTGTGTGTGTGAAGTTGGATTGAATGATTATTTTTAATATTCCTTTCTTTAAGAAATGAACAAATGAAAGGTGTCCACTAAAACAGAAACTCGTAGTAGGAGAAGATGCTTCTCCACGACATCAAGCTACCCCATTGGGTCCCCCAATTTCTCTCTAAATTTTCTCCGTATATCTCATTTTTTATGCCTCATTGGGCCAAATAGCATAACAAATCTGAATCACAGTTGTGGTTGAATACATTCCTTACATAGTATTATGTGAATTTAACAATAATATGTTAATCATAACAGAATCTCATCATGGGATTACTTTCATATCGATTCAATATCAGTTTGTGTGTTGGACTGAAATATGTTCGGACTATCATATCATGTTAAGTTTTATGAATTTCTAAGTCATTCAAATTAACTGGTAATAAATGAAGTGATCCATATGTTTTGTATATTGCTTATGACCCATGTTTTCAATATAAAACATTTAACATAATATAGTATTACTTGTTTATAAACAAAATGAAAACATGAAAGAAGTTATTTTGCGTAAATTGGTTATATTAGTGTGTGTGTGTGTGTGTGTTACAAGTGGAAATTGTAGTACACTGATGAATAACTAAACAATGTATATTCAAAAAGAAAAGAGGGATTAAGAGAATAATCATTGGATTTCGATTCTAAAGACTAAAGCCCGAAAATTAAAGCTTGATCAGATTCTCAGCTTTTACCGACGGCTCTCTATGGTCTATGCCATCACAAATCCGCAACTAATAGCTTCTTTTTATTACTTTCAGTTTTTTAAAGGAATGATATTTAGTAAAATTTTAGGATTTATAATTCAGTTGAATTTTGTTTTCCCTAAAAGCTAGCTAAGATTTTTTTTGTTTTCGAATATATTATTTATTTATTGCTTCTACAACAAGACTTATATACCTCGGAGAAAAGACTTGTGTAAAAACGAAAAGACTATTTTATTTGTATTTCTTTAGAAAATGAATTTAGTTTCTTATAATTATGGTTTAGAAAAACAAGTTGAACAAACAAAAACACGTTACGAAGTCTTGAGATTTGTAAGTTTCTGATGGAGTTCACTTTCAGTACTTGTAGTTTGATTGGCCCAAAATAATAAGTGTCGTAGCCCTACACACAACATCAAAACATGTATATGTAAAATGAAAAAGAATCTTAAATTTTGTTCACTAGGATTATATCTTTCAAACAATTTAAGATCACTTTCATGATTCAATGGTTGAATCTAATTTATCTTATGTTAACCTAGACATAGACTTTCAGTTCTTTAGTACATTTAAAACAACGTTTCTATACTTACAAAAACAACTCTGCTAAATTCCAAGCTTTTAATAAAATAGATTTTACAGCATGAAAATTTGCAAGAAAATGCAATATAAGAACACCTGAGAGATTCTCTGAAGTGGATCACAAAACTTCAGGATAGTTTTGGGGTGCCATCGTTCTTCCTCACTGTCTCTTGTTGTGGACATATATGGATCATGGCGTATAGTTTTTACTTTAACAAAAAAAAATGCGTATAGTTTTTTTTTTCAAGACCATGCATAAAATTTATTAATTTTTTTAGTTACTGTTTTTCACTTAGAAATATTATATTATATTAATCCAATAATTATACGAAATCTGACTGGATTCACTATCTTTGTGTGGGTGGTTATAAAGAAAAAATAAGGCACAGGAAGGGATTGTTCTTTTTAAAGTTATTTATTGAGGTTAGATTCCCTCATCCCTACATACAACCAAGAGAATCTGCCAATCTCTCCCATCTTTTCTTTCCTTCAAAAAGATTTGTATACATATAATATATAGCTTTGCAAGAACATATAACAATTTTTAACCGTTTATTAGATATGTAATGTTGTCAAACAGATACATTTCTACTGCAACACAGTATTTTGGTATAGGAGTGAGCACAAATATCCAATATCCAATTTGAGCATGTTATCCGATTGTACTCATTTACACACAAAAAAGTGTAGTAATATTTGACCAGTTATCCGTTTTATATTGACTAATTACTAACTTCTAATATAAATAGCCTCGTTTAAAACATATCAGGTTGAATTACACTATTATTGATGTGAAATGAAACATCAAATACAAATCAAGTCCAATGATCCAAATAAAACTAGTAGATTAACATGACCCTTTAACACACAAAGAATTCTTCTTCTGATATTTATAGGCATGCTTTTAACTTTTTTTTTTATTTTACTTGGATATCAATATTTTAGAAGATTTAGATTTCAAGTTTCATATGTTGGAAAGAGTAGACTATTTCCACAGAACTAGTGGTTTTATATTCATTCTCGACTGATTCAGTACCATGAAATAAATTTTCTTACTCATAGCGATTGTGGAAATTAAACCGTCTCTATCCTTTATTTTGTCGGTAGATGTTCAACTAGATTGATTGTGTGTATAAAAAGCTTGATTTGAAAATAAGATTCTTCCTGAAGAAAAACACCTCTTTCAAAGTGGTTGAAAAAACAGGAAGAATAAAAGTTTATTTCAAGATAAGAAAAGTTCTTACTAAAAATTATCAAAATACAAAACCATAAATTTTTTGCTATTATACATAGTTACAACTTACGAGTAACTCATTAGCATCATCAGTACAACGATGAACGATGCATGATAAGTTAGTATATGTGTAAACATACGAGTATACGACATGCGTATACAAATTTGGAAGCAAATAGGGTGAGTCTACATATTTTTTGTTTTCCGTCGACATCGGTGACAATTTACATAAATTTATTATTTCTTCGTCTGAGGTATGGTATGTGAAGGGACATATATTGTATATATACAAGTATGGTGGGGGCAACATTACCGAAGAGAAGGCCAAGATACAGATGAGACACAACACAACAAACCTTACACTTTTTCTTTACCCTTCTTTTTAGGAGGAATTCTTGTATTTAAACAACCTTGCTTAATATAATGCTTCACTCTCTATATCCTGGTTTTTTAATCATACAAATACAATCCGTGTGGTGGATAAATACCTTATTATTGAAATAAATTCCATAGATAAGAACAAAAAAAAACTTATAAGATATCAAGTGACAAGCTCTATATATAGAAATTGTTATAGTTGATCAGTCCCAGGCAAGTCTCTCATCAAATGTTATATGTTACAAGGTTACGTCTTTTGCGAATCGTGCAAAATCCTAAAGACGGTGTGGAAATTTATAGAGCCTACAAAAAAACCCATTTATACATAAGAAGAAAAAACAGGAGAAGAAAGGTAAAATAGGACCATATTGAAAATAGAAAAGAAAACGGTAATAATAATTGCAAACAAAGAAGAGATTTGTATGCACATGCGATATGTGTCCATTAGGATAGATCGGATGTCTATACGACCAAAAACGAAGTGTACAAACCTTTTTTTATCTGATCTTATTGCTTCATATATCAAAGAAAAAAGTAACACGAAATTACAAAAGGCAAACAAATACACAAAAAAAGCGGTGTGAAATCAGGAAATGATCGAAGAAAGATAATAGAAAAAACAGATAATAACCAAACAATAAATTTAATGATAAAGAAAGAAAGAGGAAAAGGTCAAGAGAGCATATATTCCCTTCTCCAACAGAACCCCACTCATGTTTCCAGATATGGAGTGAGAGAAGAAAGATAAAAAGAAAAAACATCAACCACTCCAAAGATTTATATATAAATCTCCATATCTTTGCCAACAAACCCAACAATCTTTGAAAACAAATAACCCTTTCGTTTTTTATTAAACTTTCTTGGGGTCGTTCTTAATAGTCTATCATAGAGAGAGAGATTTGTATGTGTTAGTTTGTTAATGGAGACCATCACTGATAATGGTAATAACAATCAGAAGGCAAAGATGAGCCTTGTGTTGTCAACGGATGCTAAACCGAGATTGAAATGGACTTGTGAGCTTCATCACAGATTCATCGAAGCTGTTAATCAACTCGGAGGACCTAACAGTATATACTTTTTGTGTTTTTATCTTCTTTTACATGTTTCTGCTTTTCATTTTCATTTCTTGATCATTTTTTTTTTGTGTGTTTGCAGAGGCCACACCAAAGGGTTTGATGAAGACTATGGAGATTCCTGGGCTTACCTTGTACCATCTCAAGAGCCATTTACAGGTAAATCATGTTCACCAGAATGATCTTTGATTGGATCAGTAATCTTTTTTTCTTGGAAAAACAAATTTGGATGATTTCATTTTTTTTTTTTTTTGCAGAAATATCGGCTAGGGAAGAGCCTAAAGTTTGATGATAACAAGCTGGAAGGTTTGAGATTCTTCGTTTAAGTATTAAAAGATTGATAATGTTTCTGTGGCAAAATAGATAAACAGAATAACAGATTCTTGAGTTTGAAGTCTGATCTGACTAATTTGAGTTAGTAAATTTTTTTTTTTTTTTGATGTTTTGTTTCTTGGTGTAACAGTTTCCTCTGCTTCAGAAAACCAAGAAGCTGAGAGTAAAAACGATTCTAGAGATCTCCGAGGCAGTTTCACTGAAGAAAATAGCAATCCAACTAACGAGTAATGATCAGAGAAACAAAACAATAATACCTTTTATAGATAGATTTCAGTAAATTTGATCATTGTTTGTTTATTTTGAGACAGAGGGTTGCAAATCACGGAGGCTTTACAAATGCAGATGGAAGTTCAGAAGAAACTTCATGAACAGATCGAAGTAATAAACATCAATCATATTTCCTAATTATGAACAAACAAAAATTACTCTCGTTGGGGTATTAAAATGTTTTGGTTTCAGGTTCAGAGGCATTTACAAGTGAAGATTGAGGCGCAAGGAAAGTATTTACAGTCAGTTTTAATGAAAGCTCAACAAACTCTCGCTGGCTACACATCTTCTACTCTTGGCATGGACTTTGCGAGAAACGAGCTCTCGAGATTAGCTTCAATGGTGAATCCAAGTTCTTCGTTCTCAGAGCTAACGCAAGCGGAAGAATACGAAGAAGCAGAGGATGTGGAAGAAGGTTTCTTGTATTGCAAGAAACCACAAAACAGAGGAATTAGGCAGCCGAGATACTCAGTTGAGAGCTCGTTGACATCCTCAGAGAGCTCGGAGACGAAACAGGATGATAATAGTGAGCAGAGGAAATCAGTGGAGCTTCCGTTGATGGAGATCAAATCGGAAGTGATGAATGAAAAGAAGAGAAGTCTAAACGACGTCGTTTGCGTGGAGCAGCAGCCTCTAAAGAAGAGAGATTTTGGAGTTGATGATGATGAGCAGCACTTGAGGCTAAGTTTGAATAGTTACAAGAAAGACATGGGGACGTGTCCGAACATAGGACTAGGGTTTAACTGAAAAAAAGAAATATTAAACATATATAAATGTTATAAAAAAAATCCAATATATATGCGTAGATTTCCATATATAATATAAAATTCTAGAGATTTTGTATGTGGAGTAATTCGGGGTGAAGAAGCGCATGGGAATATTCTATATGAGTCAAACATGATTTATATACTATACAATATTGTTTATATATACATATATATAGAAAAATGTGTGCTATGTGTGTATAGATTAGGTGGGGAGGCTTGTGGATGTGGTAAAGGCGGATTTGGGGGAACTTTTTATGATCAATGAAAGAAGCAAAATGATTAAATAAGAATGAGCTTTTTATGATTATGTTCCGACCATGATAAGCATGTTGGCTTCTCAGTGGTTGTTTTATGACAAGACAAACCATATTATACTTGAGTCGTGAGATACAAATTCGAGTATCTTCCATTATTTTACTAACTAGCCATCTTGAAGATTTCTTAAACTTGGTACATGTTATTTATGTACAACATAGCGGAAAGAGAGTCACGTGTTCATGAAAACGATGCTTATATTATCAGCTTTTTCCCCTAAATGAAGACCGTAAGAGTTATTTGTGATCCTCCGGTGGTTGGGATTGTGTTCTTTTCGGGTCATTTGCTAGATAACATTTTCAAGTCTTTCAATGTTATATGTCTTTAGAAAGAAAAGAAATACTCATTTTTGAAAACGAGTTTTACCACTGGCATGATCTTTATGTGTTAAAGCAGTTTTATATCTCCTTTCACATCTTATAAGAAAGTTTTTTTTTGAATTACTCATCTTATAAGAAAGTTACTAAGAGAAATATCAACTGGGGTTAATTATGGACGTTTGTCTCATTGACTCTCATCCAAGCATATGGTTTTTAGAACCCGTGATATCTATGTAGCCAAAATCTTATTTTGTCTGAATTCAATAATTTTGATTTGCCATTGTTCTAAAGAAAATGGGAAAGTCTTCTTGGTATCTTACAAGTCATGTAAATTATGGCTCTGATATATGCAGTGTTTGGCACCATACGGTCTGTGTGATTGAGACTGTCTAATGAATATGGTAAAACTGTTTAGCTAATTTCAGTTAATGTTTTAGTGATTAGAAGAAATAACAGCTGATTTTTCCCAAATATTTTTTTTGCCAATACATTTCTTAGAATTAGTGATAGAACGCTGGATTCGTCATATTAGGAGATGTGTGTTTTTAAAACAAAAAAATAAGGTCCGGTGAAGTTATATACACTGATAGAATGAAATTACCTATTATCAAATTTAGTTTAGGAGCTAGCAATCATAAGTGTTAGACATCAATTGTACTTGATTGATGTGTAAAGAGTGTCTGGTATGCACATGATACCACCTATTCGCATCCTATGTCGTGTTTTGGGTCCAACTTCAGGCACGTTCTGCTCACATGTTATATGTTTGGTTTATTCGAATTTGGTGTCAAACGGGTAAAATGGAAAAATGATTAGGGTAAATGTTTATTTACTCAAAAAAATTGGCCGAATAGAAAAGTTCATACTCGGCCCATCTCATATATAGGCCCGTTTCCTTTTTCCCCAATACCATATGTCAAGGAGCAGCCATGCCCATATGAACACAAAATCTAATCAAGAATGCACAATTGCAAATCTTTAAAAACATTTTAATCAAACCTAATTGCACTTATTTCCAAAGAGGAACTTAAGATAAGATAAGCTAAGATGGACATCAACCTTGTGATGCCAATTTTCCAACTATATCCTATTTAGCCTACACCAGGCTAAACCGAATATCGGCCACGGCCAAATTGCCCAAACCATGTGGTTCATCTCGGTTAAGACCAGACTTAAATCAAGATTGGGTCAATGCGGTTCGACTCAGATTAATTCATTGCAACAAGCCTACTAAAAAATAATCACATCACCCATTTGTTAGAATGATTGTGCATAAGATCTTTATCCAGAGAGGGAATATCACCATCATCTATTGATAATTCAATTATAACCCAAGGTTGCTTTGTTTTGCTTTGCTTTTAACTTCTTTTGGATCCTTTCTCATGTAATGGTGGCTGCTTCCCTCCGACCACATCAGAGATCTCATTGGTCACATCAAAGACCCCAATCGGAAAAAGAAAACTATTAGTACTTTAAATTCAAAACAAAACAATCTCCTATAAGGATCACAGCATTCAAGATTTCGTTATCTTATTTTTAAAAATGTAATTTCGGTTTTTTTTAAGTAAAGGAAAAGTTGCCACTTTAGGACTAACCTCGAGAATGAAGAAAAAAAGCAAAGGGGAACTCAAAATCAGCAAATGGTTATTTTTGTTTTTTGGACCAACGACTGGTCTCATCCTGCTTTGTTTTTGAGTCTGCAAGCAATATCCAATCCTCAGTTTTAAATTATGTTACTTTGAGACAGAACCTGATGCTTCAGAATGTTCCAAGTATACCATGTGATTTATAAAATAAAAATAAATTGCTAAACTAAAATTAAAAGAAATATAAATAACAGCAGTAAAGAAAAGGGAAGTCAGAAAAAGAAAAAGATCGTCTCTACTCTCTTATGAATAAATGAGATGAGGAAAAGAAAAGAAAAAAACAATAATTAAGGGAGCTATATGATATCGAACCAAAGTGGGTCTTTTTGAATCATTGCATTGAGGATTAAGATCTTTAGCTGAATCAAGACGGCATTGGAAAAAAAAGTAGCATTAAGAGGCATAATTAGCATAAACAAACGCACACAAAATAATGATTAGATGTTGTTAATCTTAAACTTGGCAAGCAAACATCGAATATTCCCTTAAGCTATAATGTATGGTAATTTCAACAGTAGAGACTATATTTTCAATAACATTTTTTTTTGTGTAAACACAAATCAGGGATCAATCCTATGTACATGCATGTATTCAACTTCTTTTCTAAAGTACTACATAGTAGCACAGGCAAAACCAGTGTTACGTTATGATAAAGACGAAGTAGGCACAGGTAAAAACATGCAGCCGATGTTGTTACTTGAAAAAAAAAAGTGAGCTATGAATCCTAAAGTGAAGTGGAGAAGATCTTAGAATAGTATAAAGAATCATTCTTAAAGAAAGAAAAAAAAATGTATTTGTTTCTTTTCGAGTAGATGGCTTCTCTGTTGTTTCTTTATTTTAGCCAAAGTTTAATGCTTTATATGAGTAGCTTGTTCTTGTTACGTTGTAGTAAACTAGTAATGTAATAGTACCAACGGTCTGCTTGGCCCACTGTTCCGGTCCGCTGTGTTCTGTTCCATTTTAACAACAAAACCACTTTCCTTAACAACAAAGAAATAATGTATGACATAACCACAAGAATCCACAGCATAAAAGGGTGTAAACTTGAATGATTAGTATAGAACACATTGTCCCAAAAAGTTAAAGGGCATTTGTGTATGTTTCGATTTCAAAGTACAATTAGAGAAATCAAGTAAAAGCATTTGATGCAGTGAATATGCCATCTTTAAAACCATATAATAAAAGAAACCATTAAACCGTATAACTTCCCTTTTTCATGATGTTTTGTGTTATAAATATTATTCACTAGAAATTGGGTTGAAAAAAAGTACTTGTAACCAAATTTCTTGATCAAGCTTAGGAAGCTTGTTCATGAAAGTGTAAGCTTCAAGAGTAGACATGTGGCTAGTTAGGAAGGTGTTCAGAAACACAAATTGGCCAGATTTTCTTGTCAAGATTGGTTAAACAAAAGCCAAAGGACAAATGTAGAGATGTGAGGAAACCAAATGAAGAAAGATACTTAACTTCTCAGTGGTTTTCGTGTACCGAAACTCTTTTGTACAATCATTGTCAGATTCTTCCGTAACAGCCTTAATCTACTTGCTTAGATTTCCAAAGCAATGTTTTTTAAGTGAATCTAAAAACTTCCCCTAGGGACCCACTGTGCTTTTACACTTTAAAGCTCCCTCCAAATCCCAATAACTGATATATAAAAGGAGTATATCTACAGGAAGAAACACACAAACACACACACACACGAAATCAAAACTCACAAGGGCTTATAATCTCATCTTCATATATAAATCCCCTAAACCCTCTCATTAGAAAGATATTCTTGATTCTTCTTGTCTGCCTAAGAGCAGAAAATGTTGGGTTCTAGTACAAGAACGATGCTTTTTCTTCTTCTCTGCATAGGATTACTATCAGACAACAGATATAAGGTCTTAGCCATGAGAAATAGAGAGTTTTTCCTCGCACAAACACAAGAAGCTGAGCCAGATGCAATTGCTAAGCTCAAGAGCATCAGTTTCCATTTCAGGGAGAAAGGTGAAGATCAAGAAATGCTCAAGAACCGGAGAATTCTTGAGGAGGTTAGCAAGAATGAAGTGAAAGCTGATCAGAAGACGCAAGAAGAACAAAAGAATAAGACAAACGACTCGTTCAAATCAAGCAAGAGACGTGTAAGAAGAGGATCAGATCCTATCCACAACAAAGCTCAGCCATTTTCTTGAGCGGCACGACAAGAATCAAATACAGAAAAAGGCAATATACTATAGAAAATGCAAGAAAAATGGCGCAACGATCAACCTTATCAAGATGGAGGTAGGTTAGGTTGTTTCAAGTATAGGGTTTGATAACAAAACAGAGAATATTTGCTGTTGAAGCCATCAGTATGCAAGAACAGGCATTGTCTGTTTTTCAGATACATCAGGAAAGGAGAAAATACAAAATTTGTTTTCAGAAATTATTTCTTTGACTAAATCTTTCACTCTTTTGTTTGCATTATTAGTTTCTTAAGTGTCTCGATAAAGTTTTGTTCTTTCTGCATTGCTTTGAACTCCACTAAAAACATGTCTTATGTATATATAGTACAATATCTCAAAGTTTTGATTTGTCTACAAATTCAACTGTTTAAACCTCTCTTTTTCCCACAATTCTCATGAAGTCTACTCTGTTTTATCTCAAGGAAGCAAGATATTTAGATTATTCAGTATACATTAGGAATCATGAGCTTCCAACTCAAAAATAATTGCCACAAAGTTTCAAAACTTTAAAAAATGTTAAATTCCTTGTTTCTTCTGAATGATCAACCTTAAAGCAACTAAAGATTTTAGTATTGCCTACAATGCGATGTGATTCAACCAAACTCCGAATATATCTTCCAACAACTTTAACATAAAGACTTGAGTATTGTGGTTTCAAAAACAAAATTAGTATTGCCTAAAATGACTAAAATGTGACAAACGATATCATTAATTAATTGCTTAATTTAAATATTGCCTAAATTACTTAAAATGTGACCAACGATATCATTATTTGCTCAAATAATTTAGTTGTTAGGCCCAGTCTATCGAAGAAAATTATTGGGCCTATTCTTTTAGATGTTTCGTGCTCGACATTGTTCTTTTTTTTTCGATAGTGGTCCTTTACATAAATAGTGTACTGTTTTTCATGATTTAAAACGTGATTGACTAAATTATCTTTCATTTATGTATAATATTTATGAACATACATTTTCATGTTAATATAATTTAGCTTTATATTTTGGATGTATAAGAGTGTTTTATCGATATATATATATATTTAGCTGTTCATGGCATAAAAGTCATGTTTCCAACGTGACAACTTATAACTACAACTAAATTAAGAAAACAAAACAGATATAGATGGAAACATTATGCCAAAATGACTCCATGATTATATGACATCTAAATTTTGGCTACACTTTAACTTTTTCTTTCAACCCCCTAGCTAGTGGCCGAATTGCGTGATGCGCGTGCCATTTCGGTCACCGATATGATCGTTATGACATTGTTCTAATCCGCATTTATGGTGCTCTTTGACCCATTATATTTTTACTTCAAACTTCAAAGATCCTTATTGTTAAATCAATGTCCTCTCATCGAAATTATTAGCAGAGTTTATACACTCGATTGTTATTATTATTGTGTGGTCAAATATCGTCGACGGTTGCGATTTGGATTCTAATTAAGCGTGATTGGTGACTTAGGTTTGCAATAAACGACAAAACGTAAAACATACTGTAATTAATTAATCTATTTATATTTTTCTTCAAGCAAAGAATAACTGTATCCCATTTTATCGATAGAGCTAGTGTTGTATGATGAATTCATATTTCTTACTCAAGAGAATAAACTCTAGAGTTTAGAGTCTAAACTACATAGTGACTTATACTCTGTTTTCATTTTCTTAAGCATTTTAAGTTAAGCTAACGATTATACATTAATGAATTTGAATGATGCATGGTTCTTTGTTACTATATATACACCGCTTTGATAAAAAAAAAAAGAATAGGCAAACTTGAGTAACATAGATTTATAATAATTAGTACGTTGTTTTGTTTCTTATTTGGGAGGAGAGGTGGTTTGTTGAGGCTCAACATTATCCAATTTTAAGCAAACTTGATCATTGCAACCGCAAGTAGAAGTTAAGTAAAAATTATAGTATATACTACTGAAGTGAAGTACAATTTATAATTCTATTATTGGTTATATTTCTTAGAAAAAACACAACACCTATTTGAAAAATGAATAAACTATTAGATATGAGGAATTATATGGTGATGAAAGTTGAAAATAACTGGATGTAAAAAAACTGGACGATAGTAATAATTGAAGGTGTTTAGAGGAGTAGGACGTACAAACATAATTGCGATCCAAAGCTAATCAATAACGTAAGCAAAATGCAAATGACCACTAGATTGCGGCGCCACAGTAATGACTAATGACAAGAAGTGAGAATAAGAGGTCGGTGAAGAGATAAGAGAGTCTTTAAGATATAGTAGTGGTTAAGGAAATTAGACATTTATTTGTACATGATTAAAGTTTGGCAATTGTCACGGCAAACTCTTTCTTTGATCCACACTATTGTTATCAAAACAAGTATTTAAGGGGTGTTTCTACAAAAGACATGTAGTACATTGTCATAAGTCAAGTATTTTTGTACAACACGTAAAACCCAATATTAGAAAAGAAAACAGCTTTATAATTTATCTAGAATAACCGTAAAATAGGAAAAATTACCGTTTTTGCCAATAATTGCGATTATGTAAAACAAAATGCAAGAAATGGTCCCTGTCTTATGACCGTTGACAAACCCAAAAAGAAAACAAATTGGAAAAGTATAGGGGTGAGACAGCAATTTACAAAATATGGGGCAGTAACGTGAACTTTTGAAAATGATAAACTACAAGTTGTACAGTGGAATAAGTAAATTGCAGAGCAGCTGGAAATTGTCCTTTAGTACGATGCATGTAATGGGCATTTGCCACGTATACACTTTGGACTCAGTCCTACCTTCTCCTTCGAATATATTCCTTCGTATTTAATTTACCTTTTTCTCATTACTTTTACACATTTCTTCCTCTCCACCAACAAGTTACCCTCTGGTGAAAAGTGAGAAGACCCATAACTTACAAATGTCCCGTAAAATCATAGAAGAAAAAAGCTTGTGATAGGACTCAAATTTTATACATTTTTTATATAGTCTATAACGTATGGATAGATCAATGAACTAGTGACTAAAATATTAAGAAAATTCTCTGTTTCACCAAAATAAGAAAAAAAGTAAAAAATAAAAAATGAAGTTGTAGGTTTTCATTTGATATACAGTGAGTGTGTTCTTCTTTTGCTGTATGCGTTTTGGACTTTTGTGAGTAAGCACTTATTACAATTTTCAACTTCTAATTATATTTCATCACTCTGCCATGTTCTTTACCGATATAATTACATCATCGTCACATGCTCTTACTTAATTTTTATATTTTTAATATAAAATAAAACCACAAAACCTAATCTCACTCTTTAAACTACGTTTAATCAGAAAAAGAGTTAAACACACTATAAAGACAGAACCAAACTAAAGCCAATGGATTTGTCTTCCAAACCCAAACAAACATTTTCAGTTTCACAAACAACTACAAACTCTCCCTTCGCCGGAGAACTAACCGGAGAAATGGGTGTCTGTTACAAGGAGTGTTTGAAAAACCACGCGGCTAACCTCGGCGGCCACGCGCTCGACGGCTGCGGCGAGTTTATGCCGAGCCCCACCGCAACTCCCACCGATCCTTCCTCTCTCCGTTGCGCTGCTTGCGGCTGCCACCGTAATTTCCACCGCCGTGACCCTTCCGACCACCTCAACTTCCTCCCCCCGCTACCAACTTCCTCTCCCTCCGGAACGGAATCTCCGCCGTCTCCGTCGCTTCACCACGTGGCTTCCCCTGTTCCTTGCTCTTACTACACCTCAGCTCCTCATCACCACCACGTGCTTCTCTCTCTCAGCTCCGGTTTCCCTGGACCGTCAGATCAAGATCCAGCGGCTGTGAGATCGGAGAACAGCTCGAAAGGAGCAATGGGGAAACGGAGGAGGACTAAGTTCACACCGGAGCAGAAGATAAAGATGAGAGCTTTCGCGGAGAAAGCAGGCTGGAGAATCAACGGCTGCGATGAGAAGTCGGTGAGAGATTTCTGTAGCGAAATTGGGATCGAGAGAGGTGTTCTTAAAGTATGGATGCATAACAATAAGTATTCCCTCATCAATGGGAAGAGCAGAGAGATCTCTTCCATGGAACATGGTCGTCTTTGTCTGAACACTCACAGCTGCAACAATGGCGGTGAAGATGGAGACAACGTTGATGGGTCAATGTCTTCTTGAGAAACAAATTAGGATACTTAATTTGGGAAGAGGGTTTTATTAATTTTGGTAAAAAATTAATATGAGCATTAACCCTGTTTTAAATCTTATAATAGTAAGTTCTCTAACATGTAATCGATCGTGATATATATGGAGTTTTAAACATTTAAATGCTATTTTGTTTCCGTTTTTTACTTTTTGTGTTTGACAGAGATGTTCAGAGATCATAATGAGTTTGCCAGTTTGGTAATAAGAATTTTTAATCGGAGGTTAAGCAAACAAAAAATACAACCATTCTAATTATAGTAAGTGCATAAGCATAATCCCTAACTTTGATCGTATAGAAATCAAAAGATTCGTTTACTTGGATTTTATATTGAAAAGAGCTTATTGTGCCATTATTCAATGTTATCTTGTGTATCATTGGAAATAATCTCCTGAACTTTTGAGATAAAGTTAAGTAGAATTTTGCTTAATGAAGATACGTCGACGTGGTTAGTAAGAATGCAACAAACTATGGCGTGGCCGGATATAATTAGGTCATGTGGGCGGCACATTTGTTTGATTTATTAGTATATAGTTTTTTATGTTATTAAAATGCGGGCTTATCTCTATTCTTTCTCGCCTTTCCATTCAAGGATAAGCTTCGGGGAACAGCAATCTTGCTTAATCGATCCTAATTAAGAATAATACAGATGTTATGATTATTAAAATACATGGCTCTTCCTGCGCCACTCACTGATCCGCTTGTCCAATGATATTAAAATTTCACATTATAATTCTTGTGCTATGGCTTATAAATGGTCTAAGCTCAAAGCTGAAGACCATATATTATCCCATCATAGGTACGAAATCACAGCCTGAACCTGAAGAAAGACAAGCAAGTAGGTCCGGTACGAACATGATCTATGCAAGACAGACAAATGTATTTATCGAAAGTTTCTGTAGATGACTAATTGCATGCATTGTTGATGATATTTTGGTGAAGAATACATTTGTAACAAGACGCATTTATAAATACATAATATGGAACGCCGGTATACGTACTAATCCCAATTTATAATTCATATCGATTTTATGAGGTAGTATGACGCATGAATGTTGTGGTCGTTAATCTTTTGTTATAGTTACCAAATCATTTGATCCCCCAGACAGGAAGTAATCAATGTATCACTAACTGGCTAATTGCATGTTGCAGATCCTTCGTTTTTATTGGTTGTATTCGTTTTTATTGGTTGTAGCTGTAATTAGACTTTGAGCTGCAGTACTTTCGAAACTTGAATTAAGTTGTTGGGCTTTAATATTATTATTTGGGCTTTGATTTTTGTTTATCTCAGTATCAGTAGTCCGATCCAGATATACTGAGACAAGTCATAAGTGCAGCTCTTCTGGATATGCATTGCACGTTGAGAATGAAAACAAGTAAACAACCCAATGCTTTTTATGTTGTTGTTGTTTTTGTGAAAGGGCTTGATGATTAATTTCCTTAACACCACATAAGAATAAGGACCAATAATACGATGTGAGTCACATCAATACTAAAATGATTTTTTTATTTATTTATGAAAAAATGAGCATATGCCAAAATACATTGTCAGTTAATTAAATTTTGGACCGTGACTTACCCACGTTTGGACGGTCGAAGGAAGGCCAAGCTCGCACGCAATTATGTCAACATAACCAGACCCATTGACGCACTTACAAGTGTCCATTAGGAAAAGCTACACATAAGTATAAAACTGCTGATATTTTTTTTGTTGGTCACCCGAACGTACTACAACAGTTGAAATGAAATTAATTTAAGGAAAAATATCATATGATGGGTTAAAATCATTTTAATTAAACAACTGAAACTCCAAGAAATAAAGTGCATGTGATTGTGTACCAATGAATGTTTTGAAGCAAAGTAACAAATGTTTGACTCTTGAGCTTTCCCAGGTTGAATAGTGTCCATTCTCCGAGACAAAGTAAAAATAGTTTTGACTAAATTTATTCGAATACTAAATTTGAAAAATAGTAACGTATTGACTGAAAAAAGAAAAATTTATTCTTGCCTTTCGGACATCGTAAGCACAAGGCAAAATCTCAAAATTTGAAATAATTGTACTTAAAAAAAAAAAAAAAAGAATATATTTGTATTCGTTCTCTTTTTTATTTTCGCCAACCAAAAAAATAAAATTCAATGAGAAAGCAGAGTCTGTGAATAGAGTTGCGTGTTAATGGTGAGAAATTTTCCCATCCACAAATCTCGCACCTGATTCCATTGATTTTCTCGTGTTTTTATTTTCTCCAAACTTCCTCAGGCGAGACTCCATTTTCGTCGTCTCCAATAGTGAGTGATGATTTTGACGATCTTTTTTGGAATTTACCTCAAAGAAAAAATCAAATGCTTGAAAGAAAAAACAAAACATTTTTCGTCTACTTTTAAACCGCAAAACGCGTTGAAAAAATCGAAATACACGAGATGAGAAACTTTGTTACCTCGAAGACTTATTATCACTTCGATTTCTCCAATAAAGCTTTTGGTGGTTTGAAGCAGTTTATGTACGGAAATACTTTCACAGTTCTCGATGCTTTCTGGGTTTCTCTCTGTAATCTCTTCTTCTTCCTTCTCCCCTCTGTTTCTTCCTCCATCTCCAGGTACGTTCTCTTTTTCTCTCTTCTTCCTTCTCTGTTTTTAATTTTTCTTCTTGTTTCTAAAGGTTTCTCAATTCTTACAGAGTTAATTCAGACAAAGAGACAAGCTTGGTCGTGTCTAAGAAACAGAGCAACCAAAACGATTCCTCTGTTTTCAGAGATCAGAAACAAATTGGGTTCCACGAGAAACAAGACGATGAGAAGAGTTCTCTGGTTTCGATCAGCAAGAGATGCGAGTTTTTTTCCGACAAAAGTATCATCATCACCGGTTTTGTAAAAGAACCTACAGCGGTTAGCTTTACTGTTCACGATTACTACTCCTCTGTTTTTCAAGAGAAGAAGAAGAAGATGGTGACTTTCTACGACGAGTCGATCACGAGCTCCATCGGTTTAGAGAAACCGTTTACAGTTGAGAAAGAGAAACCACAATCACAATCAAAGTCAGAGGTTTTTTTCATAAAGGAACACGTGAAGGAAGATATGCTAGTTTACGAGTTCATGAGTTATGGCGTCTTTAAAGAACTATTACTTCACGAGAGTTTTGTTTGTAGTGAAGAAAACTTGTTCGATGAAGATGATGGGTTTATAGAACTTAACCCAAAGCTCCAAATCTCTGATATTGCTTATGAAGAAGAAGAAGAAGACTTTATGCAGAGAGAAGAAGAACAGATGAATATGGGTTTTGAAGAAGAAGAAGATGAAGATGAGTATGAGCATAGTGATGTGATTGAGAGATTGAAAACAGAGCTGAAGACAGCGAGAACAGGAGGATTGTGCACCATTCTTGAGGAATCAGAGACTCCATTAGAAGAGCTGAAACCGAAACCACTCAAGATCGAACCAAAGCAAGATCAGCACAAGGACAGAATCTCTGAGATCCACAAGGTTTACAAGAACTATGCTGCTAAAATGCGGAAACTCGACGTCATCGATTCTCAGACAATGCATTCCATCAGTAAGTCTTTCTCTTCCTCAACACTCAAATTCCAATTTCTAAAGCAATGACATGTTTTCAGAGTCTTTAATTTTTGTCTTATTGTTGAAGAACGTCTCTTTCTTACTTAAATGTTCTCTCAACTACTCAAAAATGTTGGTGTGGTCTAATCTATGGTTTAACAGGCTTGCTTAAGCTAAAACAACCACCAAAACCGAGCAGAAACGTCCTCAAATCATCGCATCTGCATCAGAGTCTATGGCCATTCAAGAAACACAAGCAAGAACGTAACCCTAACGAGAGACTTGTGAAAGAAGCAAGCAGAGACTTTGAGACTGTCTACGTAGGTCAGCTCTGTCTCTCCTGGGAGATGCTTCGTTGGCAATACAACAAACTCTTGGAGTTTGATTCTCATACTAATGCTTGTCATCAATACAATTTAGTAGCTGGAGAGTTTCAACTATTCCAAGTCCTGATCCAACGGTTTGTGGAGAACGAGCCGTTTCAAAACTCCTCTAGAGTTGAGACTTACTTAAAGAACCGTCGCCATTTCCATAATTTCCTTCAGATCCCACTCGTTAGAGGTAACAAAAACATGTTAAGATGATTCTTCAGTTTATAATCATGAATCTTTTTTGCTGAGGCCTAAATGTTTTTTGCAGATGATCGTTCTTGGAAGAGTAATAAGAAATGCAGAAACGAAGGCGAATACGCGGTAAAGATTGAGACTTTGAGAGAGATTATCAGAGAATCAATCCGTGTGTTCTTGGAGTTTCTTTGTGCGGACAAAGATGAAGTTAGTTCAGTGATGAAAGTTTCTCACCAAACACAAGTCTCTCCCCAAGATCCTTTAGACCTTGAGCTCTTGACAGATATAAGAACCAATCTCCAAAAGGTATTTAGTTCTCCAGTCTCTCCTTTTCATTTTGTTTAGATCACATCAATGTTTTGTTCATTCAAGAACCTAATGCAGAAGGAGAAGAAGCTAAAGGAGATAATGAGAAGCCAAAGCTGTATAGTGAAGAAGTTAAAGAAGAATAATGAGTCAAAGAGTAGTGTTGGTTTAAAAGATGAGTTACTGATAGCTCAAATCGAAATGAGGTTGGTTTCAAGAGTGATGAACATGTCGAAACTCACCACTGAGAAGTTGGTTTGGTGTGGAGAGAAACTTGATAACATCAGCTTCAACGGTCGGAGGATTCACATTGAACCATCTTTCTCATTGTTACCTTGTTAGAGCCGTTGTTGCCTATAGATTAGTTCATAGATGTTGAAACATTATTATAGCTTCAGATCCAGGAAGATGTTCTTTTTATTTGAATGTTCCTGAGAAAAAGTAGAGATAACGAATGTTATGTGGTTTCATGTTACTTAAATCTGTAATCAGTTATTGTTACATTATTATACAATATTGTTACAACCAAATATGCAAATTCAAATACAAAGGAAGTCACTTTGAATCTTCAGTCTCCAAAGTCCAAACCATTCACAAGGGAGTAAACAAACTGTTGGCTCACATTAACAAAAATTCAACCAAAAGCACAATTATCAATCAGCGAGGCATTGGGCCGAATCGTATATGGGCTTAATATTGTCATGAAGATGGACTATTATGTAAGCCCAAACAAGCCCATAAAGTAAGGCTAATGACAGATCTCGTTCGTTGATTACCATGTGCGAAGATACGATCTGATCCGTCGAAACTAGGGCATTAGGGGTATTGGAAGAGGAAAGGCCTTTAAATAGATAATTTAGGTTATAAAGCCTCTTCGTCTGCTCCGCAAACCTGAAGACGATAAAAACCCTAGTAGAGAGGAGGGTGTGAGAGCAAGAGAAGCGAAAATGGTGCAGCGTCTTGTCTACCGTTCGCGTCACAGCTACGCCACCAAATCGAACCAGCAGAGGATCGTCAAAACCCCAGGTCTGGTTCTCTTTCCCTCTCTCTCTCTCTATCTCTCTGCTTCAATCCAAATCAAAATCTGTATCCAAATCGATCTATTGAATGTGTAATGTATTGTAAACTGATGGTGGTTTTTGATTAATTTGGATTCGCAGGTGGAAAATTGGTCTACCAACGCTCAAACAAGGTTTCTAGTGGACCGATTTGCCCCGTCTCCAAAAAGCGTATTCAGGGTGTAAGTTTTCTGATTCATTTCTTCTCCGATTTGATCTGGGACTGTTGAGCTCTGTATTCATTTGCTGTATTTGATTTCGAATGTGCTCATAGCCTAAGTGATAATCAGATTGATAATAGGATATTGTATTGATCGATCCATCCAAATGTAGCTTTGTTTTAGTCTCATTGCTAGATTAGTTTGTGCTTATTGACGGTCTTGTGCTGGTTAGATAAAATCCACATCAGTACATAACTTTATCATAAGCTAGATTTAGTGCCGCCTTGTATTCTTTAAAGTTTTCTCCTTTTTGTATATAAGGAAATGACAGTTTTGCTTGGTGGCAGAAATCTTAAATCATCTTATAACTTTATATGTTAACGATCTGTAGCATTATTTAGGTTTGTTTTTGCCAATTTTCCTTCATTTTCGTGTGTATTTGATTCAGCTTCTAACCCAATGCTCATCGTTTGTTTTCTTTAGATCCCTCACTTGAGGCCAACTCAGTACAAGAGATCTCGATTGGCAAGAAACAGGAGGACCGTGAACCGTGCATATGGTGGTGTTCTATGCGGTTCCGCTGTTAGAGAAAGGTCAGTTGCTTGACCTTAATTTCTATTCTTGTGTTTATTGCTCTTTAGATATGAACATTGTGTTCTAACATTTGAATATCTGTGGCTTTGTGTTGCAACAGAATCATTCGTGCGTTCCTTGTGGAGGAGCAAAAGATTGTGAAGAAGGTGTTGAAGCTTCAAAAGGCCAAGGAAAAGGTTGCTCCCAAAGCCTAGATCGTGTGACGGACCTTGATAGTTTTCTTTTATGTTTTTTTTGAATTGCTCTGTTCTAGCAATAGTACAAGAGTTTGGAGAAAACATTTGTGTACTCATCCAAAAAATATTCTAAGCTTTTTTGTATCCGTTTTGTTGTTCTTTGACTCTGTCGACATTTCCTTCAAATGTTTTGAGTTTTACATTTCACGTCTCTAAGTCTCTTATTACCTCAATAGCGTCGTTTTATTGGTTACAATTCGATTCGCATTGTCGTCGCTTGACTCGATTAATCATATAACCATTTTTACATCTAGTTTTCATATAAATAGATTAGATGTTGTAACTGTTGAAAGTCTAAAACGTTAAAATGTCAGAATCGTAATAAACGTAGATAGTTGCTAAATTCAGTTTTACAAATCGTTTCACTTGACGCGAGAGTGAGAAGAGGAATTAGGGTTTTACATATCGAGCGATTTCGATAGACATGGCGAGAGAGACGATCTCCGAGCAAACGCTTGCCGGAGAAGCATCGAGCAGCAGCCGAAAGAGGCAACGGCTTAACTCCATTGTTGGAGAAGAAGTTGTCGAAGAAGAGATCGAAGAGGAAGAGGAAGAAGAGGTGATAACGGAGGTACGATCGGGGACAATGTCTGATTTGGATCTCCTCGAGTGTCCCGTCTGCTGCAACGCACTCACAGCTCCGATCTTTCAGGTCTCGTTTCTCACCTCTCTCTCTACTCTTCCTTCCTCACAATCGCCATCGCTGGTTATAGAAATTTCGGATGATTTTGTTTGGAAAAATGTTGCCTTAGGAAGGTGTTAGTCGAACAAAATGAAGCATTGAATCATATAACCTTATCATTCTTATAGATTTGTTGTATAATCGATTGATTTGTGAATCTGATTTTTGCATCTCTCAGTGTGACAATGGACACATAGCTTGCTCTTCCTGCTGTGTTAATCTGAGGCACAAATGCCCTGCCTGCACTTTGCCCATTGGTAACTATCGATGCAGAATCATGGAGAGAGTCGTAGAAGCAATCATTGTGCCATGCCCAAATGCAATTCACGGTTGCTCCGAGAAGTTCTCTTACGGGAAGGAGTTAGTCCATGAGAAGCAATGCGGTTTCTCTTGTGGCCATATCGATGATGACGTATTTTTATTCCTTCAAGAATGTAGTGATGGTAATCAGAATGTAGACAGTGACGAGGTGGTAGCCGAGGCACGGTCAGGGACAATGTTTGAGCTTGATCTTCTTGACTGTCCCGTTTGCTTCAAGGCACTCACTGCACCTATCTACCAGGTCTTGTTTCTCACCTCTTACAATCGCATCTGGTTTATGTTTATCGATGATGGATGATTCTGTTCGGAAAATGTTGCATTAGGGAGGTGGTACTCGAATGAAATGAAGTATATAAGCATTTAGTATATGTTAATCGAATGAAATGAAGCATATAATGTAATCTTGTATCATTTAGTATGTTTTTGCTCGGAAAATGTTGGATTAGGAAGGTTTGACTCGAATGAAATGAAGTATACAATATAATCATTAAGAAGGTGTTGATCGGATGAAATGAAGCATATATGTACATCTTGTATCATTCTTGTAGATTTGTTGTATAAGCTTTTATGTTTCGTTGATTTGTAATCTGATTTTGCGTTCTACATTTTGTTTTTGGAATCTCAGTGTGACAATGGACATATAGCTTGCTCTTCTTGCTGTGTTGATGTGAGGCACAAATGTTCTGCCTGCACTTTGCCTATTGGTAACTACCGATGCAGAATCATGGAGAGAGTTGTGGAAGCAATCATCGTGCCATGCCCAAACACCAAACATGGTTGTCCGGAGAAGTTCTCTTACGGTGAAGAGTTGGTCCATGAGAAGCAATGCGGTTTCGCTCTATGCCACTGTCCTGAACGAAGCTGCAAGTACGCAGGCGTGTACAAGGATCTCTACCTTCACTACAATGATAACCACAGGGACGGGTGGAATATTTTCGCCTGCGGACTTGCCATTCAGGCATGGATGCATACCTGTGATAAGATATTAGTTCTTCAGGAAACTAGAGCCGGTGCGTTGGTCACGGTTCAGTGCTTCGAGGAGCCAAATGGAATGTTTGTGAGTGTGAATTGTATAGCACCTTCTGCTCCAGGGGTTGGGGAGTTCGCATATGTTCTCTCTTACTCGGATGGAGGCAAAACTGTGTCGTTTGAAATGTCGGAGATGAATAGGATTCGGAAAGTGAGCTTCCAAAATCCTGAGGACTACATGTCAATTCCTGACCACTGCATGCTTTTCCGGGATAGTTTGAAGATGAAAATTTGCATCCGCCGGAGAGGAGAAAAGAAGAAGGAAGGTGATGAGAACTGAAGTTGTTGATAAAGTTCGCATGTCAAGTCGTGAAGAAAAAGGTAACTCCAAGTATCAAGACAAAGTTAAGTAACCAAGTCTATTCGCTTTCACTTTTCTTTTGTTATTAGTTGTTTGCAGAAACTCATGTTCGATCTCTTGTGTTAAGGAATGAATGACCAAAAGACAATTACTAGTCTAAACTATCATTAAAAAAGCTTTTGAGTTCTTTTGAGTTTCTCTTCTCTTATAAAGCTGCCTGATGAAAAATTGGTTTAATTGATTGGTATGTTCATATCCGATACTTAATTGATTGGTATGTTCATATCCGATACTCATCGTCTATAAACAAGTTACAATTACAAGCAACAAGAAGAAAATTTAAGGCCAACTAGTTAATCATTCGTGTTCTAGCAATAGTACACGAGTTTGGAGAAAACATTTGTGGACTCATCCAAAATATTCCTAAGCTTTTTTTGTATTCGTTTTGTTGGTCTTTGACTCTGTCGACATTTGGTTCAAATGTTTTTGAGTTTTACATTCACGTCTCTACTCTTTTATTACCTCAATAGCTTCGTTCTTGGTTACAATGTGATTCATATATTCTCGTTCAAATCTTTTGAATCGAATATTCCTAGTAAATTGATAATATTTTTACAGCTCGTTCTTACATAAACAGAGAAAATGTTGAGAGTCAAAAACTTTAAAATGGCAGAATCGTAATAAGCGCAGATGCTCCCTGTTTTCATTTCTACAAATCGTTAGTGTGAAAAGGAAAAGCAAAAGTGGAATTACGGTTTATACACGGCGAGCGATTTCCGTAGACATGGTGATAGAGATGAACTTTCTGGCCGGAGAAGCATCGAGCAGCAACCGAAAGAGGCAACGAACACTTCCCTCCACTGTTGAAGTAGAAGAACAAGGCGAGAACGGTGGAAGAACGGCGAGTGAGAATCGGAATGTAGACGACGGCGATGAGGTGATAACGGAGGTACGGTCAGGGACGATGTTTGATCTGGATCTTCTCGAGTGTCCCATTTGCTGCACCGCTCTCTCTGCTCCGATCTATCAGGTCTTCTTCTTCACCTCTCGGCTCTTTTTAACTTCGACCTTCCTTATTCAGTAATCGTAATCGCTAGTCTCTGTCTATGGATGATTTGGTTTAGGAAGATGTTAATAGAGTGAAATGAAGCATTAAAATCAACTTTCTCATAGATTTGTTCTTTCGAGTGAAATGAAGCATAGAAATCTAAACTTTCTTAAAGATTTGTTCTTTAAAAGCTTGATGCTTCGTTGATTTGTGAAATGAAGCATAAAAATCTAAACTTTCTTATAGATTTGTTCTTCTAATGCTTTGATGTTTCGTTACTCTGTGAAATGAAGCATAAAAATCTAAACTTTCTTATAGATTTGTTCTTCTAATGCTTTGATGTTTCGTTACTTTGTGAAATGAAGCATAAAAATCTAAACTTTCTTATATATTTCTTCTCTAAAGCTTGATGCTTCGTTGGTTGATTTGTGAAAATCTGATTTTGCGTTGTTGAATCTCAGTGTGACAATGGACACATTGCTTGCTCTTCTTGCTGTATCAAACTGAGGCACAAATGTGCAGCTTGCAATTTGCCTATTGGTAACCATCGATGCAGAATCATGGAGAGAGTTGTGGAAGCAATCATCGTCCCATGCCCAAACGCCAAACATGGTTGTTCAGAGAAGTTCTCTTACGGGAAAGAGTTGGTCCATGAGAAACAATGCGGTTTCGCTCTATGCCACTGTCCTGCACTAGGCTGCAACTACGCAGGTGTGAGCAACGATCTCTACAGTCACTACGCTGCTAGCCACAGGAGAGCATGGGATTATTTCACGACGTTTGGACGTCCCAGGGTTATATGGCTGCGTTTAAGTGAGAAGATTTTAGTGCTACAGGAATTTGGAGATGGTCCATTGGTTGCGGTTCAATGTTTCCAGGAGCCGAATGGAGTGTATGTGACTGTGAACTGTATAGCTCCTTGTGCTCCAGGATTTGGGGAGTACTCGTATCGTCTCTCTTGCTCGTTTGGAGGTAAGACTGTGTCTTTTGGGTTGGCGGAGATGAATAGGATTCGGAGAGTGAGCTTCGAAACTCCTGAAGAGGACTTCATGTCAGTTCCTGCCTTCTTCATGGCTCAGCGGGTTGGTTTGAAGTTGGAACTTCGCATCAGCGAAACTGATGAGACCGAAGAAGAAGAAGAAAAAGCTGTTGAGACTGGAGAAGAAGATGCTGCTGTGACTGGAGAAGAAGAAGAAGAAGAAGCTGCTGGGACTGGAGAAGTGGAAGCTGCTGAGACTGAAGAAGAAGAAGCTGATGAGACTGAAGTTGTTGACAATGTTCGGAGGTCAACTCGTAAGAGGGTGGTTAGCTCCAAGTATCAAGACTAAGTCAAGTAAAGTAACCAGGTCTTTTTGGCTTCCATGTTTCTTTTTAGTTGTTTGCAGAAAAACTCATGTTCCATCTCTTTTGTGTGTAAAGGAACGAAAAACCAAAAGACAATTACTCTAAAACTACCATTAAGAAAGTTTTTGAGTTCTTAGTTTCCTTTAAGCGGCGTAATCAAATTGGTTTGGTTGACTCCAAGTATCAAGACAAAGTTAAAGAACCAACTCTCTTCGCTTTCACGTTTTCCTTTGTTGTTAGTTGTTTGAAGAAACTCATGTTCGATCTCGTGTTCAAGGAGTGGAATTACCAAAAGAGTGAAAGACAATTACTAGTAGTCTAATACGTTTAGAGCCGTTTAGCAGATTAAAGCCATAGTGTTTGAATAGTCTTCAACTGCAACGTTACAATTGGATTAGCAGAAAACGTTAATCTAAAATTAGATTAGAGATCTAAAATAAGTGAAACTGTAGTTTGTTTTTATCAACTAAATGCAGAATCCATTCGGTATAAATAAGAGTAAAATAGATCATTCTTCTCAATACAAAACCAAGCTTAAATACTACCACAAGTCTAAAAAGAAGATTAACAACAATCAAACAATGGCCACCAGTGTGAAAGTTTTTTCTTTTGTTTTGTTCCTTGTCCTCCTCTCCGTTGGTACGTCTTTTCTTTGTTATACTTGAAGGTTAAATTATTAATTATCAAGTGCTGTTGACCAAAAACAAAAAAAAACAACAAATCTCAAGACTTCAGAGTCAAATGTTTGCACTTTTTAAAAAGTTGTATTTATAGAAATTTGTGAAAATTTATCCTTCAGTTTTAAATAGAAAGTTGTTTGTGTGGTCATTGGTAGATGTTGAAGGTGGTTCGTTGTGCTGCAACACTCACCCGAAATTTGGGAAGTGCAACCCAAGCCATGACACACCGAGATGCAACAGTTGGTGTCTTAAGGGATGCAACAATGGAAAAGGCGGTTACTGCAAACCTGTTAATGGAGGACAATGCCATTGTTTCTGTTAAGTCACGACAGATGAAAAACATGCATGCGATTAATTTTTTTATGTTACCTTACGTTACGTTGTTGTGTTTGTAGTTTGTTTCGATTACTAATTTATGATATTTGTATGAATATCACATGCCATGATAAAAATAAGAATGACGAGCATAAGAAGCTCAATTATTTATGTTTGAACTAATTATTCCGTTTAGTCGAACCAATAAGTACAAAATAATTATTAAATCTACTTATAACTCATTTTTGCATGAAAGATGTCAATAAATTAGAAATTTGTGACATACAGTATGTTATAAAAAAAATTGAACGTGAAGATATAACTTATGAATTCAATTAGCTGACAATATATTTGTGATTCATTTATAGAAAACCGTAATTTTTTATTTATTAATATTTTAAGAGAAGCGTGAACAGTGCCTATGGTGGGGTTTGGAGAAACATTGTATACTCATCCAAAAAAGGTTCTTAAGCTATTTTGTATTCGTTTTGTGGTCTTTAACTCTTTCAACATAACGTTCAAATGTTTTGTGTGTTACATTTCACGTTTCTACTCCTTTTGTAACCCTCCAAAGCCCTCTTTGCTTGTTACAATGTGATTCACATCGTCGTTCAAGTCTTTTGACTCTAAATTGCTTAGTAATTTGATACTCAATTATTACTCATCTTTTTGACAAGGCACTTGCACACGGAAATATCATATTTAAATTTAATTAAATGTTAAAATTTCAAAAACGCTAAAATGGCAGAACCGTAAATATGTACTCAAAACATTTCACGGTAGATAGAGAGTTAAAGAAGAGAAGGGGAATTAGGGTTTTACATAGCGACTTCGATAGGCATGGCGGATGGGAGGAACCCCGAGCAAGCCCTGGCCGGAGAAGCATCGAGGAGCACCCGAAAGAGGCGACGAACACTTCGTTCCTACATTGTTGAACAAGAACAAGGCGAGAATGGTGGAAGAACGGCGAGTGACAATCCGAATGTTGACGGCGGCGAGGTGATAACGGAGGTAAGATCCGGGACGGTGATTGACCTAGCTCTTCTCGACTGTCCCGTTTGCTGCATCGCCCTCGCGGCTCCGATCTATCAGGTGTTGTTTTTATCCCTAGTTTACGTCTATGGATGATTTTTAGGGTTAGGAGTGAAATGAAGCAAATATTCTTATCGCTTTGTGAATCTGGTTTCTTGCATCTCTTCAGTGTGACAGTGGACACGTTGCTTGCTCTTCTTGCTGTGTTAATCTGAGGTACAAATGTCCAGCCTGCACTTTGCCCATCGGTAACTATCGATGTAGAATCATGGAGAGAGTTTTAGAAGCAATCACCTTCCCATGCGCAAACGCCAAACATGGTTGTCCAAAGAAGTTCTCTTACGGGAAAGAGTTGGCTCACGAGAAGCAATGCAGTTTCGCTCTATGCCACTATCCTGCACCAGAGTGCAACTACGCCGGCGTTTGCAAGGATCTCTACCGTCACTACAATGATAACCACAGGGACGTGTCGAAAATGTTCGTCTCTGGCTGTACCTTTGGTGCGAGGATGCGTATCCGTGATAAGGTTCTAGTGCTTCAGGAATGTGGGTCTCATGCGTTGGTTGTTGTTCAGTGTTTCGAGGAGACGAATGGAGTGAATGTGGCTGTGAAGTGTATAGGACCTTGTTCTGCTCAAGGACTTGGGGAGTTCTCATTTCGTCTCTCTTGCCCGTTTGGAGGTAAAACTATGTCGTTTGAATCGGAGATGAGTATGATTCAGAAAGTGAGCTTCCAAACTCCTGGAGAAGATTTCATGTCAATTCCTGCCTACTGCATGGCTAACCGGGTTGATTTGGAGATGAACATTTGCATCCGCCGGCGAGGAGAAGAAGAAGGAAGGTGATGAGAAGCTGGAGAAGAAGAAGGTGATGAGACTGAAGTTGTTAAGTCAAGTAACCAAGTCTTTTGGCTTCCACGTTTCTTTTAGTTGTTTGCATTTCTTTTGTGTGTTAAGGAACGAAAAAACAAAAGACAATTGGTCTAAAACTACCATTAAGAAAGTTTTTAAATTTTTAGTTTCTCTAAACCTACCTGATTAAATTTGTTTGGTTTGTTCATCTCCGATACTCATCTTCTATTAACGAGTCACAATTATAAACAAAAAGTAAAATTATTAGGCCAACTAGTTAATCACCGTGTTCCTCACTAATACAAAGGAGTGGTACGATCTACGGAGCATATATAGCACACTAATTTGAAAAAACAATCCAAAAAAGCAAAGAGGCACTGCACAAAAGATATATTGGGCCGACGTAGGCCCAAACATGTTCGTGGAGAGTTTTTTTTTTGGAAACTGAGGTTGTTGTGTTTCTTGTGTGGCAAGCAAGAGGATTCTTAGGTTCTGTTGGTCTAGACACGGACCAGGACTGGCTGAGGAAAAGTGAGATCCAAGTACGAAAAGGGACTAGTAGTTGTAAAAGTACTAGTCTTGGAAGCTTCTTTCTCATCATAATATGACCTCACATTCATATTTTGATTGTAATATTTGAAGCCAGAACTGATTTGAGGATCTTGTCTGAAGAAATCTGGGCTGTGTTTGATGGTAAAGATGAAACACAGGATTGAGAAATAGCTCTTAGAGAAATTTCTACTACAATTTCTATCGAACCATTTCTACAAGTCAGTAACAGGAGGACTGTGAACCGTGCCTCTGGTTGGGTTTTATCCGGTTCTGCTGTTTGCTAGGGAAGTGTTGTTGCTTTGACCAATGGACAAAAATTTACAAAAATGTCTTTTTTTGCTGCTCTTGATTATTTATGTGTTCACACTTCACATAATTGCTTTCATCGTTGACTCTTTTATTACCTCAAAAGCTTCGTTGTTGGTTACAACTTACAAGGTGATTCGAATCGTCGTTCAAGTCTTTTGACTCGGAAATTGCCTAGTAAATTGATACTCACTCCGTCACTCGTTTTTTTTCACAAGTTCCAATATAGAATTATTTAATTGTTAGACAATAAATATTCAAATCGTACAATGTTTTAGATAACAGTTCACTACAAAACGTTCCACTGAAAGGTCAAACTGAAAGATTTTAGGGTTTTGCATTGCTGCGAGTCGATAGAAATGGTGAAAGAGACAAACGCCGAGCAGGATATGGCCGGAGAAGCATCGAGCAGTAGCCGAAAGAGGCAACGACTTCCCTCCGTTGTTGAAGAAGAAGAAGGAGAGAATGGTGGAAGAACGGCGAGTGAGAATCGGAATGTAGACGGTGGCGAGGTGATAACAGAGGTACGATCGGGGACCATGTTTGGTCTGGATCTTCTCGAGTGTCCCGTCTGCTGCAACGCACTCTCACTCTCGGCTCCTATCTACCAGGTCTTCTTTCTCACCTCTTTCTGCTCATCATATATTCTTAATTTTTCGTTTTGTGCTTGTTGATTTGCTGAATATTTAAATTTTACGTTTCGTTTGATTTGTGAATCTGATTTTGCATCTCTCAGTGTGACAATGGACACATAGCTTGCACTTGTTGCTGCATTAAGCTGAGTAACAAATGTCCAGCCTGCACTTTGCCCATTGGTCACCACCATCGATGCATAGTAATGGAGAGAGTTGTAGAAGCAATCATCTTTCCATGCCCAAACGCCAAACACGGTTGCACCGAGAAGTTCTCATACGGCAAAGAGTTAGTCCATAAGAAGAAATGTGGTTTCGCTCTATGCTACTGTCCTAAACCAAACTGTAACTACTCCGGCGTGTACAAGGATCTCTACAGTCACTACGATGCTAACCACAAGGACACGTCGGACAGTTTCAGAGACGTATGGATAGTCCTTGAAGAATGTAGAGATGGTAATCGGAATTTAGACAGTGATGAGGTGATAACGGAGGTACGGTCACGGTCGGGGACGATGTTTGATCTTGATCTTCTTGACTGTCCCGTTTGCTGCAAGGCACTCACGACTCCTATCTATCAGGTCTTGTTTCTCACCTCTTTAAATTCACACTTCCTTTATTTATAATCTCGCAATCGCTGGTACATGTTTATGGATGATGGATGATGTTTTCTTTTGGAAATGATGCATTAGGAAGGTGATATGATAATCAAATGAAATGAAGCATTTCATCTTAAAATTCTTATTGATTGTTGTATAAGCTTTATGTTTCTTTAATTTAATTTGTAATCTCACCTGGCATCTCGCAGTGTGACAATGGACACATAGCTTGCTCTTCCTGCTGTGTTAACCTGAGGCACAAATGCCCTGAATGCACTTTGCCTATTGGTAACTATCGATGCAGAATTATGGAGAGAGTTGTGAAAGCAATCATCGTCCCATGCCCAAACGCGAACCATGGTTGTCCAGAGAAGTTCTCTTACGGGAAAGAGTTGCTCCTTGAGAAGCAATGTGGCTTTGCTCTATGCTACTGTCCTAAACCAGACTGCAACTACGCAGGCGTGTACAAGGATCTCTACTGTCACTACCTTGATAGCCACGAAAACGGGAGTTGGTTTATGTTTGGCCGTACCACTGATGCATGGATGTTTATACGTGACAAGATTTTCTTTCTTCGAGGGAATTGCGATGGTCCGTTGGTTGTGATTCAGTGTTTCGAGGAGCCTAAAGGAATTTATGTGACTGTGAAATGTATAGCACCTCCTGCTCCAGAGGTTGAGGAGATCTCCTTTCAACTCTTTTACTCGTCTTATCATGGTGAGAAAACTATGTCGTTTGGATTGGCGAAGATGAAAAGGATTCAGAAAGTGAGCTACCAAACTCCTGAGGAGGACTACATGTTAATTCCTGACTATTTCTTGGCTCAGCGGCCTGATCTAAAGATGAAAATTTGCATCAACCGGGTAGTGAAAGAAGAAGAAAAAGAAAAAGCTAAAGTTGGTGTGACTGCAGTTGTTGACAATCAAAGTCGCAGGTCAACTCTTGAAGGAAAGCTAACTCCAAGTATCAAGATAGCCAAGTAACCAAGTCTTTCGCTTTCACATTTTCCTTTATTGTTAGCTGTTTGAAGAAACTCGTGTTCGATCCCTAAATTCTTGAGAAATGAAAAACTAAAAGACAATTAATAGTCTAAACCATTAAGAGAGTTCTTGAATTTTTCTGGTTTCTCTAAGTTGCATAATTAATTATATTTGTTTAAGTTGAATGATTATATTTGTTTAATTGATTGGTATGTTCATTTCCGATACTTTAAATCCGCAATTATAAAGAAGAAGATAATTTAGTAGGCCAATTGATTAATCATTCGTGTCTCTTATCCCGGTTTCTTTATTGGTATAAAATTGTATGAATTATTCTATCGAACCATAAAATCATGCTTGCTTCATTGGACTTGTTCGCATTTTGGTTTTACACTTATTTCGATTTAGTTGGGGCTTCTGTGGTCTTTAGTCAGTTTCTCTTCAAAGTGCGATATGTGGAATGTAGAGAACATCAACTTTGTACGAAGCATATAGCTTACTCAATTCTTCTTTTGGAAGTTTTACACACTGAAATAGGAGAAAACAAAAGCAAGCAGACTAATTTGAAAGAACAATCCATAAAAAGGCAAAGACGCCCTGCACAAAAGATATATTGGGGCCTATGCTGATACATCTAACTTGAAAGAACAAAAATCCATCAAAATCATGAAATGGAAAAACAAGAAGGCAAATCCTCATTAATAGAGGAAAAGGAGGAGTAGTCACTCTCCAGGAACATGTGATGCTTCTGATTTTGATGTTGGTCTCCAACAATAGTCGAAGTTGAAGATGAGTCAACAACGCCAAATGCGCCTTGACAGAGAGCATGATGATGATCTTCTTGATTTGCACCACAAATGTTCCCTTCAAAACAAGTTTCTTGGTACTGATCTTGCTGTAGACTAACGAGAGGAGGACACTGCTCTTGAGCCAATATCGCACTAGTGAGCTCGATGTTTGAGCCTATATAGGGTTTGTGTGCTCCCAAAAATGATGAGTCTGATGATGATGACACGTTTAACAGAAACGACGAGATATCATTGTTGTTGATGAACTTTTGAAACTGAGGTGGTTGTGTTTCTTGTGGGGCAAGCAAGAGGCTTCTTAGGTACTGTTGGTCTAGACACGGACCAGGACTGTCGGAGGAAGTGAAATCCAAGTAAGAAAAGGGACTAGTAGTTGTACATATATTAGTCTTGGCGGCTTCTTTCTCATCATAATATGAACTTGGCTGAGTCACATTCATATTTTCATCGTAATATTTGAAGCAAGAACTAGATTTGAGGATCTTGTCCGGAGAATTTTCGGCTGTGTTTGATGTTTTTCCATAGAGTTCTGTATCGGTGCTTGCCTCTGTTGGTAAAGAGGAAACAAAGGACTGAGAGATTGCTCTAAGAGCCGTTGTGTTTGCCTTCTTTAGTATTCTGCATATAGCCCATGAATCCTACAATTCCACATAAATATAAAATATTCTTAACATTAGACCAATTATATAATTGAATAAATAGCTGACAGTATATAACAAAATAACTACAATAAACAAATTATCTGTCAAGTGGAATATATTTTTCTCCACAAATTCATAAGAACTTAATTTCTTAATCTTTTATGCTACCATGTTCTTTAATGACTAATTCATTGCGTTACCTTTAATACAGTAAAACCTATATAAAGTAATACTCGATAAAATAATAAACACTATAAGATAATAAATTTATCGAGTCCCACCTCGGGCTAATATAAAAAATAGCAAAATGCGATTGATAAGATAATAATATTTTTGAAACTCCTATGTAAAAATATAGTCCAAACAATAAGGTAAAGTAATAATTATAAAACTTAGCCATATATATCTAAGGCAATTTAGTAAAATATGACTACTGTAGTTTGTCTTTTCTGAAAGTTGGATTCTCGTTGGAGCTATTTGAATAAATTTAGTAAAATATGACTTCAAGACTACAAAGTATAAGGAAAATTCAAATTAAAAAACTGAAAAAAAATATATTTCTATAATTTTTTTTGTTTTTGATAGAATATTTCTATAAAATCATAATTATTACTTTATCGATAAAATAATAACTCTATAAGATAAAAAATATTCAAAGTCCCAACATTATTATCTTATAGAGATTTTACTGTATGATTCTTTAAAAAAAATATTTATGAACACTCTCGCATCTAACTATATGGCATACTATAACCAAAAAATATTTATGAACACTCTTGCATCAATGAACATATTTATTCCTTACGTTTGGAGAGAGATGAGTATCAGAAGCAGAAGGCAAGCGAAATTCATGCATCATCCAATCTGTCTTAATGCCTTTAGCAGCTCTTCCTTTGTAAAACACAAGTGACTTCCTCAGGCCAATGCATTTGCTTCCGTCCGATGAGTATATCGACCTGTCCGTTCCCGTGGCTTTCCAGAATCCGGCACTAGTAACTCTGTTCGGCCTCGTGCTGTTCCTATACTTTCTATCTCTTGGACAGTAGAAGTACCATTCTTTCTCACCCGTCATCGCAAACTCTACATACATCAAACGGATCATTTGTACGATACATATACTTTAACTAGGGTTTCGAAAGTATTAGGGACATAGACACATAGTAGAAGTAAAACTATATACATATACAGTATAGTTTGTTCATGTTTGGCCATTAGACGTTTTAAGCAGCAAGAATATCGGTAAAAATAGTAGAGGTAAAAGAGATTGTACTTGGAAGATCCCATGGGTCATATTTGTAGATATCGAGCTGTGTGATGAGTTTGATGGAGAGTGGGCGATGTTCAACCTTTCGCTTTAGATAGAAACTCACGAGCTCTTCGTCCGTTGGATGAAACCTAAATCCAGGCAACAACACATCTTCCATCCTAGTATTAGTGAAAGTTTAGAAAAAGTGTAAAATAAACCGTATTAAAGAGAGATTAGGTTACAAGAGAGGAATGAGAAAAAGTTTAACCCTAAATGGAAAAAGTTGGTAAGAGTGAAGTTTCTTTGCTTAATTTGAACACAATATATGCTGCCCTGTGAGGGGTCTGACCCCGAAAGATCAGCCGCTTTTTGTGCTGGTTTTCCAAGAAAATGAAATCTTTTAATGGAGAGAGTTTGTATGAAAGCAAAAGTGCAATTAAGTCCATGTATTTAGACCAAAAAAATTATAATTCATTAGTGTGTCTTGGGATATTCGTTATATATATTGTATATTTTAAACTTTACCTTTGTTAGGCACAGAAGTCTGTTTTAAATACGATATAGTAAGATTAGTTGCATTTGTTCTAACCAAAACACGTTTTGCATATAAATATAGTTCGATACATGCATATAACAAGATCTATTTTCCCATAAGTGAACTAGCTAGACTGTCTAGTCTACTGTTGTTCTCACTCATGTAATTGTAATTTGTATCAATGGTTTATCTTATATGTATAAATCAAACATGAGAAGCGTGCGTTAAACCTATTCGATACACGGAGTCTACACGACATGACATGCGTTGGTTATTGTCGCCATGGCACACTCAAAGTATTTGAAAGTTCTTTGCAAAAAAGAAATAAACAAAAAATCAAACGCTATGTCAAAGTTCTATACAATATGTTGAGTTGTATTGTGTGTATCATTTATGTGTATTTATGTCATAGACACTGAACCAGAACAGCAGTTAAGATTTGCGTTAATGTCCCATTTGTTTGAACTTTGAAGTGTTACATGGACCGAGGCGAATCAACAGATTAGCAATTAAAGTTAAACATAAGATTTCATTAATCAAATGAATTGAAGTTCTAAATGCTATGATGAAAATTTAAAAAGCATAAATTAATAATACAAGAAAGGTCTCTCAGAATCCGAAAATCCATGAGCGTTTCTATTTCATTCCTCTAACAGCTTCTATTCCCACTGATTTCTGTCAGGAAATAGCAAAGTTAAGTATTTATGAGTTCAAAGACAAAGCTAATGTTTGATTGACTATGTAATGTTTAAAAGTTAAATACATTTTTGTCATCTGATCAGATATCTTAATCGGATATTTCTTAGTTTTCCGTGTTGGGCATTTCCGAAATTTCAAATGAAAAAACTTTCAGGTTTGACGTGTGATTTATATTTAAAAAAAGGCTTGAACAGATTGAAGTTCTTGGTGAAAACATTTTAGTTCATCCGTTTTATATTATTTGTCGTTTTGAGAAAATATATATGCAATGTATTTATATTTAGATGTATTAAACTCAAAACATATCCAAATACATACAAATACATTTTCTTAAAACGACAACTACTATAACGGAAGAAGTATTTTATAATATAATATACAATGTAATTAATTAGCTTATGACCTAAGTCAAACATGTTATAGTATTTATTTTCTCATTTTTTGTGGGTTTTAACAAAAGTACGAATACCAAAATATAGAATTTCTCAATAGTTTCTTGCTTTTAGTAAAATCTGGTTGAGGTTTCTAATTTAGCAATAACCATTGTTTTCTTTAATATTTTTTCACTACAAGTACCATCAATAAAATCCATTATTTACTACACCGTCAAATAGTAACTAATACAAACTAGCTGAAAAGTGCCAAGAGAAATAGAATTATTTGAAACTGATGTTAATTACGTGTATACGTTAGTGAACTGGTATTCCCATACTCTTTTATACTCAAACAAATGATGTCCAATAAATTATGCTATAACGTTTGACATATACTATCATTGTTCATGACTTTTCATATAAAGAGCAAAAAGTATTTTCTTTTATAAGTAATTTTCTTTTTCTACCGACTCCAAACCAGATCAAACTATAGGCGAAAGTCTAGGAATACATCAAAATCAACGAGATCACAAAAAGCCAAGTTCCCTCGGTTAATACCCATTTTGTCTCTTCAAACTTTTTTGTTGACATCATTTTTGTTTGTAACTTCCCAAGCGTGTGTACTTGATTTTAGAGCTTTCATTTAATCTAATTTTCCCTTTTCTAATGATCTTTTAATCGATCTGTAAAATATGATGAAAATATTAAGATTCAAAGTTGAAAGTCTTTAAAAGCCCAAGCACCCATACCTCTGTCTTCGCAAACATAATGTACGAGTATTAATAATGTCTCTAAGCATCATCCTTGGCTTAGAAATATAAATGTGTCTGATTGAATTCGTTCTAGTCCCTTTCAACTACTTCCATGTTTTAATAATACGTATATCATTTAGAGTTTCACGTGGTAAATTAGTTTAATACTCTCGTCTAAGAGATGTTGTCAAAGTGTGAAAACTCGGTTTTATCCTGACTATTCAGTAGATATTGTTGTCCATTCTCCAACTTTAGACAGGTAAAGAAAAGAACCAAAACCCAAATCAATATTCCAAAATCAGTCTTTTTAAAATATGAGATTTTTCAAAGTTCGACTTCCATAATGTTTTTAACTTTACCAAGTAACCGACAGAACAGAGTCGTCTTGTGGAAGTACCGATATAAAACATTTTTATTAAAGCTTTCTATCTTGTGTACAAGCTACCAAAAGACACAACAACATCATCTTCTAGCTATTTCTAGGAGACTGCAAAGAGTTGTGAAATTTCGTCTTGCACTACAAAAACTCAAAGAATCCAATACAAAAATGTAGAGAAACATAATCAGCAACGCTTCACTTTATGTTCCTGATTATGATTCAATAAAAACAAAATTCTACATCACTAATTTGTACTAAACTATCATGTACATGGATGCCCCATGTAAATTAAGCTCAACATCTTTCAAGAATGACATTGTAGATAAACAAATAAATAAATTAAAAAACCAGTTTGTTGTACAATGATACAAAACAAAGACAGAGAGTAGAACAAGAACTCAATATTGTGTATATACAAAAATCTCAAAATCCAGCTAATTCCCCGTGAGAACAAAAAAAAGAGAAAACACAAACAAATTAAGTTTCTGATATCAAAACTACATCTCCACGACACAATGTAATCATCATCCAACCTCAGGCAGATACAGAAACAGAACATTTTTGACCAAAAACACTCAATCGTCTTTGAATTCTTTAGTCGGACGTGCTTCAAGTCCTCCATCTGCTCTTTTCTCAAGAGAATAAGGCATATAAGTCCCCAGAATCCGATCCCACACGACAAAGAAAGGCTGAGAGAAATTGAATTTGCTTCCATAAAGCTGATGATGCACGTCATGGTAAGCAGAGTTGTTCTTAAAGACCATATGGAACAGGTTTCCGGGAAGCCAGAGACCGCAATGGTCGTCCACGGTTTTGATAGTCGCAAAAGAGAAGAAGAAGATTGAAGTTCTTGGAGACATACCGGAGATCAGGAAAGATAAAGCGCCACCAACTGTATCCAAGAGAAGACCTTCCACTGGATGGTTGTATAAGGCTCCGTATGCGTAAGGGACGATAAGACGGTGGTGCTGAGAGTGGATATGCTTGTATAAGAACTTGTTGTGATGCATGTATCGATGGATGAAGTATTGCCATGTGTCGAGGACTATCATTGCCGTCACAAACTGTCTCGCTAGGACCAGTAGGGAAAGCTTTTCGTCTACTTCAGCATCACTTCCTGTGACCTGTGTCAACAATGAAGAAGCATGTCAAGTAAGCAAAGTGAAGGTATCAAAGCCATGTTTGAAGCAAACCACAGGATAAGACGAAGGAAAAAATCAAGAAACCATGATGCTACTTCACAGATTGTAACAGCATTCACCACATAACAACTCATTGGAATATCAATCAACAAATTTTCAAGTAGAACTTATATTGCTACTGAATCGAATGTAAGCAAAGAACAGAGTACAAGGGTGGATTCTAGAGCACACCAAGCTCTCCAATGACCAAAACCAATTACCAAATCACTCAGAGCCCTTCACTGATCTCTTCAATACCTATTTACGTTCATGCTTTCCTCTAAAACTCTAATTTTTCTAACACTGATATATGAACAGAGTACAAGGGTGAATCTTAGAGCATACTAAGCTCTCCAATAGCCCCAAACCAATTACCAAATCACTCCAAAGCTCTTCAATAACTATTTACGTTCATGCTTTGCTCTAAAGCTCTCTAACTTTTCCAACACTGATATATGAACAGCTCTCAAAAAGGACTGAGCATTGTTCAACTATTAGAACTAAACCTTTCTTCGAGCTTCTTAGCTTTAGATTCATCAATCTCCTATCTTTAAAACCCAATTTGTTCAAGGAAAATGCAGATACCACAAATTTTTTAAGTCAATATCAGATCAATAATGCAGATTTTCTCTTTTTTTTTGGGTGGAAACTACAGTAACCCAAAAGATTCGTCACTTTTCTATACAAATCCAATTCCGTCAGCATCAGATAACAAAATCCCCCAATTGATCCTAATCCACTAAACAAGAGCAAAGTTCGAAAAATTGGAAACATTACCGTGAACAAGATGATAGCGACAACAGCTTGGACGAGCTGCTGAAGAAGAACGCCTTTCACGACGGAAGATTTCGAGACGAGATTCTTCTCTTCTTCCTCAGCTTTGGAATGCAATCTGTAACCCTCGAGAGACGATAGCGCGACGTAAATCCCGGAATAAAGCCAATAAACCACAATCGGAGCAACAGTGCCCAGCAATTCGTCGGAGACAGCAAAACCCATCTTCGTCCCTTAATTCCTTAATCCTCCTCTCAGCTTCAGATCCTTCATCAACTGTAACCCAAATGGGGAAAATGATGAGGAGAGGGAAATAGCCACAAGAGCACAGATTTTTCCTGGAAAATTAACCGAGAAAACTTCCAAAAAGTCAATTTGATTTTTTTCGAATCGATGATTGAGATCGTTAGGGTTAGTGATTGAGTTTGACAAATCAACGAAGGAAACAAAAATGATGGAAGCAGAGAGAAAACGACACACTCGAAACGAGAGACGTGGCTCAAGTGTGCTCATTAAATTAAATTACAAAATATCTCAGTTATCTACTGTGCTAAGATCTACACTGAGTCTGCTTACGTGGCGGAATCCGAAAGCGATTGTAGTATGAGATGGAATATGTGACGTTGGATTGTGTAACGCATACCTTGTTAACGTGTTATTTACCGTACTGGATTCTACCTGTTTGCGCTGTCGTCCGTTAAACGGCGCCGTATATGTTTGAAGTTTTGTTTGGAAAATTGAGTACAATTGTTTTCCCTTGTAGAAACTAGAAACTAGAAAGATTCAACAATTTTTAGTTTTTTTTTTCAAATTTCAAACTCTTGTAGTTTTAATATCCGTTTTTTTTGGAGTGAAGACAAAGACTTCTTTTACGTTTAACAATTTTTATAATTCTTCTATCATCTTAAAAGACAATCTCATCTTTTAGTTTTTTTAAAAAGTAACCATTGTACAACTTGTACTTGAGTTGAGTGACATTAGCGCTGTCTCTTTGTTCACAAACGTTGTCGCTCTTTATTTCTTTTTTCTTTTCTTATGATGCATTTGTGATTTGTTTTTTTTGTTTAATGGAAACTAGAGAACTATGCGAATCTTGATGATATATAAATATAATAGCTTAAGTAAAGAGATCCAAGACATAATAGTAGCATTGTACAAGAAAGTAAAAAATAGAGATTAATTAGATAACGGGAGAGTATTTGGTCGCGGAATCAACTTTAAATTCGACCTCAACATCCAAATTGTCTTCCTTGTTCAAGTAAAGCTTCCGAACTTCAGCTAGAGACAAATAGTGATCCCAACCCCAACTCCTCTTTGATTCCTCGTGCCAGTGGTTCACTGCAAGAAAACAAAATGCCAAACATGGTTTATTATAAAAATTTAAAAAGACAGAACGCACCAAACATGGTTATGAGATACTGAAAATGAGTACATATCTTGAAGACTGTATCAAACAACAGTTAAAAAACAAAGTAAAAAAAAATATAGCTGTGTTTTAGAAAATATATACTTTGGAGTGCAAAGTGAGTGGATCCAAGTGGGTCTAGAACTCGCAAATGTCCTTGCACGGAAATCTTCTCATCTGCTTTCGGTTTATCACTATCAGCTAAATACAGAAAAATGGATACCCATTTGCCATCCTTTTTAGATTGGCCCTTCGATCGGATACAGCTTTAAAACCCTAAACGTACAAAACACTAATTATATAATGAAATACTTATTTAACATTCATAAGATTCTGATAGCGCCAAAACAAAGTTTTGCAGAATTATATATATATTATATACTCACCATTTCCTTCCTCCCATTGAAAAAATGTTTGATGTGTAAACATCCTCTTTCAACAAAGAAAAATTCTTAACAGTCCATGAGAACTTGGGATTAGGGAGTTTCTCATCAAAAGAGAGGATCTCCCAATTGGTAAAGGGAGGAGCAACAATGACATCAATACCAAACTCACATTGACCACCTTCGTATACGTATCCATTTGAAGGATTAATGAACGTTTCATATGGAAGAACTTCTTGCAACCCCACACCGTTTTAAGTGCATTGAACCTCTTCACTTCTACATCTGAACTTGAACAAATATTATATACTATGTGAAACATTCAGAGAGAGCTAGAGAGAGAGATGTGTGGTTCACCTTGAATAGTGAAGTATTTGTTTTGTTTCTTGTTGAAGACAAAGAAACGAAGTTCCCCAAAAACCTCAGTTGGTGGTGTGAATACCATCAAGCTTTTGCTATCTATTTCCACGTACATTGATAGAAATCCACTCCCATTGTCCTTTTTGTTTCCTTTTGGATATACGATCAATCTCCTGTTTTTACAAACAACATTTCATTAGCTAATATATAATAAGATAGAGCATGTATCCTTCAAATAAACTAACAAAAACAATGCAGTAACAAAAACCTAACTTCGCTTAACGCTAAATCACACAACACGTACCAGTTATATCCACCGGAGGAGAAAACACGAGATTGGTATTTATCATCAGAGGAAGAAGTCGAGATCTCAAGTTGTGAATCTTTAGGGAATAAGAAGATGGAGGATGCTCTCTCCAGTTCGCCACAATTTTAGAAACTGGTACTGACTACTGAGCTTGAACCCATTCTAGGCAACCAAGTTGCAAGTCTAAAAAGTAAGGAAAAAACTATGTTACTGTAAACCCTAATTAGACTAATCTAACCGAGTCATTTTTAGATGGGCTTGGCCTTGGTTGAGCTCATACACAAAATGAGTCTAGAGAAAATAAAGTACTTTAAGGGAAACTTTACACCTAAATTAGAGGAATGGTAGAATAATCCTTTTGAAAACAACAAGAAAAAAAAAACTGTGAATATAATCAGTTTTCTTCTCTAAACCAAAATTATTAAACCTGAGAAATCGAATGATACTTATAAACGTCGTGACTCACATAGGGCATCATCTCGTTCCCATAGCAATACAGTAGTCAAAGTAGAAGAATGGTATGTAATTAAAAACTCAAATTCGTATTAGATAACGGGAGAGTATTTGGTCGCAGAAACAACTTTGAATTCGACCTCAACATTCAAATTGTCTTCCTTGTCCAAATAAAGCTTCCGAAGTTCAGCTAAAGACAAATATTGCTCCCAACCCCAACCCGTGTTTGCTTCCACGTGCCAGTGGTTCACTGCAAGAAAACAAATTGCGAAACATGGTTATTCTATAAAGACAGAAGGCCAAATTAACAATATCTAAGTACATATCTTGAAGACTGTATCAACCGTTGTATAGTTGGTAATAAAGTAAAAATATTGTTATTTAGAAAATACTTTGGCGTGCAAAGTGATTGGACCCAAATGGATCTAGAACTCGCAAATGTCCTTGCACGGAAATCTTCTCATCTGCTTTCGGTTTATCACTATCAGCTAAAAGGAGAAAAGTGGATAACCATTTGCCATCTTTGGTATAGCCCTTCGGATACAGCATTAGAACCCTACACAAAAAAATTAAGTAATTATTATGAGCTACTTATTTAACATTCATACACACGCATGCACATGTGCATAGATACATATTGCTTACTCCAAAAAGAAAGTTTTTGCTACATACGCACCATTTCCTTCCTTCCATCGAAAAGATGTTTGATGTTTGTTCATCCTCTTTTAACAAAGAAAATTTCTTAACATTCCAAGAGAACTTGGGATGAGAGATTTTCTCATTAAAAGAGAGAATCTCCCAATTGGTAAGGGGTGGAGCAACGATGACATCAACACCAAACTCACATTGATCTTCCTCGAAGATGTATCCATTTTCAGTTTTAATGAATGTATCATATGGAAGAACTTGCTGCAATCCCCACACCGTTTTGAGTGCATTGAACCGCTTTACTTCTACATCTGAATAATCATATAATATAATTACATCATGTGGTATATATATATATATATATATATATATATATACACATAGAGAGAGAGAGAGCATGAGTGCATGATATTGACCTTGAATAGTGAAGTACTTGTTTTGTTTCTTGTTGTAGACAAAGAAACGGAGTTCGGCAAAAACCTCAGTGGGTGGTGTGAATACCATCAAGCTTTTGCTGTCTATTTCCACGTACATGGAAATAAATCCACTTCCATTGTCCTTTTTGTTCCCTTTAGGGTATACAATCAATCTCCTAATTTTGTAAACACAGCCTTGTTAATTAATAAATTAACAAAGGGTATATTTGATAAGTCCGATGCTGAATAATAATGAATGCATTAACAAAAACCTCAGGTCGACGCTTAATTAATACTAGACCACACAATCCGTACCAGTTATATCCACCGGAGGAGAAAAGGCGAGATTGGTATTTATCATCAGTTTTAGCAGTCGAGTTCTCAAGCTGTGGGAAGTTTTGAATCTTGAGTGAATAAGAAGATGGATGATGCTCTCTCCAGTTCTCCACAATTTTAGAAACTGGTACTGAGCCTGAACCTGAACCCATTCTACGCAACCACGTTCAAGACTTCAAGTGCAAGTCTAAAAAGTTCAAAGAATAAAAAAACTACTATATATATTGTAAACCCTAATTGACTTCCTAATTGGTCTAACCGAGTCATTTTTAAATGGGCCTGGACTCGGTTAGGCAGGTAAGAGTTGGGCTTTACGGGTTAATATAAAGCCCATATAGGAGGTCGTTTTCAGTTACGAAGAGGAAGCATAAGGGAAGTAAAAGATCAGTCAAACATGAAACCAAGTAAATGGAGAGATTTGATGTTGAGAAGTTCGTAATCGGAGCTTGATAAGGGATTCGGAAAAAGTTTACGTTTTTGATTCTTAAAACTGATCCAAAACATAAAGAGAAGGGTACTTGGGTAAATTCAAAAAAAATCAAACCAGTCTCGTGCTCCAAACAGAGCATGCCCACAAGCTGCTCGACGAAATTCCCCAACGACAGAAATGTATATAAAGGAAGAGTCTTTTGAAGAGATTTGTGTTTCTCGTTGCAGAGGAAGAAGAAGAAACCTCCTCTCTCTTATCACGTGGCTCTCACATGATAAAAGCTTCGTCCTTTGCTTTTGCATTTTGCCGCGCAAAGAATCCTCGAGAGAGTCGACACCAAGAAATCGGAAGAGTTTTTTTGAAGAGATTTGTGTTTCTTGTTGCAGAGGAAGAAGAAGGAAGCTCCTTTCTCTTATCACGTGGCTCTCACATGATAAAAGCTTCGACCTTTTGCTGTTATATCTGAAGCAAAGCTTCGACCTTTTGCTGTTACCTTGAGAGAATCCATCTCATCTCCAAGATGGATCCTTCTATCGTGCAAAAGGAAGAAGACGCAAGGCTCGTAAAGCTTGTGGAAGATTACATCCGTCAAGAAGATCACAACAAGGCCATGGAGGTAATTGAAGATTCGATTTCAGTCCGTGGGATACAGAAACTCCCCAGGGCGTTGAATTTCCTTGAAGGCTCTGTTTTGTTTCAGCTAGGGAATAGAAACGAGGACATGTACATTTCGGACTCCTTCTTCTGGTTCCCAAATTAGGTCCATTTGATGTTCCTCCCTTGGATTGAGACCGTTTCACTCATGTTTGTCCTCATAGTCATGTGGAGAACCTATTAATCCATGTTTGGGTAAGTATGGGTCCATCTAGTTCATCTTATACACTACAAGTGAGTTTCCACAATGTGGAGTCACAGAGGTACATTTCGGACTCCTTACCTCTTCCGGTTCCCAAATTAGGTCCATTTGATGTTCCTCCCTTGGATTGAGACCGTTTCACTCATGTTTGTCCTCATAGTCATGTGAGAACCTATTAATCCATGTTTGGGTAAGTATGGGTCCATCTAGTTCATCTTATACACTACAAGTGAGTTTCCACAATGTGGAGTCACAGAGGTACATTTCGGACTCCTTACCTCTTCCGGTTCCCAAATTTGGTCCATTTGATGTTCCTCCCTTGGATTGAGACCGTTTCACTCATGTTTGTCCTCATAGTCATGTGTAGAACCTATTAATCCATGTTTGGGTAAGTATGGGTCCATCTAGTTCATCTTATACACTACAAGTGAGTTTCCACAATGTGGAGTCACAGAGGTACATTTCGGACTCCTTACCTCTTCCGGTTCCCAAATTTGGTCCATTTGATGTTCCTCCCTTGGATTGAGACCGTTTCACTCATGTTTGTCCTCATAGTCATGTGTAGAACCTATTAATCCATGTTTGGGTAAGTATGGGTCCATCTAGTTCATCTTATACACTACAAGTGAGTTTCCACAATGTGGAGTCACAGAGGTACATTTCGGACTCCTTACCTCTTCCGGTTCCCAAATTAGGTCCATTTGATGTTCCTCCCTTGGATTGAGACCGTTTCACTCATGTTTGTCCTCATAGTCATGTGTAGAACCTATTAATCCATGTTTGGATAAGTATGGGTCCATCTAGTTCATCTTATACACTACAAGTGAGTTTCCACAATGTGGAGGTCACAGAGGTACATTTCGGACTCCTTACCTCTTCTGGTTCCCAAATTTTGTCCATTTGATGTTTCTCCCTTGGATAGAGACAGTTTAACTCATGTTTGTGGTTCCTCCCTTGGATTGAGACCGTTTCAGTCATGTTTGTCCTCATAGTCATGTGTAGAAGCTATTAATCCATGTTTGGGTAAGTATGGAACTATCTAGTTCATCTTATACACTACAAGTGAGTTTCCTCAATCTGGAGTCACAGAGGTACATTTCGGACTCCTTACCTCTTCTGGTTCACAAATTAGGTCCATTTGATGTTCCTCCCTTGGATTAAGACCGTTTCAGTCATGTTTGTCCTCATAGTCATGTGTAGAAGCTATTAATCCATGTTTGGGTAAATATGGAACCATCTAGTTTCATCTTATACACTACAAGTGAGTTTCCACAATCTGGAGTCACAGAGGTACATTTCGGACTCCTTACCTCTTCCGGTTCCCAAATTGGTCCATTTGATGTTCCTCCCTTGGATTGAGACCGTTTCACTCATGTTTGTCCTCATAGTCATGTGTAGAAGCTATTAATCCATGTTTGGGTAAGTATGAGTCCATCTAGTTCATCTTATACACTACAAGTGAGTTTCCTCAATCTGGAGTCACAGAGGTACATTTCGGACTCCTTACCTTTTCCGGTTCCCAAATTTGGTCCATTTGATGTTCCTCCCTTGGATTGAGACCGTTTCAGTTATGTTTGTCTTCATAGTCATGTGTAGAAGCTATTAATCCATGTTTGGGTAAGTATGGAACCATCTAGTTCATCTTATACACTACAAGTGAGTTTCCACAATGTGGAGTCACAGAGGTACATTTCGGACTCCTTACCTCTTCCGGTTCCCGAATTTGGTCCATTTGATGTTCCTCCCTTGAATTGAGACCGTTTAACTCATGTTTGTTCTCAAAGTCATGTGTAGAAGCTATTAATCCATGTTTGGGTAAGTATGGAACCATCTAGTTCATCTTATACACTACAAGTGAGTTACCTCAATCTGGAATCACAGAGGTACATTTGGGACTCCTTACCTCTTCCGGTTCCCAAATTTGGTCCATTTGATGTTCCTCCCTTGGATTGAGACCGTTTCAGTTATGTTTGTCTTCATAGTCATGTGTAGAAGCTATTAATCCATGTTTGGGTAAGTATGGTTCCATCTTAGTTCATCTTATACACTACAAGTGAGTTTCCCCAATCTGGAGTCACAGAGGTACATTTCGGACTCTTACCTCTTCCGGTTCCCAAATTTTGTCCATTTGATGTTCCTCCTTTGATTGAGACCGTTTCAGTCATGTTTGTCCTCATAGTCATGTGTAGAAGCTGTTAATCCATGTTTGGGTAAGTATGGAACCATCTAGTTCATCTTATACACTACAAGTGAGTTTCCACAATGTGGAGTCACAGAGGTACATTTCGGACTCCTTACCTCTTCCGGTTCCCAAATTTGGTCAATTTGATGTTCCTCCCTTGGATTGAGACCGTTTCACTCATGTTTGTCCTCAATAGTCATGTGTAGAAGCTATTAATCCATGTTTTGGTAAGTATGGGTCCATCTAGTTCATCTTATACACTACAAGTGAGTTTCCACAATCTGGAGTCACAGAGGTACATTTCGGACTCCTTACCTCTTCCGGTTCCCGAATTTGGTCCATTTGATGTTCCTCCCTTGAATTGAGACCGTTTAACTCATGTTTGTTCTCAAAGTCATGTGTAGAAGCTATTAATCCATGTTTGGGTAAGTATGGGTCCATCTAGTTCATCTTATACACTACAAGTGAGTTTACAAAATGTGGAGTCACAGAGGTACATTTCGGACTCCTTACCTCTTCCGGTTCCCAAATTTGGTCCATTTGATGTTCCTCCTTTGTTTTGAGACCGTTTCAGTCATGTTTGTCCTCATAGTCATGTGTAGAAGCTATTAATCCATGTTTGGGTAAGTATGAAACTATCTAGTTCATCTTATACACTACAAGTGAGTTTCCTCAATTATGGAGTCACAGAGGTACATTTCGTGA